GAGCGGCCGAAGCACCCTCTCTTGGCCTTTTTCTTTTCCTTGTGGCCTGGCCGAGAGCACCAGCCAATGTTGTTGAGCTCGTAGAAGGCTTTGCGTGCTTCAGCCAGGTCTTTACTGACTAGCTGCATTCCATCGTCATTGACGAAGATACTTGCTGTACCTCCTTGCTTTTCATAGTGTCTCACAGCGGCCATGACGCTAGAAATGGTGGGCAGTATGACAGCCTGGAGGCCTTCTTTATAGACTGGCATCTGAATAGTGATGTGAGGCAGTTCCAGATCCGGGTATCTTCCTGGTTTGGGCGCGATAGCTGAATAGAACATGCTGTTCTTGCTCAGATTCGAAAGAGGTCCAAGGATCTGCCACAGAGATCCAGCAATGACAATCATGAAGAATAGAGAGAATGTGGCAAATAGGGGGATGACCGCGAGAAGAGCAAACCTCATGTAGTTGCCGTCAAGTCGGACTTCGGTAACCATCTTTGCTATGCACGCCATTTCCACAACAACGACGAGCACCAGAGCAAGGCCAACCAAGAGGGCGTGGTTGAGTAAGAACCTGCGTACAGGCACCTCTTGGCCGTCTTTTTCTGGGTCAAACAATTTGTCGCCTTGTTGTTCCTTTTCGATGGCCGTCTGGATGACATCGAGCTTCTCCATCATGACCGAGTCAGGCAAAATGTTTCGATTCAGGTAAGGAACAAGTTGTTCGCTTAGAGATCTGCCGTCACTGAGGCGAACGTCAGGCCTTCTTGGAGCATCGAAGCTGTGTTGGAAGCTCGGTGATCTTTCACCAGAAGGAGGAGCGATTCCCCAGAGATGACCGACGATGAGGTCCTCGACATCCGAGCCTCTTTTCAGCAGGTCGGGTCCATGGTCAGAGCAGAGAAGAAGAAGTCTCTCTTGTTTGCACAGAAACAGGAAGCCGTCATATTTGTAGTCGCTAGTCGTCTTCATTATCTGGGTGACATTGTTGACAATACGAACAGTTGGGCCGACTCGTCCAAGAACAACCTTTGTTTGGGTTGGAATGATAGACTCAAGCAATGCTCTGACAGCCCCTGACCTAATGGTCATGGCGAAAGGTGCTCGAAGATGTTCGACCGCCTCCGTAATGGTACTGTCCAGGTTCTGTGGTTCACTGCAACATGAACCTCCGACAGTCTTTACCATGACACCAAGATATGTTTTTCCAGCTGTGGCGTCTATTTCGGTCTCGTGGTCGAACCATCTTTGGGCATCACCCTTCTTGTACAGGTATCGTGAAAGCTGTTGAAAGTCAGACAAGAGACAAAACGTAACTGCATAGATACTCACGACTTCAAAATTACTCTGAGACGCACGTGAAGATGCCCCGGATGATGAGGTTGGACGGCTAAACTGAGTCATTGGCTGAGGGATGGAGGGAAGCAGTTCATTAAACGCAGAGAATGTTCTTGTGTAGCTCTGCATTTCCGAGCCTTCGAAAGGAGGAGTCTTTTCGGACAATGAACGACTCATTGTGAAAGTTGCTTGTGATGATTTCTCAAATGACGAGCATTGAGCAGACTGTTGAGAAAAGACTGCCGGCATTTGTATGCTAGGCTGAAGACCATTGTGAAGACCAAAATAGTAGTACTTCTTCCTTCCAAGTTCTGGTGAATCCAATGTTCCAAATTGTCAAAGGCAGGACCTTCTTGCCGAGAAGGATGTGGCGCTTCTGAAATTGCTCATTACCTCAGTCGGGGAGTTGGGTAGACATCGTCTCGTATCTCGGTCTGCAGCATGTGGTCTATTTTCAAAATGTGGCGAACATGGGCACAATCGAGCCACGGTAAGGGCTCGGGTGTATTTGCCAATGTATCCGGATATCTATTACCGCCTGTCTGTGATACTTATATACAGCTTGAGCCATGTTGCGTCTGCATGTAGTGACAGGAGCATCTCTCTAATTTTGGTGAAGCTCCTTGCTGGATCGTGCAATAGAAGGCTGCACAATGGATTGATAGAACGCTACTTGGCAAACCATGTGGAAGCATCAAGAACACCACATGCAAAGAAGGTCTGGATTTTAGTCCAACCTGATCTGTCAGTTTCATTGATCCACGTGCGTGAAGAGAGCATGTGGATGTGGATGAACATCCATGCCGCTGAATGATAGTAAAGCTCCACCAAAATGATTTTGGACATCTTTCGCAGATTAAGTTTGCCACCTTCCATCCTCTTTAGGCTTGGTGGTACTGACGGGGATTCAGGAACGCCTTCTTGAATCAACCTCACACTCCTTGAGAACCCTGCTCTCTCGATGGCTGGCGACCGGCTGTGGGCATGACAGATGTAGCAGACACAATTGTCAGAGTTCCTACGATATATTGTCCCTGTCTGTCTCTGAAACATGATCACGCCTTTTACTTGGCGCTTCGTTGAGTCCATGAGGACCGCGACTTGTATTGCAGAGCCGATTTCCACATTCAGCCCTCCCTTGCTTACGAGACACTCAATACCTTCTTTCATCCGATGATATAAGCGCTTCCATGGATGTATCGACCAGTGTGTGGTACTATTGACGGGTATTTGCAGATACCCAGTTGCAAATTTCCACGCCTCAGGTCAAGAGCCCACGAGGCTTTCTCGCTCTTCCAGCCGCTTTGGGAAAGGTAAGGGAATTTCTATTGATGAGTTTACTGAATATTGCATGGTATCTGTCCTTTACTCGCGTTGTCCGCATGTCACCTTCAGTTGATTCCATCTTGTTCATTCTTGTTGTCATTTATCTTTGATGAACCTGGACCCTCTGGAGAGCCAATTGCATTTGCCCTCAGCTAGAACCAGACACAGAAGATGAGTGCAGCTATTTCGCGAGCTACATCTATCCATTCCATCTCGGTGGGATCCAACCCATTCAGTAGCTCACGGCATGAGCTACACGATGGAAGCACGCCACCTGAGTTTGCGAGTGCGATAGGCAGGCGGCGCAAGTTCAAGTCTTCCAGGTTTCGGGGCACCGAGTATCCCAAACCATGGCTGGAACATGTTGATCCTCGGAAAAAGTGGGAAAAGGTCATCTTCTGGTGTGCGCTTTTGATCGGCCTTCTCATTGGAGCCGTCATCTGCTTTTTTAGCTATCGTTCAGTATCCAACCACGACTACTGTCTACTGTTCGAGGACAACTTCGAGACACTCGACACGAACATCTGGAATTTCGAGACGCAGAGAGGCGGCTTCGGTTCTGGATCTTTTGAGTGGACTTCTGACGATCCTCAGAACTCATATGTGGACGCAGAAGGTCTACATATTGTGCCCACCCTGACCACTGAATCAACCGATATCACCGCGGATGACATCAACGACAACTATGTGCTCAACTTGACGACTGCAGGAACCTGTACCTCCGTTAGCAAAGACGAAAATGATTGCTCTATTCGCAGCAACATCACCTCTGGGGCGATTATCAATCCCGTGCGCAGCGCCCGGCTGAACACCAAGGGTACCAAGACCATCACCTATGGTCGAGTTGAAGTGGTAGCAAAGGCGCCTGTGGGTGACTGGCTATGGCCCGCAATCTGGATGATGCCTGAGCCTCAAGGGCCGGATGGACACGGTGCCTACGGACCATGGCCTGCCAGTGGAGAGATTGACATTGCCGAATGGAGAGGCAACGCTGGATCCAAATATCCTGACGGACGCGACAGTGTCGGCAGCACATTGCATTGGGGGCCCGTCTATGCGGCAGATGCCTTCTGGAGAACATCTGGCAAACACAACCTGCGACGAACAGACTTTTCGGAAGAGTTCCATACCTACGGTTTGGAGTGGTCGAAGAATTACCTCTTCATGTACGTCGACACCCGACTAGTGGTAAGTGACAAGATCTCTGAAATTATTTAGTCTCTGTCGAGATACTAATGAGTGAGTTATAGCAAGTCATGTTCACCAAGTTCAACAATTACAAAAGCATGTGGGATCACGGAGACTTTGGGAGTGCAATTGTCAACAAGTCAGCCTTGAGCAACCCCTGGGCGCAGACGGGACAGGCAAACACCCCGTTCGACCAGCCATTCTATCTGATCCTGAATGTGGCGGTAGGCAGTACGAATGGATTCTTCAAAGACGGGGTTTCGAACAAACCATGGGGCGACGAGAGCTTGTCGGCTCCTCGAGAGTTCTGGGAGGCCCAACACTTGTGGCTCCCGACCTGGGGAGAGGGAGATAAGAGAGGCATGACGGTTAAGTCGGTTAAGATGTGGCAGGAGGGCAAATGCGGTGGTGCCTGAGGATGAAGCGAGTTGACGCCCAAATGGGCTCCCCTTCCTCGTATTTTGATAAAGCTTTCTGTCTACCTGAAATTCTACTCGCAGGCTGGGATGGGTGAGACCTGCAGGACAAGGCGTTGTGGCGTTATGGGGGCGTTCGCTGTGAATCCTCGGGCGGAGCTTCCACCTCCTACTGGTGTAGCGGTTTAATACTAGAAATCTCCGGCCCGTTCGACTACAATACATCAAAGCGTAGGACTGGTAAACTTGAAAAAGTCAATTTCAACATCTTGTGAGTGGTTCAGTAGGACAAGGATCGAATCCATCAAGGACATTTGATACGAGAGAACTCCTGTCTTCTCAACCCGAAACGGCCGAGGTTTGTCCAAGGCAAGTCAATCAAGCGAGCGCGGCTCTGCCCCTACAGGGATTGGCACATGCTTCACCGATGTGTATCATTGATAATTATCTCCCAATGGGAGGGTAGGCTTGTTTGTTTGGTTGATGTGCCATACTCACACATCGATTTGATGACTAATTGAATCACGTGATATGTCGGATAACCTTCCTCCGCTTAACTGCATACCTGGTTCTTGCCACTTCAAAGCCTTGACGTCGGTTGAGATTTTGTCCGACGAGGCTGACCAAGACGAGACAATTCTTCCAACTGCATCCCACCTACATAAATCTCAACCACACGCATCCTGTCGAGCCTGAGCGTGTCTTCCCATCTACTTTTATCGCATGCCCGACTGAGACGTCCACCATCATGGCGCCTCCACAGATCAAACAAGATCTAAATCGATCGGGGTGGGAGACGACCGATTTCCCATCCAGTTGCGAAAATTGCCTCCCAGATAACCCCTACGTTCAGATGCTCAAAGAGGACCACGGCGCCGAATGTAAGATATGCACAAGACCATTCACCGTGTTTCGGTGGAAGACAGATCGAACCGCTCGAACGAAGCGCACCAACATATGTTTGACCTGCGCACGACTGAAAAACTGCTGCCAGTCTTGCATGCTCGATCTTTCCTTTGGACTCCCCATTACAGTCCGTGATGCAGCTCTTAAAATGGTGGCACCCGGACCTCAGTCCACCATCAACCGTGAATACTATGCCCAAGAACACGAGAAGGAACTCGAGGAGGGCCGCGGTGCCGTTGAAGCCTACGAAAAGACAGATGAGAAGGCGCGAGATTTACTACGTCGTCTTGCTAACAGCGAGCCATACTACAAGAAACAACGAAGACTGGAAGCAGAAGAAGGTGAAAGTTCTAGTGTTACAAAGCAAGGCTCTTCCGGCCCAGGTCCCATACGCACTTCCGATCAGAGAAGGGGAGGGAATTCGCAGCGTGGATCTCGATCAGGTCCTGGCGGCGCGAGAACCGTGCCTGGCCCAGCACGACCGCCACAGCCCGAAGACTATCTACCGCCCGCCGACCCCAACGTCACCTCTCTATTCGTCACTGGCGTGGAGGATGATCTACCAGAACACGCTCTTCGAACGTTCTTTACACCTTTCGGCCAGATTCGTTCGTTGGTCTGTTCCCATCGAGCCCATTGTGCGTTTGTCAATTATGCTTCCAGAGAAGGAGCCGAAGCCGCTGCCGCCCATTGTCAAGGTAAAGCCGTTATTCAAGGTTGCCCTTTGAGAGTGAGATGGGGCAAGCCAAAACCTCTCGACAACACCGACCGGGACCAGCGGATGGAATGGGCCAGAGAAGGCAGACAAACCGCTGCAGCGATCAAATCCAGTCAGGCGGGACGTCCGGCAATCACATCTGGCGGAGAAGTTGGAGCGGAGACTGAGCAAGAGGCCGACTCGAGAGTCGTGGTTGCACCTCCCCCCGGCCAGGGTGCCGTCACATATGCAAGTCTCGCAGGTGATTGAGGTCACTCCGCCGAGATGTCATATGTATTTCCTGAGCGAGGCGTTGTATTGAGACAATTCCCATCATTGTCGACGATTTTTATGACGGAGGGAGATAGGATCGGGTATCGTAGCAAATCAAAAAGACGATTGGGATTATGACCCGCCAATCACCTTGACCTTGCCACCTTTTCCGAGAGGATTCTTAACAGTATCGTTGTCGCCTCTTTCAGTGTCTTTGTGTATGTTCAATTCTGTACCTAGTCAGCAACCTGTCCGCATGGCGGATACCTAGAAGGGTACATACTCAAAACATCAGAGCCCTCGACCTGCTTTCCTTGAACTACATTGTGTCTCAAGACCTCAACAACGCCCTCTGCATGGGCGATAGCCTTGACAGCTTCGTCGGATGAGGGGTCCAAGGAACTCATATTCTGAAAGCCAGCTCTAGCCTGACTCCTGGCTGCATGGAGAAGTGGAAAGTCACCTGCAAAGGCAATCCTCGTGGCTCGAAGAAGGTGTCTGTAGGCGGCTAGTGCCATTGCTTCGAGGGGCGGTCGCGCAACGTTGGGGGGATTTTCAGGGTGTGGAAGTTGCCGAGAATATTCCTGGAAGATGCCGTCCTCGCTTCCAATGAATTTCTACTCGTGTACCGCTCTGAAGGTCCACCGGGGCGTCGTGGTCGACTGTGACTTTGTAAAGAAATTGCGCAGGTGGATGTACTGAAGGTCCAAGGGAGAAGCTTGTAGTGGAAGGTCAAGCGAGCCAATCGGAGACCATCAGGCTGACAACTTTTGGAGTCCCTTGACAAGAATAATTTTCTGGTGAAATCTCTCTACACCTTATCCCAAATTCTGTCCCACACCACTGATCAATCTTGACTCGTGTGCCAGTCTCGACCCGCACGTCAAGTTTCGTTCTCCATAGACGATTCCAAGTGGTACGCATTTAACCCAACATGGCCGAAACTGCCATTCTATCCCCTCCGTCTGCGGATTGGAAGGGCGACAGTGAAGCCAATCCCCATTTCAAGTCGCTGGGGAAACTCTCGGGTCCCGTGAATCGAAAGATCGAACCTTATGGCGCACAATTCCTCGCTTATGCTCGACGCAAGCGTCACGGCCGTACATTCTCCGAAGACGACCGTATCCAGGCACTTTCCAAGGTCAAGAAATCCGAGGATGATGACGATGGTGAAATCAGCGAGCCTGAGGATCCATTGATGCTGCAGCGGGACGCAAAGGATTGGAAGGCCAGTGTGACACTATGATTTTTCCTCATTGTCATTGACTAACTCGAAACAGGGACAAGATCATTACGCCGTCCTCGGTTTGTCCAAGTATCGATTCAAAGCCACCGATGAGCAGATCAAGAAGGCCCACCGCAAGAAGGTTTTGAAGCATCACCCAGACAAGAAGGCCGCAGCAGGTCAAGGAGACGAAAACGATTCCTTTTTCAAATGTATCCAACGTGCACACGAGATCCTCACCGACCCCGTCAAGCGCCGACAATTCGACTCCGTCGACGAGGCGGCTGATGTCGAACCCCCAACCAAGAAAGAGGTGTCGAAACCCAGTGCGTTCTACAAGAAATGGGGCGCGGTCTTCCAGAGCGAGGCTCGCTTCAGCAAAATCACCCCAGTGCCCATGATCGGAGACGACAACAGCACCAAGGAGGAGGTGGAAGAGTTCTACGATTTCTGGTACAACTTTGACTCATGGCGGACATTTGAGTATCTGGATGAGGACGTGCCCGATGACAACGAAGGACGAGACCACAAGCGCCACATTGAGAAGAAGAATGCCAACGCTCGACGCAAGCGCAAGTCCGAAGACATTGCCCGTCTGAGACAGCTGGTGGATGACTGTCTGGCGATGGACGAGCGCATTAAGAAGTTCCGACAGGCGGCCAACGCCAACAAGAACAAGAAGAGACTCGAGAAGGAAGCCGAGGCCAAGCGTGAGGCTGAGGAGAAGAAGAAGGCTGCCGAAGAAGCTGAGCGCAAGAAGAAAGAGGAAGAGGAGAGGCTCAAGGCGGAGAAGGAGCAGGGTAAGAAAGCCAAAGAGGCCGCCAAAAACGCCGTCAAGAAGAACAAGCGTGTCGTGCGTGGCAGCGTCAAAGACGTCAACTACTTTGCCGAGGGCGATGCAAGCCCTAAGCAGATCGATGACGTGCTGAACGACGTCGACAAGGTCATTGCCACCGTCGACCCTGACGAGCTGGCGGATTTGGTTGCCAAACTCAACGTCGCCGGCAAGGACGCCTCAAAGGTCAAGGAGGTCTTCAGCGCGACTACCGGTGGCTTGGTTGGTGCTGGCAAGCTCAAGGAGGCTGACCTGAGAGTCTTCAACTGAGTGTAACTACTGTCTACTTCCTACGCGTTGACCTCAGAGTAAGTGATGACGAAGTCGATTTTCGACTTGAACAAGCGCACAATGGATAGATGAATGGTATTGAATTACACTTTCTCTTTATGAATATCACATTCCCTGCTGGAACTTTCGTTGCTACGGAGCCAACTTGTTGTTTCCCTCTCGTCCCGATTATACACTATTCTCTCCGGCCTTCGCAGCCAAACTCTCGTGCAGTCTTGCAGGTCGCTCTTTCAACGCAACAGCATGTGACACGGCGGATGGCTGGGCAGTAATATCCACGTCTTCTGCCTCTGGCGTTCCAACATGCCTGATTTCAATCACAAGGGGATCATGGTTTGTTCGGCCGGTATGCAGCCGTAAGAGGATTAGCTAGTCATGCACGCCACCCCATTTTCAAACGCTCAGCCTCGCAGGCGTCACTCCTCATCGACATAGGACTTTGACCATCTTCCAGCTCATCAGATCGGGGAGATGCCTTTCAGCATCTGCTCCAGACGCTCCTCGGCCCCGGGACCAATCTGAGGGCAGACCTAGGACGCCGCGCACATCATCCATCCCTATCCCATCACTCATGAACCAAGCACAATGGCTTCAGCCTCGCGTGTCTGGCCGCCCTTACCCTCCAACGATTATTTCCGCCTGTTCATTCTCGAGCCTAGCACAAGTCATCGAGCGCCGCTAAGTGGCCGATTAGAAGTTTATCCGATTTCAAGATGTCCTCACTATCTGGCTTTGTCTCATGCGTGGGGGGCTGCCAATGACATGGCTCCAGTCTTCATTGGTGGTAAACGGCACCAGATCACCACGTCTCTCCAAGTCAACATCCGATATCTTCGACGCTCCAATCACACTCGCGCTCTGTGGTGTGACTCAATCTGTATCAACCAGTTCGATGGCGTGGAAAAGGCAAATCAGATCCAAGTCATGCATGCAGTCTTTGCGAATGCAGACAGCGTCAATGTCTGTCTTTCCTCTGACTCTGACACCGTCCTAAGATCTCTTGAGATCATTCAAGCAGCCGACAAGGTCAGTGACCTCCGTCGAACCGAGATCGATGGCAAGCTCTTTGGCGAGCAGCACGTCCAAACTCTATCAACCTTGGCCCGGGAGCCATGGTGGTACCGCCTATGGGTCATACAAGAATTCACCCTGGGCAAGTATGTCACATTTCAAGCTTCAAACCAATCAGTCGACTATTACACCATTTTGAGCTTCGCCAAGAAGTGGAACGCCTACGTCAAAAGCACCGCCGGTACCAAGAGCTGGTTTCTTGAAGACGGCGAGGTCAAGCTGGACCTCGTCATGTCTCGGATCGAGAGGATGCAGGTTCTGCGTTCGACCTTTGGTCCCATCGCGGGCGAAAATCGCCCCCGTCGAGATCGTCGCGTCAGCGAGTTCTTTCGCATTCTGAGCGATTCCCGCGACCGCCAGGTCACCGACCCCCGAGACCGAGTTTATGGCCTGTTGGCCTTGTTGGACTTGACCTTTGGCCGAGACTTTTCCATCCGGCCCGACTATACTCTCCATCCTGGTGTCATTTATACCCAATTCGCATTCGAGTACATGAGAGCCTCACGTTCCCTGCTTCTGCTCCAACAAACCTGTCAATCCGTCAACAGCATCACCTCCATTCCCTCGTGGGTGCCTGATTGGACAAGCCCATATGACTTTGGCACAGAGAGATCCAGGGTCATGCTTTCTCGCGACCGGCCTTTTCGTGCATCGGGCAAGAAAGAATTCGATGCCTCACTGATCCATGAACATTCACTCGTCTGCAGCGCCTACATGTTCGACACCGTGGACATTCTAGGCAATATCAATGAGATGACATTCTATACCACGGATTTCCTGCCCACTCTCGCCGTCATCGAAGACTGGGAAGGCTTGTGTGAGGATGTTCTGGGTCCGCTCAACCGAACCCGGTATGCGACTGGGCTGGAGACGGTGGGTGCGGCCTTCTGGCGAACCATCGTCACCGATCGCATGTCGCCCGAGTTTCAGACCCGACCGACAAAGCTGTCTTCGGCTCTGAAAGACGAGTTACGGAAACACGAGCAAGTATACCCCAAAACAAGACTCTTTACCTCGGAAACAACGGCAATGCGTAACTCGGTTGGTAAACGACGTCTCATCTTTACACGACAAGGATATATCGCCCTTGCCCCTCCAGATACAGAATCTGGCGACTGCATATTTATGTTGGCAGGAGGTAACGTTGCTTATGTACTGAGAGAGCTGTCCCAGCAACAGCCTATCGATGTGCATGAGGATGATGATGTTGATGGTGATGCGGTGATGTTGAACCATGAGTCTCTTCGATATTGCTATATTGGAGATTGTTACGTTCACGGCATCATGTATGGAGAAGCCACGGAGAACCTGCACGACGGCGATTGGAGGAGGATATATATTGATTGAGATGAGATCATGACTGGATAGAGCAAGCCGGATGTTGTGAACGACGCGAATGACGACGACCACGACGAACATGATGATGACTACTACTATGACGACGATGAAGGATGAAGAGAATGATCTGAACACAAGCTTTGAGAAATAGTCCTATTAGAATGATACATATCTACGACATTTGATTGTCAGTCACATGCCTACATTCTTAATTAAGCCTCCCCTAGCATTTCCATTGTGCCGGCCGAAATGACATCGCCGAACACTGTCTACACAATATGATGAGTACATGGTAGATGAACGTTACATGTGAAACGCGGCGAGGGCAGGACCCCGGCGACGGCAGGACCTCATTGGAGGAACGATACAAAGAGCTAGCCTGAGAATAAGACATGCAAAATAGTAATCTTGACTATCAAAGTGAACTGGCAGTATGCTAGACAAACTGCTGTAAGCGTAGTAGCAATAGTAGAACAGCTCTAATGAGCGGTGAATTCCTTTCTCATCTCGGACATGACAAAACGCCGAGGCCCCTTGCTTCCAAATGCTTGAAACGCTTCAAGTACAAAAAGTGTGGTAGAGAAACAACATCATCCAATATAAAGATCCAATGTCGTCCCGGAAGCAGCAGCTGATAATCCGTAAATCTCTGGAGTAGTCATCGTGTGCAGCAATGGCACTCTCAACTCAACTCGACCGCAAGTCAACCCCGACCATCGTGGAACTCCACAATGTCTCCAAGTCCAGGCTCTTTCCAAATTGAAAGACCGGGACCCTAAAGTAAAAAGGGGGAGAATTGTCTTGATTCACACTTCAGCTTTGCTTCGTACCCAACGCCTGCTCTGCCAACACCCTCTGTTGAACCTGGAAAACTCCAGGGCCCACTAGTTCTCGTATCTCAAACCTGGTTTAGTGCTTGGAATTGAAGAAACTGGAAGCCACGGATCCGAGTCCACTAGCAGTCGAGCTGTCACTGACATTACTGGACATGCTGCCTGCTCGGGACGACTTCTTCTTGCCATGCTTGGACTTCTTTCCTTTCTTGGCATAATCTTCCGCGAGTGATCCCAGGATCGCTCCTCCGACAGCTCCAAGGATGCCGTGGCCGGCCTTGTGACCAGCATAGGCCCCAGTTGCACCGCCGGCCACGGCTCCCAATAGGCCCCTGTCACCTGTCTCGGTCGACTGCGCTGTGTAGTCGCTAGGACCTTGAACATTGATTGCTGGTGTAGAGGATTGGTAGTATGATTGGCTGGAAGGCTGTTGGTTTGAGTAGTCTGTGTAGTTTTGTTGATACGAGTTATATCCACTAGTGTTATTGTAGTCGGGTTGTGGCTCAGAGAATCCTGACGATGGATACGACGATTGGTATTGAGGTTGTGATTGGTACTGGTTTTGGTACCCGTTGTAATTGTATTGTGAGTCGTAGGGGCTTGTCATGTTGAACTTTGACGCTGATGTGAAGTGTTCCTTGGTAGTTTGTTTAACGAGGTTTTGACCAATAGTGTTTGATGAAGATAAGGGAAAAGAATGACTCATAAGACAGATGCACTGGGACATGTATATATACATACCAATCCCCTATGGTAGTGGAACTCACCTTGCGGCTTCATCTTTACTAGTGCGCAGCATTGTCGGAGCCACAGACAGGGGTGTGAACAAGAAAGAGGGGACACGACTGAAGCATCCGCGAAGCTTCATACGAAGAGCCCAATTCCGTGTCTATTTGATTTGAATGTTTGTTTAGGGAGACATCACTGACGTCGAGGTGATTGAGGTCGACAGGATTTGGGCTAGGAAACTGGGGGAAGGCACGATGGATGCAGGTTCATGATGCAGAGAAGGTGGGGCATCGTGGCGCATTGAGAGGCGCAATGGGGCGCAGTAAGGCTGAGCCAAATATCACTAATCCCCGGAAACTCATATCTCCACCAAAGTGTACGGAGCGTATATTGATACGAAGGATCTATGTCGCGATGCGTTGCGGTAGATTCGTCATCCCAGCTGTTCAAGGATCAAATCATCTTCTCTAACCAAGACAAGATGCTCGACGACAACTCAAGCCTCTAGTTGTCTCACCTTGTCAGTACGACTTTGGCAACCCCAGAACTCGTTGCCCGATGTAATTCTTGATCATCTCTCGACTGACAGGGGCAATTCGAGGGATCATGCTCTCCCGGAAAAATCGTTCGACGTGATATTCCTTTGCATATCCCATTCCACCATGTGTGAGGACTGCTCTTTCACAGGCGGTGTAGGCAGCCTCGGCTGCCAGATACTTGCACGCGTTGGCGTATTCGCCAGTCTCGTACCCAGCATCGTATAGCCGGGCTGCCTGATAAATCATGAGCCTGGCTGCTTCAAGCTCCATCCAGGTATCCGCCAGGGGATGCTGGATGCCCTGGTTCATTCCGATAGGTCGACCAAACACCTGTCTCTCGCCGGCATACAATGCAGCGCGCCGGAGCGCCGCAAACCCAATGCCAATCGCTTCAGCGGCAATCAAGATCCTCTCAGCATTCATTCCGTGCATAATCATCTTGAACCCATTGTTCTCCTCTCCTATTAGATCCTCCTTAGGTACTCTCCACCCGTCGAAGAACAAGGTGTTGGAATCCACTGCTGCTCTTCCCATCTTAGGTATCTCCGTGACCTCGACCTGACTCCTGTCCAGGTCAGTGTAGAAGAGACTAAGCCCTTGACTCGGTTTCTTGACTTTGTCAAGTGGCGTGGTCCTAGTTAAGATCAAGATCTTCTCTGCGACTTGTGCGGTCGAAATCCAGATCTTCTGCCCACTGAGTAGATAGTCCCCCGATTTGTCGTCCTTTACTGCCCGAGACTGCAGCTTCAACGTGTCCAAGCCAGTATTTGGCTCTGTCACGCCGAAGCACGCTCGTTCCTCTCCTTTGATCAATGGGACGAGCCACCTTTGCTTCTGTTCCTCAGTCCCAAAGATTCTTACCGGCTCCAATCCGAAGATATTCATATGGACAGCGCTACAGCCTGCGTACGCCGCGCCACTCTCCGCGATCGTTTGCACCATAATAGCGGCCTCTGCTATCCCCAAGTCGCTCCCTCCATATTCGCTCGGCATACAGACGCCCAACCAGCCATCCTTTGCAATCGCCTGGTGAAACTCTATCGGAAACCGGTGTTCTTTATCTGCTCGGTTCCAGTATGCATCGTCAAATTTCGAGCATACCTTGCCCACGGCCTCCCGTACCGTCCGTTGGCTCTCGCTGAGATCTGGGTCCTGAAGTTGGAGATATTCGGTGGCACGCGAATGAGCCTGGCGTGTCTTCTGTAGAAATGTTGTATGTAATGATGGCGTGGTAGGGAACCCATTTAACAACGCCCTTGACCGTTTCCCATGAAGAAGTAGGCGTCTGCCCAACATACTGACCGCCATGGTTTGTTTGTTTCTGCCAACCACCTTTGATCACCCAAGATACCTTACATGTAGAATGTCGGCCTTATGTCTTCGTAATTCGGTAAATCTCTCCACATGAACTTGGTGATCTTGATCCAGGGACGTTTTTCTATGTGCATTGATTGTCTGACATTGGAGAGGCAAGCTGATGCCTATAATACAAAAGGGCATTCCCCCAAATGGGAAACTCTGGGGTATGTCTAGAGCCCGAGGGGCCCTTGGTCGTTGGAGAAACATCGAATCAAGCCACAACCGAGGCCGGATACAAGTCGTGCGGAGAAGAGATGATGGACACCTAGGTCTAAGCACGAATAGACCTCTATGACACGTCAGTGGGGCCAGCAAATACCTCATCATAGCTTTAATGGTGGGTGGAGGCTCCGACTTCGAAAAGGTCCGTTTGGGTGAAGTTTCGGCTGGATCGTCACCAGGAATCTCTAACATGACTTTGTGCCGGGGTTGACTTGGCTGGAGATTTGCAATAAACTGCATGTTTATACTATTAGACGCGGTCAACGAGTATCAGTGCTTCAAGATTGATGTGTTTCTAGGGAATGGTGAGCTCGTCTTCCTGGAGGAGCATACTTTGTTAACCGTCTCCCGGCGCATGCAATCCATACACACAGGCATCGAGGATGATGAAACATAGTAATCCATTTCTGGCCCTGCTACACCACGGTCGTGCTGGACTATTACCCTCTGTCTGTGCTCGAGGGTCATCACCAATCAATCTATACGGACGTCGTCATCAGTCCACAGCCGATCGCTCAGATGGCCTCCCACTATCTGGCCTTCGAGTTCTGGATCTATCTCGTGTGCTAGCAGGTCCCTTTTGTACTCAAATCCTGGCCGATTACGGCGCTTCGGTACTCAAGGTCGAACAGCCTGGCGTGGGCGACGAAACACGACAATGGCGCACAAGTGGCGAGTCACAAATGTGGAAGGACGAGTATCCTTTGATGAGTCTCTACTTTGCAGCCATCAATCGGAACAAGCGATCCATAACACTCAACTTAAAGTCCAAGCAGGGTGTGGAGATTGTGAAACGACTGGCTCGGGACAGCGACGTATTGGTGAACAATTTTGTTCCAGGGAAAATGGACGAAATGGGCTTGGGATATGATCAAATGAAGCAGGAAAATCCCAGACTGATATATGCCAGTGTGAGCGGCTATGGAGCTGATGGCCCAAGTAAAGCCCGGGCTGGATATGATGCAATTGCCCTGGCAGAAGCTGGATTGTTGCATATTACCGGCGAAAGTCAAGGTCCACCTTCGAAGCCAGGTGTCGCGATTGCCGATCTCTGCACCGGATTGTACTCTCACGGAGCCATTCTGGCGGCTCTCGCCCAGCGGGAACGAACGGGTTTGGGCACTAAGATTGAAGGAAGCCTGTTCGAAAGCTCGCTGAGCCTGTTGATCAACGTGGGGTTGGCCAGTTTGAATCTCGACAGGCACAAGGGTGCACAAGGTCGGAGAAGAGGGAAGAGACTTGGACTTGGACATCCAAATCTTGTTCCTTACGGTGGATTTGAATCGAAAGACGGGAGAATGGTATACGTAGCTGCTAACAACAATCGCCAGTGGCAGGGATTTTGCAGAATCTTGGGCGTCGATGGCCTGGGTCAGGACCCGCGATTCAATACCAACGACGGAAGAGTGGAACACCGGGCAGAGATTGATTCCATACTGCAGAAGCGATTCCGTCAAAAGACAAAAGATGAGTGGATGCAGGCTTTTGATGGAAGTGGATTGCCATATGGGGCAATAAACGACGTCGTCGAGGCAGTAGAACATCCGCAGTCACATGCGAGGAACATGGTCGTCGAAATCCAAGACTTTGAGGCTGCAAGGGACGGTGTGTTGAGGATGCTTGGATCAGCAATCAAGTTTCAAGATGCTAAAATGGGAGTCCGGATCAATCCTCCCCTTCTCGGAGAACACACAAGCGAAGTTCTCGCAACTTTGGGCTATAACGAAGACAAAATTCTTGAGCTGAGGGAGTCGGGAGCCATTTAGACCGGGTTCATGGAAGAGGGCTCTGTTAGCAAGAATAGAAACTCAGAGATCACTCTTTGAATAATAGCATGACACATGCACCGTATCATTTTGATAGATGTCCCAGTATCATGACTTATTCGACGTCCAAGTTTTGAAACAATCAGACTCTGGAAGAAAAGTGCTGGGGTGGTTGTACACCGTGACAGACATCTCGATCAGATTGGAGAGGAATACAACCAACATGGTTCATTGCATGCATCCCAGTGAGCTAGCAGGTTGTAGTATAATGATACAATTGCGATGCTTCTCCGTCATCGGGGGACTGTACAATGATTGATTTTGATCTCGACCTCATCTATTCCAATTCACCAGTATTCTTCAGTGCGCATCAGGCTGGGCAACAATGTATGTAACTGCTTGGTCGACTAAAGTATTCTCAGTAAGAGTGTCATTGTCAGATTCTAGGATGCTTACCGCTGTGGATGGCATCAGCCTCCTTGTCAGGAATCTCAATGCTGAATTCTTCTTCAATCGCCATCACCACCTCGACTGTGTCCAAGCTGTCCAAACCCAGGTCATTTTGGAAATGCGATGTTCCCGTAATCTACCCGTCACTGGTTAGAAGGCTGTTCAAAAAGGCCATTAGAAGGTCATTACCTTTGAGACGTCTGAGACCTGAGGCGAGTTAGCAAGTGTGTAAAGATTTTGACAAGATAGGCGTACCTTATCGAAGTTCTTCAAGACATCGAATATCCGGCCCTGGACTTCGTCCTTTGTGAGACCAGCAGAGGCCGAATAGCATCTTACACTGGGAACGACGAACGAAGGAATTGATCGCGATGCGTGCTGGAGAGGATAGGAAATTTGGGCGCGGAAGGCAGGTAGTTGTCGGGGAATCTGGGTCCTTGTGGCGGCGTAGAACGCTCTGACGGCACCCGTTCGGAGCATTGTGACAATAGCGGAGAGGTGCGAAGGGTCGAGAGACGTAAGGCCAAAGAGGAATGTGTGAAATGGCACGGAAGAAGTGAGGTGTAGATGAGTCGAGATTCTGATGTCAAGTAAACCAGAAGCTGCGACGGAGCAAAATGTCAAGTTCGAAGATGCAGGAGCGACCCAAGCTCGGATAAAATGCCACGTGACTACATTACTAGGGGGAGGTGCACTGAGGTGTGTGCAAGCACTTGCAACCTAGCACTCGGAGGTTGCTAGACACACCTGCTCAAGCCAATCATGACGTTCCTGTTTCCTGATGACGAGACTCCACATCCCAAAACCTCCTACTAGCACCCGAACTGCTCTCCATATTTCATATTGACGTCCTTGATTCCCATCTCGCTTGCCACACCAACTCCATCCCAGTGTGCTGGCTTTCCATACGGACGATGGCATCATCACTGCGTCCAGCATCACGACTGGTCGTGAGACCGATAGCTGGCTCGAGTTTTTTGCGACAAGCAGACAGATCACCCTTCCTGCGCGCCACAGCTCAATTCCACACATCAACCCCTCGAAATGCCCTCCCATCAGGTCCTCCTCCACAAGGCTACAGATTACCACGGCCGAAGCGATTCGATGAAGGCGAGCACGTCATGGACAAAGCTTCCAATTACTTCCTCCTGACTGAGATGTTTCGTGGCATGTATGTCGTGCTGGAACAATTCTTCCGACCACCGTAAGGAACCCCGTCTCTTACCAGGGCTGCTTTAGCTTTGGATCAAGCGCTAATTCGTGATTCTCCAGTTATACAATTTTCTATCCCTTTGAAAAAGGTCCCATCTCTCCCAGATTCAGAGGAGAACACGCTCTGCGACGATATCCATCCGGCGAGGAGAGATGTATCGCTTGCAAGCTATGTGAAGCTATTTGCCCTGCCCTGGCCATCACAATCGAGGCCGAAGAACGAGAAGACGGATCAAGACGGACAACTCGATATGATATTGATATGACAAAATGCATCTATTGTGGTCTCTGCCAAGAGAGCTGCCCTGTTGATGCCATAGTCGAAACACCCAACGCTGAATATGCCACGGAAGATCGAGAAGAGCTCTTGTACAACAAAGAGAAGTTGTTATCCAATGGAGACAAGTGGGAGCCTGAGTTGGCAGCGGTGGCCAGAGCAGATGCTCCATACAGATAGGAAGCCCGTGGGCGGATGGAAGGTCGGCTCATTGCATCTAGCCTAGCGTGTACATAATTTTCACGAAATAGCACGAAGCGCTCCGGGAGAGGCGATTGTCGCTAAGGACCGTGGCTCACATGTGTCAGGTCTGAAAATTTATTGCGACGATGCTCGCGAGTGATATCAAGCACTTGGAAACTTCAATCGAGTTCTATCCCGGCATTAACTTTTCACCCATGGTTTCTTGCCTCCCGTGCTCAATTGATCTATGTTGCTGAGTCTATCACACCTTATTACTCTCTGATTAGATTTTCACACAGAGGTGGTTCTCAATTCAGAGCGCGCATAGTCAGCTCAACCCTAAGACAAATGTCAGTCATGATGCCGGATCGAGAGTGTCGGCAGACTTACACTGCGAATGTGCCAGCGCTAACAGGCATCGCTCGAGCCAGAGTTGGACCGATGCCTTTCCAGAATCCTCTAGCGCCTTCTGCTTGCCATGTCTTGCTGAAACAATCACGCATCGTCTTGTATTTCTGATCTGCGCCGAATCCGTCGCTCTGCATTTTGCTTTTGATCACGTCAAAAGGATAGCTGGCAATCCACAACGCCTCACCGGCGAGACCACCGTAGAAAGCCACCTTGGGCGAGGAAATCTCTTTTCTCTCGACGTTGTTGCGTTTCATGTCGAGATTCATGAGATACTCAAAGGTGAGAAACCACACACCGTAGGCCTGGGCTTCACGGTACAATGTTACAGCTTGACCACGGTACAAGCCGCGGAGAACCCCTTCGTGAGAGGAGAGCTTCTTGATGCAATCTAGAGGGCCACTGTACAGACGATCTGCTCCATGGGGTTGAGTCTGGAGTCGGATTCTGACATGCTCAATGGGTCCTGAGAGTACTGAATTGGTGAGACCGGCAAACGCACCAGCCAGGTAATATTGGCCATAAGAGAGTTCGCCCTTGCCCTGTGGGTTGGCGACCAGGTTGCGTTCTTCGAAGGCCCGTCGAGCGTAGTGGAATGCGCCGAACTGAACAGAGACACACGCTCCGATGCCTATCAAAGGTGTGAGAGTTCCCTTGTAGAAAGCGAAGGGCCCTTCATTCCGTAGGATGGATGAGGCGCACGCCACGGCATTCGGATATTTCGAAGTTGTCTGTAGTCGGACCTTTATGATATCTGTCCATGTGAGAATGGCCTCTTGCCAGCATACGCCTGACGATCCTTACCAAATGGTTGGCCTGAAGAAAATTGTTAGCCAGAATTCCTGTAGTGTCTCCAGACATTGATCCTCCCTCAACATGATCAAGTCCTGATGTTGCAAAATGACCCAAATCATTTAGAGAATCTCACCTAACAACACTTGGGCTATTCCTCCAGCAGCGCCGGATACTAGATCTTTTCCTGTCCGCGCCCAACTGGCTTGTTCCGCTTCCACGGTGCTCAGGTCGTCACCTGCCATACTCGAAGTCAGATGGCCTCGCCTCTACTGGATCAATGCTGGATCAAGGAAGCTTGAAAGCAGTCACCTCATACTTGGTTCTCGAGGCTATTGTAGAAGGATATTAGAATCATACGTGACTGGGGCTGCTTTTCATTGCCCTTCTGGTACGATAGCACGCAATTTGGAGACCGTGGGACAGGCTTTGGCCGCGCCTTGGGCGACGCTTATTGGTGGATCTCTCATCTAGTACCCCACTTTGCAAGAAATTGGCATGTAGCCCATGGACATGGAATAAATTCCCAGATATGGTCCAATGGCTGCCGATAAACACCAGATCCTTACTAACAGTATTATTACAACCCCGATTTATCACTCGAACGCTCCCAAGCGCGTAGAGCTGTCGGGTATTGATCTTTTCTAGGAAAACTCATCCACAGGAAAGGTAAACAAAAATTCACGTGGTGAGGATGCCATATCACGTGATATGCTGTCAGAAAGATATGCGCATCGACGTGTCTGATGCGCCGTAACAAAAGTCTCAAAAGTTTCCCCGGTTAAGTTGCTGTAATACTGGTATCTTGTACTCCCACGACTCCGTAAGTGTATAAGTATAGATAAATCCGCCTACCGTTTAGGCGGTCCTCCCGTTTCGAGAATAGTCGCGAGCTAGGCGGGGACCCATCATATAGTACTCCGTAGAAATTGCCAACAAATGTCCTCAGGATTTGGACGAATCCTACAGTACCTAGCGCTCGACTAACGCCTTTCTCCTTTTCCAATTGGAAACTGCAGTTCAGATAGATCGCCGCATCCATCGCAAGGTTGTAAAAATCTGGGCTCAAAACGCAGGCGGATACGGCCAATGCCCTGCCAGCTATGTTGTCAGATGTTCGACATCATTTTCCCAACATACTCCAATCCTCGGTGAACGCCTTTGTTCCTTTCCAATTGTCACCGACAAACTGCAGCTCTCGTCGTTTCAAATTTGAACACGGACTGAAGCGCCACGAGCTGGAATGTCTTCTGTAAAAGATGAACTTGTTGAGATAGGGGACAAACCATGGAAATGGTGGCCATTTCCCATGGATGCCACTCTCGAAGGTACGGTCAACAGCACCGAATCCCGCTGGTAGCATGATAAACTAATACGGTCGGTCAGTGGGCACGGTAGTTTGATAAGACCAGAACGAATCACTTACAGGGTCGGATTTTGCTTGGGTGTCTTTCACTATTTCGGCCTCGCAGTCATCATATAACTTCTGTAGCTTGTCGCCACCAAACCTCTCTCCGATAGAAAGCAATGTTAACACCTCTGCATTGAGATGTCTCAGTAGAGGGGGTGCAAAGTCGTCCAGTATACTTCTTAGCGCATTGCCGTCGTATTCAGTAGCTGCTGTTTCTATCACGTACTTCTCAAACGTGTGAAACCCATTTTCGAAGTCCTTATGTTCCTGAATACTTTGGTCCATGATTCCCGGAGAATTCGTGAGTTTCTCTATCATCGGAAAGAAGCTCTTCTCTTCGCTGTCATGATGATTATGAATGATTGGGCATAGGCCACGACAGTAGAGTAGGAAGGCATCAGCATCTCTGACGCCGGAAAACCCGGTGGCTTGTAGGTAGATGGAATTGATGTAGCGAATCATGACATTGTGAGCCAGTGCCATCCCTGTCGCCACATATATCGATCCGGGCGACGCCTAGACTTTACATTAGAGACATCATCACCAGACCTTGATGGTTTGGACTATCCCAACCTTGACATTCCTTGCCGCAGGCGTCGTGATCAGAGGGTACGGCTCGTCTGCCCATGGCTTTGCCATTGTGTCTCTCAGGTAGTGGAAGAATTGCAATTGTGCACATGGCAATCGTGCAAAGTACAAAAGCTGAAAACCTACCTGATTTATCTCAACATATATCTGCACATAAGAAATCCTTCATCGTCAGCGGAAGGATCAAGTTCGCCACCATACTCCATCGTGCTGACTATGACAAGGCACCCCTATTTCGCTAAATTCACATATGGCAGTCCCTCCGCCGCGTTAGGCCGTTCCTTCCATCAAATAGGAGTGATTTCTCGAGCTCTGTAGGCGACTTTGCATTAGTCGCAGCTCCTACTCGCTACGTATATGTTTAGTCATCATTACGTTCAGACTCAGTTTAGCACATCGACAATGGAAACATCAGCAGTACACGACCGGGCAGGGAAACGAACAATTCCATGTACGTACACGCACATCCAAGTCTGGATATGTTAGTACCCGTACGAGTAATTAGGTGGGATTGGGGCTGATGGGGCATGCTGTGAAACTTATCTTCTCTATCTAGCTATCTCAAGGAGGAGAGAAACCAACTCAGCCCTTGGAGTAGGCGGACCAGCCCACTGACTCCTGCCTAATCTAGCTCTTGCGTAGTTGCGATGCCGTTGTCTAGGGCAACCTCCATATAGCACTTCTCTCGAGGGCAGTCTCTCCAGGGCACTCTCTAGGGTAATCACGTAGCAGTCCAAGATCACTTAGAGAAACTCGAGGAGAATATTCTGATTACTTACTAGGTACCTAGTCATGAGATCGTGACTTGCGCATATCTAAATAAATTGCCAAGAGAAAGGTGCCAAGATATATTCTTTTAACTAATCATTTTTCCAGGCTAATCATATAGCGTCAACATTTTTACGAACAACATTTTTACATAGGATACTAAACCTAATATAATACCTACTCCGCTTCGCTCCGTAGGATCACGGAGAAGTTTGGACATGGGTGTCGGCTTGGCTGCTATCACTGTCAGGCAGCTACTCGTAGACCCTGTGGGATCGCCACAAAAAGACTACGGAGTAGAATTTCGTGATAATTCACGAGGAAACCGGAGTAGCTTAGTAGTATATATCGCGTCAGCCTTACCCGTAGCCTAGGCCTGACATTCTCTTAGGGCGCCGAGTGGATAGTCAGAGGGGCCCAGAAGACCATGCTTAAGGAAGAACCCGCTAAAAGCGGCGACACTAGACACTAGATTCGGTGCGAAATTTCCCTGCAACCTGCGTCGAATTGTAATTATCATCCATCAGACCATCCTTCCACTCGAGCCAGAGCTACAGACTCAGGACGTTCTGTCGACGTTTGTCCTGTATTTCCAGAATGCGAAGGGCTTTGGGTCGAAGGGTAAGCTTGAAAGCCACCGCCTGATACCAAAAAGCTGACCACATTCAGTTGATACCGTTGCAGGACATCTGCTTCTTCTGCGCCTTCCGGACGACCTTTAGTTCTCAAACTCCTGTTGCACCACGGCTAACTGCCTCTCGACGTTCATATAATACCAGCGCTCCGTCACGACGCCCCGCGACCGCTGCGGCCCCGATCCAAGAAGACGAACCCCCATCGTCGCCTTCTAGAGAGGTCGAAGGCTGGAGATGTGGCTGTGGCCATGTAAATGCAGTCCGCCGGTCTGAATGTACCATATGCGTTACACCACGCTCAAAGAATGCCTCTCTTGTCTATAAGGACATTATACCTTCCGCTCCTCCCCGCCACTCACAACCTCCGGCCCCTCCGAACCGGACTGCGCAGACTCGACCCGTGGCGCCACCCTCCTCGTTGGACCGGCGGGAAGGTGTAAACGGACGTCCTGCAAACCCTAGCCACATCGCACCCACACCAGACAAGACGGGCCCCGATTCTGCGCAAAGGTCAAGACATTTTTATCCCGAGGCAGGTGGTCCTCGCATTACTTTTCACACTGACAGAAACGACTCCCGGCCCGATGTACCGCGGTCTCCGAGGAATGCCAACCGTGAGCAAAGACAAGATGCAGCCTTGGGCAACATGGCAAGGTCTCAGGACAGACAGCAAAGGCAAAACTGGAATTTTCCTGTGCAAGAACAGTCTGAGGGTGTCAGGATCCGACGATTCAATGCTAGAACGGAAAATTCACCGAATGGTCAAGCGTCGCCACAGACCAATCGCAGCGATTCGTATGATCGAGGAAGGTTTAATTCTTTTTTTGAAAAGGGACTACCAAAGTCCCCTCGAGATGCAAGAGAACCTCGCGATGGCCGTCAGCGTTCCGACAACCGAGATTCCTTCACTCAGAGATCCAGCCTACAGGATCTCTTGGGCGGACGACCAGATGGAAGCTTCCAAGAACACTCACGCAGTCAACCGCGTGGTGCGTCGAGTTTCCAAGATCGAAGTCAACCGCGTCGTGGAAATCTGAACAGGATTGCCTCGTTCGACAGAGGCGGACAACAAGCAACGCAGCAGTTGTCACAAACACCAGGTGAAGCCAGCCCGGATTTGGAGGATATTGTTGACCAGGACGTCAATAATGTAATATCTGCGGATATACTGGAGGATTCGGGAACGTTCAGCCATCGCCGACAGAAGAAAGGTGACGCCAAACTTCCGGACAGACGAAGTCGAGTCTATGAGATAGAAGAAGACAATGAAGCAGAAGCGGCAGATGTCAGCCGTAAGTCTCGAAAAGGGGGTCGAAGGAGAAGAGAGGAATATGACGAGGATGATGATGAACGCGCCATTGCATCAGGCCACCACTCAAGACGCACTCGGGAGCATGAGTCTTTCCAAGACAATGAATCCGATCTGGACGACCGATCGCAGACTCAACAGTCTTCTAACACATTCTGGGAAAAGCAAGAACCATCACGGCCCATAATTCATATTCCCGAGTTCATCAGTGTGCAGAAGCTGGCACAGATGCTCGGAGTAAGGCTAAACACCTTTTTGGCTCAATTAGAGGAGGAAGGGTTTGAAGACGCAAGACATGACCACGTCCTTGATGCGGCAACGTCTGCGATGTTCGCTGACTTCCATGGGTTCGAACCGGTTATGTCTGATCAAAGCGAAATGAAGGACTTGGTAGCTCGACCACCATCAGAAGATCCGACAGTGCTACCGCCTCGGCCACCGATTGTGACGATCATGGGTCATGTGGATCACGGCAAGACGACGATCCTTGATTATCTCCGCAAGTCTAGTGTTGTGGCATCTGAACACGGAGGAATCACACAACACATAGGCGCGTTCTCGGTGACAATGCCCGGATCGGAAAGAAATATAACTTTCTTGGATACCCCTGGACACGCAGCCTTCTTAGAGATGCGGCGACGTGGGGCAAATGTCACTGACATTGTGGTGCTTGTCGTTGCGGCAGACGACAGCGTAAAGCCGCAAACCATCGAGGCAATCAAGCATGCACGTGAGGCAAACGTCAACATTATCGTTGCCATCAACAAGGTCGACAAAGAGGAAGCGAACGTTGATCTTGTAAAGCAAGATCTAGCACGACATGAGATTGTGGTTGAAGATTACGGTGGTGAGTATCAGTCGATTGCCGTGAGCGGAAAGACTGGGCAAGGCATGTCGGATCTCGAAGACGCCATCATTCTACTGGCCGATGTGAATGACTATCGGGCCGACATTGACGGTCCAGTCGAGGGCTCGGTCATTGAGAGTAAGGTGACCTCTGCAGGTCGAGTTGCCACAGTATTGGTCCGGCGAGGCACATTGAAACCGGGGCATTGCATCGTTGCAGGCACTACATGGGCACGGGTGCGGACTCTCAAGAATGATCTTGGAGGGTATCTCGAGGAAGCGGGGCCGGGCACACCGGTCCAAGTGGATGGCTGGCGAGGAGACGATCCTGACGCAGGTCTGGAAGTTCTGCAAGCAGAGACCGAGCAACAAGCCAAAGCAGTGGTTGAACTTCGTCAAGAAAAGGCCGAGACGATTCGGAAAATGGCAGAGGTTGCCTCGATCAACGCAAACCGCACGGAGGAAGCGGAAGCTCGTGCTCAAACGGTGGAATGGGAGCGCGAGCAAGGATACTTCGAACGACGGCCGCACCGGCGACCCAAGGACAATGAAGGGTGGGTTGCAAATGATGCCTCTGGGCCCAAGCGTGTACACTTCGTTGTCAAAGCCGATGTTGCTGGCAGCACGGAAGCGCTGGTAGCGGCAATCCGTGGAATTGGTAACCAAGAGGCAGTAGCAAATATCATCCACAGTGGCACAGGACAAGTCAGTGAGTCAGACATCAAATTGCTGGCAGCCACTGGGGAAGTGGGATACGCCATCTCTTTCAACCAACCAGTGGATAATTCGGCTCGCCGGCTCGCCGAAGCGGCTGGCCTTCAGATCCTTGAGCACAACATCATCTACAAGGTTACGGATGATGTCAAGGACAAGGTTGCGAACGAACTCCCTCCGCTAATAACACAAAAAGTGCTTGGGGAGGCCGAGATCGGCCAGATCTTCGAGGTTTCAGTGAAGCGCAAGACGAAGAAGATTGCGGGCTGCCGGATCAGTAACGGGATCATAACTCGGTCAGCAAAGGTTCGAGTCTCTCGGAACGGCGAAGTGGTGTTCAATGGTAAGTCTAAGAATTTCCTTGGTGGCAACTGTATACAGTGTGAGTTGAGGCTAACACGGCTCAGGCATGCTGGACTCTCTCAAAAACGTCAAGAAGGACGTGACAGAAATGCGCAAGGGCAGCGAATGCGGAATGGCATTCGAAAACTGGGACGCTTTCGAAGAAGGCGACCAGATCCAGTCCATCTCGGAGACCAGAGAGAAGCGGGTCTTGTACTAATTTAGACAGCGCATCTAACACAGTCAAGACGTGTCTAGAGCGTGTGGTCAGCATGGAGGGTGTTTTTGCCACGGGCCCGGCCAGAATTTCCGGGCGCGTACCGACGAAATGATATGAAACACGGAGGGAGGAGGATACGAAGTACGTATCGTGTACACATATAGAATCAGGGGGATGAAATAGAATGCAAGGCTGAGACTCAGCCTTGTGCAGATACAGTCTCTTTGCTGGTTGTTGGTGGCTGATGACTGCTTGTGAGTATTTGATTGGTCGATGGCATGGGCGCAGCAACCAAGAATCGTTGTCAGCCAATCATGTGGTGGTGGCCACCTACTCTTCAACACGTCTTCTTGGACGTCAATTACTCTTCTCACTTCCAACCATTGTCGCATCCACTTGAATTCTCTCACATTCTTGATCCTAATCTGATCACAATGTTTCAATGTTCTCGTTGCAAATGTCAAGGGAGCTAAACTGGGCTTGAATGAATCCAGCAGCCGCCCATGGCATTATACACACTCCAAGGAGCCATTAGATGCTCTTCGAAGGTAAAGTTCAAAAGGTGTCCCAACTTCGCTCCTCTTCGAAGAGCCTTCCTTAACCTTGTCTCTGTATCGGGACTCTCTCTTTATTCAATTTGAGTATTTCTTTTGTCAACTTTCCCGCATATCATTATAATATCACACGCCGGCGTGTGCAATCTGTTTCTGTCAAAGTTCTTTTTCTAACCATGCATCTTACTTCTTCCTCGATCACATTGCTTGTACTCTCAGCCTTGAGTTCGGCTGGTCCGATCCATAAGTACGACACACTCCAGCAGCTATCATTCCGGGCGACTGACATCTTTCACAGACATCCGAGCCAGGTCCGCCATGTATTTGAGCCACAGCGGCGCTGGGTCGCCGACGGGCTTGGATCGACATTGGATACACCGCATAAACGACGCGAACAGTCCACACGTACCTTATCAAGCATAGATCCCTTTGCGGTCCCGACAAGACAAGGAACGCAGGATGGCAAAGTTGGAGCTGTCGGGGTTGGCGGATCCAACACAAGTCTATTGAGCCTTCTGACGCAAAGCCTAACAACAACAACTGCCACTGCAGCAGCTGTCGCAGTTGCTGCCACCGATGAGTCGGCGCCAGCCACGGGCACCAACATTCAAGCCCCGCAAGACAGTGGGGAATCCACAACAACAGTACGAGTGCAGTCGACGATCTTCGAGACCGTCTTCGTTACGGCTGCCGAGTCACAGCCTTCCACAGCGGCTGCACCCGTGGCTCCAGTCCCCGCAACAGTAACGGTGGTACTTGTGACGACGGATGGGTCAACGAGCTTCATCACCCTCGATGGCACATCGATCCCACCAACTGCAAGTGATGTGGTTGCTGCTGCGGCCCAGACAAGCATTTCCGAAGACGAAGACAGCGCAGTTTCAAGCACCGTCACTGGATCTGCCCTGCCCAGTGAGACCTTGACAATCAGACCTGGACTGGGGTCGATACCGGCTTCTGAGGCACGACCAGTGACACTAAGTGCCGCTGCACCACCGCCACCACCACCAGATGCCGAGATTGCAACAGCATCTAGCCCACCAACCACTGCTGCACCTACGGTCACGGCGAGCAGCAGCTCCTCAGATGCGGATTCCCTGGCTGTAGTCCCCATCACGCAGGAACCAGTCCAGCAGACTCAAAATCAAAATGAGAGTCTATTTACTGTGACGGAAACGGTGACCACCACTGTGACGAGCAGTCCATAAACCCAATCGAGCCATAATGCCAAAGCAAGAGTCAAAGTACGTTATGTTGTATTGAAGCTGTAAATAATCATGAGTCTGTTTTGCGTACATAGTGGTATCATTAGCTAGATGATTTGAATTGTTCCAACATTTGAGATACGAAGATCTCTGTCGATCGTCTGCTGATGGCATGTGCTCCTTCAAGGAGAGACCTAGATAGGAAAGAGCGTACAATATGATTCTGTTCTCTGGGAAAGCCTTTTTGAGACTTTGGCAGCAAATAGAGGCGGTGGACATTTTTCGGCCCTCGACGGAGCGGACCATCGCGCCTTTACGTGGTATGGGTGATGCTTTATGCTTTCACTCTTATGTGTACTGTAATGATCCAAGATGACATATTCTGAGTCACCAGTCCTTCGCCTTTCAAGCCTAACCTGTTTTGAACCATCCCATTGCTCATGTTGGGCATCTAGTGCAGACACGGGCTCATGCAGGAAATGCTGACACCTCCAGATCCTCCATAGCCAGGCACGCCCGGCACGCGGGCGTTAAGCAAATCGGCGGGATTTTCGGCCTTGACCACTCCCGCTGGCCGTCCACGGTTTGATCTCGCCGGACTTGCACCACTGACTCCGTACGAGGTCTCCAGGCACCCAAGGACCCCAGGCTTAGCTGGTGCCTGCACATCGGGCTCCCTGGGCGGGCGAATCCAAGGCCCAGGCGCCTCGAGCCTCTCGGGTTTTATCGGCTATGGTTATGACCAGCATAGGTGCCACGGTGGCTAAGTCACTACCTACTCGTCTTTACCGTCCGCGCCCCTCAGAGCATCCCACTGCCATGACGTCGCACTTTCCCATTTCGTGCCTTCTCTGCACTTCACAATATCCCATCCAAGCCAGCGTGTTCCCTCGTCCACCAGCCACAAATGCAACCATAGTCACTTACTTTCCGCCATCATCAACTTGACTTTCCACCGGCTACATTTGAGAAGGCTTCGGATAGACAGATACAGGAGGATTACGATACACAACCACACTTTTCTTGCCCAAGACAATCACCGCTCGAACTCGACCCCCCCCGGCCTTTGTTTTCCCGCGAACCAATTCCCATCCTCCTCTCACCATGTCTACTGCGCTCGTCGATGCTGATGACGATATCCTCGACCCCACTCTTCAGAACCTGATCGACCAGAAAACCCTGAGATGGATCTTTGTCGGGGGCAAGGGTGGGGTTGGCAAGACCACCACCTCCTGCTCCCTAGCGATTCAAATGGCAAAAGCAAGGAAGTCGGTTCTCCTGATCTCAACCGACCCGGCACACAATTTGAGCGACGCTTTTAGTCAGAAATTTGGCAAGGATGCCCGTCTGGTCGAGGGCTTTACCAATTTGAGCGCCATGGAGATCGACCCCAATGGCAGCATCAATGATTTGATCAGTGGAGGCGGCGACGATGCCCAAGATGCCATGGCAGGCCTTGGAGGCATGGGCAACATGATGCAGGATCTCGCCTTTAGTGTATGTCTCTTCCCCATTAGGTCAAGGTGTTCTCTTGTCATTTGCTGACCCTACGGCGTTTAGATCCCTGGTGTTGATGAGGCCATGTCGTTCGCCGAAGTGCTCAAACAGGTCAAAAGTCTCTCCTACGAAGTCATCATCTTTGACACCGCCCCGACTGGCCATACCCTTCGCTTCCTCCAATTCCCCACCGTCCTGGAAAAGGCTCTGGCCAAAATCTCCCAACTGTCCGCCCAGTTTGGTCCCATGCTGCAATCCGTCATTGGTGCCCGCGGTGGACTTCCAGGTGGTGCCAATCTCGACGAGCTGACACAGAAACTGGAAGCTCTCAGAGAAACCATCGCCGAAGTCAATGGCCAGTTTAAAAACCCCGACATGACCACCTTTGTCTGCGTTTGCATCGCCGAATTCTTGTCCCTTTACGAAACCGAGCGAATGATTCAAGAGTTGGCCAGCTATAATATCGACACCCACTGCATCGTCGTCAATCAGCTCCTGTTTCCTGAAAAGTCCAACGATTGTAAGCAATGTAATGCCAGAAGGAAGATGCAGAAAAAGTACCTCGACCAGATCGAAGAACTCTACGACGAGTTCAATGTGGTCAAGATGCCCCTGTTGACTGACGAAGTTCGCGGTGTGGAGAGTCTGAAAAGGTGAGTCGAGAGTCAACCCTGGTTCAGTCTTGACCTAAGCAATTTGCTAATCTGTACCAAAGCTTCTCAGAGATGCTTATTCATCCATATCATCCACCCTCCTCCTAACGCAGATGTACCTCGTATAAAGCCCCATTCGTCCTTCCGACAAACGGCCCTGGCATTCTGACGCCGCTAGTAAACTGACCTCACGCTCGTGTTGATAGACCCCGCGTCTCTGTTACAATTGGCCTTCACTGCCCGTAGACGATGACTGATAGGGCCCTTACCACGACAGTTTTAGTGACCACAGTGATGAACTCGGAATGGCGAATTTTCATCAGGCCCTTTTGTGCCGCAAGCCTCTCGCTAACGGCTGCAACTCACATTCCCCTGATGCTTTTCCGCTGGATATGCACTCATAAAGTTCAGTGCTCTCAAATCATGAATCTTGGTGCCCATCAGTCCTCCGATCAGGTTCAAACTCATCCAATCTTATCGCCCAACGTATGCCGGTACAAGCCTGGGATAGCCGCCCAACCAGCAATTTTGGTCGGAACCGGTCAAACGCGCATTAAACTTATTTGGTGTCTCTTAACCAGCGCGCCCGGGAATGGCAAGCTCAAGCCGTGGACGTTTGCTAGACAATACGCATATGCTTGGATGCTCCATGGTCTGGGCATTGCTTGTCCGTGCCGAGAAAGTCAACGCCTCCTCGGGTATCTACATTGTGAATCCGATTCCCATCGTGGTATATACACTAAAACTTTGGGACATCAACTGGGCGTTTTTGCTTTGCCCACATTGGGTTATCCCAAATACCCTTGACCAAAGTCCCTCGTTAGCTTTACACTCTGCGTGTACGACACTGGTTTCAAACCCCAACAATACAGCCCCGACTCACACCTCAGGACTTGTGCCCTTCAGTCTATTATTCGTCGTACCACATAATATGCAAGTCGGTCTGCACAAGCCTCGGGGTGACCTCCGGCATGTCCACACCCATAAGATCAACGGTGTTGCGCGGTATTTGCCACACAGCCTTGCCCATCAGATGTACACACTGCTTCGCCAGCATGATGCGCGCCGAGGCCTGCTCTCACCAGTCACGAGCTTGCGTTCTTTACATTGCTCGTTTCTCTATGCTCAATCGGCCTGGGCTTTCTCTCCGCTACCCGGTTGGACTGGTACATAATATGTTTGGGCAATCCGCGTCGAGTGGAAATAGACACTAAACAAGGCCGAGGCCATCCCCTAGAACATTGGCCATCAACCCCAGTGTCTTTTTCCTGCTTGGGACATAAGTGAGATCCTGAGTCCAGCATAACATAATCTACAACGACTTTCATTTATGGAAGATTGCTTTCAGAGCAGAAGGATACCTACCCTAATGGCTGATCAGGACCCCGACTCTAGCCAACTGCCATCCCCAACCCGACCTCCTGCAGCATCTGGTCCATTTCTTTTCGTCAACAAGAATGCATCCAATCTCAGAACCCGTAAGAGGGAAGAGGTCTTTGCCGTCAGGAGTCATGCCATGCAGATTGCCCGAAGAACGAAAAAGCAGGCAACTGCTGCATCGAGTGAGTCGGCCAGTGCCAATCAAACCGAAAGTCCTTCCAGGAGTGGTGCTACTTCATCTGGCGAGCTTCCACAACACAATGGTGATGCCGGTGACAAGATTGAGGATCACGGTCCAGCCAAGCACTCCTTTGCATCTCCTTTAAGACTTCAGTCACCCACTAGGAGAAAACGAGTCGTGGAGAGTCCTCGTCTGCAGTCATCTGCGGCACTCCGTTCCAAGACCTCCAGCCCATCGTCTTTCACAGCTGCACATCCCAGGCCAACAGGATCTGCTGTGACGACGTCGGATCTCCGTCTTCCCTCTGACTATGTTGCGTTTCTGACCCAATACGTTCAAAGCACAGATCCTCATAGCCCAATTGGACATGGGAGTTCCGACCCCTTTGCAGCCGCAGCCTTGCCGATATCCAGCTTCTTCAATTCGCTGATCAAATTATGGCGCCTGGGGTTCATGTCCAATTTCTGGCCTGCTTCCATCTACCTTGATCCAACACATCCCATCTCTCGTTTGATGGACGACTGGTTACATGAGGCCGTCATATGCAATGAGGCCATGCTCCATGGGTTGTTTGCAGGAGCCTTGAGTTTCGTGACCAACTATTCTCCTCCATCGGCGGCAACACCGGTCCTCTTCGCTAAAGGGGTTCATCATCATGGGAAATGTTTGGAAGCCACTCGCGCCAGGTTGGCTTCACCCGACATCGCTGAAGAAGAGGCTTTGAACATGATGCACCAATCTGCAACTTACAGCTTTCACTGCGGCGATGTCGAAGCCAGCGACGTCCATCGAACCGCCAGCATTCGAATTTTGGAAAACATCGAGAACGGGCTTGAAAAGGTGCACATGCTACTCAAATTGTTTCTGATTATATGTGACATCCTCATGGCCAGCCATTTGCCCAGAAGACCTTCGATAGAGTTGAATAGATGGGCACCTCGATCTTGGCATGAGGAGGAAGATCTGCGAGAGATGACCGACATTTTCGCGTTCGATCCATCGCCATACATGAGCAGCGACCGACAAGTCTTGGGGATTTCAGGAGCGCCATGGAATCCTGCAGGTGGACAGATTCCATTGCAACTTCTCTCTCTGCTTACTCTACATCGTGAAGCCCTGTACGCCAATCGCCTTGCTATGAGCTTATCCAACGATAGCACAGAGAGCATGCGTGCTAATACAATCTTCGAATGGCTGGCTTTACGCCAATACGCGTTGGTCGGACTCGATGTGGAAATGTACATGGACATGATTGAAACAGAATCTCACATGCCAGCCGATTTCGATTCCCGACTCTCATGGCAACCGAGATTACAACAGGTTCTCAACAGTTGCCTTCTTCTTGCGGCCAGCTACACGTTTCAATTCATCATGCGCACTAGCAGGGCCAATTGTTGTGTAGGATATATACCCATCCATCACTTACAGGACAGGCTTACAATGTTGATGGGCTTGATGAGCGACGCACGCCGCATGGGACTTGGTTCAGGACCATCTTCTCTCGTCCGGTCTGATACTCTGTTGTTCCTGTTGTTGCCGGGCGCGGTCATAGAGGAGAGTGGCAACGTCAGGCGAAATTGGAACGTCGCTGCAGCTGCAGCGAGCATGCACCAAGGCGGCACATCACTCAGTGGGCTTCCTTCCCCTTCAGATCCGGATCAAAGCCTGTTGCATACCAAGTGGTTCAGTGTCCACTTTTCAATGGTGTGCCACAAACTTGAAATCAGCAACTGGCAGCAAGCCAAGGTAATATTGGAGAGATACATCTACGACGATGCTATTTTGGACTGGCTAGTCATGAGACTCGTCTCCAACGCTGGGACCTTGTTGACGACATTAGGGTTCAGCTCACCAGACACGTCGGAAGTGACAGGCAGACGAGAAAGTGAAGGTGGTCCTCCGAGCCATGTCATGCTTTCCAGACATGGATCATTCGGTGCAGGCGAACCGGGAATTGCTCCAGAGCGAGGGACAACGTCTTCTTCTATGGGTTTAGCGAGACCATTGTCACCACAACAGGTCGTACCCATTCATTCTCCACTGCAATCAACGGCGGTCGCAGGATCTCGAGCATCGAGTATAAGTACACCCTATTATCTGGGTCATATGAATGTGCGAGAGCTTGCCAAGTCGGCGGAGCACGACTCATACTTTGCGCTGGGCGGTGGGTGGGAAAGTATGGATCCAGACGTGGCTAATAATTCTTTGGATTAAACAAGGGTGGGAGGCAAGATACGGCATGGGTTGAGAGATGACCTTGTGAGGTATAGATCTTCGGCCAAGTCTGTATCTCAACTCTGATCGATAATTGGGAGATACAACAACTCAGCATGTCTATTGCGTCTGGTTTCCACGTGTGGGAGGTCAAGGTTGGGGTTGTCATGAGGGAGAACAAGACTGGGTTAGGTGAGCTGGATGAGCTGGATGGTTTTGCACGGTACACACCGTGGTCTCTAGGTATAGCGCAGTGGCATATACGATTGGTACGAACAGAAGCCTGTCTTTCGGGCCATGGATACAGTACCAATCTCTGATATCTGGATCATATCAAACGCTATGAATATATAGGACATCCAAAATGAGGAAGCCTTGCATGTTTTCTATTCCAGTAGCACACCGACACTTACCTAACATCCATGGAATACTATTATGTACATGTGATCAACACTGCTCCAAGTGACTGAACGTTGGGGGATCTCTTCTCCGTAGCGTGTATGCGTGTGCTGTAGTGTGATGCATCGAAAAGACCGAGTCCAAGCGAGGATTTTGTTCCCGCTAAGGACTAACTCTCCCCCCTCCTCCCACCTCCACCATTTAAAGACTCCGTAGATACGAGGACATACATATGTGCTTACTCATAACGGTAGTCTCTAATGTTTTATACCGTGCATATCGGATCTGCAACTACGGTATAGTAGGGTCTTGGTACACTCGATTGGCTTTTCCACTGCCACTAGGAATTACTTATACCGTGATGTGGACTTGGTGAACACCGTCCGTCCGTCCGTCCGTGCAGTGTATCATCGGGTTTGTAAGGTACATACTTCAACATCCTTCCTCCTCCCTTCCAGGGCTAAGATAAATCAAATGATCAGGCCAAAGTCGCCTATCAGTCTTGGAATTTTGGTGTGAATCTGTGGACTTGCTAGGAGAAAAGAGAAAAAGTCATCTTGCCGATGGCAATTGTCTTTGGGTCTTTGTTATCAGGGCGGCGCCGGCCGAACCGTGGGCTACTCGCATCGAGATTTTCCAGGCCTTGGTTCTGGATTGATTGATTCGTACCCCGTTGTCTCACAATCATTGGTATCCATGGACCAGACACGTAGACACCTAGATGCCTAGGCATGTCGTATCGAAAGGCACGTGGCCGAGGGACACCTCAGTACCCAATGTCCGATATGCCCCATTGAAGCGGGTACAGCGGGGCAGCGATTAGTGCCAAGTTGGCCTAGAAGACTCCAGATTCAAGATGGCAAAATGCAAGTTGCAAGCAGCAAGAAACAGGAACCACACACTACCACAACCAGGAAAAATCAGAAACCACGAATCTCAACTCAAACGTCGATTCTTGAATCTTGGTATTCCAAGCTGATGAAATTCCCAACCCGATCCATAGAGACATGATTAAGTTTGAGGTTTTGACAAGTTAAGTTCTTAAGTTCTAAGTTCCAAGTACTCCTTGATTTTTCTGGGCATGGCTGGACCTTCTATTCGTCCTAAATCGGAGCAAGTAATAATTCTCCTAGGTTCTCCTCCATACAAAAGAACCTTTTTTTCTTCTCATTGCCGTGTGATGTGACAGGTAACGTCATCGAAATTGGCCGATTGACGTTTCCGATGCACGCACACACGTACGCTCACACACACACACACACAAAGACTGTGACAATGACATGCCGTTCGTTCCGTATGTATCTACGTGGCATAACCGTGGCGGGAAATTGACAGAGAGGACAAAGAGATATATTGCTTCAGACTTCCTCAGTTGGAGCTTGGTCCTAGGCAGACTGCAAGGCTCAAACGAGGGAAAGGGAAAGTCGTTGTAGCTGATCTCTGTGGCTCTCTGTATCTCTGCACCGTACTGACACTGGCGGTCGCCATGTCCATGGGCCACGGGCCCACAGACAGGTCTATTGTATGTGCATCGGTATTTACAACACGGGACAAGTACTGGTCATCATTGAACAAAAGATGGTGGTTGGCTACCCTCGATAATAGATACCACAAGGACATACGTCCCCAGGAACCTAGGAACAGTACGTCCAAGTCCATGTCCATGTCATCAATGTCTATGCGTAGCGCATTGCGTGCATGTACTTCTTTTTTAGCTCCATCACTGGTCTCGCATGGCAGATGCGCCTCGCATCGAATCCCATCTTGATCAAAGCGCTGGGCCGCATGGTGATGGGTTATGGCCCCTCCCCAGCGGGCGCCCCGAGATGGCTCCCTCGACCGCCTGTTGTCTTTGAGAGGCCCCGGGCTTAACACCGCTTCAAAACCCACCAGTCACACGTCAGCAGGTCCGGACAATAAAGGCACAACTACTCTCTAAGAGGCTAGTTGGTCCCGAGGCGAAAGAAGTGTCCACTGGTGCTAAGCCCGCTTGAAGGCCGCTTGCTTCAACAAACTAGGCTAGGCTTCAGCCTTCCAGCTCCCCATAAGGGAGGTATAGCCCCGAGGTGGCCCTAACGTGGCCCCCCCCCCAACTCGGTTCAATTCGATTCGATTCAGCGCTCTGACCCCACCTGATTTAGAGCGTTCAGGCCTCGTGCAATTTTGGTGAACTTTCATCAAACATCACTACCTCCGTACCAACTATCACTGGTGGGCCCGACCCGTTGCTCCTCCATCGTCGCGTCTGAAATCTGCTCTCCCTTACCACTACACACAAAGGAGTCCTAGTCTTGGTCTCTTCCAAAACTTTGCCCCTCCAAGAAAGACAAAATTACCAAGGAGCGACCCCGCGTGGCCTTGCCTCGATTCGAGCCATTGGTTTCCATCGTAGTCTAGCTAGGTAGGTATCTAGGCACCTTGCCATTCTATCCACCTCCCATCCAAACATATCTCAAGGTCCGCCTGTCGCTTTACGCCCTTTGAGCAACAACTTCCATGAGCACCAAAACACCAAACTATGCTTCGCTTTGCCTTTCCCGAAATACAAATGATCCCTTCTTTTCAGATTGTCGTTGCCAACACGTTCCTGCCAGCAGGAAAACAGTTGCCAAGACCAATCAACATCGTCATGATGACATCCAATCCCCTCCTTCCCGCAGTTACACTCATGATTGATGCGCATCGCCTTGACTTGCAACGGTCACCCAAGTGCCAGCTGGAGCGTGAGCTCGTTCGCAAAGCCAGCCCCCCAGTACTCTGCATACTGCCCCCGCTCCCATCATCTCTGCATTCTGATCCACGACAGCATTCTCTCCAAAGTCGGGTCCTCGTCGATCCAGTACCCCTTTCGTCGGTCCGCATTGCGCAGATCATTGACGACGTGGTCATCTGTGATCTGATTTAGTTCCTAAAAGTATAACATGGTCAGCACTGGTGTGACCTTCTCCGCAATTATATTGCCGATCATTTCCAAGGTTGGTTGGCATGCCACATGGCAATTTTCCCAAAGCTGGGAAAGTGTCGATCACGATCGACACTGTCACAACTCACCTCACGAAGGCGTAAATCAGCGGTACGCAATGCGTTGGCATGTTTTTGACTCGGTTGTTCTCCTCTCAAGATACGAGCCCGCATTTGAACCCATCTCATCCCACTTGATGCCCGGAGGTAGATTTTGTGAGCCTGAAACCGTCGCGTCGAGGAATCCAATATAATTCTACACCATGTTAATTGAGGACATCACTTCGTTGGGTTATGCTTGTTCTTCTGCGTACCTCTGTAGCGTCGCCTTTTGGACCTCAGTCTCCGGAACGTTGCCAGCTTGTAGTCCCAAATTCCCCGGATTGTAATGAGTGGCGAGGATCGCCTGTGACTCTGCCGCACTTTGTCGAAGGACCACGTACCCGTCCAAGTAGTAGGATTGCTGGTCTGGAGGGTTGGCCTCACTCCGGCTGACGAGTGAGGATATGTGCATCTGCAGTGTCCGGAAGTCGTTCATGATCTCTAGAACCCGCATCGCACGAGCTTCGTTCTCTGAACCATCGTGTTAGCGTCGCTGGCTTCGGATGGGTGGTGAGATGGGTGTGCCACTTACTTCCATCTGCCATGGCGGAAAGACTAAGGATCTCAGAGTAGCGCACCAAAGAGTCAAAGACCGGCGTGAGGCACTAGACCTGGTGACAGTTGCGAGGGTCTTGGGGATGTTGACAGAGGTTCCTCGACCGGTGTGAGGATATGCAAAACGAGCGACTTGTGCACGTGGTGCGTCTTTGGTGGAGTAGTCGGCGAGGAAGGACTGTCTCTTGGTGATAGTGAGAGCATTCTCAACGGCCGCAAGTGTTGTTTTGTATTCCAAGCCCCCCAGCTAAACGTTGAAAGTATCCTGAAGTTGATGACGGTGAGCGATATCACTCTGAAAGCCTCAATATCGTGGCTTTCCCGCCCTTCAACCAGTCATGAGGCTAGAAGTCGGTTCAACAGGTTGGGACGGGCCGGAGCGAATGCAGAAAAGAAGCAGGCTGTCCAGCTGTGAAAGAAAGGGGAGACAACGATCAAGCAGCGACAGCAAAGCTGGAGGCAACTTTGAAGACTAACAAGGCCAGGTTCGACGGAGGTTCGAAGAGGGTAGGGACGGCTTGGAGTCATATTGAACCGCCATTGGCTCGTGTCAGGATAGAAAAAGTACGTCGGGATGCAGCAGGTTTGCATCAGTGGCAGCGGAGCCGTCGAGGCTCTGTTGTAGCGCATCAATTGCTTCGGGGAGATCAGCACGCGGGAGGCAAGCCACCAACTCGCAACAAAAACTTAGCGACAGCCAGAGGATGGGAAACCGTAGACGAGGTATCGGAGACAGACAAGGGCAAGGGCGTCATGACCATACACGGCCCAGAATGGGGCACAACGACATCAGGGTCTGACCCAAGGAATTCCTGCCTTTCCTCACTCACGGACTCACTGGCTCCATCTTTCCATATCGTTCAACCGTCAAAGATGCCGAAAGTCATGGGACAAGGATCCCAAAAGGGCTGGCCAGCGAAGTCCTAGCGGAGGCAAACAGCAAACACAAACACGAGGACCGCTGACCAAGTTTGGTTTGGCTCCTTCCAAAGATAAGGAAGGATGTCTGTACCTGAGGCAGGTACGGTGCACGCCTACCTCCCTACCTCACTCCCTAAGGCAGGTACGCAGTACTCAGTACTCGTGATACTAAGTAGTAGTAGTGCGTTCTAGCCCACAACCTTTCCATGCGAGCTTTGTTTCGGTCTGACGGTAGTTTTGTCCTCTCAGTCCTGTGAGATCTGGCAGATGAGTGGCTAGCTCGCTTCCGCCCAGCCCCAACAGATCGCACTTTCTTGATGCCAGCATTGTCAGGCTCTGGGCCTTTGCACATGGCACTGTTCCTGAATGGGATCTTTGAGTTCTCGGTAAAGTGGCCCACGAGTATAAGCTTTGACCTTTCACAGGTATGCCAACCGTATCTGGCCAGCTGAGGACATATTCGTCGATGAGAGAACCAGTCTCCTGCCCACCAGACGCCTAGGCCCCCACCAAGTTACTTCCTCGACAGTCGACATCCTCGTCTGGCGGTCACAGACTTGCAAAACCCTCTCCAGACGCTGCCACTTTTACGGCAGGAACACGCGCCCTGGCTGGCAACGGCGCCGTTGGAATCTTCGTCCAGTCAACCGTCTGTCACAGCTGAGCCTTCGTGCTTGAATCTTATTCGCTCCCATCCCTCTACCTTGTCTCTTCGCTACCATTCGAGACGTGCACTACACAGACGGTCTACAGGGATGTGGATACTAGGCCTATGACTTCCGTTATCGCCATTGTGAAGCCCATTCTAACCTAGCAGAAAATGGAGACAGGCACGTGCGAGATGGTATATGCTCACATTACAATTCCAAGTCTCCAAGTCACAGCTTCCCAAGTATTTCCGTCTTGTTTGCCCTTTGATTCGTCCACCAGCCTCATCTCATCAGCCCCATCCCAGCCGCGACTCCTTCCTCTCTTTCTTCTCTGTTCCCTCACAATGAATTGTTTGGTCCTACCGCCTAATGCTGTTATGCCAGGCTACGGACTCCACTTCTCCTTCGCACCCAATCCTTTGTTTTTCAATCTACACAGCTGCAGGTTCATAAATCGGGCCCAAGGGACTTCAAAAGCCATGGCTGACTGCAATTGACTTGGCTCCCTCAAACTAGAGGAATACGCCATATGTCTTGTTCCACATCATGCAGAAAATGGCCCCCAATGTTCTCACGCTAGTTCTCCATAAACTTAAGCTGAACCCGTGAAAGAACCCCTGTCCAGCGCGGTGCTCCAGCATATCCACACCTCGCCATATGATGATACACGTTGATTTTTGGCTGGAATCGCTCCTTACACCACTCCAGATTTAGTCACGCTCCGCAATGGCCTGTAGCCGATCCTCTATTTCATCTTCCGTCAACGTTCGGAATTCGTGCTCGGTTCCTTCACTGCCGTCGGCTTTTGGTCCACCAACGATTCCAATCTCCAATTCGCCCTTCTTGAAGTCGACGCTAAGCACCGTGCTGAGCGTGGTGATACCCAACTCCACCACCTCTTCCCAGCTGCCGGGAGCGGCCTCTTTGTTCTTCAGCTTCTTTTCAAGGTGATTGAGGGCTTCTTGTTGCTTGGGTCCCGACGCCGTCGCCTTGTAGCCCACGTAGTATCCTGCCGGATCGCACTTATACAGCTGTGGGCCAAATTCGTCGTCCAATGATATCAGAGTCGTGGCAACCCCTAGAGGTCTCATGTATGCCTAAGGTTCCATCAGTCATGTTGCAGGGCTTATGGTCAAGCCAACCGTTGCAACTTACTCGTTGTGTATACACTTGATTGATGTTCGCAAGTCTCTTGGCCAGGACATCGCACGGCATCTCGTACCCATTCTTGTATCGAAACTCCGCCGCTTCGCCACGGGCTCGGTCTATTGAAGCTCTTGCATCGGCTATGGAACCGGTCATAACGGCCCCAACTGAAGGTGATATCTTGAACACATGGGAGACAGACGAAGGATCAATCAATTTGTCCTGGGAGGGGAGACGTCAGTTGTCAAAGCCTTCGATGACCCATTGGATAGAAGCATCGTCTTACCGGAACCTTTTTCTGTGACAAGACGACTGCGCAAGACTTTCCTCTCACTCCCACCGAGGTGATGTTGGCGGCAGTAATCGCTTTGAAGGCATATTCTAATTGTGTTCATATCGTAAGAATCATTCTTTTGAGTTGGGCAAGAGACGCCTTCCGGTGGACGGTGCGGCCATCATGTAGGAGGGAATGGCAAGAGCGGCGAGAACATACCGACTTGATATAGACGGCCTTGGTCTGAGAAGATGGTAATGTGCCGATCGTACCCAGCGCTGCCTAGTGTGTGAAAGTGGTCAGCTCGGTGATTCCGAAACTCATCGCTGGCAAGGCCAACCTACCAGACATCTTGGGACGCTTTCAACCGAGGTATATCGGGCCAATCAAACGGAGAAAAGAGAGAAGATGAGATGTTCCAAGGACTATAGCTTGATAAGAAGGGGCTTTTGTTGACAAAGGGCTCGTTGCAATGGTAGGGGCAGGATGAAGTTGGTCCTTTTGTAATTATCTGGACGTCTACAGTAGATGGCTGAGGAAACGCGCAACTCGCGATGCCTGCGAATGTCATTGGTGGTCTCCCTGCTTGACCGCATCAATCAGCCACACGCTAGCGCCACACCCCCCTTGTGGCACAGGAAAAGTTTCCTACGCTAGAAATTTACCTCCGAAGAATAAGTGATACCCATGCCAACTCATGTTGGTCCTGGGACGGTCTCACAGCTGTTGAGCTCGACTGTTTCCGCTAAACGGGCTCACTTCAACTTTGTTCAATTCGACTCAGCCCACCGCCGCATCTGCAAAATGGCACAACAGATTGTTCCGGCTTGGAAGCGAATGGGTCTCAAACTAAAAAATGCCAATGAGAAACCTCTCACGAATGGCCACTTGAAGGAAGCTGAAAGCAATGGGACTGACAAGAGTCTACACGACTCAGCACACAATTCAGAGCCACCCAAAAAACGACTGAAAACGGAGCAAACGTCAAACCAGAATTCCCAGCCCACCAAGATCACACGCAGCGACTCTACAGAAATTTCAGCTCGCTCTGAAGACGTCGGCTCGATTAAGAGGAAAGTCCCGAAGAAGAAAGTCTCCTTTTCTCATGACACCAAGCCGGTGGACGAAGTGGCTTCGATATCAGACCCCAAGCCGGGCTCACTCGATGATTCGAAAGACGCCGTATCACGCCTACAGTCTCAGTCCAAAGGTCCACAACGTCAAAACAACAGTAAACCTGACACAGCTCTACAATATCTCACACAGTACCACCAAGATCGATCATCATGGAAATTCAACAAGAATCGAGAGATATGGCTACTCAAACATGCCTTTTCAGAGACCGACATCCCTCGAGACTACGACCTAGCGCTGAGCCGATATCTCCATGGTCTACAGGGTGCAGGGGCACGCGAAAGACTTGGAAAGGAGTGTTTGGAGAAAGTGAGAGACGACGAAGCAAACTCTGGCAAAGAAACCAACGGAACCGACAAAGACTTGAGGCATCAATTTTGGGCATGTTTGCAAAAGACAGTCCGCGGCGGCGGCACCGACACCTCCATCGGGGACCAGGAATTCCAAGTGGACGAAGAAGAGTTGAAAGCATGGCTGCGCCATCAATCCCGCCCACAGATCTTGAGCTGGAGTCTTGACGGGCCAGAGTCAACCACCAAGAAACCTCTTCAGAAGAAGAAAAAGAACAGAACTGCGGTGGTTGAATACGAGAGTTCCAGTTCGAGTGGCAGCGATGACGAAAGCGACAGTGAAAGTGATTCTGACTCCACTTCCAGCGATGGTAGCAGTGGTAAAACAGAGGAAGAAACCAGCAGCAGCGGTGAATCGGAAGAGGCAACGAGCAGCAGTGGTTCTTCATCTAGCGATAGCGATGATAGCGACTAAACCTTTATTGTTCCCCAGACACATTCTTCAGACAAACCCTACCCCTAGAGTTTCATGCTCCAATCTCTTTTCAAAGATTGTAATGTCTCTCGTTGCGCGACCAATGTAGGTGCGAAATTCCAGACCATTTTCAATTGCATGACAAAAGGAAGTTGCAGGGAAACTTGCTGCCGAATGTTGCGGTAGGAGCCACCCACTTTTGGAGGTTCTCTTCCCCACCTTTTTGTAAACACACACCGCCGCGCCGCGTCTTCCCATCACCAGCCCATCACCATCATGGCTGAAGAAAATCGCTCCGCTCCACAGGCGGATTTCGATATGCTCAGTCACGCGTTTCGTATTGCAGCCGATGAAATTCAGAAACTACCAAATCTTCCTTCGATTGCCGGTGGTGAGAGACTTCTTGTCGAGATTCAGCAAATGAGGAACGAATCCAGAGAACAATTTGCCCGCCTTGAAGAAAGAAATAGAGAACGATTCGCCCGCCTTGAAGAAAGAAATAGAGAACGATTCGCCCACCTTGAAGAAAGAATTACAACTTCTCATCAGAGCCTTCTTACCGTACTAAGCACAAGGTATATTTTGCCCTTCAATTCAGCAGCGCTATACTAATTTGGAAAGCGAGATCAACAGTGCCGCCCGGGTCCAGAATACCCATCTTTCGGGCCCATCTGATCGGCTTTCGCCATTCCTTAACCCATTGACCGGCGCTGCCATTCCTACCTTTCCTACGACACCTGCAGATATTGAGCGGATGGCCGAGCACGATGTGGATGGTATCTTACTACAGCTGGGACTACAAGCTGCTCCAGCTGGTACAATCCTACCAATGAAGAAGAGACGACTGAGAACGCACATTGGCTTGAGATCGCAAGTTGAGAGGAGTGCATAAAGCCCAAATTGTATCAACAGATTATGATTCCCATGTATGATAGGAGGTAGCCGGTAAAATGCATGCGCAGCAGCGTCTGAATCAGAGGCTGATTTCCCAGCAACAACTTTACAAAATGAAAGGCGTGACGGTCACACGGGCCGCGGCATTAGCTCTAAGTAAAGATCGGGGTTATGGGGAAATTCTCCACGCTGTGACAGGCGGGCGAGTGACGAGTGACGTGTGAAGGGTCCCTGAGTGTAGGCATGAGAGGTACCTAATAATGCAGGAACACTACCGCCATCATGCAAAGCCATCGCGCCAACATGTACCTATACCGGAAGTGTGCGTTTCAATGCAATCAAAATCCCATCGTCCGAGAATATGGCCGACTTTGCCACGTACGCCACGTTGCTAAGAATATCGGGAAATGGTCGAAGTCCACGATAGTAGATGGGTACTCGTATGTGCTTGGTCCAACGTAGGCCTGGAGCTTGGGATGTCATCCTGTCTGGGTCTCGGCCGCTGGGGGGCAAATAGCTGTTTAAGGTGGGCACCGTGGGCTGTAGGTCAGACGGGTACCTTCGATGACCTCATTATTGATTGCTTCCAGCCCACTAGGCAACCCACCGCCAGAAGCTCTACCATCTTTGACGTTCGGCCAATAATCATATGCATCCTCTCACACTCTCGGAGAGAAAGAATTGTACTTCTGAGCACTCTATGTATGGTGATTGATACCAAATGGCTATGGCCAGGGATTCTCTCTGTTTCTGTGTTCCAGGTTCTCCCCCAACTCAGTTACGCAGCAACCAGGTGGGGGTCAGATAAGGCCGAGAGTCAGGCTTGGCAGGCAGTTCGATAGTTTCGCTGGTGCCTGTCTAGGGCCAGTAGAGGAGAAAGTAGAGGGGCTGGTTGCGCACTTCGTCCCTGGGCCCAGAGTCGACGCAATAGGTTGTTTACTGCCGGCTAGTTGTAGCCCCGGGCCAACGTAATAATGGGCATAAGCGGTAGGAGTGGATGGTAGTGTGGGCACCCGTGACACCTGTTTGAGACCTGTTACTGGCACCATTCCGCCGTCATGCAAACGGTCTGCCTGCACCCCAATCCTCCGACTCTCCTAAGCCACTCTTCTTGTCTGGCTAGGACTCGTCATTTCCTCCGTTGTCTTCATCAACATCCTCCCATCCCTCCTTCATCTCTTATCATCCCATCAGCAATCACAATCCCGTATTGTACTTCCGCAGTGGTCTATCCTTGAGTTCTTTTGGCGATAGCATCCACTCGTCTTGAAGATGAGAAGTGACTTCATCGTCGCAGCAGCAGCGCTGCTTGGAGCCGCCGATGCCGGAATTCATCGTATGAAGCTCCAAAAGGTGCCTTTGGAAGACCAGCTTGTCAGTCAATCCACTATTATGGCCTTCTCTGAACCCTACGCTAACCAAATGACAGAGTGCTGCCAACATTGGCGATCATCTCAACGCCCTTCGCCACAAATACAGTCAGAAGGTGATCGGAGGTCCAGCTGAGGACATCTTCAGGCATACCTCGATTGATCTGGAGAAAGGACCTCATAATGTTCCAGTCGAGAACTTTTTGAATGCGCAGTGTAAGCTTCAAGACACCCACGAGGTTGTTTTGCAGGCGGACTAATGATGGACAGACTTTAGTACCATCGCCCTTGGCACCCCTCCCCAGGAGTTCAAGGTGGTTCTTGACACTGGCAGCTCCAACCTTTGGGTCCCTAGCACCGAGTGCGGATCGATCGCCTGCTACCTCCACCAGAAGTACGATTCCTCTGCATCGTCAACTTTCAAAAAGAATGGATCAGAATTTGGCATTCGGTATGGCTCTGGCGAGGTCGCAGGCTTCATCTCCCAAGATGTCCTGCGGATCGGCGACTTGACCATCAAAGATCAACTCTTTGGAGAAACCACCAGCGAGCCTGGCCTTGCCTTTGCCTTTGGCCGATTTGATGGAATTCTGGGATTGGGTTACGATTCTATTGCCGTCAATCACATTCCTCCTCCATTCTACAATATGGTTGATCAGAAGCTGATTGATGAGCCCGTCTTCGCTTTCTACCTTGGAAACACCGATGATGGAACCGAGTCGGAAGCCACATTTGGAGGCGTTGATGAGAGCCACTACACAGGAAAGCTCATCAAGATTCCATTGCGACGAAAGGCGTACTGGGAAGTCAACCTTGACTCCATCACCTTTGGAAAGGAGACCGCAGATCTCGACAACACCGGCGTGATTCTTGACACCGGTACTTCCCTCATCGCTCTCCCTTCTACCTTGGCAGAACTGCTCAACCAGGAGATTGGTGCAAAGAAGGGCTTCAACGGACAATACACAGTGGAATGTGACAAGCGTGACTCTCTACCAGATGTCAGCTTTGAGCTCAGCGGATACAAGTTCGACATCACCGCCTACGACTACATCTTGGAGGTCCAGGGCTCCTGCATTTCAAGCTTTATGGGCATGGATTTCCCAGCCCCCACTGGACCCTTGGCCATTCTCGGTGACAGGTGAGCGATGTGCCTTCCTTTTTTTATTGTGTTTCCAATACTGACATGATTCAGCTTCCTCCGAAAATGGTACAGTGTATATGATCTTGGTACCGACTCGGTCGCTTTGGCAAAGGCCAAATAAGCTTGACCTATGTCTGGTATCCCAGAGAGCAGAGCGCAATAACCTGCAGGTGAAAAGGACAAGTAAAGGGACTGTGCACCTTATGTGTGCGAGTTATAACCACGACCATGAATACGTGGACGAACTTTGAAGTCAAGTGGGTTTCTGATACATGATTGTTGAATTATTTGCCTGAAAGCACAGGAGGTTTACTATATAAGAATGAAGAGCACCAATCATCCTCCATATTTGACCGGCTCCAGACTCACACAAATGCTGCCCTGTGGTACGCTGAGTGATCATCCTTTCATTAAAACCTGTAGTGGTGTGGTGTGGTGTGGTGTGATATTGTTCATCCCTCAATCGCTTGGAAGACATGGAAGAGCACGGCAGGAAAAAAAGATGCGCATCCATGGTCTTTGAAACACTTTGGATAGAGGACATAGCTGTCTCGTGACCTTGACTAACCTAGGACAGTTGCAGCAGATGAATTGACAAAGAGTCGCAGCTGTTGATTGTCACTTGTCGACAGTTGCGTGTCCGCTGCTCTGCCTCAACCAATAGCAGAAGGCTGGCCGATGACGGCGAGACGGCAACAAGCGGGGCTAGTGGCAGATGCCAAGGCTGTTAGCGCCCTTCGCCATTGAGCATAAGAGGAGCTTGAGATTCCACCTGGTGAGGCAATGACAGACCTGTTGGAGTCGACTGCAGCTGCAATTATTACTCCGACTTTGCTATACATACCACGACTACTTTGGTTTATTGTTCCACCGTATCTGAAGTACCACCCGTTGTACCAGCTCTTCCATCTCGATACACAACAGTACCTGTCCGGCTGTTATTCAAACAAGTTAGATCAGTTCCTCATTGACAGGAATCTTCTCTATTCACACTCCCACTTTCGACTTGAATCTGCTCCACCAACCAGACCCTGGTGTTGCCCTGATACCTCCCTCCACCCTCTCTCCCTTCGACGCACGCATCCCTATCAATCCACGCCTATTCTAGGAACCGCCTGATCACTTCTTTCTCTCTCTTCCTCACTACCGAGACCGTCACTCTTCCACAGTTGGAATCCTCTTCATTTGAACCCTGCGCCACTCACATGCCCCCGCCAACGCCCTTGATGGTCGCCTCTCCTTTGCAATGCTATTGCGATTACCCAAAAACCTCCACTACCCCCTCACTATCATCAAGGTTGAGAAACCAGTCGGCGAGAACATTACCTTGAACCAGCCGCTGTTCCTCTACTCCTATGTCACAAAGGTCAAAGAAGGCAGTCGCTACGATGACGAGGAGAGACAAGTGGACAAGAAATTTGTCGCTCACTTTGAGAGCACCTTAGAAGGAAAAATCAAAGGATGGAGAGTCTGGGAAGGCGATGTTATCGGTCATCCGTATGTCGCGCCACTACCTGCTGCAATACCCTTTACTAATTCTACACACTAGTCTTGACATCTGCGAAATTGAGGAGGAATGTACTCATGCTGTCCAATTCTTGGGCATGTGTACCAATTGCGGGAAGGACATGACCACGTGAGTAACTCTTCGACCTTGCCCTTCGTTCCTACAAACATTCTGACGTGTCCTCAGAGTTCAAGCAGGAAGCGAGACTACCGACGCTGACCGCGCACCCATTCGCATGGCTCATGACACTCCTCATCTTACCATCTCTACCGAAGAGGCCAACAGAATCGACGAAGAATCTAAGCGCCGATTACTTTCCACCCGTAAACTTTCCCTCGTCGTTGATCTTGATCAGACAATCATTCATGCGGCTGTGGATCCCACAATAGCCGAATGGCAAAAGGACAAAGACAACCCAAATTATGAAGCTGTCAAAGATGTTCGCGCTTTTCAGCTCATTGATGATGGTCCAGGCATGCGCGGCTGCTGGTACTATATAAAATTGAGACCTGGCCTCGCCGAATTTTTGGAAAACATTTCTCAGCTCTATGAGCTTCACATCTACACTATGGGCACTCGACAATATGCACAACAGATTGCTATGATCGTGGACCCAGACCACAAATATTTCGGAGACAGGATACTGAGTCGAGATGAGAGCGGCAGCATGGTCGCAAAGCATCTTGAACGGCTCTTTCCCGTCGACACCAAAATGGTGGTCATCATCGATGACAGAGGTGATGTTTGGAAATGGAGCACAAATCTCATTCGCGTCACCCCTTTCGATTTCTTCGTTGGAATTGGCGATATCAACTCTAGTTTTCTGCCCAAAAAGCAAGAAATCCAAACGACCCTCAAAGCAGAGCCAAAGTCAATATCTGCCAATGGTACAGATTCTACTGACGAACCTACAACAGCCAATGGAGCGTCTGAGAACGAGGCAGCCAACGGGACCGATGCCTCAGCCCTGGAACAGCTCATGGCGATGGCTGGAGGAGACGACCCACTTGCGCGAGAATTACAAACGAAAGGACAAGAGGAAATCATCACGTCGCAACTTGCAGACAAGCCTCTTCTCAAGATGCAACTGGAACAAGATGAGCGAGATGAGAAAGAGGCCATTGCTAACAGCGACGCCTTAGCATCTCAATCCACGGAATCTGATTCTAGCGACTCGTCAGACTCGTCAGATGTACCCTCTCACCAAAGGTCGAAGCCGCGCCACAGTATTTTAAAGAACGATGACGAAGAATTGATTCACCTTGAATCCAGCTTGACGGCTGTTCATACCGCCTTTTTCGCAGAGTATGACCGCAAGCGCTTGGCAGGAAAGGGCGGACGGGTTGCAGAGCTCGCTGGAACACGCAAAATTGCGCTTCCGAACCCAGAAGATGATGACGGCACCGCGGTTGACCTTCTCTTGGTCCCTGACATCAAGAGAGTCATGCCGGCGATGAAACATCGAGTCCTCACGGGAGTGACCATCGTCTTCAGTGGGGTGCTGCCTCTCGGGACTGACATTCAAACTGCCGACATTAGTACCTGGGCGAAAAGCTTTGGTGCCACAATCACTGACAAGGTTGGTCGAGATGTCACCCACCTTATTGCCGCTCGTCCTGGGACAGCCAAAGTCAAACAAGCAGTCAAGCGCGGCATCAAAGTTGTCGGCACGCCCTGGCTAGTTGAGTCCATGCAGCAGTGGCGAAAATTGGACGAGCGGCCATACCTACTCCCAGGAGTCGGCAAGCAGAAACAGAGCACGCCAAGTGACCTCGGAGAGTCTTTCGAGAAGACGAATGTGAGTGCGAATGATTTCTTGCTTTCGTCATCAGATGGTGAAACGACAGGCGTGGATACGGAGGACGATCAGCCTGTCCGGAAAAAGCTCAAGCTCGATCTATCTGGTGATGAATCGCTTAACAATGGCGCTCAGGACGATGAAGAAGATTTTATCGACGACGGCAGCCCAATCACCATTGATCAAAATGATCGTGCAGACATCGACGCCGAACTCAAGGAATTACTCGGAAGCGAGATGGACAGTGAGAGTGAAGCAGAATCCGTGGCATCGTCTCTAAGCTACAGAGAGCGTAGGGCCGCTAAGAGACGGCGAGATGACTTCGAGAATGACCTTTCAGACACTGAACGCCCGCCTGGGTCATCTTGGAACGGAACCGGAGGCAGTGGACTCAAAACCGTGGCAAATGTGAACAGTGCGAGAAACTCCGAGGCCACGGACACACCAAATGAATTGGACATCGACGAAGACATCTCTAAAGAACAAAGAGCCATTGAAAAAGAACAGGAGCTCGAGGACGCCGAGGTCGAAGACTCGGACGACGAGTTGGCGAGGGAGTTGGAGCGTGAGCTTGAAGAGGCCGACGCTGGACTTGAGACGTCACGGATTCTGGATTCATGATGCATATGGATGTGAAAAGATCTGAGATCTCATTGTGGTCTTTGTTTGGTTCTCCAACAGGCCGGTTGGAAAATCCCCCACGCATAAGCCGGAGTTGGGGGCTATCTGGACGTCTGACTTGGTTTGCATACAAATCCCCGGAAGGCCCTTTATGTATAGATACTTACCTTATATATACATAATCCTCGAACTGTCGATCTTCAGCACTCTTGCGCCGGCTAGTTTCCTATCACTGTGATCTTGCACTTATAACTATCTAGTCAGCTTCCCCTATGGTCCGCTCCCTTCTGCTCCCTCGCCTGTAGGGGGGTTCAAACTGATATTGAAGACAGGGCAGTTGACCGCAGACGGACCATCGTTTTCGATAGGTGCATTCAACCCGTGAATCGCTCCTTCTCTTTCCAAGGCTACTCACTGTGCAGGCCTCAATTTCTGTGTACTGCTTCAAGTAGTGACTACATCTTGTCAACATGTCACATATAGCAAAGCCACGGAGAATGCGTAAACCCGTCTAGGCAACTCACACATATGCCGCAGTCTCGAGATGGCCTTGCCAATTTCGCCTGCCACTTGAGCAATTGCAAAGATGATGCCAGCGATAGACGCTGGGTCCGCCACGCCGCCGAATTGGTAGATTGGCTAACGAATTGATGGCGGAGAAGATAAACTCATCAGGCAGAGGCTTGCTGAGGGCTTTTGAGTTCCACGCGGGGTCACGGCCCGGCCCTTGACATTCGTCTTCACCCCTAATTAACCCCTGCGCCCTTGTCGTTCGTGTATCAAGTACAGTTTTTCCACCCAGGCGTAAACAACACGTGCTGACGCATTTTTGCGAATGATAGGAGTCGCAGAGTCGCGGCTCAAAAGCAATCTAACCTCAGAACCTTGCAAGGTGGGTGGAAAGTTGCCACCACCCGCTGAGAGACACATTTGAGAAACTGTCGATAGGTTAAGAATTCTCAGCCTTGTTTGGGAGAAAAGGGCGGGTTTGGAGATCTGTCACTGCTTTTGCAATTTCGATTATGCTCATTGCCTATATGTGTTGTTGATCATGGTCTTGTCCAGATCAGTACCGGGTTTCATGCTTTCGACATTCGTTACAGTCATATCGTTTTTACGAGGCTGGCCCTTCGGGTTTGTGGCCACAGTTACTACTATCATCATCCAACATGGTCATCGCGTGGTTGTGGAGCTGTTCAAGTTGGTCTCTGCGGCAGTTCTGTCAAGCGATGTGTTGGGGTCTGAGGACGACACGGTCGCTTCTCGCGCTTTTCTCTCTGCCTCACGTTTCTCGCGGGCCCTTCGTGCTTGCTGCCTTCTAATGTTGATGGGAGTATAGAACTCGTTGAAGTTCATCACCACACCGAGGAAGCGCAGGTCCACATCTGGTTGGTGCGCAAGGTCGTAAAGAAGCATGCTGAGGCGGGAGCGGAATTCCGCCGATAGGTGGAGTTGTCGACTCCGTAACGAGCCCAGGTGTGTTTCATCGTCAGAGGAGGGATGGGCCGATTGTGGCATCAGAGGCGAGTCGTTGTCTTCGGGGAGCAGTGGTCCAGGCTTGGAAGGGCGCATGAATGTCGGTGTACTGGACCCCGAATCACCCACAAGATCCTTTTCCGTGATGCCCCATTTTCCTTGAGCTGTTCGCTGCTCGATCCTGGCGCTGAACTGCTGTCTTCGAGTGTATTCGGCCACACTGTACGAGTACAGCGAATCAACTACCTCCCGATAGTGGAGCATGCATTTTAAGATGTGATGGACTTGAACGACGAGGCTGTCTTCCTGTGCGCCGGTCACCGGATGTCGTTGCTGGCCAATAAGCCCCTTTTTCGTAATATTGTTAAGATATGTCGTGTGCGCTTCAATGAGATCGTCGAGGGTAACCTCAGGCTTGTTGAGGGCATCCTCGAGCAGCTTCCAGCTCGCCTCGATCACCTCGAATAGGAGATAATACTGGAGTTGGTTGACAAAATGGACCATCTCTGCAACTACACATCTCGCTCGCTTCCAATCATGGCCGAGTTTGTCGTTGACCGCGGCCAGAACGCCACGAGCTCCCGTCATACAACGCTTTGTGGTTGAATTCAACGAGAACTCCACTCGCTTTATCCTCCACAAGAGGTTGAATATCTTGAGGTATTGGGTGTTAGCCCATTGGGTGATGACCACGTCGCACGGAGCAGAAATTTTGTATTCCAGAGTGAAGCAATCCCAACCAATCTCGCCTGAGGACAGCTCAAGCATGCGTGCGTCGAGTCGTCGGAGGACTTCTGCATCGTCGTATTGTGCATTTGAGTGCCTGATGGCGTGCTCAAGCTGAGAGGTGAGATTGTGACGATACATGGAATTGACGGGCCGATCAAGGTGTTGTGCCAAAGATTCGATCAACAACTCAAAAAAGTCACCCTGCGCAAACAGCATATATTTCTTGATAGCTGTGAGATGAGTGAAAAGACCGAACTTTGTGTACATGAGGTGAGTTAGTCGTGACATAGTTGTTCGATAGGCCATGTCGATTGAAGAGAAGAGATTGGCAGTATTTGCATGATCCAGAGACCTCGAGTTGGATTTGGAGTATTGTATCACCCAGTCGGAATCGCCACAATTATGTCGAATGAAGTTGAGTGATTTTCCAATGAGAAAGACCTTTTTAGCAAACTCGGAGGAGATGATCGACGGAACCATGGACGAGTTCAACTTGTATTTCTCTTCCCACACCGAAGTAGCAACATGTCGATGATCGATGGCTGGAAGAGTACTGGGGTCAGGCTCTTCAATGAAAAATTCATGATAGGGGTCTATCAGCTCGCCATCGTAGATCCAATGCTTTAGCATTTCGTAGAAAGGTCGAGCAACATGCCCCAAAAGTCTTTCTGCAAAGGCGGCAACGAATGGATCGCCATGTGAGGACGATAGGCCGTGTACTAGGGAGATCAATTTACCTCCACGCTTTTGCCTTGAATCCTCGACGATCAACATCATTAGTCGCAGACCCATCGTGGCATCTCTGGTCCAGATGAAGCATCGTTTGAGGGTGACGCTAGTTAATCGGATGGCCTTGGGATCGGCGCCTGCTCCTGCTGTAGCGAGCGCTTGTCTGATCTCGGTTTCCAATGACGCAACAAGGCTTAGATAAGAGCGCAGTTCATTATTGATGGCCGAACGAAGGCTCTGGTCCATGAGACCACCATCTGGTGATTGAGTGTACTCTGCTAGGCCCCGATAGAGTAAACACGGCTCCGCCAATCCGTGCAACAAGGATAGTATAGGAATTGGTAGTGTAGGAGGTAGACTTAGTGAAGCGGAAGTAGTGAAGTTCAAGTGTGTGGAGGACACGCCTTGCAAGTTGAAGGGTAGATCTCGGAGAAGTTCAACCTCTGATGGTTCGGGTGTCCATCGCTTTTGCTCAACTGGTTCTGAATAGGTCTCTCGTTCGCGCTGGGGCAAAGCCACATGATCGTCTAGTTTCTGATCCGGCTTTTGTGCCTGCTCCCTCGCCCGAGCAACAGACTCGTCATCTGTGCGGCTGCGAGATAAATCGTCGTGGTCCTGGTGTTCTGGAGATTCGTGAAACGGAGAAGCTTTTTCGGTCGAATGAAGGTGTCTCCTGGGAACATTGGCGAGATTATCGGAGTCTGCCAGCGGCACTCGGTGTGGGGGAATTGTGAGTGTGTCGTCGGAAAGTTTATACAGCAGGTAGAGGATTGCCCACTTCTGATTGAGGACGGGGATGGCTAGTAGCCTCGAGTACAGGTTACTGAATCTTGCAGCCTTTTCCGGTGAGGCATTTTCCCGCAGTAATTTTCTTTTAATTAGATCCGACGCCTGGTTCGTCTCTGTGGGGAGACGAGAGCCTGCGGCGTGAACGATGGTCTTTGCATTTTCGATTGCCTGGGTGATGCGTGCCTCAATTTCCGTATCATCTTCGTCAGCGGCAATGGGAGGGATGAGGCTTCCGAAGAGTGAGCTCAAAGTGCCATCGATGCGACTGTGCCTGGGGTCCGACATTGAGGGGACGAGGAAGGAAACTGTGTCGAGAGCATGACACAGGAGGACTGTCAGGTGGCTCTGAGTGCTTGGGACTAGGAACAGCCGTGAGAAGGGGGGTCAAGGGGTGGGGGAGTACTTTGCTGCGACACCAACACCGACTCTGCGTCCGAGTCTGATATTGATTCTGCGTTGCGAACAATGACGATAATGAGATAAGCCCACAGTGTGTGTAGGCTCGCGACGCGTCGTGTTGATGGAGGGAGTGCGGGTCACAAAGTGCGAGTCGCGGCATCTTCTCTCAGGAACTCTGCATGACTCGTGTGGGACTTGGCATACTTCGGATCATCAGTTTTGCCGACAGTTGAAGTCACGTTCTTTGTGACAGATATGAATGGACATGTCTCTCTACTTGGTTCTTGGTAGATAGGCGGTATTTACATTTATCATAGTGACCAAAGACTCGATATCTGATATAATGAACTATAGTAGTTCGACTAGCCACACCCATTCTAAAATCCATAATCTGTGTTTGTTATGTGGCTGCAACCAGTTCCATAGCGATTTCTTCGATCTGTATCAAATCTATTGGGCCACCGAAGCCGACTAGAATGTCCGACTTGGAGATGACGAGCCTGCTTCATATCATCCATGCCAGTCCTGTGTATGATTCGGCTGAATGACGGGCAAATCGCAAATTGATATCAACAGCGTGTGAGCACATTCGAGACGACGACCACGAAGGGCGAGGGAAGAAGATTAGGTCCTTATTGGTAGACCCTCGATCTCGGCTTTGTGGGACCGGTGTCCATTAAGGACGAGTCACCTAGTACTCCGTATATTCAATCCGACTTTTGGGTCATTGAGGATGAATCGGTGCCAAATTCCATGACTTTGGGTCCATAGTAGAAGTTACCTTGACTTGTGCCAGACTCGACATGACTTGGCTCTCCCCCTTCCAAGCACTCTTGGAACTCGTTATCCCTTGGCTGATTGCATAAGAGGGTCGTGGACTCATAGGCCGTCGACTCGGTGACTGGCCTGATGCATCACAAGTTTGATTGTCTGATGTAACCATCTTGGCTTACGTATGAGCATTCAGAAGTGGTGCCCATGTGGGCATTCCAAGCATATCTACACATGTGCGTACTCGTATGTGACATGCTCGCCTTACAAGGCTTCGCTCGCGGATCACAAGCCTTTGCATCGGCAATCTGCTTGTCGGTGTGAACTAGTACGTGCTCGAATATGCCGGCAGAGGGAATTATCATCACAGGCGAGCCATTCATTTGCTTGCTCTTAATAATGGAAAAGCCAGCCATCCAGACATGTCGACAAGGTCCCAAGGGCCAAAGGGTTGATATGGGAGGAACTGGTTATCATCATGGTAGAGGTCATCATGTCAAGTCCAAGTAGGGCAAATTCGGATAAGATGATCGCGGATCTTGAGGCTCATTGGACGGCGAAGCCTCGCTATAAAACGCACCACCAAAGCTAGCGCTATAGTGTAGATACAGTAGTACTTCCAAGGCGGTGGGACTGATGGTCGGGTGGGAAGAATGACTACGGAGTAATGAGGCAACGGAGAGTCAGCACTAATACTCACTGATCAAGGGGACTGACTACACAGTATGAGTATACGGCGTGCTGGGCCTGGGCAGGAATTGGACTGCACTAGTGACGCTCCGATCGCGTAGGATATGACAGGTGGTAGCCTCAGAAGTAGCTAGCTGCCTACGGTAACCCGAGCGAGAGCTAGGAACGAGAGCTAGGAGCGATAGAGCAGAGTGCATGTTGGGGCGACGGAGGAAGTGCAACACGTGGCCTTTGGCGTCAAGATAGCACAAGCATTGGCAATTCGAGTGGGAGATGAGCTTCTGCAACAAAATGACGCGTCGGTCAAAGTGGAGGATGTGAAGCAGCTAAGCTGATGTCCAAATGAGATGAGGAAAAGAAGTGCCAAGAAGTGCCTCGTCAATATGATTTGGTCTGGCAGCCAGGACTCGCCAAACAAACTTATTGCCAAGCATTGGCACACAGGGCTTTCACCCTTGGCATGACCTGGAAATTGACTTTTGGTGGCTTGAATCATGCTTAACAACCTTGAGGTGGTTAAGCCTTAGCGTGTACAGGTATCGGACGAGTTTCAGCTGCTTCCACTTGGGCGTTCGCCTGTCTCTGGTGGTCACAAAGGATTTCAGTTCTCATAAACGTTCACCAAGGGCGACCTCACCAGCACTGTAGATGTTCTCAAAACGAAGAGAACCATTTTGCGCGAACAAGGAATCGATCTAGAGCTCGACCTTTGTGTCGACGGGTGCTGGTCAAAGCCGAGCCATGCCAAACGGTGTGACACCGGCGCCCAGACTACCAACGGGGCCTAGCGCAACCAAGAAGTGTCCCGACCAAGAGATACCAAGAAGCACCAAGAGCCATGGCGTAGTCAGAGAATCCACCTAGTGGCGATTATGGTCTTGTGATTGATAAGTGTAGATGAAGAAAAGCGGACCCAGCTCTACCAAGCGTACGACTGGATGCTCCTGGCTTTGTTCCAAACTCGGTCCAGCCGAGGCCATTGGGAAGGCGAGATAACGCTAGTTGACCAGGTGCATGCAATGGTAGCCGACAAGAGAGTGTTGGGCAATAATCATGGTGAACAGCACGAAAAGATACAGATACTGTATTGGGTGCTGTGTTGAAACTTGATGGTGCGGACAGACGGGGCGACCCAAGCCCTGATCAGATTGTGCAGGAGCCTGGAGGAGATATTGTACTTGCACTTCGGATAGCCGGATGCCCGGCGTGGATCGTGAATCGTCTATCTATCGTGGGCCCTTTTTAGGCGACAGTCTTACAAGTCATGGAGGACAGGGTGGACTGACTCACTTTTGATTCTAGATTCGAACAAGACAAACCAAGTAGGCGATATCGCTCTCCCGTGCCTCAATTACTGAGTGGCTAATGGCCGCCTACCACAAATATTCGGAGAGCGGACCATTTCGTTAGCAATAGAATGCGAGAGTCACTCATGTTCCGCTAATCAAAAATGGCAGTGTGCCCAGCCGTGGCGCCGAGTCCTTCCTCCCGGTGGATCTTCGTGTTCTGCCAAGCACTGAGCAGGATTGTTTAGATTAAACAATGGTGCATTAGCGGGCCGCTAAACGTAATTTGTTCTGACTGAAGGCTTGGAGGAAGTTGTCAGTGGCAATTGGCATACATGGCAGCATGATTCAGGAAGTGGCAGGTCTCCTAGTACTCCGTAGCTGGCATTAGGATGATGGACGTGGCGTGGGAACAAATCGGAGGAGTAATCTTGCGACCATCCACTGTAAGGAGGCTACCACGACTCTCAAAATCTTTAATGAGTGACAGAGACAAGGCGTGATGCTTGGGAAATCTGACGCAGTACGGGGTCAAAGGATTCCACAGCGGAGGGCCCAGTGGCTTGGGCCTCGGGACAGACTTGAGAGGACTTGGCCAGATTCCTTTCGCTGGGCGGAATCCCTGAGCTAAGGAACAGATACCAATGGAAATGATGGTATGGTCGGCACTTCTGCGGTCTTCTTTCTACTAGACTCAAGACTCCCAAGACTTTTGCAATGACTGGTTGACTCGGGAAACGTATGGTAGAAAACCTGAAGAGCCAGGGCTGCAGGCCACACCAAGAATCAAGACTCAAGAGCAACTACCCAATAACAACATCATCACTAGTGAGACTTGGGAGGTCTTGGGTGATCTTGGTCACAGACCCTGCTGTGTGCATCATACGGAATACAGTACTCCGTATTGCGAGTCATGCAGGTTGCCCTTGGGACTTTCATGGCAATCCATTGTCGTTGTTCAGCCCAGGCTTTTTGCCTCTCAGATTGTCAGTGACCCAGTGCCCAGATGCCCAGACAGAGTTGGGTGCACGGATCAGTGACTTGGGGGCGTGGCGGCCATGATTTAAGCATAAGCCCAAGCTTGGTGGTGGGACTTTGGGGCCCAAGCCAACTTTGAGGTCATTATTGGGCATGGACACTTGGGGTGTTACGAGTGGTGTTTTCGCACCGGAGCGATGGCACGCCTGGGCAAAAAGAGAAGTCAAGACTCGGCACTTGGCGTGGCTGGGGCACCTGTCGATGCCAATAACTCCCCCTTGGCCCCTAGCCAGTGAGTAGCAATGAGTAGCAATTCTAGGCATACTCCGTACTCCGTAGGATGCCACGGTGCCAAAGGGTGCCAAAGGGTGCCAGAGGGAGTCGGAGGGTGCCACTGCTTGCCGTGAATGCGTAGTACCAAGGACTATAGTTTCTTAGCCCCCTGGCTCTTTCCTCCACTGATGGGGTCCACCTCAATTGCTCCAAACTCTCCAAACCCTCGCAGGATCCTCCCACTTGCCATTTTTAATTCTGTAGCCTCTTGTGTCTCTTGTGTCTCTTGTCTCTCGACTCTTGACTACAAGTCTTTCTGGATTTTCTGGATCCTAGACATTATTACAGCCCACAATTAACACCCCTCTACATAGCCATGGCACCGATTCACTTATGACACGGCATCGTGCTTCTTCCAAGACTTGTCCAAACTGCCTGGCATTTCTTGTCCCTTGACAGCCTTAAACCTACTCTGTCCCCTCACAACATCCATCCCTTCCTCTCCCGTTGGTTCGTTCACCCTGATTCTGACCCTCGCGCCACCGAGAAATCGTCCCAGACGTATCACGATTGTCAGCACCTTCTCCCCAGTCTTTGGTCGCTTACTCTCGTCCTGGACGGCCTGACATCACCGATATCAGCGACACCTCCTCCTCCCTGATCGCCAGTTGCACTGACCAACATCTACTTGAGTTGGTCGACCATCGATCTTCCACGACCGATCCAGACGAGCAACCGCCGCGGTTGAGATCGCATCTGGCTGGACCGAACCACTATCCCAATCTTTTCTCTCGACCAAAGTCGCAATGGAAACATACAACGGCCATGTTCGCACGCCGACGGATGCCATCATCCTGTTCGAGGCATGTCGCTTGGGCATTCTCCCCCGCGTTCAGCGACGGCTATCGGAGAAAGAAAGACAGTCCATTAGATCAGGCTCTGTCTTTGTATGGGACGAACGCGAAGCTGGCATGAGGAGATGGACCGATGGCAAGAGTTGGAGCGCCAGTAGAGTTTCTGGCAGCTTCTTGACCTATCGCGAGATGGAGGGCAAGCGCGGAGGAAACTCATTTTCAACCCCTACGGCCAACAGAACCAACAAAACGCCCGACAGCGCTAATGACGAGGTACCTGACGGTGAAGAGGGCCCAGATGGTTATCGATACAAGCCAGACGGTCTCATGAAGCAATCCTTCAGCATCACCACCTCTCAGGGCCAGCATCTCCATCTGATCTCTTACTATTCCCGCTCGCATCCCACCGCACAAGTCTTGCGACAACCAAGCACCGACCCTGCCCTGGCTTCAATCCAGCCTGCCAAAGGCATGTATCCCGAGTCCACCATTAACGACCAGTCGTCGGTGCCTGCTGTCACTCGCTCCCCAATGGTCGGTGCTCCAGGCTATGTGGTCAGTCCAGGTGCCCCTGGCTATCATAGACCTCCGCCTCATCATCACCCTGCGGCGTACCTCCCTCCAGGATATATGCCCCATCCCGCGTATCTCTATCCCATCAGTCCTATGCACACACCTCCAGGGCACTATGCCTTGCAGCCATACCCAGCGCTGCCTCCAGGCCTCCCGCCTCTAGCCTACCCCGCGTCACCCTATCCTCATCCTCAACATCCTCCTCAACCTCATCACCCTCAACCCCATCATCTAGCTCTCGGCCACCAAGCTCCACCTTCAAGTTATGATCAGCGACCCCAGAGAGGTTCAGAGTCGAGGTCTTCAATCCCCCCGCCTCCTGTCGGCGCGACTCAACAACCTCCGTCTCCCTACACTTCACAAGCCTCAGCCCCTCCTCCGATAAATCTGTCCCAAAATCCGTCGCAGCCACCATACAGCTCCAGTTCCTCTGCGCCCTTAACAAACCAGAGCCAAGTCCCGTCTCAGTCGCCGTATCAATCACAAGCGGCGCCACCTGCTGCGCAAGCACCCGCTCAGTCACCCTATCAACCAAGCCAAGTCGCTCACACAGCGTCTCTTCCCCCACCAGTAGTGGATAGTACCTCGGGTCGATCTGGTTCGATCCAGATAGATCCTCGACTGACCGCCGCCCTCAACGGCAGCGAGGCTCAAACCAACGGACCAGCCGAGACATCCGAGGCAGGCCAATCGACGGGTGAAAATCGACAACCTGAAACACCTTCGGCTACTTCGAGCCACGCTCCAACCATCACATCGTTGGTTCACAACATTGCCACAAACCTACCAACAGAGAAATCTCAGGGCGAACCTGAAGCAGAGCGACAAGGGAGTGTCAGTCCTGGTGGCACGCGGCGGCCTACCATCCCACAAGACATTCCTAGCGAGAAGCTCGGCTTCAGAGAGGACAAACGAGCGCTTAGCAAGCTGGACCGGGTTTTTGCTCGTGTGTAAGAGACTTTTGGTGGATATTTATTTGTACTCTTCGGTCATCGTGTCTGGAGTTGACGGGTTTCGTCTGGTGTTCAAGACAAAAAGGTTTTTTCCCCTTTCTTTCTGGATGGCGTTAGTGATGCAGACCCGAAGTGGATGCATTGATATCGGAGGTCACATGTCGCGGCATTGCGTGGACTCGTGGAAGAATTTGTTCATTGTACGAACGCTACGACGTTTTGATGAATTTTGATGCTTGCACTATCTTGGGAAGGCTAGACAGGCAGGTTTCACAGCGACAAAGGTTTTTTTGACGGTCAAGGTGCAAGGTCCAAAGGTACACTGGCACGACTGGCTGGCTAGGCTACACAGCCGACTTTGAACGAGTATTTAAGATGCCCTAGCAACGAGAAACTCTCTCTTGCCGAGATACATTGTGTTTCATCTAATGTACTTTTTTGAAGAACCCAACCTGTTCATGCTTCTCTGAGCCACTCACTGGCCATAATAATCTTGCAATAGATAAACGATGACTCATATCTCTCTTCCCTCAATGGAAATGACAGAGAGAGGCAAGCAAGATTACTCATAAACCTTACTAGTTGCACCAACTCGCACCAACTGGGTTATGGCCATGACTGCTCAATGTTCAATGTTCAATTTTACATTCTTGCATTGGATATATAAAATAGGACTGGACTGGACTGGCTGCCACATAGTACATTATAGGCAGGATACCTAACGGCGTGCCCTTCCGCCCCCTTCCTCTTCCTTGATCCATGACATTTGTCATGTCCAAGAGATAATAGATTTTGTACCAGTCTTGGACTGACTTATTCAGACTCTTTTTTTGAGTCAAATCATATACATATTTTCATCCACTGTCTCTGGCTGGAGGTTGTCTCCAACTTTATCCAGGATGGGGTTTTGTCCGTCCTGACAAGTCTCCTGCAGGAATCCCCATGTCTGGCGTAAACGCACCGTTTTAAATAACTAGTGGAATTGTGACTCGGTCACACCCTTGCCCATGGCTGCGGTACTCGAGACACCACCGGTGACCATCTTCAACAGGTTATCCACATAGTTGGCTCCGCTCCATTTCTGATGCGTGACAACATCGACTTTGCCCTCCATCTCGGGTTCTTGGATCAATTCACCGTACGCGCGCATTCCGCGCTGGGCGTATGCCTTTGCGAATTGGTCTGAGATGAGTGCGGTCGAGTGCAGACCTGCCAAAGTGATGAATTGCCAGCAGTAGCCGAGTTCGGCCAATCGTTGAATATAAGTCTCTTGGTCCTTGGCGGACATGGCGGTCTTCCAGTTGAAGGATGGTGACAGGTTGTAGGCAAGTCTGTGCAAGAAAACAAATGTCAGTTATGATTTCTACAGTGATCAGGAGTGTATATGCTGATGCAATGCTTACTTTTGCTCTGGCCAAACGGCGTGCACGCCATCAGCGAATTCCTTAGCCTGTGCATAATCGGGCAATTTGCTCTCCATCCAGATGAGATCTGCGTATGGGGCAAAAGCAATGGCGCGGTTGATGGCGCTGGGGCAGCCACCTTGGTATCTGTAGTAACCTTCTCTGGTTCGGGCGGCATCCCAGTCAAAGAAGACATCGACGCCGGTAATGCCTTTGGCGATGGCGCGGGCTTCGTTGTTGGACTTGCCCTTGGAAGCAGCCTTGTACTTGGCGATCAAAGAGGCTTTGTCGACGTGCACGCCAGCATTGATGGCATCAATCACGGCATCGTCGAACAATTTGAGGCCGCACGACGCGATCCACGAGTCTTCGATTGCTTGCAGTTGATCACCATTCTTGCCTGCTTGTTCAGCGGCAATCATGAGGTCAGCGAGAGGTTGCAATTTGGGGTTGGTGCTGCCGAGGATGAAGGCATGGTCACGGTGATCGATGGTGGTGGTGATGAGGGTGGCAGCTTCCGAGTCAGTTCGGGCAATGGCAAGGAGATCCACGCCCATGATGTCGGCTTGGGCACGGATAGCGACCAGGCGATTGATGTGCTCGGAGATGGGCACCAGGACTTTGCCGGCCATGTGGCCACACTTCTTGGTTCCTGGGGCTTGATCTTCGATGTGAATTCCAGCCGCACCTTTTTCAACAAAGAGTTTGGTGAGCTTCATAACGGCAGTAAGACCACCATGACCAGTGTCTGCGTCTGCGACAATGGGGCGAAGATAGTCCACATTGGCCACGGCGTTTCGCTTTTCTTTGGGGGTCGTCAATCGCTCTTCTCTTTGTTTCCGGTCATGGAACAACTGAGCCATGAAGAGTTGCTGGACTTTGTTGGGGACGGTGTTCATGGGATAATCGGCCAAATCGGGAGAGGGTTCGTCGGTGGAGGATGCGGTGGATGAGGATTGCCAACCAGAAACGTAGACGGTGTCAAGATATTTGTTCATCTGGGTCAACATAGTTGGCTCCAGACAGCCATATGTGGCAGAGGCGGTTTTCGTCTAGACATGAAAGAGTCAGTATATCGACATTGACGGGTGGGATGAGGTGGGTACTCACGGAAAAACGGCCCTCGACAAGATTCCATAACTTTTTCGCCTGTACATTGCTGGGGTATTCGATCTTGATGGTGCCTCGCTTCTGCACGATTTGCTCGGCGGTAAATGGTCGCTTAGTGTATCGCCATCTCGAGTCGGTCCACCATTGCTTGACGGCTTCAACGTCTTGCTGGTATTTTCTTTCTTCCTCGTCAATGTAGCCCATGGTGACGGTGTCGATGAGTTTGTCCAAAGCTGATGTCGTACAACGTAGACGGCGTGTTCAAGGTAATATAGGTCGAGAAATGCTCGCCACTATAACGCACAATAGAATCCGAGAGATTATCTGATGGGAGCGGAGAGTCGATTGGTATGTCAGCACCTTCAGTGTTCAAAAAATAGGTTGGTCAGTAGGAATGACTCAATAATAGAGGAGCATGTGGAAGAGTTTAAGTAAAAACCCGAGCACAAGCCAGGACGAGCAAAGGCCGAGCCCAGGTCAGTGACAGCCATCCCTAGAGGGGCATGACACCGAGGACGGTAAAAGGGCATGTCCATGGATTCCAGACCTAGCGGTAATGAGCAAATGCCCGGGCCAATGGGGGATTGGCTGGGATTGGTGGAGGGAGGAAGAGCGACGTTGAGCCATTGGTTCTTGGTACATGTTTGGGGAAGAATCCGGACTTGAGGAGACTCGTGAGAGGCTGACGCTCAGCTCTTGGTGAGGCGTTCGGGTCAGGATCGGCTTTGTGGGGATCGAGGTCTGGAAGGTCATTCCATCTGCATGTGCCCATGACGTGTAAGTTGGTGCAAAGATTTGTTCCTTTCATCCGCAACGCCGTGGGATTATTTCTGGTTTGGGATTTGATGCTCTGGTGATCTTATGTCTCTGTTCCAAGTCCATATGATGTCCATCTCTTGCTCCTTCGTGTTGGAGGGCAACGGTTGCCCTGCTCTCGTGCGTCAGGTTCCAAGAAGTGCGATTGAGTCATTGCTTCAACCTTCGGAAGCGAAAGTCTGGCACTTGATGGGGTTGTCGAGGCGACCCACCGGAGGCGCCTTCCTTCCATGCCTCGGCTCAAGTCACGTGTAACATCTCCGCGTTTCTGCCTCTTGCTTGCCAGTTGCCACGAGACTCTGGATATTCCAGCCAATGACAGATGGCCATCTTAATACTCCTACGAAAAGCAATCGGAACCTGGGCTAATTGTTAACCTTGATTCCATACTGTAAGCAGCTGTTGCCGAAACCCTCTAAGTAGTCACCAAATATTGGATCTGCGCCGGCATCCTTTCATGTCTCTGGATCGAAAAAAGGACTATAGCTACTAGAGTCTTTACGTCTGAGAAAATATGTACACTACAAAAGTGCCAAGGTATATACCACCCACGCTCCGAATTTCACCATGAAACCTCCGATGAATGAATGCATGGAAAAAAAGTCATGGCCACTTTCGACTCATGACAAATCCCTTCTAGTCTGTTCCTCAGGCGCTGGGTTGCCCATCACAATCTCTGGGATGAGGTACAGTCACGAAAGTTGAGATCATGGCTGACAAGCCTCGCGCAACACAAGCCGCGGTCCAGGTTCCAGGTTCAAGATCTCAAAAAAGTTCAATCGCACGAGGGACGTTGTAAGGTAGCAAAGTGTGAGATCTCCGCGAGTATCCGCTGGTGATCTCGGATCCTAATATGCCGGCCTAGTCCGGGCCCGAACTAAAGATCGCCTCAGCCTCGTCAGAAGAATTGGGGACTGACTCATCCGAGCCTTCGTCAATGGTTTCGTCTGCCCCAAGTTTGATTTCTGTCGCTTTGGCATACTGCTCGTATGGCGTGAGGGTGCCGAGGGCCCGTCTCATATGCATCGGCAGACACGAGAGGCCATAAACGTAACTGGCATTGACCCATCCGAAGCTGATTCACATTCTTGGTTAGCATGTTGCCACTGACCCTCAACACTGCCAGTGTCCACTTACCCTTCGCGAGGTACGCCCTTGAAATCCGATCCTTGATTACCATACTCAGCTTCGACTTTGTGTGGGTCGAGTTCACGAGTAACATTGTACTTTTCGACCACCACGCCGTTGAAGTCGACAAACGCTTTGGTCACCATGTATAGCCACTTGTACGCCATCCTCTGCGCTTCTTCAATGTAGCCATACTTGATGAAGCCACCCCATGCGAGCATCTGTTGTGGCGCCCAGCCGAAGGGATAATCCCATTGACGATTGGGGCGGTCAAGTCCTATTTCACCGCGGGATTCCTCGGTACCAGAAACGAGGCCACCGAAGCACTCAAAACGAGGAAGTGCATGTTGTACCAGCGATGCAGCTTGCTTTGGGGAGGCACATCCTGCCCACATGGCCCAGAACGTTGTCGCCGTCTCGTAAGAGGTTCTCTTCTTGTTGACTGTGTCATAGTCAAAGTAGGAGCCCTTGGCTTCGTTCCACATGTACTTGTCAATCCGAGCCTTGCGAAGTCGAGCTCGCCGGTCCCAGGTCGCAGAAGTTTCAAACCCCTCTTTGCGATTGGCCGCGGTCTGGAACTCTGGCGGAATCGCCAGGCGATCATTGAAGTATTGACGAATGCACCACGAGATGTCAATCTCATACTTGTACAACAGAGAGTTCAAGTCAATGGTTGCCAAATTGGCGGCGCATCCCTCAAGGCGATATGAAGTGTCGTGGCCCGACTCGCGGACTGCCCGGTCGTGAAGGAAGTACTCGTCGAGCTCAGGCTCAACTATCTGATCGCTGTTGTAGGCTTGGACGAATTCCTCAAAGGACATGCCATGCTTCTCCGCATATGGAGTAAGAATATGAAGGAAGTGACTAGCTTCCGTCTCCGGAGGAACGCCTAAGCCGTCGGGGCGATAACGAGAGAGACCGCTTGCCGGGTCGTAACGGGGCGTAGACATCCACACGTTATAGTATTCCTTGATGGCGGCTCGAATGGCTAAACGCAAAAAATCAAGAGCTCCTTCCTCATGCTTGATCTTCTCGTAGACCTTGAGCGCCATGTCGGTCAGGAAGGGTGGTTGAGACCGAGTAAGATAGTAGGATCGGTTCGCATTGAGGATCTTGCCGTAGTGCTCAATGCAGAAGCAGAAGTTGTAAACCATGGACTTTGCCATGTCGACCTTGTCATTTTGAAGAAGGCCAATGGATTCCATATAGCTGTCCCAGCCGTACAACTCATTGAAACGACCACCGGGAACGACAAATGGTTCTCCTTTCAGGGTCTCCTTTCCATCAATGGTTATTTTGCGCATGGCCAGAGCCAAAATTCCAGGGGCATTGTTCAGGCTTCGGACATACTCGGCGCTGATGTCGCCTTGTGGCAGCCAACAAACGTCGAGCCTGATCTCAGGACGATCTTTAGCGACCTGTGTGTAGTATTCGTACTGCTCTGGGCAGCCGTGAGGGATGTAGATGCGAGGCCGAGGATCAGCAGTCCAGTCTTTTGGGTCTCTGCCGGCCTTTTCGATCAGGTCGGCGTCCAAGGCTCGGGTCAGGTTGTTCCAGAACTCCTCTCGAATGCGACGTGAAAGTCTGTCGACAGGGTTCTCACTGAGGCGGGAACGATGGATTTTGACGACTTTGCTTCCCAGATCTTGTGCCAATGTCAACTCCTGAAGTAAATTGCTGATCATGTAGTTTCCGCGAACGTCGGTGGAGCGGTAGCCAGCGGAGGCAAAAGTTCCCAAGGAAATGTGCTGCAAGAATGTCAGTTCGCTGTACCACAGACTCCACTCCATGTTGGCATACCTTGGGACCTTGATCCTCAATGGTGATTTGTTGGTTGCCATCAATGTCCTCCCTGTCAATCAAATCTTTCAGAGTTCGCTCTACGTCGATAAGCAGCTCTTGGTGGTACTGAGAGTATTCATCTGAGATGAGAGATGATCAGTATATCGTGGGAAGGTGTCATTTGATCAGGTTACGCACCATGGCTGATACGGCGTGCTGGATAAGCACCCTGGGTGGTTTGGGACAAAGGAGCAGCCTTGATGTACTGTGTTTGTCGATGGTCAGTACGAGTTTTGACTCTTTTCTTAAGAAGAGGCGTGTTAAACCTACAGAGGATAAGGTTCGGTTCCTCGCACCCATCAATTGTTGGCGGAGGACTTCGTCATTGTAGTAGACACTGGGGGCAGAGTATGGTTCCTGACGGTGACGCTCAAGAGATGAGCTTCGTCTACGATGGTGCCCATTTGGCGCACTCATGACAAAAGGGAGGTAAACTTGGAGATCAAGGCCGACAGTCGAAGGTGAGTGAGGGTGATTAGGAGGAAGAGAGTCAGGTTAGAAAACCAAACAATCGAGTCTGGCAAATGTCGGTCTCGAGACCTAACAAGGTGTGGAAGGCCAATGAGACGAGATGGAAGGGCGATGATGTAGTGATGGACCCGCTGTGGACACCAGGGTGGGAGACAGCCGTCGCGGGCTGTTTTCCGTGGGGGTGCGTGTGGGCAAGGCGATACGGGGTCAGAATCGAGAGTTCAGGGTGCAGGAAGAAGCTTGGACAATGAATTGCAAAAGTGTCGAGACTAAATGTCAGGCAGACGAAGATAGAGACAAAGGCGTTTGGCCTTGTATGTGAGCAGCGAGCGTGAGGTGAACAGTGGGAGTGCTGGCGTAATGTCAGCAGCGTGAGGGATATGAGAGAAGGATCGAAGAGTTAAGGAGCACTGAGAATGCGGTGAGTAATTGGAAAATGGGCAAGTACTACTGAACAGAGAAAGGAAGGGCAAGAAGGGGCAAGGGCAAAGTGTGAGAAGAACAAATTATGGGGAAGGTGGGCGTTTGCGCCAGCCCCAGACCCAATGTAATAGCAGATCCAGTTGAGTGGACACCTGGAATCGGAGCGTCTCAGGCTTGGTCAAACCCCAACGGCTTAGGGCAATCGGCTGTGATATCCCTCTACTTTAGGGCCGAGGGGCTCTAAGAAAAAGTGTGTAAACGCCAACACCGGTGATCTGAATTAAATGTAACTGAGGCTTGCGAGTGACGCACACTCCACGAGTCGATCGCGTGATGGTCTAAATTTTCTTAAAATTTGTCCTTGAAGCGACTTGGCACCTGGGACAGTCCTTTCTCCTTGAATGACATGTTTTTTCTTGATTGGAACAACAAAGTTTTGAAGATTTGCAGGCACCGATTTGAGGCAGTAAAGGTAAGATATGCGGATTGGGAGATCGTTCCGGGGGCGAACATGGCTGCATGCAGACGCTAGCATTAAGACTACCTAGGTATCTTCCACTACATCCGTGCGTGGCTCGCCTGTCACGGGGTGGGGTGGACCAAACCGCCTGGGCCTAAATCCATAGCCTTGGAATCAGGATTCCTCAGATAGGCAGTGTCCCAAAGAGCTTTCAGGAGACCACTCTCTGGGAAAGACAATGTTGTTCAAAGCCAAAAACTCTCACTTGTGTCACCGCGCACAGGGTACGGACAACAATCAAGGATCAAGGGTTGGACACTTGCCGTGATGCCAGGGTCATCCTCGAACTGACATCCACTCTACTTGTCCGCCCATAACTTAGTTAGGAGAGGTGCGCTGCCTCCAGCTCGCTGTTTTGCCCCCCCCCTCCTCGGCTGTTGCCTTCCCCACGTTTTGGTCCACGATAGGCGCCTCGTGTTGAGCCTCATATTCCTGGAAATTCTCATTGCATATCTACCTGAGTCATGGACTCGTTGTTGGAGGGTGGTCAGCAATTGCCAATCACTTCCATACATACGGTAGTGTCAGTAGGGAGTCGCTTCTATACCACTAGCTCAAAGCCAGACTCCACCTCTGTGGCATATATGAGCTCTCATGTGCATGATAGTCGATAGGCTAACATAGCATTTTAATATTGATGATAAAGATGCGTCTTGTAGTCAGCCAACCAAGCCCAGTTACGAGTTATATGCGGTCATCCATTGGCTTTCCCTGTCCTGTTTCCCTGGGCAAACCCGGCCACACCATCCGCACCAACTTCTGACAATACCGTTGGCTTCTCGCTCGAGATACTTTCCACTGGCTCGTTCATCCTCAAATTCCCAAACCGTTGCTCCAACCTTGACCTTCTTTTTGACCTTCTTCTTCACAACGCCTCCAATACCTTCGATCTCTTGTTGGAAATATCCAGGTTTATTCGACACAAGATCAGGAGTACCCACACGAATAGAGCTATCCCCTTCAGACTCTCGGACGTGGTCATGGGGCTTGGGGTCGGAACAGTCAATTTCAACCCAGCAAATAGCTTTGCCACCCCTCTCCAGGCAATCTTCACCTCGGCCACATTTCTGGCCTTGATTACCTTGTCCCAAACCCGTGCCCAGCCCGCCACCGATATGCATTGAATACCGAGATCGCCATGTCCACACGCGTTTGTATGTTGTGTCTGCAGCTCGCAGACTTTGCCCACACGGATTGCACAAGAAGACTCCCCGACTGTCACATGAACATGGTCTTCGTAGAAATGCTGATGAAGTGAAGCAAGGCCTGACTTCTTCATGCGATGCTTCTCTCTCCAATTCACTGTGTGCACTCGATGATGAAGATGACGAGGAGAAGGACCGTTCGGATCTGATGGAGCTGGCGCTCGAGTACATAAGGTGGTCGTGTGCTTCACGTAACGCGATCGAGGGGCGCAGGTGAGCTTCGAAAGGTGCCTCCGCACAAGTCTTACAGAGGCGGCGGTGCCGATCCTTTAGCCAAGTTGTCGGTGGTGGTTTGATGGCGCAGTTTCTGCAAACCACCGTTCCACAATTCCGGCAGGAGTCTACCAGGTCCCGAGCGCATGAACTTGGGCGGTGATTGGGCAAGTTTTGAGAGGTCAACGTATGTGCGTCAAAGGAATGGTGTTGTTGGGTACTTCGCGTCTCACTGTGAAGTGACTGACTGTATATTGATATATCAATAACTGGCTCTTCTTGGTGCAATGAATGGTCTTGGGATTCTTGGGCGGCACGAGGCCTAACGATGGGTTGGTCCCTTGTGCAGCGTAAGGATCTGGTCTTCAGCTGATGGGCATATTGAGTCAAGCTGTCGTGGACTGGTCGGCATGTCAGGGCGAGAGCATCCAAATCATTTAGGTCAAGGTTGGTGGCAAGGGATAGAGCAACACTAAATTTGAATAATTAGTTGGGGCGGTTGGTGTTAGAAGGCCATGAGGATTGCATACGGATAGCACGTCAACGCTGCCCCCAAGATATGGTTTGCGTGCTTTCCTGTCTCATCTGTCTTGCTAACTTGCTCTGTCACCTGTTGTTGGAGGAGAGGATTCTCGACATGTCGGAGGGGTAGACGGCGCTCATAGATAGCCGCCGGGGGGGAATAGTGTTCGTCGGTATCCGACTCAAGGTCGACAAACACTGCCATGCCATTGGAATGGTCGGCCGGCAGTGGACAAAGGAGTGGCGGGCTCTACCAACGGAAAATCGAGGGGTCGAGGAAGAGCTGAAGTTGCGTCAACGATGAGGATGAGGATGAGGATGAGGATGAGGATGATCTGAGGTGCAGACGCGGTGTCATGTTCGGTGACGTTTGTGAAGTGACGTGTCTAGAGAGCGACTTGGTTGGACGGCCGAGGGGCCCTCGGGCTCCAATTTTGGATAGAGGGGCAATCCTTGCCGGTTCCGGAGGAGCGCCTAGACTCACCAGAGATAGCATAATAAAACAGCGTGAACTGCCCACTATTGCCTAACGAATTGCATAAAGGTTCTACGGGGCAGCAGAAGCCCCTTGGCGTCCTATTCTTTGGTCCTAAACCTTTGAGAGGTACTTAAAACTTCGAGCACGCAATCCCATGTTGAGGCGCACCCAATGGTGATAGTGTTCATGATAAGGTATTCGTTCAAGTGCGGTCTTGGGTGTCAGCATTAAGGCTCCGTTACCTTATAATCTTACATGTGTGTTGGGCGTGTAAACGGAGTATATATGACTTGTTGGTACCTAGGGTCTATGGATCAGGTCGCAGGAGCCCACGGCGCCTATACCGCTTTAGAGTCGGCCTAAAGAACGCCCGATGGTTTGAGGGCCAGTCGATCCGTCCCTCGATCCACCACTCATGCATCTCTCTAGATTTACTCCAAGGGGCCGAGGCACATGGACTCAGGATTTGCCTTTCGATCCTCCACTACATCCTTCATCTCGTATACGTACGAAGTCCCCTTCGTATCTCGTCAGCAGCTCAGTTCGATCTTCTTAAAAGGCCTGAACAACGCCCGAGGCCCAGGCATCCAGGACGTGTGTGCTTGTCTCGGACTCCGATCCCTATTCTCCGCCCCCGTTATTTAAGCAACCTCTTCTCAGCCATAATTTTCCCTTCCAACATCAATAGCCTACTAGGCAGCGGCAAGTTTTGTATTGATACCCTCCGTTGAATCATTATAGCTAGCTGCACTTTCACAAGATGGACTCTTCAAAGCTGCCGTCTTTTGTCGAAACACCCGTCGAAGATATCCCTCAGATTGTCGATCGACTCCGTCAGTCGTTCCACTCCCAAAAAACTCGACCTATTGAATTCCGGCTGAAACAATTGCGAAAGCTATATTGGGCCATCACCGACCACACTGAGCAGATTCTGGAAGCATGTTCGAAGGATTTGCATAAAGGCGTCTTCGATGCATACTCCGCCGAGGTTGATTTCGTTCGCGAAGGTATCTTATTAATCAACAAGAATCTCGCCGAATGGGTCAAAGACGAAAAGGCTCCAGATATCGCGTTCCCGAATTGGTTGCTAAGCCCAAAAATTCGCAAAGACCCCCTAGGTGTGGTCCTCGTCATTGGGTAGGTCTGACCAACGTTCTGCTGAGAACCCCACTGACACAGTAACAGGGCCTTCAACTTTCCAATCAACCTCTCGTTGAGTCCAATGATAGGGGCTATTGCAGCGGGCAACACTGTTGTGTTGAAGCCTTCTGAGCAGGCGTCCCACTGCGCAGCTCTGATGCAAAAGATAATCGCCGACTCATTGGATCCAGACTGCTATGCCGTAGTGCAAGGTGCCATCCCCCAGACTTCGACTTTGCTGTCTCAAAACTGGGATAAGATCTTCTTCACCGGCTCTGTCGGGACGGCCAAAATCGTTGCTCAGGCCGCAGCAAAGACTTTGACTCCTGTCGCGCTCGAACTCGGCGGACGAAATCCCGCCATTGTGACCAAGAAAGCTGATGTCCGCTTGGCGGCTCGGAGGTTGATGTGGGCAAAGGTCATGAACGCAGGCCAAGTTTGCATCTCCCAGAACTATAACCTTGTCGACAAGGAGATTGTCCCCACCTTCGTCGCAGAACTCAAAGTCGCCCTCAAAGAGTTCTACCCCGAAGGAGCCAAAAAGAGCGCCGACTACGCGAGAATCATCAACCTATCTTCCTTTAACCGAATCAAGAAGATGTTGGACAATACTCGGGGCCGCATCTTGATCGGAGGTGAGATGGATGCTGACGAGCTATATATTGAGCCGACAGTCATTCAAGTTTCTGATCCTGAGGATTCCTTATTGGTAGATGAGTCCTTCGGCCCTCTCTTCCCTATCTTGCCAGTGGACAATCTTGATCAAGCTCTGAGCATTGCCAACAAGGTACATGCGACCCCACTCGGCGTGTATGCATTTGGATCCAAGCAAGAGACTGACAAGATCTTGGCCGAAACTCGGTCAGGAGGGGCTACTGTGAACGATGGCTTGTTTCATGGCCTCATCCCGAACTTTCCCTTTGGTGGTGTTGGAGACTCTGGCACGGGTAGCTATCGCGGCAAAGCTTCTTTTGACTGCTTCGTTCATCGTCGGTCCATCAGTGCGACCCCAGGGTGGATGGAAAAGCTGTTGGCCGTAAGATATCCACCATATTTCGGCACCGACAAGCTCAAGCAGTTTCAGAAGATGAATCAGGGGAAGCCAAAATTCGACAGAGAAGGCAATGAACAAGTGGGTACTTTGTGGTATATCTTGACATTGGGGGCTGGTAGCACGACAGGAGGCGTGTTCAGAGCTACTCTTCTGGCTGGACTGGTCGCTGGCCTGAAGAAGGGCCCGGAAACTCTGTCCCAGCTTGGTCAGAAGAGGAGAATATAACATAGTAGATTCTCCTGGGTGAGGGATGTGCAAGGGCTTTTCTTGCGTTTTTCAAGTCATCGTCAAGGTCTATAGCAACTGCCCAGCTGTCCCAACGGACGGACCGCTATATGTAATGGATATCTACTTATGTAAACACCTATAAGCTACCTCTGCGTACAACTCACGTGAGAGTAGATATAGTGATAGGGAGACACACAATTTACGGAGTACATGCACCACACCGTAAGTAGGGTGTCTTTCCGGACATAGAGCGTCTTGGCGGCATAAGCAACAAAAGTCAACGCTTGAAGATAGTAATGTCGACGTCACCAACCGGGCGGGAATGAAGATCACATTACGGAGGATGTATGCCACCACGCTTAGTGGCAGGGTGGCTGAGTATGAGGACGTCCTCGCAGAGGGACCTCGGCCGAGGGGCCCCATGGCATTCCAAGATGCGCGTGACGCCTCGTGTTGCTTCCTTAGGATTCTGCACCTTATGTAGGTAGGTTAGGTGCCTATGCACCGGGTGATTCATCAACCACGTCAGTCGCCCGAGGCAGGAGGCCCAGGTGACACAGGTGGCCATCGCCCCTTAACTCAAGGCTGCATCTACTGCCTGGCATATCAAACCGCGAGACTATGATGGACGCCACCCACTGAAGCCGACTGAACACTGTCTCCTCAAGTGACCAGTCGTGCCAGTTGACCTCACAGACGCCGAATCAATTAGAACACCATCAGTATCGCATAGCGCTTGAGTGGAGACAGACGATGTTACTGTGATGCAATGTGGCGCTTGTCCGCGCGTTGGGGATGGACCATGCCCCGAGGGGCGCCTCCAGGCTCACAGTCAAGGCCAGCCATGGCCTAGAGACTCCGCAGAGCCCGCTACTGCACTGACGGTTAGGTATCTATAGTAGGGACGGAAGTACAGTAGGTAGATAGAAAGTGCATTTTGGGGCACCACTGAATCAGGGACCTACCTTATACACTTAAAAACACGCGAAGTGGTACCTACAACGCACGGTGGCACGGCCGAGGGACGCTCCAGCCCCAACTTACATCATCTATCCTGCCCACACTCCGCACACAACCAGCGACAACTCGCCTGCGCTCCCCAACCTATCTAACCAGGCACGACTTCAATCGTCCACGTCTGGTTGGATAGCTTCCACTCTACAATAGTATCATCTTCAACAACTTCCTCACACTCGTCTCATTTACCGTCTCCTAAGTTTGGTCACTCTATTTCCTATCATCTCTCTCCACTCCTTTGCTCGTCACCTCCCACCATCAAGTTCCATCCCATCCGCACCCTTCTAGCATTGCAGCTTCGACTGCTCGTCCTCCAGACCATGACATCTACTTCCAACACTCCCTTTGCGACTCCTGCCACTTCCCTGCCTAATTCTCGACCTGGCACTCCTACTCTGTCTACTCCGGCCACAACCACTGTCGCCGACAACCAACTCCAAGATGATTCATCCAAGTTAAAGACCTTTATAGGTCTGTTGAGAAAGTACGTCACCATCCCTTGATAAGGGCCTCTCTAGGTCAATCCGACCAGTTCCTCGACCCTCGATCTCCTGTAGACCTTTCTAATACCCCTCTGCCCTGCAGATTCATCGGAGTCGCAGATATCGCCAATGTGCGGTTTTCTTTACCAGCTCAACTTATGGAGCCTATACCAAATTTAGGTATGAGAATACATCGAGACCAATCACAGTCAGGACACAACTTTCGGGGGCACGATCCTAATTGTTGACAGAATACTGGCACTATCTTGATCGTCCAGAAACATTCGCAAGGTAATGTTTCCATCCAGATCTTTGCCAATCCCTCGCTGACCGCTTCCACAGCATTGGGACATCGGATTCCGACGTTGGCCGTATGCTGGAGGTTCTAAGATTTTGGTTTACAAAAGATCTCGTCAGTGCCATCGCTGGTATACTTCGTCTTTCTTCTTTGCTCACATTGACCTAGAAATACGTCAAGGGGAGACCATGCAAACCCTACAACTCTACTTTGGGTGAATTCTTCAGGGTAAATGTTCCCCCACCAAAACAGCCCCAACAGCTCCAAGCCATAAGCTAATTCTGGCCTGTCCAACAGTGCAATTGGGAGATCAGTGACATAGCACCGTCAATATCTCAACCTTCCAAGGCGCCACCCCAACCTTCGGTCGATCCCCTCGCTCCTAGTGCCAACTCCAACTCGAATCCCATCACTGTCTCCTTTTTGACCGAACAGACCTCCCATCACCCACCTGTTTCTGCATATTGGTATGACTGCCCCGAACGGGGTGTCTCGGCAAAAGGCTACGACCAGATATCTGCCAAATTTACGGGCACTTCAGTCCGTGTAACACCCGGGGCATACAATCGCGGCATCTTCATCACTCTCAAGAACCGAGATGACGAAGAATACCAATTAATCCATCCGGCGGCTGCCCTCGGTGGCATTCTTCGAGGTTCTCTCTACATCTCCGTTGCCGATACATGCACCATAGTGTGCCCCAAGACAAAGCTCAAGACCATTCTCACCTACGTCGAGGAAAGCTGGTTCGGCAAGGCTCAGAACCGTGTTCATGGCGTTATGTTCCGTTATGATCCCGCCGATGACAAGTACATCCGCGTCAAAGACGTTCCGGAGAAGGATATCCTCGTCAAGATTGAAGGCTGTTGGCAGGAACAAATCACATACACTATTCCGAAAAATGATGCCGTCAAAGCCACGAGTGACCTGGAGCCGACCACGGACAAGCAGCTCTTGATCGATTTGCAGCCTCTGATGCCAGTGCCCAAGATAGTCCCACCCCCCGATGAGCAATTGTCCAACGAGTCCCGGGAATTCTGGAAAGAAGTGACAGCCGCGATCCAAGAGAAACGTTACGGAGACGCGACACGGATCAAGCAGGAACTTGAGCAAGCACAACGAGATAAAGTCGCCAAGAGAACAGAGCTCAAAGTTGAGTTCCAGCCAAGGTTTTTCACCGCCGTCACCGAGCAGAGTGGCAAGCCGGATCTGTCTGACGAAGGCAAAGAGGCTCTTCGCGGCTTGCAGAAGCAGTCCTTCCATCTGGAGGAGAAGCCTGAATTCGATGTGGCTATATAAGCCGGATGCGGGGTGTGAGTGTCAGGGCTCATGCGTCAGGCTAGAAATGGCGCCAGACCTGGAGCTAGATCCCGAATCCACATGTTACAACCTCGATGAATCTTGTCAATGGACGACCTAACTGGTTCACCTCGTCGAAGGATGCCAGCCCACGAAGACGGCGGGCATCACCATGAGCAGTACAGTCGCGATGGACGAGGTGGGCATGTGAGGGCTGGTCGTTGGCACCGGCAGGACGGTACAAGCATATAGGGGGGTGGTGACTGATTTTTCATTCATTCCTACCAGATTTTGCACGATAGACATTGAGGTCCCAGGCCGGAGGAGCCGGGGAGGACCTAGCGTATGAGGCGTTGACACTGACATTGACGATTTGTCTTTGACCCTTGGCTATATCCATGAAGTACAGCAAGTTTTAGAAGTGGGCATGACGCTTACAAAACAGTCGCACACCTGGAGTTCGGAATGCATTGAATGGTTGCGCACGAGATGAATCATGACCCTGGACGAGATACATAGACGACCCATTGCAACCTCTATATTGGCACCGCCCTTCCCATGCGACTAGTCTCGGTGCAGTGATGCACGGAGAGAAAGCGTCGATGATCCTGTCCTTCATCTGTTCGTCTGCCTGCAAGGTGAAACCTACCGTGTGCTGGTTCGATCGAGGCCACACATGACCGATCGGTCAACCTTTTGAGTCGGTCGTTTTGCCATAGCAGGAAGTTCGTCCAGTATCCTACCCATTGGTATAATTCTATACATTGTAGTACTACACGTCGCACGGAGACGACTGAATCCGGCAAAATCCCCGTGTTTCTGTACATACTTCGGCACTGGTATGTAGGACACTCCCAGCTCGAGGACAAGTAGAACTCATCCGTACTCACGCTCTCAGCATCCCCGGCCTCCTGCATGACAATTACACAACTACAACAGTAGGTATGTGCTCGTGTGTTGGTCTGTGACTTTGCATGGGAGCACGTGTCAGTTCCCGAATGATGGGACGCGATGTCAGGTTGTGTTGCGCAGTGTACGACAATGTAAGCGAGTGGACGGTCGGCCGCATAATGAGATTCTAGCTTCGGTCTACGGGTGACATTTCATAAGGATCCAAGTTCGAATGTGGTGCTTCAGCCGATCTGCGCTGAGTCAGTCGTAAGAGTTATGCGCGTTCTCGGAGAATGTTGGCGTTGATATGAATGGATCGACAGTGTTGCCGTAACGCACGACCATACCTAGAAGAATCAAGGTTGGTTTGATGGTGTCTATTGGCCTGTGTAAGATAAGTTCGGGGAGTGCGAAGGGATTGTGTGCAAGACCAAGTCGAGTAATAGGATATGTTTCGGCGTCGGCGCTGGAGAGGGTTGCGAGTCGGTGCCTACCTGAGGCTGGCACCGTTGGAAATGAAGGCTCGACACGAAGTGGTCACAACAGTTCACAGTGGCCTCAATTAAGGTACGTCAATCAAGGCGAGCAGCTACGCCCGTATCAGGTACCTATCCAAAAGAAACTTTTGTTAGAAAGATTGTAAAATATGTCAAGAATGGCACCTAGTCAAAGTGAGTGTAGCCAGTAGATTTCCCTCCTAAGAAAATGACAATCTCTTGAATCAGAGTATTTGATCTCCTCATGCAACCAGGTTAAAGACCCAATTCAATTCAATGGTGGTTACACGAAGCCAAATGAATGGAACGCGCCAAGAGATATCCCAAGACTCCATTCGAGCAACACATAGAAATTGATCAGGGAAAGGATTTGCAGAAGCTGAAACAGCGACTATAGCTTATGCTCGAACGAAGGATTCGCGGCGCATTTTGGTTCTTCCGGTCCGCCTTTGCATCATGCACAGGGACAGAGGGGCTACGTGGACCTCATTGATTCGTGACTAGAGGGAGTATTCTAGATGCAGGAGAAGGGAGTTAGGGTCTGCTGATGGCGACGGAGAGAAAAAGATGGTGGGTGAGAGTTGTGCTTGACCGGGAGATACGGCCGCCACGGTAACATCTGGCTCATCCATGTCTGATCAGTAGGTAGCAATCACAGTGATGGTAGGCCTATATCACGTGGGTGTCCCAGGACCAGGTTGGTTTGGTGGACCAGGTCCTCATGACAAACATGCATACGCATAATGCGTAATAAGAACTTGACGCAACTTGCAAAAGTCCCACAAGAGTTGCCCTGATTCTGATGATCAGAAGATTCTCTCTCGCGATAACTGCCGAGATCATCCTCCAAGTTGGGTCAGTACATGAGCGACCACCAGCCACAGAGGATCATAAGCAAGCGCGAAGGATTGTGGCTTGCTCATTTCCACACATCCACCCACATTTCAAAGGACAGCATTATTGAAAGTCATGCACTAGAACGGAGAGAAGACCATAGAGTTCTGACTCCTGAGAGACCAAAGATGTGTACAACCGTGATTCGTGATGAAGTCACACTTCTAGACCAAGAGCATCACCAGATTGGACCAGTGCATTTCAAGCCTGGTTTCAGCCACATAGTAAGATTTAAATGGTCCTCCTGGTCGTTCCTGCATCATGATTATCACTTGATTCCAGACAGAGTCGAATTGGAACTCTTGGACTTCAGTTTCTAGCCTTACGGAGTAGTCGATCAATCTCACCTCCCAATTTGGACGCTTTGGGCGTTCCTTGCAAACAGGATGCCGACTGGTTCTGTGTTGCCATTACTCACATCTATTTTTGAAGCAGACGGCGGCCACCTAAAACCACCACCTAGTCTATCGAGTCTCGCGATGCTAGCAGGACTGTGAGAACCGAAAAGAGGAAATCATCTGGTGTAACCGTTCTGACAATTGGATTGGCTATCGCGGTGATCAACATTGGTCCTGTAGTCCAGACAGGGTGGTCGTCAATATTCACTAAAAGGCTTTGAGTGCCCATCGGGGATCTCGGACGACGGACACGGAAACAATGTTACGCGATGTGGCTTTCACCGATGACGAGAAGAGCGCAAAACCTGGTAATCCAGGGCCTAGGGATCGGTCTGAATCTCTGGATAGAGTTTTGTCCTTGTCCTTGTCCTTCGAGCCTTGAATATCGGACATGGAGGCTAGTGGGAAACAGTCGTGCACCTTGGTCGTTCTAGTGTAATGCCTATAACTGGAGGCAGACGCATATGGGGTACCTCCTAGTACTGTAGTAATTATTACAGACCTAGCGCTCAGGTAAGGCAGACTGCCAGGGCCCGGGCACCGGGGGCCGGGGGCTTGGGGCGTGCTGGGACTCAAAACGAAGTTAGAAAAAGACGAGAGGCTGCAAGCTAGAGCGGTTTGGGATTGGCGAATACTTCACCTGGTTTCACGCTACTCCCTAATAGGCATAAATGGCCATTAAAATAGAATCACGACCAGCCCCATCCTGACTAGCGGCTTTGAAATTCGGCCTGCGCCGCAATCACCTTCTCCTCTGGTTCATGGGATTGCGACTTGCGTCTCTTCCAACCACTAATCTCTCGAGTCTTCCATTCACAACGATGCCAGCCTCAGGTACGAACCAACCCAATCCTTGCCCAACAAGCTAGCATCTCACCACCAGTCGACTAACCAACATGCTCCATCCTAGACCCATCCATGGCTCATGGCCGTGGAGCATGGATCTCCACCATCCACCTTTTTTCCCTTCCACGCCGTCGGCCTGACGGTAGAGCGGTAGAGCGGTTGAACACTGCGTCCGACCTCTACTACTCCGTACTGAAGCCCGTTTCCCTGGAACCTTGGTCCTTGGCCCGTGGCCCTTGGCCCAAAAGTCCCAGTCGTTCTGGAGAACCCACCTCCCGGTCCATGATCCAGCCATGATTTGCCAGGCTCGTTTGAGAGATCCAATCAGACATGTTCATACCCCTGGTCCATCCACGCTCTATTTTGATCCCGGCACCACCAGGCTTGCGCGCAGTAGTGATCTACACAGCCGCTTCCATCTCACTAGAGAGCCTTAGCAACCTACTATACTAGGACTCTCTGGAGCCTCCCGATACTCCGTATGTTGGCTCTGACATGTTTCCTGCCAATTTCACCCTGGCTGCTGTTCAATTCCCTTCTCCAGGCCCGCACGGCGTGCTTCTTTGGTAAGAGGACATAGCCTTTCGGCACGCACCAAGAATAACTCTCGGTTGTACACTTGCAACATCCACCACGTGCTTCTCATACTCACCCTCCAATCCACAGAGGCTCAGCCCTGCCCGGTCGGCTCCTGTAAACCGTACGCCAGCTCTAGGGACTGGTGACTTTAGCCTCCCTCGCCTCTTCTACTTTCCACCACCAACAAGTCGTCATCTCTTTCCCAAACCTTTTTCATTCATTCTAGAGACCCATGCCTCCCCCTCGGCATCTGCTCAAACAAGCTTAATCTTTCCAGAGGCTCAGAAGGGGGCGGAGGCTTTTCCAAGCATTCTCTCCCACTCCACCGTGAAACGTTCTTACTTCCTTCTCTATTCGTGTATCTCTTATATCATCTATACAACTTCCTCACCATGGCCCCAAAAAAGCGTTCTCAGACTCCACGACACTACGCTGACCACGACTCTCAATCACTCTCCGATCAGAGCCATACTAGCGCCGCAGCTCGACCTCCCTCGTATCCAGATCCAACCGCCAAAGACCACCGTCGCAAAGTTAAACTCGACCCTCATCCATCCAACCTCAATCATAACAGTCAATCGCCTTTACTCCCAGAGTCTCCTCCTTCTCTCGTTGACGGTGCTACTTCTGGTTCTCACTCTCGCCGCGAGAGCACATCAACCATGAGGACGTCGTCCATTTCCCTTGACGGCGCTGCCGCTGGCTGTACACCTACTGGACGAGTCAGCAAAGCAAAGAAAGGGAAACGTGTTCATGCTTGCGATTTCCCTGGCTGTGGAAAGGTGAGTCTCGAACGCTATCTTCCCTCATACATCCTTCACCGGCCGTCAAGTTCTTGGTTTTCTTCAAGCCGCCAGCTGACCAGTTTGTCCAGGTGTTTACACGAGCTGAACACAGAAGGTGAGGCTCGCTACTGTAGCCTAACTCACCACCTCAATACTGACCTCTTTCACAGACGACATGAGCTCAACCACAATCCCGACGCCTTGTTTCCCTGCACTCGCCCTGGCTGTCGCAAAGCCTTCCACCGCGTCGACTTGCTTCAACGTCATCAGGAACGACAGTATGTGTTGGCCAATCCACCCATGGATTCTCATCCCATGTCTAACTCTCACATAGCGACCTAGAAAGCGCAGGAGAAGGCCCTTCTTCTCACATGTCTCACATTTCTCAGGTCCCCATGTCCTCGGAGATGTCTAGTGTCATGTCTTCCTCGGTCACCAGTCCTTCAGTAGATAGAAGTGCGCCCAGGTCATCTGGGGGTCTTTCCATCGGCTCTCTGGTACACCCACAGTCAGACTACCGATTCATGGCCACTCCAGCCTTCAGCAACCACCCGCGATCTCTCGGCCACTTTGTCTCGGGCTTTCCGTCTTCAGATGAGTCAGGCATTTTCTATACTCCGGAGAGCAGCCAGTCTCCGGTTTCCGACAACTATGGCAGATACCCCCATCGCCAGAGCATTTCATCTTCTTCCTCTGTCATTGCATTTGATCCTAGCGGCGCCTCTCCTTTGATTAGCGGGACCATCCCAGGTACATGGGTTCCTTCTTCTGCCCCTCCCAGCATGCTTCCATCCAGCATTCCCGAGGATGGTTCCTATATTCCTGTATGCGCTCCTTTTCTTTGGTCTGGTATATGTACTGAAGCTGATCAGTCACCTGCAGACTCTTCCATACCAATACCCCTCTCCGACCTGGATGGATACGAATACTCTGTCATTCGAAGAGAACTATCAAATGCCCCTGGAATACTGTTCGGAAGCTCCACAGTCGGTATATCTGACGCTATAAGGTGGGAGTGTTTGGACCTTTATTGGCAACACTTTCACCCTCACTGTCCAATAGTCCACAGACCTACCTTCCTCCCTACCAAACCTAGTCCACTGCTCGCCAGTGCAATGGCGGCCATTGGATCGCAATACGACACTCGGTCTGACGCAAAGCATTACTCTCTGACCCTCCTTGAAATCGCCACCAGATTACTCCGCCGAAGAGACAACATCACCAGCAGATCGAGATTGGCCGATTTACAGACAGTCTTCCTTCTCGAGGTTCTGAGCAAGTACTGCGCCCGACGGACCGAAGTCGACATGTCGGCAAGATTTCGTTCATTGTTCGCCAGCTTGGATCAAGCCAGGAGATCCTTGGCCACTGACCCCTTGGCGGTATTCCGAACCCTTCGTCCAGATCACTCTCCCGATGATCTTGCGCGCGCTCACAAATTCTGGCTCGAACACGAAACACGCCGGCGGATCCTTCAAGCATCGATGGTTCTCGATCTTCAGCAAGTGACTTTGTTCGAACAACCTCCCACTATCATCCACCACGGACGGTCTCGCAAGTCCGGCCCAGCACTGCGAACGTCCATTTCTCTTCCTTGCAGTGAAGACCTATGGGAGACCTCTCCAATTGGATCGTGGTCCAAGATGGCAGCCGAAACTGATGTTATCAAATCAAGGGTCACGCGAAACGAAAATTCGGCCCATGAAGCCCCGCTGGATTTCTTTCAGCTGCAAGTGAGCCTAGCAAACGCCCAGGATACTTCGTTGGATACATTTCTGGTGGCCAAGAATCAGAACGACAATCTGGCTTCGTGCCTGGCTTTCAATCACCATGCTCGAGAAATGGCAAGAAACACACCTGTGCGTCAATTGCTTATTGTGAGTGGAGAGTCATGGGTTCTTGGGAGAAAGCTCGAGGACGAAGCCGAATTCCAGGATGCAAAGCGCAATCTTCGAGTCTGGATCGATTCGGACACCGAGTGTAAGACTGCGCTTTGGCACGCGGTGCGACTACTCCGAAGTCGAGTCATGTTTACTCCAGCAGACGCCAACAACATTGGACTGCATGCATCGTTTGTGGACACCCATATGTTGCACGAGCCTTGGGTTTTGTATTTGGCTGGGCTTGTTTGCTGGGCACACGGATCGAGCAGCTCCCGAGCGTTGGATAGCGGTGGCCAGGTATCTGGTGCGCCGTCCAGTGCAAGTACTTCGCTGTCGAACCCGTCACGCCCATCAAGCCACTCATCTCTCCACCCGCCACTGCTAGATTCACACGATGCCGCCTATTCGATGCGGCAATATTTGGACGTGATGGTGGTGGATCATGTGGAAAGTCTGAAAGAGATTGATCCACAGAGTTTTGGACTGACACACGGATTGTTGGAAATACTCCGGATAGAAAAGCTCGGGAAATTTCTGGGTGGGCTTATGAATGACGGGGAAAGAGTTCTGTATCGACTCGTGGAGGGACGCAGTCGATTGACGCATTTTTAAAGGATTGGTTTGGATTTTGGTTTGGTTTGGTTTGGTTTGGGTGGTCACATGTGTTCCGACTACCTTGATGCATTTTACGAGGCTATGATGATTTGTTTTGCGGATATACCACAACATTATGATTTTGGGGAACAGGTTTGGAAAAGACGTATCGCGACGGAGCTCAGGTCTTGAACCGAACAAAAAACCCATGGCGACGGAGTTTGGGGTCGTACCGCGACCCGAGTATAGCATACATGCTCCTGAGAGGAGCTTGAAGGCGCAGAAGATGGATTGAACAATTCATGAATTCGATTGAACATTGCACTTTACTTTACTTTTTACGCTCTGTTGAGTTCTTGCTTGCTATTTGGTTCGAGAGTCAGAGTAAATCAAAGTCATGGAATTAAGCAGGTGGCAGGGTGGGTGTGTGAGTATGCCGACAGCCATCGACGAGTCGACGAGTCGAAAAGTCGAGGATTCCACGTATCCTTGCTGTCATCTCGATCAGAGGAGTATCGATAGCCTGACTGAGACTGAGACCCGACCATCTAAGGCTCGCACGCTACCCACCTACATGAGGCTACATCACTCACTGCATTGCATATTCTAAAATAAAACCATCAATCGAGCCCAAATACCTTCTTCTGGCCTCGCCGCGGTTTTTACCTTCTTAGGCATATCCCACGCTCAGATCAAGAAGCATCGCATGCATGACCTTGTGAATAGGTATCCTTATTACCCGAATACCACTTACTTGCCGTTCAGAATCCTACTAATCGATCGATGAGGTGCATACTTGTTGTCTGTATGTTATGTATCTCCAGGAATCGCGTAGCTCAGATACTATTTTTGGGGCCGTATCACAGCGCAGTGTGAGTGTCAGTGTCTGGGACTAGGATGTGCTGGGATTAGTGCTTATCGCTTAGTGTTGAGTTTGTCAACATCAGGCTGTACTCTGAGTACGTACATATGTTCTCGAAACCCATACTCCGTACACATATAGTAATGTGCAGAATCGGTGTCACCTTAGGATAGGGACGAGTGTCTACGCTCCGTAAGGGAAAGGCGGGCCCGACGAGGCCCAGTTTTGGCTCCTCGGCTTAATTATATATGAACACGGTGGGAGGAGGCAAGATAGCCAATTAGATTAGATCAATCAAGTTAGCTTTGAATACCGTAAGGGTCAGTACCTCCGTACGTGTGCGCTCCTCGTCATTGAAAGAGGTATTTAGTAGTAGTACCTAGGTACCTACCTACTTCGTACGTTACTGTGGCTTTGACCTGCGGCTGGGATTTGCGTAGCCCGGAAAACCTACCTATCTTAGCTCCCGCCCGAAATCGCTGCGCGTGACAGAATTCCTGCTTAGTCATTTCAATACTCGCTCACACCGATAACCACGCCTTGTTCGCAACGGGCCCAAGGCTGGATCAAATCGTCTTGTCATGCAGACCGTAAAGCCACTCCGGACTGCGAAGCTGAACGACTCCATATGGAAGGATGTCTCGGAAGATCTTTTTCGTGAAACTGTCATCCGCCTTTCTCGAGCCACGAGCGGCGTCCCGGTCGACCCCAAACATTGGTGGTCAAGCTCGAGAGATAGACAATGTCTTCCTTCTTCGACGGAACTTCGCTTGCTCTCTTTTGAAGCCGAAGAAAGACTTGCTACTGACTTTGCATTCATTTCAGCCGCTCAAGAAGGGGTAGAAAGCGTGAGTGCCGTATGTGTTGAAGAGCTTTCTGAGCCTCGAGGCCTTGTCTTTCGTTTTGCAGCAAATAACGGAGTACGTGATGAGATCAGAAATGGGCTGGAACAAATTTGCGATTGCCTGATGTCTTGTGCATCGAATAGTAGGTATACTATGAGCTTCGCTGTTACATTTGTCTCACTTCTCGAAAGAGATCTCGCTGGCGGACTGCATCTCAACAACCAGAGCATTAATACTCACACTTTTACATGAGCGTATCCTCTCGCGGATGCGGCTGTTCCTTGGATATCAACCTTCTCACTGTCGTGGTGCCGTATCTCCCAGTGCAAGACTCGATAAAACTCTTGCCCAGATGCGAGCCAGAGCGTCGACGGCTGTCGCCAAAAATTTTGTCAATCGCATATCCAAGCTGAAAGGAAGATTCGAAAATAGCTTGGGCTTTGTCGGCCCTGAATCCGCCCGGGCCCTCGAGGAGTGTGTTAGCGAATGCTTCTCTATCACCACTTCCAATGGCCGCGTGTCTTTTCGAACTACATTGCAAAACGCCGGATTAAACTCTCATGAGTGGTTCAATGATAAGTTCATCATGCAAATCGACAAGCTCGGAGCATACTACAGAATTCCTGAGACTCTGTCAAGAGAATCCCGTAGAAAGGGGATAAGGTCACTTTTCTCGAATATCAAGCTTGAGTACCTTGACCCATACGAACCTAGACAGAGCTCCATATCACTCACTGGTAAGAAAATTTACTGCTACGTACATGCAGAAGTGCAAATGGTCGTACATTACATGATCACAAGGAGCACGCAACCGCCACGATTCATCGGCACGAGCAAAGCTACATGTTTTCTTTGCCACCTCTTCATTAACGAGCAAAAGCTTTTCAGCGTATCAGCATGGCATGGCCGTCTATATGACCAGTGGACTATCCCAGATCTCGCGGAGTACAATTCCGTCAATATCGCTGCGTTAAGGGCCATCATACGAGGAGTGCAACATGAATGTGTTGAACTTATATCCCAGGAGCACCTTTGGCGACCTTACCCTCTCACGAGCAGGCATCATCTCCCGGAGCTTCCGGTCTACTCACCCGCATCAACCATTACGAAGCTCGATCCTCCACAAAGTACGAGCAGGAGTATTCTACCTGCTCCGTCACGAGTTTCACCAGGTGGTGTAGAGTCAGTATTCAACCAGTCGCCATCAGCTTCGGATGCTCCTGCAACTCCCACACAACCGAAGCATGACCTCGAATCAAAAGCTGTGCCCGAATGTGACAACACGACAGCTCCGGTATCTCAAATCAATAGCCTCAGCAATTTGCGCCAGAGGAATGACTCAATTCTGTCAACTCCTTTCCCCAGGAGCTTCAACCTTCATCCCGGCAAACCTCTGTATATTGAGTATTCGAATTTCAGGATATTAGTGGAGATACAGTCACCTTGTGAGGGAATACTCACCCTCAAGGAAGACAGTGAAATGGATGCTGGAAGTCAGGAGATAAATCTGGAACACCTCAAAGAAAGATGTGAAACCAGCTTCGAGAAACGAGATTCTGACTCCTCCGTCGTGCTCCGTTTCCGGAAAGGCATTGATGTCGTGTGTTGTGTGGCCCTGGAATGGATTTGACATAGGCAAGAGAATGTCTCAGAAGTGCAACGGCCCTGATTGATACTGCATTGATGGCTATCGCCGAGATACAGAGGATCATGACAACCTTGCTTCCTGGCTTCCCTCTTATCCCTCCATTGCCGATATCATCGCGAGATATTGTACCGAATCTGAGAATGGTGGGGAACAACCTCGATGGCGACGATTGCCGGCCATACGACATTCTACTACGATCTGGTGCTGCTGTATATTGAATATAGAACAAGACGAGACGAGGGGCGTGGTGCTATTTGAACCCGTGTAAGAGCGCTGGTTAGATCGATAGGACTAGGCGTGTAATACTCAGAGATGGCAGCTAGCCGTCTACTAATATAGAGACTTCTAACACCGATAACTAAAGGAAACTCAGTCTCCTAGTATACGGTGCGTTTATAAGTAGTAGTACCTTACCTAGTCTTGGGTTAGGTTGAGTCGGCGGGGTTCGCCGGGGCTATCCCGTGATAAATGGTCTGCATCGGCTCTTATATTCTTAGGAAAGATTCTTTATGATGAGCCAGTACCTAGTAGGTTAACATCAACCATGACCAGACCCCTCGGCCCTGTACCTAAGGAACCTCCTCTTCTAGCTCAACTGCCAGATCTTTGGCACTCTTGTATGATTGAATCCAACATTTCTCGATAACAGGACCTAGCCAGATTCCAGTCGTTGATGGAAGACTATCTCGTGGTGGCCAGGAAGTTGAATCACCCGGTCCCTATCAATCGTGAAAGATATCGAATTCACCTTTCTGACTGACCACAATTTCAAACATGACTGCACCATAAATAGCCGTGTCGTATTTACTGTAAATACCATAGAGAGCGTCAGCCAGCCAGGCAGGTATGTAGTCTCCGCCTAGCAACTGCGCCTTAGCATCCAAACTGAGGATATGTATCCTCCTCCTACGCAGAGTATAAAGTCGGTGATCTGAGCATTTCTCAACGTGGGAAGTAAACGAATCGATGCGTTGACTTTTCTGCCTATACCTTCCCTACCTACATACCAAGTATCGTCATGTGATTGAAGTCTTTGAGGGATCAAATATTGCGTTGCATTCAAATGAGGGGAATGCCTTGTATACAAAAAATGACATGAATTCAATATCCTTTCAGATCTCAATCTGAGATTCCAAACCAGATCTCCCAAACCCAATCCAGGGAGAAAACACCATAATGACCCATAAACCCCATATTAAGTCCAAGATTCCCAAGAGACCTGATTCTGGTTCCGTGGAGGGAGTGCTCTGTGCGGAACCCTTGGTCTCTTCATTTCAGTATTCGTAACAAATGCATCTGTAGACGGTAGAACTATTACGGTGTGACGGCAGGACTGGATTTGGCCTCGGAATCACTCCTCTCGGTATCCAGGCTCCTCCTCCAGTTGGCGCCATCACTACCACTTCTCAACCGGGCAGCCTCTCTCTTAGTGATGATTTCTTGCCAGGCCCTCTCATCCTCGATTTTGGAATCGGCGAGGGCAGGTGCGGCGGCGGTGGCAGTTACGGCGTGTAGAGCTGCACTGACACTTCCCCCGGGTAGATGCTCAATATCGACCTCGGGAATGGCAGTATGTTGAAGCGATTTGCGGGCTTCGCGTCTGGCGGCTCGAGCATCGTGATTGAAGGCGAATTCATGGTGATGCTTAGAGAACATCGGGACATGCTTGTCGAGGAACGACGTGGTTGCCGATACAGGGTGTGGTGTAGGAATGTGGATGTGGTGCTGGGCTCCAGCGTGTGACCATGAGGTCTTGTGTGGGTTCTGGGTGGGGGAAGGAAGTGACGCGATAACATATGGTGTCTGTACCCGTGGTTGTGAGGCGGAACTGGTAGAGAAATCGGTCTGTTGTACGGGCATGTCAATGCGCATATTTGATCTTGTCGACGATCTCGTCGAGGTTAGAGAAAGGTCGCTGGATGATTCGGTTCGAGACATGGTGGGATGTGGCAGATGTGCTGAGAGTAAGTATAGTGATAGGAATGGTAGGTCGAAAACAACCGTTGAATTATAGCGGTGGAGTGGTGCGGATGATCCACGTCCCCAGAAATCAAAATGGAGATGAATGATCTAGTTCTTGTATAATTTGGTTTTGGATCTGGGGTAGTTGCGGTGATTATACGATCGGCGGTGGGACTATCGCAAGACCGGTTGATGCCGTGATGGCGTGGATCATTTGCCACTAGAGGAGTAAGTTGGTGAAGAGGCAGTAGATGAATGGTGTACTAGTCAAGACTTGGTCATCACAGGCGGGTGCTGAGATAAGAAACGACGGAGTCTCAGCCTCGTACAAGAGCGACAAGAGCGACAAGAAGGACAAGAAGTGGTGTAGAGTAGTAGAGGGGAAGTACGACTGGGCAGACACCGCGGCTTTTAAAGACACTCAAAGTGACACGAGTAATTGGCAGATACAAAGATTATGTCTAACCCCCCTCTCCCGATGGGGTTGCAGGCCAAGAATACGAGTCGGTGGGTGGCTGATGCAGAAGAACATCCATGCATCGCACTGTCTGTATAGCATCATCCGTGCATGCTTGGCCACAGTTCATGAACCGAGGAAATATGACGTGTCAGTGGTTGTGGATGCAGAGGTAGATGCAGATGCAGATGTAGCAAAGCGAAGCAACGGTAACCTCCGAAGTGGCAATATCACCAATGATTAGGTAGATAGACAGATAGACAACAAGTAAGCAAAAAGGCAAGAAGACCAAAGAATACCGAGTATGAGCAAGAATCCTCCCTTACGATGAGCACGATGAGCACAAACAACAGTAGCACGCACCGCCAGCAGAGCCACCTGTCTCAGTCGATACAATACCGAGGTAAGGAATCTACCAAGGCTTGTAGATCAAAGGGCAAGTTCCAGGATCAGATGGGACCCGGAAAGATAAAAGGTTTCTGAATCAGCATGCTAGTGATCCCCTAATTGCGCATATGGGCCTGACAAAGTGCTTGAGGCGGGGGTTGTGAGGAAGAAATGATAGTGAGAGGTGTACGGAGGTGAGAACAAGCTCCTTCTAGGGTCCAATTATAATGACGGCCAGGCCTAAAACCTTAACTTTAGGTGCTCGGCTTTATTGGTGGGGCAGCAGAATCCCCTCAAGCTAACGACCTTGACTAAGTCGTACTCTAAAAGCAAATTATCCTGTACAAAACCTCGAGAATCGTTAATATGGAAATATGCTGTAGTCCAACCCTTGCTCCAAACCTGCACAACTTTTATGAACTCACTCCGTGCCGAGTCTGGACGTCCCCCGGCCCAAATGCCTTACCTGAGTTTTCAATCCCAGGCGTGCCAGGGTCCCTCTCCATTTGACGGATCCATTCGCCCAAAAGAGCCGAGCACACGTGCTGACTCACCATGCAGGGTCTTATGCAAGCACACAGCGTCATGGCCATCCACCTGTCATTCCCACTCATTCTCCTCGAGCCTGCGTGTGGTGCGCATGACAAAACGATGCCTCATCGTGCTCATCCGAATCACTCATCTTGGCCCGGTCTTGAGTACATCACAAGACCGCCGTCCCCATTCGATCCTACAATCCCTCTACTCGAGCCAATAAAACAATATCTGTTGTCAAGAGCAACTCTACCCCAAGGAAGTTGTCATTGTTCACTTGAATCATGTGCCAAGCCTGTCCGCTAGCAGAATACTGATATACAGTCTCAAACACAACCATCAAAACACCTTCTCCGTAACTGTAGCCTCGTCTGTATCATAACTTCATCACTACATGTACTGGGATTGTCAACCATACCACCCTCACCCTGCCCCAGCTCAACTCTCCACCTCCACCATCCGATACCCTTCCCCAACCAATCGGTTGATTTCTTCATTCTTGTGCTGAAGCAGTGACAATGCATATGCTGTGTCGTCCCATTGTCGCTTGTTGACGCACCGTCCAAGACGAGCGGCAAGCTTCTCCGCCAGGTTCTTTGCGTGCTTGTCCTAGATGGCAAATATCGTCAGCAATGCTCAAGCTCGCCTGTCACCTCACTACACGAAACACGTGGATCCGTCAATCCCTGCATGACTGCTACATGTGCTCGAAGGCTGGTACAATGACGTAGCCAGCGATGACCAGTCAACAAACCATGCACAGTCTCCAGAGAATCTCCCATGGCACCATCAACACTTGAGCGAATCGGGACTTTGCCGTTGTTCTGTGCCAGTGCCAGTGCCACGAGAAACATGGATCACTGCACGCTGTCTGACTTGACCCATGCAATGCAATGCTGATGGTGATATTTCATGTCGCCAGGTGCAAGACCCGCAACATGCGCCACATCCTCGGGACCAAAACTGCTATTGGGAACAAGCTTACCTTTTCAATGAAACCACACAAGAATTTGAGGATTCTCTTGACAGCCTCTTCTTCCATAACACCTCCTTCCAGCGGTCCGTCCTGTGTCAGCACGCTGAACATATCCACAAATTGATTGTACACCGCATTGTCTTTGGTCGCCAGCTCTGTGAAAAACATCCGTGCGAGGTCTGCAATCCTCTTGTCTCCGTCCTCCAGACACTTGGCCATTTCTCCCAGTTGTCCTTTGACTTTGACTTGACCCGCCAGGATCAAGAACGTGAGCGTCATCAAGCACGTTCGCTTGACACTCTCGTCGCTGTCGTTGAGTCGTCGATACAGAAAGTCCGTATTCTCGTCGATCAGATGATTGAAGCAGACCGCCATGTCTCCCAGCGCAATCACCGCATTCGATCGCACAATCGGATCCGTTGACCGCTCGAGAATTGTAATTAGAAGAGGCAGATTCTTTTCACAATACTCACTGCTAACACACATCAGCTTTGCCAGACATAGTGTCGCCTGAGCTTGAAGATTTCGATCCCGGTATGCCGCATTGTTGGCGCATATCTCTGTCACCAGAGGTCCAAAGTTCGTAAGCAGAGAATTCGATCCAAACAGGAGTTCGCGCTCCCGTATGTGCGCAATGGCTTCCGTGAAATCGTCCTCGGTAGTTCCCCCAATCAAGTCAAGCTCGTCCTTCTCTTCTTCTTTCTGCTTTTCGGCAAGCGCTTCTTCTGCTGTCGGTTTTCTTTTTCGAACCGGTGTAGGCCCAACCGATTTCTCTGGTGACGGGTTCAGCCCAGCCTTGTCCTTTTCCTGATCTTGCTTCCGTCGTTTGAATTCAAGTTCACACAGCTCGAGATGAACAATCTGCTTGACAGCGATATGCCCGACCGCAAATAGTAAGTGTGACAGTGCAATAGAGGGCTTGTCTCCTGTCGTTGCTTCACCTTCTTGCTCGACCTTTTCTTGATCTGCGTTCGGAGCTTGTTCGATATCGTCAACGTCCATGGCGTCTGGTTCGGGTGATGGCGACCTTGACAGTGACGTCTTTCCTCGAGTTCGCTGAAACACTAGCCGTGTCTTTTGCCGGAGGACTTCGGAACACAAGACATCTGGGTGGTCTGAGAGAACGTAGATGGCACCGACCGCCTGCTCTGCCATACCGTACCAATCTTTGCTGGGGGAAGTTGTCAACAAGATCGAAGCAAGCATTCTGAGAACTTCATGGCCGTTGGACATCTTTGACAGACCAGCAGGAGCACTTGCCACCTGCGCCTTTTTGGCCGTGGGAATCATCCGACGCAGAGCAACGCAGGTGAACTTTGCCAACACTAAATCCTCCCTTCCTAGCTGCCCCAGGCCAACGCGAAGCATGGTGTCCATTTCCTTGATCACCACTTCTGGATTGGCAAGGGCGATCATGCCCAGGACAATAATGGCGCCGCGCCTTTGAGCTTTGGAGATTCCCTTATTGACTCCATACACTTGCCACAGCTTGGAAACAACAACTTCCGAAATGTGACCGGCCTTGAACATGGTGCTGAGTAGTTGTTCGAGCGACGTCAACTCGGCAGGTGTGGCTCCGAATGTCAAACTGATCATGTTTCGCGCAACAAAGTTGGCTGCATCATTTACGCTGAATATCTCTGGGGCGTCGAAGAAAAGCCCCTTGTAGCTGTCGATCAGATGAGTTTGCACACCTTTGCCCTCGTCGTTGTTGCTCTTGGTCCAGATGAGTCGAAGCATGCGTCGAATGCCTTTCCTTGCAGTTTCCACCTTGAATGCGTCGATAGTCACAAAATAATCCATCACCTCGATCACCTCGGTCTTGTTTGACGATGAGAGGAGTTGAACTGCAATGTCCGAGGCCTCATGGATCACTTCAATGAACTTGAGGGCTTCGAGGTAGTACTTTCTCGTCAACTGCAGCTTGTTCATCACTTCAGAATTCGCAGATTCCTCTTGTGCCTTCTTTACGGCGGCAATCTGCTCTTCTTCTGTCATTTCCTTTGGCTGTTCGGCCATCTCTGTTGCCTCATCGAGCAGCTCCTTGTCGACTTGTTCCTCGCCTTCGGCAGTCTGTGCCATGCCTGGGGACTCTGGTGGAGGCTTTAGCGCATCAATCTGAGACTCGACTGCCTCAAGCCTGTCTGTCCACTCCTTGTGTGAGAGTTGACCACCATGCATTAGACTGAAAGGATGAGAAGACACCAATTTCTTCAGTAGCTTGACAGCATTTCGCCGCACGTTACTGCTCTTGTCTTGGAGGCTCTGCATGGCAAGTTCTGTGGCGTGCTGTCTCCTCTTAGGAAACTTTTGCTCCAACTCACAGATCTTCATGAAGACTTGCATGGTCCTCACTCGACAGAATGGCGCCGTGTCTAGGAATCTCTGCTCCAGAGTGTCGAAAAAGGCATTTATCTGGATCTTTGTGGTTTCGCTCTTTTCTTCTTGCTTGCTCAAATCGGCAAGAAGATTGCCGCAGACTTCAATGACAGCACACCTCAATGTGTGAGCCTCGCTGTCGAGGAACTTGGCTAGAAGACCCATTTCCTTGATCACCAGCCGTGGTTCCAACTCGGAAAGTTTGACTATAAAAGCCGACACAGATTTGGGGCCTTTGGTGTCACTTTGGCTAAACTCCTTTGCCGCCAGTTCTCTTAATATCTCTGCCGATAGTTGATGGTAGTCGTACTGCTCCGAGAGAATGTGGAGAAACTCTGCCATGGGTTCGGAAAGGTGCTCAAAGTATGTAAGATTCTGGACGATCGAAGTCTGGGCTCCAAGGGCGTGGCCATGATGCTTAACAGCAACACACAAGACCTTGAAAGAGAACATTCGGACTGCGGTGATTTTGACTCTTGCTTCAGTCTCCATGATGAGGTATACTGATCTCGTAAAAAGGTTGATAAAATTATCTCGATCAGAGGTGGTTTGGAAGATGCGATTGAGCTTCAACTTCATCACTCGACACATAACATCCATGGCACTTTGGATCTGACCGGCGGAATCCCAAACATCGTCCTTGGCTACTGACTTTTTGGCGCCCTTTGTCGCTCGACGGGCGGGCGCAGCATGCGCTTTCTCGGCAGCTTTTGTCTCGACCGCAGCTATGGCCCATTGGAGAAGGAATGCGTATGCTTCGAGCAGGATTTTGTGGTGAACGAGGGTTTCTTGTTCATCGTTTTCAATATCATGGTTTGCGATGTCGGCGGCAGTAGAAAGGCCCGAAACAATCAGATGAAAGATCTTGCTTAATGAGTGCGCGGATAAGTTTGTGGATTGTCTGTAGGTACAGCGTTAGCATTCGAAATCGGCGTGAGAGGACAACTGGAGGAGGCGCACTTTAAGAGGAATTGCAGAGTGTCGAATGCAGAACTTCTCAGTACCCCCTCGGGGCTTTCAGAGATCAAATCCAGTGCTGGGTCTAATGCAGCATCGACTACAGCTGATGAAAGGGAGTCTGGGTCATGTTCGCACTCGAGTAGATCGGGGTGTGCTTCTGGGGTCGGAATGGATCCTGCATCGCTCAGGTAGAGTTTCAGAGACTCATTGATGTCAAACTCAACCAGGTCCGACATGATGGAAGAGTTCTGCTGATAGAGAGAGAGTGGAGGAGGAAATCAACAAAGGCTTCAGTTGAGTCGACAAGGCAGGAACCAGCCAGCGGAGTCAGTCGCACTTGCCTGGGTCCAAAACAAGCCAACCTAGGAAGGAGCTCAGCGGTGATGAGTGAGCGACATCAACGACAAGACAACAATATTGGCGATATTGACAACGACAGTGAGATGAGCGTAGTTGACGGTGAATGTCTGTGTTGCCATTCACAGATTTGATGATCCCAGTCATTCTGTTTGACCCGTTTGACACAGTTAGGCACGCGTCTCTGCTATTGGCGTGTTGCCGGTGGACTATTGACGTATTTCCTAAATAGGAATGGGTTTGATGCGTCCCCCACCGTCAGTCGGCAAAACAAGTCGCACTGTTCTCAAACACACGAGTGAGTGGTGGAGGTTAGAGTGCCACAAGTGTCCACCGCCCCCATACCCCCTTGGCTGTCGCCCATAGCCATGAAATTGCGCAAACGTGCCAAAGGTGTTCTCGAAGCCTTGCGCCCAAAACAATACCATGTCCCCAATGTCAAATCCTCCAAACCTGCCGTTTCACAGTTCTCGATCCTCCTGAGATCTTCTGACCCTACCAACGCTGAGAACGAGGAACAGACGCGTCAAACGGGAGCAGACGAGCAAGAGCGGGACGGTGCAGGAACGATAAAGTCTATAACGCCTGCTTCTGAAACCAATACTCCAATTGTGCCTGCACCTGTACAGCCACCCTTCCCTGTCTTGGGAAAGAGATCAAGAGACAAAATGGGTCACACCGCTATCGAGATCCATGAGGATAAACAAAGCATTCAGATGCTGCGACGAATGGGTCCCAAGGACGACGAGTATATGGAACTGTCCGAGGACGAAGACTCCAATGATGCATCTGTTTCGGACGACTCGGACGATAGTGACGATGACATTGACGAGACAGTCATGGAAGACATGCGGAAACTGGAAGAGAGCTTTAAGGGTATCTCTCAAAAGTACCGCTTGATCAACCGCATTGGCGAGGGTATGTACACATGCCTGCTGTCTTCTTTGAATACGTGCCCTGCTAACATATTATTTCCGTCGACCAGGCACATTCTCAACCGTATATAAAGCCCACCAGCTGCCTCAGCGAGAGCCCACGGAGGATGGTAGCGATGCAATGTCGGAAGATCCAGAAGAGATGCCATTAAAGAAACGAAAGACAAATTCGAGGACCGCAACGTCGACGCGTGATCGCAAGAAACTTCGGACGGTGGCTTTGAAAAAGATCTATGTCACGTCATCGCCACATCGCATTCTCAACGAGTTGGAACTACTTCATGAATTACGAGACTCGCCGTATATCTGTCCGCTCCTCACAGCCTTTCGTCATCTTGATCAAGTGGTTGCAGTGCTGCCTTATTTCAGACATTTGGACTTTCGCTTATACTACCGAGATTTTCTCGTGGAAGACATGCGACACTACTTTAGCAGTTTGCTCAGTGGTCTGGCACATGTCCACAAAGCTGGTATCCTCCACCGTGACATCAAACCCACAAATTTCCTATATGATAATGTGAGAAGAGAAGGGGTGCTGGTTGATTTTGGCTTGGCTGAACGCCAGGGCACAGATTGGCAGCCCTGTCTCTGCCTGGAATCAAGAGACAAGCGAAGAGACAAGTTTTTGAACTCATTTGCGGTTCAGGTCTTACAGACGCAGCCAGACTTGGTATCGACTGGCTTTCCCAAGTCTGATAGCCGTCCATCGAGGAGAGCAAATCGGGCCGGTACACGTGGGTTTCGTGCTCCTGAGGTACTGCTCAAATGCACATCACAGACCACCAAGATCGACATCTGGTCTGCGGGAGTGATTCTCCTGACCCTTCTCGCTAGACGGTTTCCATTCTTCAACTCGGCGGACGACGTCGATGCCATGATTGAGATAGCATCCATTTTTGGCCGCAAGAAGATGCAAGCGGCGGCAGCAATGCACGGGCAATTATTCGAAACCAGTATTGAGACCATTGGTGAACGAGGATTCACATTGGAGAAGATCATCCTTTGGGCGAGTTGTAGGGAAAAGGAGCAGGATGGCCTAAGAGCAGGGGAAGCCCAAGCGGTCCTCTTGTTACAGGGTCTGCTTGAGTTAGACGCCGGCAAGCGCTTCAGTGCAAAGGAGGCATTGATGCACGAGTTCTTCACAGCGCCAGTCGAAGACGAAGAAGAGAGAGCGGAGCGACTCGAAGCACTCGAAGCAGTGGGAGCTCGTGTAGCAAGATGAGTTACTTTGACGGAGAGCTGATGAGTTCCTTCACATCTGAGACATAGATGTCACTGACATGAGAGCAAGGCGACGAAATAGATGAGCTGGGGATGAAATGACGGAGTGTGACCACATTATGGACAGTAGGGGCATCATTGTGTTCCTAGCGTTATACCCATTGACTGCGACGCAAGAAGTGCATGGCATGGCGTAGGAAGGTCATTATCTGGAGCTTAATAATGTTGAAAGAATTAAGACACTGAATTCAGGGGGGACACGAGCTACGAGAGTTATCGATGTAGAGACAACTCTCGGATTGTCGATTGTCGATTGATGTCGTTAGTACCTGTAGGGTGCAGCGATCCGCCGCTCTATGAATTCATTCACTTGTACGCGTCCGTCTTGACAATAATCACCAGCAGGAATTCTCTCGGAAGGCCCCTCCTGCTCGTGACTATCCAAATTGTGCATCCAAGGGACCTGTCCTTGATTCCGTCAAGTCTGTCAACACCGGTTCTATGTCTGGCACGGTCTTGTTGTCTCAGGACATATATATGTTCGGTGACGAAACGGACAAATGACGGATCGGACAGGTACATGTCGTTCTGAAAACCGTTTCCAGGTGTTGGAGAGCTCTGTGCCAGAAGATGGCCGTTGGAATACTTCTCATGTCATCCGCTCCCGATTCTGCATCATAGGCTGAGTGTGATGGTCATGATGAAGGCCATTCTGTCGGTGCCTTGGTGGTATATAGCGATAGGCCAGTCGTTACGCCATCTCTCTCGCCGCCGTTGGCGTGATCTGGGTCGGCTGCTGCGATCATGCTCTGGCGATATTCGGTATCAACGCATGGAGTGCATGCCCGTCAAGTCAAAGAAATGAACTCGCCGTACGCTATCCTCAACCCGCAGCAACACCACCGGTATCCGCACCATCCGTGTGTGGCATAGATTCCAGTCTCATCTCCTCCAACTGCTCCTTGGTACGTAGCTCGCCTTGCCAGCCATATTCGGGCCATCCCTTGGGCATAGAGGCACTAGGTGGGAAATGCCAACGATCACCACACCTGTTTTCAGTGCAAGTGAGATTGCACAGGCCGTAAGTCTGGCAGTAGCACCACGAGGCATCAGGACAATGTACTGGCGGCTTGCCGAAGATTTGATGCCAAGAATATTCCATGACACGGCCGGAGATACTGTCTTCGAGGGTGGTAGTTAGGAGCCATTCACGATAGTGTTCGTAGTCAGACTTCGGGCGAGTGTGGATTGTGGTTCGCGAGGCGGCGAATTGGGCACAACAGCCAACACCGATGGTTTCGGGCACATTCTGTCCAGGAAAGAGTTGATTGAATGCCTCGGCGTAGGCTTCTTGCGTGTGGCCTGCCTGATCGTTGGAAGGTCGGTGATTCTCCTGAAGTGGGTGGATTTCATCTGGGCAGCCCAGTGTCCACACACAGCGAAGGTTGGCGTATCCTTGTTCAATTATATGTTGGGTTCGCAGGGACTGCATCAAGGGGACGCCGTCTAGAAGGGATGTCAGTGGCACCTCGTGGAAGGGCGGCGAGGTCTGTCAAAAGAAAAGGGGATGGACTGACCGTAAAGTGGATCATCGTTATGCCATTGATATCTCAAGCTGTGAATAAATATAAGTATGTCGGGTAGATTGTCATAATTATTGATGATATGCCTGAACATGGCAATCGAGATCAGTACCTGGTTTGATTGTGATAATAGGAGAAGCTTACGTCAGGTATACCATAGCCTCGCGGCCTTTGTTCTGGGGGACGGTCAAGGGGGCGGATTGGTCATTGACAACATATAGGTTGGTCTTCCATTTAGAGATGTACTCCTGCAGCCAGGAAGAGTCGTCTCCCTTGAGAGATGCGACAACGAACTCGACCGAAGGACCTGATGACGATGACGAGTCCTTGGCAGATTGATCTTTTACACTGCCGACTCTGGTCGGCAAGGGAAGGTCGAAATAAAAGAAAGACGACAAGAAGATAAAGACCATGACCATAGCCGCACCGATGCGGGCATATTGCCTCGATCCCAATTGCGGGATCTTCTGGAGGAATGAGGTCAATGTCATTGTGAGACTGGTGACATTGAAGCCACAGTCGAAACAATGTCGACCTGGTCTGGTCGAGGTCGAGGTTGAGGTCAAGATGGAAACAAGAAATGTTGAGGGAAATGTTGCCGCAGGTCCAGTGGGGGCCGAAGAGCTGATGTTAGGCGTGTTTGGAAGATGCCTAAGCCTCGTCGAAGGGGCCGAGGGGGCTATTATAGCCTGTGGGCAATGAGCCCTATGACTGTGCCGTCGAACAGACCGAACCCGGCGCCTTATGGCTCTTTGAAGGGACATTGCAGCCTGTTCAACTGCATGATTGTGGCAATTGCTTCCTAACTACTAGTACCTTACTGTCCCTACCGTACCTTAGGCATTTCTTAGAGGTTGATGGTGGATAGGTATTCAGGTTGGTCTGGATGCCACATAGGTAGGTACCTACCTAGGTACCTTATCCTAGGTATCCGCTCGTCTTGCACACCTCCTACTGTAGGGCCCGAGTCTTGCATGTGCGATCCATGTCAGTGATCGATGCGCAATAAACTCGATTCTAGCGGCGGGATGTTCCACCCATCATCTCGTTACTAGCCGCCCGGCTGGAGGACAATAGGGCTTGACTGCCCATGTCAACCTCAGGAACCATCTTCAGTAGTAGGCAATCGCCATTTCATCGGCAAACTCTGCTTTGAAACACAAATCATTGTCCAAGTTTTCCACCGACCGCGTCCACTATGGAGATTGCCTTTCTACATACCTTAGGTACCTACCTTTGACACTTTCGATCACCCATGCGTACCACTGACCGGTCAAAGTGTTCGACCAACGCTTTTGATCCTCTTGTGTAGTCTAGGCTATCTGCTGCAAGTCTACTGCGTCCAGAGCCTTGGTCGTTAGCTAGTAGTAGGTGTCTTGTTTCTCGGCATGCCGTCTGTCGAGCGTTGGGCCAACGGGAACGAGCTTGGTCACAAGAAAGGTGACATTCGGTTCGCCCAAGAACGCTCATCATCCCGCACTTTGATGGGATCTATCCGTAGAGCCATGTCTGGTCACATTCTATCATATCATTGGCAGCCCTCACATCTTCACACAATCTCGAGCCGTTCTTGCTTCTGAGCCATGCTCTTTTCTCCTCCATCTCCACCTGACCTAGGCTATAGAGGGAGATTACAAGCAGTGCCGGGAGTGCCAATTAATGCCCCCAAAGCCCAGAAACCCTGGCTGGTGGAGTCTGCAACCGGCCTTGAGCGAGTCGCGTTTCAGCGGCGCTGCAATAGCGGGTAATAACGTGCGGTTTCGGCCCCCCAAGTGCAGCTGCCAGGCCCTTCGAGCGGCAGCCCATCAGTCCATGACCCTTTGAATCCAAGTTGTCGCACCTGCAGAACTCTGTTCACAGGACCAACAACACCAGGGTCAATTTTTAGTGACTTCTCCCACGATACCAAGGATCGTCTCCCGCAAAAATGAATCCACACTGGCACCTTTGTATCACGCCAGCCCTTTTTTGACCTTCAAACCCTGGGTCCGTCTGATTGACCTACCTTACTATTGGGACTAAATTGTAATGATCTAGGCTCGTTCGTTGGACGATCAAATTCTCGTACGCATGGCCGGCAAGCCCGCTATGATCGGGGCCGGTTGAGCCTCAAACAGTAAGATGCCTCTGATAAGGTAAGGTCGTCGCACTCGTCTCCCAGGCCACTCAGTCCCGTGCTGCCTCCAGCTCACCCTGCCGCGCACCCACAGCAACAGCGACACTCGTATCTCACCTCACATTGTTTCCGTGCGATTCGACTGGATGTGGACAATTTGACCTGCTACAAGAGGTGGATTTCGGATTGGGACGACAAAGTAGATGGGCATGGCCGGGGCTGCCAGAGTGCCCTTCAGTTGGGCAATCCTTCTTTGTTTGCTGGCCTTCACCCGCGCTCAGTCTTGCTATTATCCCAATGGAGACTTGGCTGCATCTGACACCCCTTGCACCGACGAGGGCGGAGACAGCTTCTGCTGCAGTTCATCATACTATTGCCTCAGTAACAGGATATGCCTATGGGAAGATGGCAGATTGTATCGCGGCAGTTGTTCGGACCTGAACTGGGCCTCTGGCGAATGCCCTCAATTTTGCCAAAACAGTCTGTTGTCCTCATGTCTGATGACGAGCATCCGCTGATTCATCTTTCTTTCCACAGATAATCCTGGCAATGGAATTCAAGTCTGGCAATGCTCCATCACCTTAGGGACCTACTGCTGCAGTACAAACAATAGTGATAGCACCTCGTGTTGTGGCCGCGAAGGTGTCGAACTCTTCACCCTGCCGGCGCCTACCACGCTGGGACAAATCACTGGCACAAGTTTTATCAATTTCCAGACAGACCCGCCCAGTACAACGACAACCACATCTTCAACTACATCTAGCACTTCGTCCACGACCTCTTCCACTACCACGCCGTCCACGACCTCATCATCCTCGACCAGCACTACCTCGACTTCCAGCAATGGCGCTCCCACCACTTTACCCTCACTGTCGGAAACAGGACAGACAACTTCAGGATCTACCACAGGCACGGCTCCCCCCTCCCAGACAACTGGTAGCGACGACGGTGGAGGAGGAGGAGGAGGCGGTAGTTCGAATACAGGCGCAATAGCTGGAGGTGCTGTGGGAGGAGTCGCCGTCATCGTCGGTGCTGCCGTGGCGGGGTGGTGGATCTGGAACCGGAAGCACAAGTCATCTGCGCAAATCAATGCAGTTTCGTCGTCCCCTAATGACAACAAGCAGTCGTTTTACGGAACCCCCCAGGGCGGGTACTACCAACCTGCGGCGCAAAATATTCCTGGTGAGATGGACTCAGGTCAACAGATGATCCCGCAGGAAATGGATTCGACCGGGGCACATCCAAGCAATTGGTATGGGTACGAGCTGCCTGCTGATTCAACTACTTCTCGGCCGCGATGAGCTCCGTAACAATTTATTTATCGCGAGAATATCGATTTTGGGCCCAGACTCAATGCTGTCTGGGAGCCAGCCCGAAATGTCTAGAGAAAGATGCTGGGGCAAAATCATATGAATGGCATATTTGAGCCGAACCGATCCTTGAGCCCCGAGCAACAATGTGACGGGTTCCATACCGGATGATCTCCAATATCGGGTCTCAAGATTCGATAATGACTTGTATGTATTGAGCAGGAAACGAGACCAGATCCAGGCGGAGTTGTGCATATGTAAATATACTCTGGAGGGGTCCTGGGTGATGAATTGAATCATTTTCTAGAACTCCAGAATCCTAGTCTCCTGGAGCATCCCCTATTGAAGTCCTGGCCAGTTGACGAGTATCTTCTTCCTGATAATTCTGTTTGGCTTGGTACGGAGAGTGGCCGAGAGCACCTTAGCACTTGCCTTCTGCAAATACCTCGTACACTCTTGCCATCCTTGGCATCGACGCTTTCCAAATCTTGATTTACAATCGTCCCGCCAGCCTCATCAATGCCATAAGATGGATCTTCATCTGAAACCAAAACAATGAGCAGCGCACTCCGGAGTAAGGAAGGATGCTGGACGTGTCGGTTACGGCGCAAGAAGTGCGACGAGCGCCATCCTCAATGTCAAACTTGCGAGTCGCTTGCCATCACCTGCTATGGCTTCGGCCTCAAACCAGACTGGATGAGTGACCGCGAAAAAGAAAGAGAAATCTCCAGCAGCCTCAAAGAGATCGTCAAACACAGATCTAAACGCAAGAGAATTATCCAGCGCGACTCATCAGTTACAATCGCCCCAAAAGTGCTCTCCATTACCTCCAAGGCTTCCTCTTCTTCGTCCACCAGCGCAACCTTGCCTGCTCAGACTACCCGAACTCCTATCCTCGATGAAAGTGATACAGGGCAAGAGCCAGTACAGGTGAGCATTTACGAACATTTTACTGTGTGCAACTCGTCGTGGTATGGATACGCCGAGACCTCTAACATACCATAGAATCCTCCTCAACTGGGAAATGTTGATTCCTCGGCCATTGAGGCAAGACCTTGCATCCCACCGGACGAATCAAGCCACTTGATGCATTATCTAGATCATGTCTTCCCGCTACAATTCCCCATGTACAAACCCGAAGGCCAACTCGGTGGAAGGGGCTGGCTGCTATCGATAATCCTGAACAACGTGCCTCTCTACCACGCGACTTTGGCCCTTGGTGCGTACCACCAGCGAGCCACCATTCCTGTACACACCTCGCACCGCACATATCGAGCCGCGACCTTGGTTCAGCAAGAACAGCACCTTGAAATATGCATCAAAGCATTCAACCAATTTGCGTCGAATCACTGTCCCAAGAGTGCCTTGGGTATTAACACTGCCGTCGTCCAACTAATATTTTTTGAGGTATTTCCTCGTATACCATGCATTGTCTGATCCCCCTGCTTACCACGACCCTCCAAGCTTTTTACTGGACACGGAAAATCATGGAAAGCCCACCTCACCGCAGGTATCAATATGTACCACCGTGGCTCAACGGATGACGTTACGAGATTCCCCTTGTCCGAACCGTCGACCACTATCCTACATCAAGATCTGCCGCTCACAGTGTATGACCCAGTCGTGGCAGAGGAGATCGAAAGCTTTAGGTTCCTGAGGAGTACATTGGTCTGGCTGGATATCGTCTCTTCCATTACCGCCGGCACAGCGCCACGCCTTGCGCCTCATGCTTTCTGTCCCATCACCAACAACTCTCAAACCAGGATCGAGCACGTCATGGGCTGCAAAAATTGGGTCATGCTGCTTCTTGGGCGGATTGCTGCGCTTCACCAACACCAGTGTCAAGCTCGGCTGGCAGGAATCTTCGACACTGCACAGTTTGCCCAGGAATTCAGTGACATCGACACAGAGATGCAATGTGGCCTTTTCAAAGAGGCTTCGGGTTTTCGAGAAGTTGCCGGGACACCGTGCCATGCCATCACGGATCCTATATCATTTGTCACCTACTTATTCGCCCGTGCCGCATCCATCTACCTGCATCTGGTAAAACATGGCTTTGACCATCTGGAATTGGTATCTCCGACGGTAGGTAGTACCCTGGAGCTCATACAGTCAAACACACCGTCAGATCTTCTTCCGAATCTGATATTGCCTTTCTTCATCGTCGCTTCTGTTGCAGCGCCACCAGATCAACAGTTCCATCGGGACTTATTCTCCTCCCCGCCGTTGCTTGACCCTGTGCGACAGCATCGGCAAACAATTCTGCCTTGTTTGGAAGAAATATGGGAGAGAAGACAGTCTGCGCCCAAGTTCGAGTGGGAACATGCAGTAGAGTTGGCTTGCGATATCATCCTTGTCTGATGGCATAATCAAGGTTGGTTCTGACCTGTCCCGGTTCCCGGAGTCGTCGATGATGGGATGCTTTTCTAGAACCGAGATTCAGGGCCACAAGTCTCCTCACCCCTCACCTTGATGATTCACACAGTGGTCAACACCAGAATACTCGCCGCGTGGGTCTGAGGTCTTTTGCAGATTCATTGGCACGCTTATCGATTTGATTGGTTAGTACTGCGCTTAGCGTTTTGATTGGCCGAAAGAACGTTTCTTTCAAAGCCATCTCCGTTGTCCCCAGGCGGGTGCTGGGAAATGGAGAAAGTTCAGCGCAGGGGCTTCAGGTTACCCTGGCCGATCTCGAAGCATCAATTAGCGCAATCTTCCTTGACTGAAGAATTGCAGAGTCGGCGTTGCGTCTCGTGATTGGCGAGCACCGCGCTTAGCTTCCCAAACAAGGGAATCATTTTTGACAAACACACGTAAGAGAGATGGGGTGTATCTAGATACTCGGTATGGGGGCATGTTCGAGGTCGCCACGTTTATGGGCAGCACGGAACACAATGTCCACCATCAATTGATATAAGACTCCGACCTTTGACATTTCACCTGACTGCCACTCAGGTGTTCGCTCATAATCTATACTCCCAGGCGCTCAATGTTGAATTTCTTCGTGATGCTTTTCCAGCAGGCCATTTCTGCGCCATCACACCTTCTTGGAGGAGCTGTCACTGGTGTGGCCCAGCGTCCAGACTCGAACGGTGCAGAGATGAAGCAAATTGTGATTCTGGGAGGGTCATTCGCAGGTGTCAGTATTGCTCATCGAATTCTCAAGCAGGCCAAGAACAAGGCATTCAAAATCACACTGGTCTCGCCCAACACCCACTTCTATTGGAATATCGCCTCGGTTCGAGCCATGATCCAGGGAGAATTCACCGATGATGAGATGTTCCAGCCTATCGCTTCTGGATTTGCTCAATATCCCGCGGGTCAATTTGAATTCATCACTGGGACCGCTGAGGATGTTGACGTTGATGCTAAGACGGTGGAAATCTCCCGCCCCCACGACAAGATCTCACTGCAGTATGACATGCTCATTCTGGCCACTGGAAGTCGAACCAAGGAGCCCCTGCCTCTCAAGGGCGTTGGGTCGACTGAGGAGACAATGGCAGCTCTTCATGACCTGCAAGCGCGAGTAAAAAAGGCCAAGACGATAGTCATCGCTGGAGCTGGTCCAACGGGGGTTGAAGTCGCTGGAGAAATTTCATTTGCGTACAAGGGTGCCAAGGAGGTGACTTTGGTGAGTACCAATTGAAGTTGACTTTGGTTAGAACCATGGATAACGGAGGCACCATGAGCCCGCTGACTCTAGACTTGCCAGGTTGCGAGCGGCCCGACGGTCCTACACGAAACCCCGGAAAGCGTGTGGAAAATTGTGACCAAAGGCCTGCATGACCTTGGTGTCAATGTCAAGCCACAGACAAAGGTTCTGGATGTTCAGAATTTGGCCAATGGAGGCCACGAGTTGACACTCTCAGATGGTAGTCATTTGAAGGCAGACCTATACCTGCCAACCCATGGATTAGTCGCCAATTCTTCTTACCTTTCAGAGAAGTTTGTCAATGCGTATGGCTTCGTGAAGGTCGATGAGTATCTGAGGATTCCAGGCACCAGCAACATCTGGGCGGCGGGGGATGTTTGCGAAGTTGGGGCTTCACAATTCCTCAGCTGCGACCAGCAGTCAAGCTACGTGGCCGGGGCGATAGTCAGCATTCTAAGCAACAAAGTCCCACGGCGATTCAAAGGGATGACAACTAGTAAGCGAATTTATTTGCGTGCTGGACAGGGACATCGCTGACCGGGTTGACAGAGTTCATGGGTGTGCAGGTAGGTAAGGAGATAGGCACGGCGCATTTTGGTAACTGGAGGATCCCGAGTTTCGTTGTGCTATGGTTGCGGAAGACCCTCTTCACAGAGAGATTGAAGTCGACGGTCGATGGGTCAATGTATTAGTTGTGCGACTTTACAGAAATGGCCGATGTTGAAAGACACCATAAATTGTGAAGTTGGGAAGTTTGATGTCAAAAGGTCTACAGAGTCGAGGGTTGGATGTCGTGAGGTTGTAAGCCTTGGCAACGAGCTGTCGTTCGGATGAAAAATCACGTGTCAACGCTGGTCAAATATCGGGGTGAATGACTCAGATATTTTATAGGCGATACTGTGATCAACATCTCGAAATAGGTTGGCCATTATTGACTGGGGGTGATTTCCTTTTTTTCATGTGTCATGAACTATTCCAGAGTTATTTGCACTGAGAGCAGGTCCCTATGATCCCTCGAAATCTCCCATCATCTTTCTGCACCTCTTTTTCCTTATCTTCGACATTTATATCTTGGTCAAGACCCCGGTTGAGGAGAAACACATACCTGAGTGAATCTCTGCGGCAGTTCACGAAGCACGGATTCACGACCTCGATAGTAAGACACCGTGCGGCCAACGTGCGTGGAAGGATGCAGATCAAGAGGAGCTTTGCCCCTCTCAACCCCAAGGCGGCCAGTGGGCACGATCGACCCAAGTTGAAGGGCATCATCTTCGATGTGGACGGAACATTATGGTAGGTTGCCAACCTGATTACTGCATGAAACATGGAGAGAGCAACGAGGATTGACAAGGCTTACGTTCGACAACGACAGTCTGCCTCAGAATTACATGTTCAAAGAGATGCGAGCAGCTCTGGGAATCCCGCGGTCGGTCGATATTCTAGACCATATTCGATCCTTATCGAATGAGCCTGATGTCGATTCGCCGGCATCAGAAGCAGCAGCCACAGAACGTCCACACGCGCCAGGCAACACTTCAAGTCCGCCGTCAGAGGCGACTCTTGCACACAGCATTTCGGAACCAAGTCCCCCGCCAACGTCGGCGCAAGCGCGAGCAGCAGCAAAGATTCAGGCAATTGAACGTACAGCAATGACACAGCAGCGACCCCAGCCCGGCTTGAATGAGTTGATGTCCTACCTCGGCCGACGTGGGGTTCCCAAGGCTCTTTGTACCAGAAACTTTCCTGCTCCCGTACAGCACTTACTGGATAAATTCCTACAAGGCGAGGTGTTTGAGCCGGTGGTGACTCGAGAAACAGAAGGGATTAGACCCAAACCCAGTCCTGATGGGTTGTGGATGATTGCACAGGCCTGGGGACTAGACAACGATGTGAATAGCACACAGAGAAATGGAACTGTGGCTGATGATGGTGTTGACAACGAAGTCGGGGATGTGCTGGAGTTGGCCAAAAGACACTTGGGGTCTGGGTTGATCATGGTTGGTGACAGTATCGATGACATGTCAGCAGGGCGCAGAGCAGGTGCGGCGACCGTCTTGCTGGTCAATGACGAAAATGAGCATTTGTTGACACATGATCACACCGATTTGGGGATCCGGAGGTTGGATGAATTGATAGATATTCTCGACCAGGGGTTTGAAGCCCAGAGATAGTCGTGATAGTGTACGTATGTGGTCAATCGAGAAGTGGACATAGATAGATTATCGATGTGCTTTGATGAAAGTACGATAATACGGGATGTTCACCCCTTTTAGCGCCATATTTATTAGTCGGTGTAGCCAGAGGGGCGAGGTGCAGAAGTGGCCATAATACTGCCTCTGGGGCCCTTTTTTATGGTACCTGACAAGGCAATCGAGGCCAAGTTAAACAAGCGTGGGTGCACAGTGCCATGGAGCTTCCTCAGCGTGTCCGTGCGCCCACGTGTGTATCCGTAAGTAGTGCGGGCAATTTCTACGGGTTATGAGCATAGGGACAGGGGCGCAATGGACACCGTGCTTTGGGCAGGGTAAGGACGGATGTTCGTTATCGATAGCCATGCACGGTGTACACATGGAAATACGAACAGATGCTCTTGATTAGACTTGGAATTATCGTGGAAATCGAAGGCGGTAATTTGACCACTCGATAGCTTCGCTGCCTCACATGGCACCTATACGGAGTAGAGAGACGTTGTGGTAGCGTGGTCAAACATGGATCTTCGTATGTCAATCCTGCCAGGGAAAAAAGCATGAGTGCGCTGGCATCATCAGAACCTTTCAACCACAGTATCACAGCGCCAGATCAAAAAAGGGACGAATGATAAGCATCACACTGCAGTGGTTTGTTTATCACCCGCACCGTCGTCTGTTCAACCAGGTACGCCACCTCTTGGGGTGCAGCATAGTGGGGATGAGGAACAACAGAACTGGTGAACTGTATTGGTTAGCAAATCGGTAGGCGGCAACGCGGTCCGCTTGTCTGCGTGCAAAGCCCTCCACTTCCAGGGCCGAGGGCTGCTTCGGTAGTGGCAGGAGTGGCAGTTTGGCCAGCCAACCAAGGGCTAACGACTCAGGTTTGTGTCAGAATAACAGAAGTTTTTGTTGCACTCGGTGAACTGCAGCCTCAGGGCAGTCTTGTTGTTGATCCTGCATCTGCAAGGCATGGCCAATGAATTAGTTCAATCCAACCAGCGCAAGGAATGTGACACCGGACACCAACTCCCTGGCGTGCCTGGCTTGAAATTCCTGACCACACATGAATGCCACACACAAGCCTGGCCCAGTTGATAAGATAACCCCCAGAAGTACCGCCTATGAAGAGTCACTGAGGCCCGAAGTGGCCCGAGGCGCCGGGAGCTTGGGCATAGATTCAAGGCCCTAGGGCCCAAGGACCCTTTCCCCAACATGTCATGGGCGGGAAGGCACGAGAACCTTAAAAACGAGCTCTTTCATCACCAGCGGGCAAATGCGAACGCACGGACTTCCGACGAGAGCAGCTTGAATCTGACCTCATTTGTATAATCGAAGTATTCCTGTCCCAAGGAGATGCACACTTCTCGTAAAAATACTGCAGTCGCTACACCAGTGTAAACATCAATGCAAACTGGACGGCGCAGGGAGTAGAATGCCTTAGGACTACAACTAGGGGCAAGTGCAAGTGTAGCTACCACCACCACCACCACTCCTCCTACCGAACACTGTACCACACACCATGCAATGGACTGTGGGTGACACTGACACTTGCTCCAAGCTCCAGTTGCTTTTGATCCCGCGGCGCTGGACTGCCACCCAACCGGCTGTCATCTCTGCCACTTGAACGGTTCCGAAACCCTGTGACTACGGAGTACATACATAGTAGGCTCGACAGCTCAATGGCGTGCAGTGCTTGGCTGGCCAAAACCAAACCTCCAGAGGTGCCCAAGCTCCCTCTTGACTGAGCCATCCTATACGGTTGTAGGCTACGAAAGTCTCGCCCCTCGGCCCACATGACTGGGTCTTGCACCCCTGCTGAACGCTTAACGGGCGATCAAGCACCTGAACTCCATCCACACTTGTCTCCAGAGACGCAGTCACGCCGTCCCCATCTCGAGAGTTCCCACCGCTTGTTTCCTCTTTCTTCTGACTGCACCATACCCTTTTCTTCAACGAGATACCCAAATCACCAAACTTGTCCTTTGTATACCTGCCAGCGCAGTCCTTGAGACCTTTTCATCCTCCCGTTACAGCAAGCATTGAGTTCTCTGCTCCATCCAAGTTTTCCGTCCTTCCTCGCCCCTGGGCTTCCAATCCGACCTGAGATTCTCCCAGCCTCATATTAATTCCTCAACCCAACACTGCCTACCAACCAAATCTCTCTCACACAAGTCAAGCCTGCGCTCCAGGCAACCTCTCAATCCTCCAAGACCGACCACACTGCCATCGCAGCGCCCTCCTCTCGCTCACACCCATTGCAGCCTCATATCGCGGCCATTCTCCCCTTCATCTCTGGCTACAACATCCCTCTCCATCGCCGCTTCACCTTTGTTTACAGCCGCCTGGGAAAAAAAAGTCACTACACTTCCCCACCTTGGGCCAATTATGCCTGCAGTCGCCAATCCCTCGCCCTACTGATCCCCAAGACCCTAAAACAGTGCGTACGCAGCCAGCCAAGCGTATGCCACTCATGCATTGCCAAGTTTGAGTCCCTCCAGCATGGGCTTTACAAGTCGACGCCCACTATTGCCTGCACCTACTGACTCCCTCCTGGGCTCGGCCGACGAAGCCGGTCTGGAAACTGACCTTGATCAAGCCACCGACCTCTCCCAAAGACCTGAAAAGACCTGGGAGGAGATTCCAACCGACGGAACCCCAATTACCATCACGACCGCCTCCAAGCATAGACAACTGGGCAAGCTCTCCAAACCTGGCCAGCAATCCCAAACCTCCCTGCTTATAGAACTCTTCGAAGGGAGCAAGGTCTCGGACTCAGGCCGGAGACGGCCCAGCCTCCGAGTTCGCTACACCCCCTCGCACTCCCGCAAAGACAAAGGTAAAGAGAAAGACCAAAGTCATATCTTAGTCACCGAATCAAAGTCGCCGAGACGACCTTCACAAACCCACCGCATTGTTCTTGGTGGGAACGAGACCTTGAAAGAACACGTGGTCGACGAGAGCATCTCATCTCTCGACTCCGCTGGACTCATCCGACCCCGAGCCCCTATCGAGATTGACGTTCAGCAAGGAGAACCAAGTGACTTATCCTCGCTTAGTGCCTCTCCAGAACCCAGGTTCATCATCCCCGGTTCTGACATCTCTTCTATGCCCCCAGAGAGCAATCTTGGACTACCACCGCCTATCATCATGGCTCCTTCTGACCAAAGCGCCACCCTGGCCCGTTCCACTGTGGATACTGCCGCTTTGAAACCTCCCATCATGCCCAGTGATCGCAATGTCAGTAATGAGCGCATCACCCAGAAAGTCATCGAAAAGCTGAGTAACAAGCCAAGAGTCCACACCAGCACAACCAGCAAACGACATCGTGGCAGTCATAGCTCGAGCTATACCAGTGGTGGCCAAGATGTCGAAACCGGAGGACCTAGTGAACTACGAAGTCGCACCGTAAAGAAAATCGACGACGATTCCATCCCCAGCGCCACTGGCTCGAGCTTACTCAGTGGCTCACATCTTTCGGCCGGCGCGAGAGCTCAGGAACAACGCTCAGTCCGCTCAGGCACTTCGAATGTCTCCCTCACAAACAATCCAAAGTTGATCCAGACGGTCGAGGACATCGTTCGACGCTTGATTCTTCCCGAGCTCAAAGACCTGAAAAGAGATCAGACGCATCACAGATCTCGGCATGACAAATTGGCAGATTACTCCGACTTGTCCAGCACTACGGTCTCCAAAGAGGAGAGGCCTCATCGCAGATCGTCCGGAAGCAAGACAAAAAGAAGGGTCAGCCGTGAGGTCGACGGTGGAAAACACGCAACATCTCGACGACATCGACATCACGAGTACGATTCTCCCTCAGAGCAAAGCTACGACCCCTCCGAATCCTTGGACAGTGGCAGTTACCGCGATGAAAAGAAACACCGAAAATCTTCGAGAAGTCACCGTACCCGGGACATCGCTGCCGGAGCCATTGGTGGAGCTGCTTTGACAGCTGCTGCTCTCAAATCTCATGATTCTGGCTCAAGCGTCGATCAATCTGAGAGACGACGGAGAAGACGAAGCAAAAGTCGCAGTAGTCGAAGCACAAGTTACGCTGAAAAGGATGATGCTTTCTCCAAACACAAAGTACCTGCGATGCCATTTGTCAGTGAGGTTGGCACGGATCTGACCAGAAGTTCACTACAGTCGTCCCTCGACGGCGGCGCCGCTACTCCTACCCGGCGAGAGGTTCGCGAGGTGGTTCGGGGCTCTCCCCTTGCTCTGTCGTCACCAAGAACGCATACGCCGACCAAACATACAGTGGATCTCAGACGCGGACTGGGTACTCATCATGGCAACTTTTCAGAGCACGATCTGTCGGGTCACGACTTATCAACCAGGAATCAACTTGCCGATGATGTAGTCAGTGTGGAGTCTCGCGAAGCGGAAGACCCCGACTTTGCGACTCATGGGTTCGCAGCCTTGACAGATCCAGAATTGGCACGAGCGTATGAGAGAAATCTGCACCAACAACATCCTATCAGACGTGGCCTTAGTCCAATCCAGAGTGTTGCTAGCTATGCTACCACAGAACCGAATCGCAATTCCACCATGCGTGCACGCAGCACTGAAAGTCTAGGTTCGGTCAGACAACGTGATGTCGCAGCCGATCAAGAATCAATCTCATCATTTGCCTCCACGCCAATTGCAGGGGAAGCTCGATCCATGCGTCCTCATGGCATCAGTCTGGAAAATCGAAGCGAAATCATGGGACAGCACGGTGACGCTTTCGACAGTAGCCCTCAGCAACAACAGGACGATGCTATCTTTGACGAGCAACATCTCGAGAACGAAAGCTATCGACATTCCCCTTATGTTGACAAAGTCACCGCTGGACGCCAAGTCGCAAGAGCCTTGGGTGCCACAGCAGAGTATATTGACAATCAATCCGACGTCGAATCCGCTGTTGCCTCGCTCATTGAGCCTTCTGCAGTGGACCAAAGCAACCTTGATTCACCACGTGTGAGTCACGCGAGCTCACCTGGTCGACGGGCGTTGGACAGTCCACATCTGTCGTATCGTGGCGGCGTCGACAGTCAACCCGGTAGTCCACTGAAACAGCAGCTTTCTCATGGCGATCATGCCGCAAATTTGTTCGTTCCTGTGGCGGGTATCATTGCTCAGCAAGCTTTGGCTCGACCATCATCAAGAGTGTCCCAAACTTCCAACCAGCGTTCAGCGAGGTCGAGTGGCAGTCAAGGACCCGTCGTCCATGATCCCACCAATGCTGAGCTGTCACCCAACTCAGAGATCACCACAAATCCATCCGTTATTCAAGGTCCAATTAGTGGTGTGCCCCCCGATGATACATCACACTGGCCATATGATCCAACTCCACCACGTTCGAGGGCAGATCTTGCACTACCACCGGTCAGCCGAGATATTGGGTCCGCAGGCACTGACCTAGTGCCAGAAGCCTTGTCCTTTAAACACAACCATGATCTGGATCCGAAACGAGACCTGCATGTCAGAGCTCTCCCCATCACCGCATCGCCTGGTGCCAAAGATGAGGGCTATGAGACAGGTGCGAATGCTCCTTCTCCGGGCCTCTATCAACCCGCTGCTGCCCTCCACGACGATAGATTCACTCCCGACATTCCTCTTCAGGATCCAATGCTTGGTGATGACCCTTTCACAATCACACCACGAGATCAATATATTAGTGGTACCTCACGAGGCTTGTCTCCTGGTTTCGACAGCGCCATAGACCGAAATCGCGATCGCATTCAATCGAGAGATATTGTGAGATTGATGGATCATCTCACTATCCGCGATGCGCAGAGAAACGCTCGAGATACTGAGATTCTGGTCACTCTCGTTCGCAGCGCTGCAGAGATGCGCAATTCGTTTGAGGACGTCAAGAAATTCATTGCCGAGCAAGATGAACTGCTCATGGACAATGCTGCGAGTCAACATGACAAGCTCCAGAGACTTGTGGGAGGTCCACGGCCTCAACCTGGTTTCGCAGGTCCTCCAGCACGCTCGGCCAATTCAGAAGACGATCTCCCGGCCAAACGTCGAAACGTCTTTCAGAGAGCCCTACGTGGTTTGGGGAATAAGAACACACAAGAACTCCAAAACATCGAAGCGATGCTTCTCCGTCTGCTCCACGAGATGGAAGGACTGCGCGGGGCACAATCAGGCAGTATGCCAACAGTTGGCGCGAGACAGACTAGTCTAATGTCAGCTGACAATACTCGGGCTCCCACCGACACTGGTTATGAGCCAGATGGACAAGCAGGAACGTCATCTACGGGAGATCGCTCTGGATTCTTCTCCAACAACTCCTCTCGTCAAGCGGATTACCGCAACTACAATCACCATCGTGAGTCTGGCAATCGTGTGAGCACAGTCATGGAGGACAACGAAGAGTATGATGAATATGATGACCATCTAGGGGCTCCAGTCGCTGGCAATATCCAAGTCAATCAGCCACCACATGGAACACCTCCGCGGACAGATCCGCACGTTAGAGGAGCTTCGGTGCCATTGCAAACACCTCCTCGAACAATTGATCAAGCTGCTGGCTCACTGAGTCAGGACAATACACCTCATTTGTCGCAGGGAGAAGGGTCGGGGAAGAAGCACAAATCATTCGCACCTCCTTTTTTTTCCAAGATGGTCTCAAGATGGTCCAAAACGACCGCCTCGTCCGCTGAGAACTTTCGTGCAAGTCAGCAACGACATCGACCATATTCAGAGATGTCTCGCTCAGGATCCAACTTGGGTGAATATGACTACGACCATGACCCTGAGGGAGATGACCGACTCCGATCGAATACATCATTCAACCATGATCAGTACGGTGACGATGATCATCGCCCACCATCACCATTGATCCCCAGCCATGTTTCCGATAACCCAAAGTATCAGGCTCATCGAAACAGCGTCAATCTCCAACATCCCCAACCCAGACAAGGACCGACCGGCCGATATCAGTCTCGACTCGAGTCCGAAGCTCAATACTATCACGATCAACTCTCTCCCGCATCACAAACTTCATCGCAGTGGGAGAACGGCCCAGGCATGCATAGTAGCGGTCATGGAATGACAGGCTACGATGGCCCGATGGGCTCCACATCCGACGCTCCTTATTCAGCGGAGCCTATGCATCACCATGACAATCAAAGTATCAGATCTGGTGCCTCCCAAGGTCCGCCACGTCCGCCGAAGATTCTCGATGGGGAGCCACTTGTGCCTCAGCGTCCACCCAAGGTGCTAATGAGCCCCCAACCCTCGGGCAGTGCCAACAGACAGCCAACCTACGTCGACCACGTAACAGCGGCCAGGGCTGGGAGCCCCGCATTTGACAAGGTATGTGAATTTCGAGAAGTTTTGTTGGACCATTACTGATTTTTGCCTTAAGTCACCGGTGGCAGCTCTGCGTTCACCACAGAGCCAGGGACGTAAACCATCAGGTCCAAGACCTTTGGTTGGGGCCAGGGCAGACCCAAGTGCGGTCAAGAGAACACGATTTAGGGGAAGCCCCAATCAAATCGACAGTGACGATGAGACCACTGCTGCCTATTGAGGCAAGATCATGATTGTAATGGGTTACGCTTTTTGTTTATATACCCAGGCGAGCAGAGAATTGGAAGCAGCACTACTGGTTGGTGACTGACTCCCTTTCATTGGATGATCAGACAGTCGAATTACAGGGAACTAATACAGCGAAATTGGGAAACATAACAATGGGCATGTGAGATGGAAAAATGGATTTGGGGCTTACCCAATGAATGCCACGTCCAACAGCTGAGCATTGCGGGATGTGCTTAAACATGTGGTCAATCTAATGCCGCATATTGAAGGTCACAATTGGGAATTTCGTGACCATCTTCCCGGGTTCCAGGTGTGAGCATTCGAGGCTGGCCCTCAGTTTCACCTCAAAAAGGGGCAGGCATGTTGATAAGACAGACGGATTAAGATTCCCGTCAGGGCAGATCGCTAATACCATATTAAGGTGCTGGTGCTCCTTCAATGAGATCTCATCCAAACTCCTAGGACCCGAACTAGAAGGGTGTTCATGTAGGTAAGTACTCGGTAGTACTACTTACTAACTACTGTAACTTAGTACTACTAGGTACATACTACCTAGTAGAATGATGCCGTGAATGCTGTAATAGGAACATAGGAAGTTCTGGCCGTGCTTTCGAATGTCGAGCGCTTTATTGGCCGTATATTGTCATGACGTCGCTCATATTTAGGTACCTACCTAAGTAAAGTACTTGAGGTAGTACTCCCGATCGTCGTACCTACTAAGCTATCTTCAAGTGTTACCATACTACTTACTATCTATGACTTCAGGGCTGAACCAGTTTTGAATCAGCTCCGAACCAGCCTGAACCAGTCTGAGCCCGGTTTCAAACCACGTTGACCCAGGGCCAAACCGGTGCTGAACACTGCCATGACACGATGAGGAAATGCCTGAGTTGTTCTCTCAGGGAGATTCTTCCCTCGCCCATAGGCATCGGATGCCAGTCAGGGAGAAGGGGAAGAGGAGGTTTTCTGACCGGTTTATGGGGCATACGAGTGCACTCGACATCGGCGGATAGATCGACAAGATCCAGGATTCGAAGCACAGCGGCCGCTGACTCTGGTGGTGGTGAGAGTCGTCACCAACACCATCGACCTGAACATGGATCTCGACGTCCAGAATACCACCAACCCCGATCGACATCAGCAGTGCCCTCGAAGGAACAAAACACGCTCTATGTCTTGACTCTCCTCACAGACGAAACACACCACAAGACGATGACGGCACTGCGACAACTGCACTTCCCTGCTCGACTCAACAAACTGTCATCGCATGTGACGTTATTCCACGCCTTGCCAGGCGCTCATCTCGGAGAGATTAAACGAGACCTCAAAGCCATAGCATCAACAACGTCAACATTTGCCATCGAGACCAAAATGCCACCGTTCCGAATGCGCAAGGGCGTGGGCATCCAGGTCTCACCTGTTAGGTCGAGGTCGAACGACGGCAGCAGCAACGATGCTGCCGATACCAGTACTAACCAAATCCACACCATCTTCACCCACCTACGCTCCCTCTGGCTGTCATGGCTAAGTCCCCAGGACCGTGACCGCCGCTCCTTCCGTCCTCATTACACCATCCAGAATAAAGTGGACGATCCCGCTGTCGTAGACCGTTGTTTCAGAGACATCGAGACGGAGTTTCCAGGTTCATCCGGTCAAGTTCGTGGTTTGACTCTCTATTTGTATGACAGGGGATGGTGGAAATGGGAAGATGAGTTTTTATTTCGAGGTGCATGATTTTTCAAGAAAGGATTAGACTTGAGGAAGGAGTGCTCCTTCTATGTATATGAAATAGCAGGTACTTAGGTACCTAGTTCCTTCCTTAGATAGTCAATATTGCGTCATAATGATCAGCGTTCATGTTTTCGAAAACTTCACGGTGTCTTATAGCGCAGATTTTTCTACTGATTTCATCATGAGTCTTAATATCTGCCCATCGTCACAGGATATCGAGATAAATGGATTTCAAAAAATCCAGGGGTACGGCCCCTATTTGCTAAGATGTCACGAACATACCCATAATTGGTTTAGCGTTATGAGTGTTAAAAGCGGCACCCACGAGATTCAGCTGCTTCTCAATTTTGGGATTCAAGCTTCAAGTCTTGATACAGCAGACCTCGAAGAGGGCCACTGATGAAGTGCCGTTTACTATGTCGGCTACCAAACTCCTGCTCGCAGAATTGCTATTTGGAGGGTGAGATGGCTGGTTTGATGTGCTTAGTCGGGACGATGTCACGTGATGTTAATTTGATTTGAAGGCAGGAGCGTCCCTGAGTTGTGCTTCTCTTTGTTGGCAAATCAGTTGATCAGAGACCTACATACAGGTATTACTTACCTAGTACCTATATTACGTACCCTACCCGAGGTTAGTACCTAGAGTACCTACCTTACTTTCCTCAAGTTTCTATTCAAGTTCCATGCTTGCCACATCCTCTGCATATCGTTTGCTCCTTGCCGCAGCCGTCCACCACAAGAAAGCCGAAGTCATCCAAGTCTTGAGCAGAAACGAGATCCATCCACTGTCTTTCTGGGTATCCCACCCAAAGACAGATTCCTCATATGCTCGATCGATGGATGGTCTTCTGATGTCCTCGTACTTCTTGAAAACCACATCCAGCCCACCTGATTTATGCTTCGCCAGGATCCGAGCGAAGATGATGGCATCTTCCAGTGCGTGTGCCGTACTTTCTCCCTGGGGTGGCATTGCATGAGCGGCATCCCCTAGTAACATCACTCGATGGGTGCTCCATTTGCCTTTGGGGGCGAGGTTGTAGACAGGATATAGTGTCCATTGGTTAGTGGCTTCGATCAGAGGGTCGAGAAATTTCACTGCACTGTTTCCGAACCGCTCCTTGATGTTGTTCTTGATGTTCTCCTGCTCTGTTGCCCGTGCTCGCCAACCATCCTTGGACTTGACGTCTGGTGTCTCCATGATTGCTGCCATGAATTGCTTGGTTCGTGTTGGTTCCAGGTATGTGGTCATCAGCGCGCCCCATTGTGATTGGCAGAGTCCTGTATCTTTCCATGGAACATGGGCTCCTGGGTCGAGTTCGCCGACTGTAAAGGCTGCAGAAATTCCACTGTAGCTCGGCATGCGTTCTATGTCAACAAGATTCGTTCGGGTGAACGAGTGTATGCCGTCGCATCCAAGGAGTAGATCTACGGACGTGCTGTGGCCATCAGCGAATGAAACTCTAACCTCGTCGGTCTCAGTATCAATCTGAGATGCCTTGCGGTCGTATTCTATGGTTATTTTGTCGTTCAACTCCACGGCGTCCAGGAGAGCTCGCATTAGATCGGCCCGCATAATCCGCAGGCCTTTGAGCTTGGGATCACCAACACCTTCACCAGATGGACCGATGAACTTGATTTCTCCAAGTTTCGCCCCGGTGTGGATGGCGAATATTTCGATCAGGTCGATTTCTGTGCCAGATTGCCCCCTCCGAATATGCTCGAGAACACCAAGGTGGTGAAGGCAGCGCAGTGCATTTGGTGTGAGGCCGACAGCGCCGCCGATAGTTGTTGGTTGGTTGCGAATCTCAGCGATGGTGATCCGTTGAATCTCGGGGTCCCATTTTGTCAAGGCAAGCGCAGATGCGAGGCCGGCAACACCTCCGCCGATTATGAGTACTCTCATACTTGTAATGTAAGGTCGACCTGTGTTGTTTGGAGGTAGATGGCTGGAGTCTTCCGCCATACGAGGAGTGACGTGCGGCCATCTTTACACGTCGTTGTGCCCTCTGCGGGGTCAACTCCTGGTCTGCTTTCGGACGCATCGAGTATAGAGGTGCCTACAACCTAGCTATGGGTGACGACGTATTCTATACGAGGGTTGAGGCTGAACGTGGATGGTGGTGTCGTGGTGATTGTGTTAATTGGTTGCGCGGATTGAAGGTTTGAATAAAAATATCCAACTAGCGCCACTTACTCCTAACACCATCCCAACCACCAAAGGTTACAATACCTAGTACATACAACATGTAACGTCTACACCGAATAAAAAGGACCGATTCAAACAAGGACCTATCCCCGGAACTCAAGGCACTTGAACCAAGCACCAAGAAATGTATACACACTCACAACTAATGAGTTGCGCGCACACTGGGGCATTCTTGTCGTACATTTATCACAGAACTCGTAGTTTCGAACCTCTATGCGACCATTTCCTGTGCTCTAACCTCTCTAACCATGCAATCCCACAGACGCCTTAAGTACCCCACAAACTGAGGTAAAACCTTGACACAGCAGGACAGGGACATCTCGGTGTAGTTGACAGGCCCAACAACACTCAACCAAGTCCAGCTTTGGTGGTCTTCACGACATGCTTGATCACATCAATGCCACCCTTGTTTCCGATAGCACCAATACCCATGCCACTGGTCCATCCCATCTTCTCCAACATAGCACGACCTTTGTTTTCCGCACCGATCTCTGGCGCAGACGCACCAACGATATCACCATTCATGTACGTCGCTCCAGACATGACCCCACCTCCTCCACGCCGAGCTCTGGCTACAGCAGGAATATTAGCAGCGCCTGGGCCCCGATAAGAGCCACCCTGCCCCCGGGGGAAGAACTTCCGTAGATTCATGAGATTATCAATCTCCCAAATAGTGTCGATGGTGTAGTAACGTGTGCCAGAAGTTTTGGTCAAGACCGGAAACCGTCCAATGCCGTGTCCATCCTTCCCTTGCGAACGCGAATTCAGTTTCAAGGACTTAGCCAGCCGGTGGACAGACGCGCGGAGTGCCGAATCCATGGGCGCCAACTCCAGTGACTGTGCTTCGGACACCAGGAATTGTCGAATCTCAGCTTTGATGGCATCTGGACGATTCCGCTCACCCGCTTCGAAAAGAGCCGCCTCTCGCTCCGCCTGCTTCTCACGCCTCCTCGAAGCCTTCTTCTCACGATCCTTGTGCCACTGGGTTCTCAGCATCTCAGCCAGATCATCATCCTCGACTCCGAGCTCAAACGGTAGATCAGCCTTGCGCCCCTTCTTCTTTGGTCGAAGGCTGGGTCGATCAAAATCCATAATGTCGAAGGCACCGTAAGGATCTTGTTCAAGGGCATCTGCAAATGCTTCTGCTGGCGGAAAGTGATCGTTTCGTCGCCGATTACGCTTAGACTTGGTCCGATTCGAAAGGTGTTTTGAAGTCGAGAAGGGAATGAAATTCGGGGGAGAATCGAAATCGTCAGGCTCATCAGTCTGACCGTCGAACAGGAGCACCTCATCGCCACCCATACCCAATTCTTCTTGCTTTGCCAAGGCTCGCGCAATTTGCTCATCTGTCATACGAGCTGTGCGTTTGAAAATACGCTGATTCTCGCCGTCTTCAGAATTAATGTCATTGACAAGGTCGTCAAGTGCTTCATCGTCGTCCTCATCGTCGTCGTCTTCATCGCCATCACTGGTGTCACTGGTGTCCTCAGTCGACTCCAAGACTTTCATGGCCTGTATTTCCTTGTAGATGCGGATTTCTTCGATGGCCGAGGGTGTCTTGAGACGTTCGCCGAGAACCCACTTTGCATCACTGGCACCCTGCCCAATCCCAGTGACTAAATACTGCATACCAGAAGGCCTCTCTCTGCGGCGAAGGACTTGACTAACCTCGGCAACGTCCTCATCCGTCGTGCTGAATTCGTCAAAGTCCTCAAGATCAGTCGAGTTCCAGTCGATTGCCTGATGAACGTTGCCTTTTGTGGTAGGAGGACTCGGAAGCAGTGTCTGAACTTTGACGTTGGCCTTGGCCGAGCCATCAAAGAATCGATAATGCTCATTGCCACGTCGAGGTTCTCCACGCTCTTCGGCGTCGTCACCTTCGTCATCGCCGTCTTCAAGATTCATGTTGGCAATATAATCCTCCATGATAAGCCTCTCCTCTTTCGAATCCGAAGTCTGTCTCATCGGTCGACCTCTTCGGTCGAATCGTTTTCGCTCTGTCGAGTAGATATTGGCATAAGGGTCGGGATTGGGATCTGTAGAGTCGGGGCCTGGTGAGGGCAGAGGCGAAGGAGAAGGGCTGTTGACGGTTGGCTTTTCTGGTGTCGGACTTGTGGTCGGCAACGAGCTGGCGAGAGGGGCACCAAGCGAACGGTAAGGCTTTCTACCACCATTCATTCGACCTTTGAAAACAATCTCCTCCGAAGACTGTGAGAGGATTGAATCTCGTCGAGCCGGCTTGTCTCCGTTATCTGAATCAATTCTCGAAAGGGCTGGGGCCACTTCAGTGGGCTGCTCAGAAGGTGGAGGTGTAGGTTCGGTAGAAGGTCCAACAGCAGGACTGTCCTCAGTGGGAACAGGCGATTCCTGCTCGTTCGACTGCTTTGTACCATCCGGAGTGTTCTCAATCTCGTCACGAATGAGGTTGCCAGCACTGACGAAGTTGATTCCCTTGTCTCGCAATCTTGTAGCACCCCAGGCTACCGTATGTCTTTCCGTATTTCTGGCTTCTTGAGACATACTGAAACTGTTGCCGTAGTTCCCAGAGTTGGGTGGATGATTTTGAGCGAAATCCTGCCAGTCTGCAAGCAATGCTCTGTGGCGAATGGAGGGGTCGAGGGACTGGACTGAAGGCAAAGATTAGATTGTACTGGGAATAGATAGAACAGCTATACCCTTGAGGGATGAATTCATCTGCTTCTGAGACAACGGAGAGCCTTTCAGACTTCCATTAGGTTTCTTCTTTGCTCTCATCTGACCTCGTTGACGCGCCCCCATTGTGAGGGGTGCAGTTGCCCTGCAAGGCTTCGTTTTTGGGCTAGAACTATGGTCAGGAGGGGATAGAAAAATGAGAACTGGACACTGGTAGTTGGAACACGTAAATGAACGAAGAAGAACTGCAAGACGAAGTTGTTACAATTGATCTGATGGGAGGGGTCACCAGTCTTAGATGCTGAATGACGATGAGAACAAAAGATTTGATTGAGTCAAATCATGACTGCGATTGATGAAGCCTGAGTCATGCCTGCCCGCCAGACGGCCAATAGATTCTTCCGATCCGCCACCCAACGCCACAAGGCTGACATTCATGTTATGCAGACATGGAGATGCCTGACGTCTTGTGTCTGTCGCAGATAGCCTCTACCCCCCAACATCGACACAAGCAGATCGAATAACGAACTAAAATTTAATTATATCCGTCAAGCGTGATAGGCAGAATCTTTACCACCGAGCCTCACTCTAGTCCTTTATTCACCCTGGAAGCCATACGAGCCCTCTTCTCCCATCACTACCAACTGACCGCCCCAGACTTACCCCTTCCGAGCTTCGACATCCTAGAGTCATCACAACTTCGAAAAGAGAAGACAACTTACGTGCTGGTGCATTCTACCGAGTCCAGGAGCCTGCCTCCACAGCCAAACAACTTTGACTTGCTGCATGCGTTGTCAATCACCCTTCAGCGCCTCCCTGTTCAGGGCATCATGAACGGCGTCGATTACAAGCGCTTCGTGCGCTATTTCTACGACCCTCCGCCTCAATACGATGATATGTCTGGCGCTTCAATATGGTTACTGGGGAAAGAATATAAAGCCGCTCCACCGAAGCCGGTAAGCACGACTGACCATGATGACGTCGTCGAAATCGAGTCCTCGATCGAGTCCCATGATCCCTCCAATGCAAGCATCTCAACCGCTGCAGAGTCGCAGCAGGTAACACAAGCTCAAAGCACGAGCAGCTTTGATGATGCCCAACATGTGACAGGGGAGAATATCCCTTCTCTGTCTAATGACCCGGCTGACCATGGATGGCCTCTCGCATTTCTGGATGACTTCGAGTCCAAGATCTGGATGACATATCGTTCAAGTTTTACGCCTATACCTCGCTCCCAAGATCCTTCCACCAGTTCAAGTCTTTCATTTTCTGTTCGACTCCGCAATCTGACTGAGCGCGAGGGATTCACCAGTGACACCGGCTGGGGCTGTATGATCCGATCTGGTCAATCACTCCTTGCTAACGCCCTGATGCTCCTTCAACTCGGTCGTGATTGGCGCCGACCGCATGTTCATCCAACGCCTAGCTCCACAACTTCTCCCTCTCCCTCTCCCTCCACAGAATCTGAAGCCCATATTCTTTCACTTTTTGCCGACTCTCCTGACGCTCCTTTTTCTATCCACCGTTTTGTACAACACGGAGCATCAGCATGCGGGACTCACCCAGGTCAGTGGTTTGGTCCATCCGCTACAGCATCCTGTATCAAGGAGCTATCTAGCGAGTGTGCTGCCGCAGGGCTGCATGTCTATGTCACTCCATCCGCCTCTGAAGTTTACGAGGACCGTTTCCGCAGCATTGCCGCAACTAGTGATACCGATAAGACTATTCAGCCAACACTGGTGCTTTTAGGTATCCGGCTCGGTCTTGATCGTATCACCCCGGTCTACCACGAAGCGCTCAAGAGCATTCTCACCTTCCCTCAATCAATAGGAATTGCTGGTGGACGGCCATCATCATCGCATTACTTTATTGGGTGTCAAGGCGACATGTTCTTCTACCTCGATCCACACGAAACCCGCCCCGCACTACCCTACAAATCCAATCCTGCTGAATATACCGAAGAAGAGATCGCAACGTGTCACACGCGTCGACTGCGTGGTTTGCGAATCAGCGAGATGGATCCCAGCATGCTTATCGGGTTCCTGATCAAGGACGAAGCAGATTGGAACGACTTCAAACGAAGGCTGAGCGAGGTCAAGGGCAAGAGCATTATAAACCTATACGAGAAGGAGCCGCCCGTACCTGGGCAGACGCGAGAGAGAAAGGAAGCAGTTGACGAGGTAGAAACATTCGATGACGAAGATGACGACGAGACGGTCACTGTGTTGGGCAATGATGCCAGAGAAGCCGAGGACGACCAGCCAGAACTGGTCCATGCCACGACTCCAACAGCCGTGACTGCAGCGGATTCCAATCAACATACGAATACTCAGCCTACACCAAGCATCGCTCCCAGCACAGAGACGAAGCAGGAATGACACTGATGGACATGATATATTAAACGCTCTTGAAGTTTGGGAAGATGTTATTCTTTTCCCATTGGGTTGGCGTAAGGAGAAATTAGCGGCTGGCACACTTGCTTAAATCAGGGACTCGAAATCATCATACTATAGTTTGTGGTCCGACCACACAGTGCAGACACACACACGGCCGAAATCAGACCTGCCCTGCCTGTAGGTAGTAGTGAGTTTGAATTTGATGTTATGCAAACGATAATAATCCAATGGCAAGAAATTAACAGGGTGTCCCGTTGCTTGCTGTCGTGTGTTGCGCGCCTGAGCCCCGAGGCCCTCTCACGTGCTTGCTGATTTGACGAACCCTCGGCCGTGCGGTCGGTGGCGTGTCTTAGCGCGCATTGCTCTCACCCACGCGTCCAAGTGCCACAACAATGGAATGGAACCTCTACATGCATCGCAGGAGGTGGTCGGCATGATTGAACTGCGAACTTGGAAGCTGTTCGAGTCGCTCTCAACTTCTGAAATTGTTTGGACCGCTCGACGTGTCAATATACAATCGTAGGAAATACAACGAGCAATACATTCTGTTCATATGCAAATAACGATTGCCACGTTCCGGGTGACAAGTCGCGACAAGCCAGAATATACAATATGGCTCTTCAGAGCAGCTTCGCAGAGTCCCAAAACAATGGTCAAGTTCAACATATGATTTCATGCTTTGCATTTGTGTCTGTATGTATCCAGTGCTTCTTCAAGATCGAAGCTGGAATTGGCCATAATTTGATTCACATGCCCACGAGCCTGGTGAATATCGTACATTTGTTCTCCACCATGTTCTCATGATGTAAGACAAAAAGCTCTGAAAACCGTTAAGCATGACCTGTTGACTTGATGTGATGAACCAAGAGGCAGCTCTCTAAGAAAGGCCGGGCTCATTGTTTTCATCATGAATCCCCATTCCCATGACGCATCATAAAGTGTTGTTCGCAAACCCATTTCAACACCGTTGATCCATTGTGCCACAACCCCATTGCAATAAAACAGAACCCATGAACCAAGCAAACATCCTCGAAGCCTCAAGATGCTATCTATTTGGATTGGGATGAGTATTTGGTGACGGCCTTGGTGCCCTCAGACACGGCGTGCTTGGCGAGTTCACCAGGCAGGATGAGTCTGACTGATGTCTGGATCTCTCGAGAAGAGATGGTGGACTTCTTGTTGTAGGCAGCAAGCTTGGAGGCCTCAGTGGCGACGCGCTCGAAGATGTCTGAAGGCTAATTAGAACCAAAGTATATGATGAATCTTGAAGACCAGACTAACCGTTGACGAAGGAGTTCAGGATGGACATGGCACGGTTGGAGATACCAGTGTCGGGGTGCACTTGCTTGAGCACTGAAAAGACGCGTTAGTGAACGACTCAAAGTAGACGGAATTGCGCAATCGCAATCGGAGGCTGAAGCTCACCTTTGTAGATGTATGAGGAGTAAGTCTCCTTGCGCGTCTTGCCACGCTTCTTCTTCTCGCCTGAAGGGGCAGCGGCGGTCTTCTTTCCAGCCTCCTTCTTCTCAGCAGGAGGGGCCTTGGCTGGGGCCTTGCCGCCGGTGGTGGGCTTCTTCTCAGCAGCTTTGGGAGGCATTTTGATTGATTTGGATTGCGAAGACGCGAAAAGATTAAGTTAGTTGAGTATGAAGATGGAAGGGATGCTCAAGTGTATGTGAGTGTGAGAATGTGGATGGATGAAGAAGGAAGGGAAGGAATCATTCAAAAGTGTGGATGATGGCTACTCTTATAAGAGGTGGGAGGTGGGAGGGCGAGGAGCGGGTTGATCAGAGGGAAGGAGGGCAGGGACGCAACCAGGCAGAGCGAGGGCGGGTTGATCTGGGTAACGGTTGGATCAATTTTATTAGTGTATTGATATCGTGTCGTTTTTGAGCACTTTTTATCCAATGAACTTCCAGGATCATGATTCTTGGCGGTAAGATATGGTTACAACTTGTAATTCTGCCACGTATTGTCAAACACGTCGGAAAAGTCATTTTTGATCATTGGCTCTCCTCCGCTCTGATTGGTCGTGATCCAGTGCATGATCCAATAAACGGTGATCCGCACCCTCCTCACCCGTGTCTCTCCAATGTTTTCCCCTGCTGAAGGTTGATCTGGCGGCGCGACTTGCTCTCCCACTGCCCGCATCGCCGCCTGCTCCCATGTCCTTATAACTTCCCATCCCACCCTCCTTCATCGACGCTTTCCTCCTCCTTTCTTCTTCATCCATCTTCAACCAAGCCTTTGTACACTCTAACGTCCTTCGCGACTTCATCAATCAGACCCATTTCTCATCCCAAACCCCCCAAACAAACCAACTCATCAAAATGACTGGCGGAAAATCTGGCGGAAAAGCCTCTGGCTCCAAGAGCGCTCAATCGTAAGTGATTTGCTACCCTAAAGCAAGACATGCCTTGGGTCATTTGGACCTTCAATCGCTGTACTTGCGCGACACATTTTGTACATACGAACATCAATACTAACCTGATGATAGCCGATCCTCCAAGGCGGGTCTCGCATTCCCAGTCGGTCGTGTTCACCGTCTCTTGAGAAAGGGCAACTACGCTCAGCGTGTTGGTGCTGGTGCCCCAGTGTACCTTGCTGCCGTCCTTGAGTACTTGGCCGCCGAAATCCTCGAGTTGGCTGGCAACGCTGCCCGTGACAACAAGAAGACACGTATCATCCCCCGTCATCTTCAGCTCGCCATCCGAAACGATGAGGAGTTGAACAAGCTTCTGGGCCACGTTACCATCGCCCAAGGTGGTGTCCTGCCCAACATTCACCAGAGTAAGTCTCCAGGATGCATCCAGTCGCAATTGATACTAACGATTTCTCTTTAGACTTGCTCCCCAAGAAGACCGCAAAGGGCAAGAACCCCAGCCAAGAGCTATAAGCTGCTTGTTCGATTTCTTGATGTGGGTTTTCAAGGAGTTTCATGATATGCTATCACACAATGGGGTTCTGGGGTTGGGTTGGTCTGGGCCATTTCACAGACAATTGCTTTTACGGAATACAAGGGCTGTACATTATGTTCATGCAGCATTCTCAACGCTATCGTCATGACCATGGATAGTATTGCTGCAAACATTATGGGAGGGGCATGAGAAATGTCGAATTGGGCAAGGCATAAACTGGCGTGCTTTGCGAGATCCAGAACGCCAAAAGGATCACTAGAGATCTACATTCAGTGATTCTCAATGCCAAAATAAATCATTGAAACATGCATTTTTCTCTTGTATTCTATCGTGTCTCGACGATGCTTGACGCGTCTACCAAATTGGGTGTTAATAACACAATCATACGCTAGCGCTGAGCGGCAATCATAATGAAAACGATGGAATTGTGCTGCTGCATGTACGAGCTCAAGTCATGGTCATTTGGTAGGGCGATGGGCTGAGAACTTCCAGAGGCAATGGACCAGTTGCACCCGAGTAAAGCGATGCAGTAGAGGTGCAAGGAAGACACGGTATGATGACCCCCTTAGCGAAGCAGATTTTTACTTGTTCAGGTGTCTGTTATTGGAGGTGGAATGGAGGCTTGAATTTGGATGATGGATTATGACCTCACTCAAGGCGCGAGTCAATCTAAAGCTTAGGAGGATCGATATCACGTGACACCTCCACTAGTGATGCTCGGAAACACGAAATGAGTGGCCATATGAGAAGCCGCAATCCTGTTTCTCGCCATGCCAACGACGCCAGAAGAGTCTAAAACATGACCGCGTTGTTGCAAAAGTCCACTGTTCTGAAAGGTCAAAGACAAAACGAATGGACGCATTTTGTCCTGTTGATATCCCCTTGCGCTGAACCAAACGAATGGTGATAGAGTCCAGAGTCTTCGATGATAACGGCTCAATGGTCATTTTTCATTCTTTCTGAAGCTGTATGCCATCTAATGGCAGGTCTTCTCGCGCTTTGCTAGTATGTACAATCAATTGTAATGTTTTGTCGCGATCATGCTGTATTCAATAGCCCTTTATAATCTCTTGACAAAGTCCCTTGACGGCGGAGGAATATCTGGGGCTGGTAAATTCCTTTCGTATTTGGAGCCTTCACGAATTGTTAGCTAGATGCCGTTTTCTGCGGCTGAGTCAATGTCACATACCACCGGGAGCTGTTGGTGGCCTATATGGATCGGGGTGCTTCCATTTCCGTAATAATTTCTCTGTCTCGTTGAAAAGAATCTGTCGCCAAACACCTGTCAGAAACTGGAATGCCTTCCTAGGTACGCGAAAACCAGTGCTTGAAGAGGAGCCTTACTCTTTGTGTCCGAGTATCATTGATATTCCTGTTTGCATCGAAGAGGGAACGAATGTAGACAGCTTGGCCACGCCACAGGCTGCGCTGCACAGCCCAATCTAAGGACAGCCGCAGCGCTCGTCGGTACAGGGACCTATCGAGGGAGAGTCAGTGGTGTTCAGGAGCTACATGGTGAAGCAGGGAGCAGGCAGTACCGGACGGCCTTGACATGAGGACTCAAGGTGGTCATGTTGATGAGAGTGGAGGGGTGCGCTCCGGGCGCGCAAAAACAACCGAAAACCTCCTCAGTCACACTGACAGTCGACAACCACCTCGTGCTGCCTCGTGCTATATCTCCTTGAGTCGTTGTTTGGTGAGATGGCGCAGTTGACGATGGTAGTGCATGAATCTGTAATTCCTTCAAGTCGATTGGAAGTGCCAGTTGCTAGAACCCGGCCTTGGCAAACGGAGCTTTGTTAGTGGTTCAAGGCTGATGGGAGGCGGTTAGTGTGCTCCAGGACTGCTTTAACCAAGACTTGGAGCGTTAGCATCTCCTTTTGCTCCTGAGACACCCGGGCTAACATTCTTAGTGGCTGGTTAATGATTCCAGGCTTCCCCTAGCCCGCTGTTGTGGTACTTGAGGTAATTAGCAGATTGGCGGCCGTCTTTGGGTACCTCGTGTCGAATGGCTGGTGTCTCTCTTCCGCGGGGGCAGCTTCTCCGCTTGAGCCTGCGAGGGCTGCATCCGTCCCAGGTACAATTTGCCGTGGACCAAGCCCATGCAGTCATTGTAGGATCGCGGAAACAAGAATTACTACGGAGTAACTCCAAAGGACAACTCCCTCGTCTTTGCCGCCAAAGCTCCGTTCTCCAATACATAGCTTCAAGGTGATACTCATTTCTTTGAGTCCTACCATTCTATACAGTCCCAAGCTCCAGCCCGTTATTCCTTTGTCTTTTGACCACCCAAAGTCACAGCATTGCATGCTGTTGCAGGAACAAATTAGCTCGACTTGAGCATCCATTCGCTGTTCCTCTCTGCAGTCTTCCCCAGTGTCCTGTAACGTCATGGCGACTCTACGACTACGAAGGCTCCCAGCCCTAAGCTCCTCACTGGCACTCACCAGACGTACGACGCCGCTTCATGTTCGCACATACACTGCTCTAAGATCAAGCTCAACTCCCCGGCAGAGATCTCTCCTTCCCTCCAAACACAACACTGCGCTCGCGCAATTCCAGCAGTTCAGCACCTCGCCCACACACTATGAAACAATTGTCAAGGTGCCTCAAATGGCTGAGTCCATTTCCGAGGGTACCTTGAGCTCCTTTTCGAAACAGGTGGGAGACTATGTTGAACAAGATGAGGAAATCGCCTCAATTGAGACGGACAAAATCGATGTCTCGGTCAATGCCCCCGAAGCTGGTACCATTAAAGAGTTCCTGGTCAGCGAAGGCGACACGGTGACTGTTGGCCAAGACCTTGCCAAAATCGAACCAGGCGAGGGCAGCGGCGGCGCAAAGGAAGCCAAGGAAGAGCCAAAAGAGCCAGCATCCAAAGACCAACCCACAAGCTCGGATCCTGAGCCCAAGAAAGAGGAGAAGAAGGATGACAGTCCTCCTCCAGCGAAGAAGGAAGAGAAGGCCGCACCTCCCAAAGAAGAGAAGAAGCCTGCTCCTCCTAAAGAGGAAAAGAAGGCAAGCTCTGGAGAACAGAAAGTAGGGATTGAATCACCATACGGCAAGGGAAATAGAAATGAGAACAGAGTAAGTGAAATATTGGCTGCCGCGTGAAGTGAGATTCTAACTTTCTTGTCCAGGTCAAGATGAATCGCATGCGTCTTAGAATTGCGGAACGGTTGAAGCAATCTCAGAACACAGCAGCATCACTAACGACATTCAACGAAGTGGACATGACGGCGTTGATGGAGCTAAGAAAGAAGTTCAAGGACGAGATTCTCAAGAAGACCGGAGTCAAACTTGGCTTCATGGGTGCCTTCTCCAAGGCCGCGGTCCTAGCGATGAAGGATGTCCCAGCCGCAAACGCCTCCATTGAGGGACCAGGAGGTGGTGACACGATTGTTTACCGAGACTACGTCGACATCAGCGTGGCAGTGGCAACCCCCAAGGGTTTGGTGACGCCAGTGCTACGAAATGCTGAGAGCTTAGAATCTTTGGTGGACATTGAGAATGGTATTGCTGAGTTGGGCAAAAAGGTACTAATGATCGCCCACCTGATCATATCACCTTGACTGACGTATCTCTAGGCACGCGATGGAAAGTTGTCCATTGAGGACATGGCCGGAGGAACATTTACCATCAGCAACGGAGGAGTCTTTGGCTCGTTGTACGGCACTCCGATCATCAACCTTCCACAAACCGCTGTTCTTGGCCTGCACGCCATCAAGGAAAGACCAGTTGCGGTGAATGGCAAAGTGGAAATCCGACCAGTGAGTCTAATCAAGCATACTGCTCTAGAGGCGAAGCTAATTTCATGCAGATGATGTATCTCGCTCTCACATATGACCACCGTCTACTAGATGGACGGGAGGCTGTTACGTTCCTGGTCAAGATCAAGGTAAGACGCCTTGTGGCAAAGACAAAGAGCACATCGCTGACACAATCTCTAGGAATACATCGAGGACCCGGCAAAGATGCTACTGGCATAAGTATCTGTGGGCCAAGCATCATGAGCCGCGTGCAGGTTGGCGGGTTGTTGGAGCGCCCACCGAGCTGCGGTTCATTCAATTTCAAGAGGCAAGGATGGGTTATTCAGCGCGGATGTGGACGGAAGTATTTAGCTCGTCAGGAAGCCTAGCATTATTATTGTTGAGGGTTGTACAAAAGCAAGACAAAGCAGATTCAGATCGATGACTGACGCGCTTGAAATTGGTTTGATCGAGACTTCTCATGTTGCAATTACATAATGATGCTCTGTTTTGTGGTGAGGCTTTTCGGAACGAGGCAAGAGTGACGGGTTGTCAAGCCCCTGCGCCGATGTTGTTCCGTTGAAACTCCGAGAACTCCAGGAATGCTTAGACGACCACTTATGATTTCCTTGTGTTTGTGCCTCTGGATAATTCATCTAACAATAATGCAAAGACCATCTACGGTCAATTACGTTGGTGAGGATACTTTGAAGCCTTGATGCTGGAACTCAGTCGCACCGGCATTAGCCCTGGAAGAGAACTCAGAGAATTGCTCCAGCCTCCCTCTAGAGGAGAGAGATACAATTATCAGGCGAGCCCAGAATATGGCCAATTTAACGAGTCTACTTTCCAGTATGGGCTAAACAATGCCTGGGACTGCCTGTCATCCTTCTCGCTTTTGATGCATGGTCATGAGAGGCGATGTGGTTCAAAAGAGAGATAGCCAGTCGACTACACATATACTGGTAGAGATAAGACGCTCGGGTGCTACGGTAGGCCTACGGATCATCTTCTACTTAGGTAGCTTTTTCCATAGGGAAACCTATAGGGAACCCTATAGGGAACCCCAAGGCCGAGGGGCTCTAAGTAAAGATTATCCCCTTGGTCCTCGGGGGCTCATCGGGTCTCCAACTCACTGAATCACATCTCCAACAGTATTTTCAAAACAGTCATTGTCAAACCCTTTGTTCTTCTCTCAGCGAGACACAATCTCAGAGCTCAGAGCCCTTATGCCGTGATCATCACATCACCTACTTGTTCAAAGAATGCCTCCCAGGATTGTGAAGCAAAGACTGGTTTGGAAGGAGTGCCTTTGTGAACGTTGAGATACAGAGTACCCCGTTGGTGAGTGAGAAACACCAGAGCGCACCATGGCGTCGACTCCCAATCACGAGCTTCAACATCTTTGTCGTTTTTGTCACTCTCTCGTTGCTCTGTGCTGTCCTTTGTTGTTTCCAAGTGTTTGTCCCTTGGTCACCTTCATCTTTCTCTGACTCGTGCTTTGTCCGTGTCTTGATGACTATTTGACTCGCTCGACGATGGACAAACTCTTGCGTTTTGCCATCAATCACTAGACATTAGTCATTCTTCACCAGGAGCGCCTCGAATATGGAAAGCCATCACAGTTCCTCGAATCCGTCCCATTCTCATCCAACATCCCGCGGCACACACCCAGCGCAGGAAACCATGGCGAGAACGTCATTCTATGAAACTCGGGCCAGGGAACTGGGGATCACGCTACCCACGACTTTGAATCGTTTAGAAGCCCTCTCGAATCTTGCTAAACAACTGCACCCAGATGACTACAAGGTGTACAACTTTCTTGATACAGTGTTGAACATGGTCCCAAATTTGCCGACTCCGCGCCACGGTCGCCTTTCCAGGCACTTACGTCCCGCGCTGACCCCTGCGTCGATCTCAGAGCTCGTGTTTGAGCGACAAGTTGCCTTTCGAAAGCTACGGCGCGAAACTCAGGACCTCAGTCAGTTTGGTAAATCTCAAGTTGCATTGCTTGAGAATCTCGAATACCAATGGGTACAGATTTCACGATGCCACCAAATCGAGCTAGAGCTCATGACCACATTGGAGCTGTATTTTGGAGTCGAGCGACATCGTTCACACTTCTACAACATCCGATTCGCCGTCACTCGCGTTTGTCATCGACGACTGAAGATTGCGGCGAAGGCGGTCAAGGAGAATCCCTGGTTGAAGATCTATCTCAGTTGCTTTCTGGCCAATGTTGTCAAACTTGTCAAGGACAGCAACGCAGAGAATGGTGCAGCCACACTGACATCTCATCAACACTCAAGCGCAAGCGACGGCGACGGCGACGACGACTGTCCCATTTGCTCGATAGGTCTCTTCCAGGCCCCTGAGGACTCGGAACTTGTTTCTCCAACTACTCGTCCAGAAATTATCAGTTGCCCCCAATGCCGTCAGTGTATGCATGTCAGCTGTTTGGAGACCTGGATTGAGAAGCAAGAAGGAGATGATGCAACTTGTCCCTTGTGTCGCGCAGTTTTCAGCGATCGTTTTCAGGATGGGTTGCTCGATCTCATGGCGGATCAGCTCGAGGTTGAATGCAGACAACTCTGTCGGTTGATTGAGATCTGATTAGTCTAGCACAAAGCACAGTGAAGATGTCTGAGAGTATGGACACTAGTGTTAGCCTAGAAGATTAATGCAGACTCGGGGGTCCCGATTGATCACTGATCAGTCTTTATTGACCAAGTAGAACGTAGAACTTGGGGTCGAGTCGAGTCAGCTACTCCCTCTCCTACTATTCTACGACTAAGTAGACTCCCTATGTATCATTAGTACGCATGCCTTGATTCTAAGCTAATACAGTACCTCAATGTCCCATGAAATTAGGAACCCAGAAGCGTAAGTAGTATATTAATTATGTCAAAAGAATTCAAACTATCATCACGTGCCTTGCGTCTGCGGGGGAACCAAAAGCGGGGAAAGGTTCAAAGGTTCAGTCGGTTTCTACTTGCGGAGGAAGGAGTAGGTTTGTAGGTTTCTACCAAGTCGAAGCTTACCTGCGCACCCACCGCACCTCCACGCTTGGAATGGGATGCCCGACTCGCCCACGCGTCCATACAATATGACTGTGGAAGCGTACACTAACTAACAACAGGACCATACCCGATACTGATGCCGAGGCAATTCTCCGCTCCAACCCCCTTCCCCCAGACCATTCCTCAAATGACACCAAGCCACATCGATGCGAAGGCCCAATCCAGGGCGACAGACTCCTTTCGTCTCAGACAATTGGCCCATTAAGACCGCCGGGCCTGGAACTCTGGAACTCACCATGTGCCGCGGCCTTGATGGTTTCTGGACTTGCGACCTGCTAGCTCTCCCTGATCCTTCTCCTCTTCCTCCTCCCTAATAATGCCGGGGGCACGGATGGTTTGACTCCGCTCATCATCTCCTCTTCGTAATATGGCTATCCCCAGTTTGCGGATGAGTACGGCCCGAATAAGTCTACCTCGACCTTTGTGATTCTTCTTTCATCATCGTTACATTCGTACAAAATACATACTGTATCTCAAAGACACATCCTAGCCACTCAAATTCAACTGTAACAGATCGACAAGGCAGACATGGCTACACCAGGTCCCATTAAACGCGTCGAGCAGGCCGTTACCGGGTTGATTAAACTCCCCCTCGGCATTGTCAAGTATGCCGCGGCCGAGCCTCTATTCACTGGATCATTGCTCTTTGCTCTCACTCGAGCCCCCGAGAAGTATCGATTGAAGCTGTTGAGCTTGTTGCAAGAGCGAGGCCTATCGGCCGCTCGAATTGCGACCCTCGTCAAATCTTTGAAATACTTGCTCGCCATTGGCGTCGCGAGGAGGGCAAATCAAGCATTGAACAACCTTGCGCTCAACCATTGGCATCTTCGCAAGCCAGGTGCACCGTTCCAATTCGGAGCGCGCAAAGAAGAAATAGTCCTCATTACCGGCGGTTGCAGTGGCTTTGGTTATGAGATGGTCAAGAGTTTCTCCAAGTTTGCCAGAGTGGTCATCTTCGACGTTCTCCCTGTGCCAGCGGAGCTGGAGAAACGTGAGTATTGCAATCAAGTCCCACTCCCGTCACCCGACAAACATCGTATCGTATCGTGACATCCATCTAACAACCCAATCTCATCCAGTTCCCGGCGTCCACTACTACAAAGTCGACCTGACCGACTTTCCAGCCATTGAGGCGGCCGCAGAGCAGGTCCGACGAGAACATGGAGATCCCAGCGTTCTCATCAACAACGCCGGCATTGGTGGGTCTATCAACTCCCTTGGTGCTTGTGACCATTCGCTGACTCAAATCTCTTTCTGCCGCTCGCAGCCACCAAAGGCACGATCTTGGAGGCCGAGGCCAAAAGCACCGAAGCTATTTTCAAGGTCAACATCGCATCTCACTTCATTTTGATCAAGGAATTCCTACCCGGCATGTTGCGCGCCAACAAGGGTCACATCGTCACCATTGCCTCGATGGCCAGTTTCGTCGCCGCCTCAGGCTTGGTTGATTACTGCTGCACCAAAGTCGCGGCACTATACCTAAATGACGGTAAGTGTCGCACCGTGAGGAAACCACGGAGCGAGCCTTTTGGATTCCCTTCTCAATTTCCCATCTTCTTTCTGTCCAAGACTCGACTGACCTTTTTTTTTCCCCTTGGCTGTACAGGCCTGCGAGCTGAACTCCGATACCGCTACCCGAACGGAACTTCCATCCAAACGACATCGGTCCATCCATCATGGCACAAGACGGGTATCGTATCTGGTCTCGAGGAGAAGCTAGAAGCCCACGGCCTCCGTCTCGACCCAGCCAGCAACGTTAGCGACGCTATCGTCGATCAAGTCCTAGCTGCCCGTAGTGGTCAGATCTTCATGCCCCGCAGCGAAGTCAGCAAGTCTAGGGTTCGGACTTGGCCTTTGTGGTTGCAGGATGCAGCCACCTACTCTCAGAGAGCCATGTCTCGCTTCGAGTTTTAAGTTGAGGCTAGAGGGTTGAGAATTGAGAATTGAGTCGTGAAACCTCTGTGCTGCAGATTCAGTGCAGTGCACCGTATGGAATCAGTCCTTGAGTAGTTGGATGATTTAGGAGACTTGATGGTTGCAGCTTGCATTGTATTAGTTTGCAAGTTTGTTGGCTGTATGTAGGTTTAGGAACAAATATAAGCCTTGTGGGATTGTTTTGTCACAAACCTCACACCTCGATTACAGTCCTCTATGAGTGTCTGTTTTATGGGATTATAGCAATGTAGCTCTTATCAAGTTCGTTGTTGCGGTGGTGGCGAGCGTACTCTTGGAGGTGGTCATTTGCTACGGTGTGTTTCGCTTTGGTGTGTGCATTGAATATATATTCGCATTTCCACTACTAAGACGACTCGACGACTCGCTATCTAACCACCATAATCCAACATCCATGCCAAACAACAGATCAATTACGCAATAATCACATACACATGCAGCTAGATGCGTAGCAATAGCCTCACACTCTTCGCATGATGCAATAGATACGAGTTATCAAACATTGACGATATCTATCGCTCCGCTTATGCAGATGCCAAGCCATAACTGTTCAACGACTCAACTACACTATGCCGATATACATAAACACGTAACTTCCATTACTCTTCATCTGACTTTTCCAGAGTGATTCCGGCCACCGGGTATGTGACAGCGACCAGGACTCCGTCCGAATCAACGTCGAGCTGGAACTCGTCGTAGAATTGACCCGTGGGTGATTGGAAGAATGAAGTCGAGACCCAAGTGGCGCACCCATCGTCGAACAAACTCTGGCCACCCTCGACCAAAGCACGAGGGGTCAGAGGAATGATCTGGTTGACGGCACGGTATTTCAGCCTCTTGCCACCGTCGCTTAGGATTTCCTCAAGCCCAGTCGGGTACAGGCGAACCGTTTGCTCTAGGCCCTCAGGCAATGCGGTCAGGCCAGGGAAGGTCAGGTTCAGCATTGCGTCGGTGCCGTTGATGAAGAACTCTGACAACCCAAGACCAGGGTGATCATCCTCGACGGTGAACGTTAGGTTGGTGTCTGAGCCAGACCCGTCCGCAAACGTGCCCTGGAAATGCCTTTCTGCATGCTCGAAAGCGGCGTGTTCGGCCGCGACTACAAACGTCTCCCCGACCGCCGCCCGGATCGTCCACCGGTCGACTCCAGCCCCAGGCCCTGCCACCTGCACCGAGTAACCTAGCTTGTGGTCCGGCGATAATGCAAAGACCGACGTGTATCCTGCTTGGCCTCCAGCCTTGGTGTATAGATCAGACACCCGCCTCCGAGTTGAGTTGGTCGACACAGACAGAGTTAGCCGGCTAATCTCCCAGGGTGCACCGACGCTGCTGGTCAGTGATGAGGTATGGGCATGAGGCTTGAGCCACGCCCGGGTATCTGCGGGCGAAAGGATTTGTGAATTCAGAATCGACATCCCAATCACACGTAAGTCGGCATTTGTTGAGTAGATGCCGCCAGATCTGGAAGACAACATGTTAGGAACCAAGATTCTCATAGCACAGAGGTCCATGTAACAACTTACGGGGCGGTGAATTGATTATCGAATCCCCAAGAAGAAACGGAGGGATCCCCAGGGATCACAAGCGCATTGACGTCGTCTCCCTCAGGCATGAACGTGGTGGTTGAGTTGAGCCCAAGGGATTCACCAAGCACGCTCTGAATAGCTTCGCTATAGTTTTGTCCCGTCATTCGCTCCAGCGCACGGCCAAGGACGCCGAAACCTCCATCGGAATAGAGCGAAGACTGGTGAACTGGCTGAGATGGTACTCTGATCTCTTTCATGTATTCTAGAAATTCGGCCGTGGTGCAACCGGGATCCTCAGGAGTCAGACATGCGAGGTGAGTCAGTGGAAATTGAGCCGAACCAGCCATATGTGAGGCTAGTGTACCAATCGTCACATCCTCCCACACGATTTTGTTTAGCGGATCGTTGCGAGAATTTCCGGCGAGTTCTGGAAGGTAGTCGGTTATGGGATGGGTCAAGACTTCCAGGCTTCCCGCTTGAACGAGAATCGCGTATACAGTCAGGAGCTTAGACACACTGCCAATCCGGAAGATGGTTTCATCGTTGATACCCCCTTCAGGGAACTCCTCGTCTAATGCGGGCTCGGTGGCTTGATGCGAATAGTTGTAGACGGAGGTATTGGTCACGGTCGAGTAGACATCAATGGTAAATGAGGATGTGGAGCTGTTGACGATACCGGTGTCGAAAAGGGCCTCGATGACGTCTGGAAAGGAAGCCTGGGCTTCTGCGAATGCATCGGTCGTGGTGAGGTCGAAGTCAGAAAAGAAGGTTGGGCCCAGGAGAGGGCATTCTTCCGTTGGACGGTACTCTTGAGTCCTCGCAATGGACAGGATAGTAAGGATGGGCAGGATCGACCGCAGCATCATGGCAGTTGGAAAATGAAGCATATAGGTTGTGCATGATCAGAAATCACAGGACATGCCGACCGAGCGAGATTATATAGACAATAATTTGTCGATGGAACTCGTATTCGCAGCGAAATAGGAAACTATGATTACCTATTTTGCTGCTGGATACAGCATCAAGGTAGCATATCGTCAAGCCTTGGCCAGGGATTGAGGCCCCCTGCGACGTTCAGGGCAGATCTGTACCTGAGAACAACTCAGACTGGCAAAAAAGGTAAACGAGTCGCCTGTGTTGGCAATGAGCCCCGATTCTATTCCGTTGTGAGCGCCAAGGCCGAACCTAGAGGTGTTGTCACGTTCATGTCGACACTCTGTGACTGGCAATGCGCTGTTGCTCTTGATGTCGCGAAGTGAAGAACTGTGGCGATCGTGAGGCGGTTCCGAGGCACCAAGGCTGGGGCGAGGCGTTGTTGACGAATCTTAATCCACTAGTACGAGTACGGCAAATGATAAAAGTGTGGCTTTTTATATTCGTAAGACCATGTCACGCCGACCAGCGGATGTTGAACTGACACTGGTTAGATGTACGGGTGATGCCTGTGCGGACTGCTTGAAAATATTGTCCAACGTTGAGATGATATCATAGTGTACCTTTTTGTTGGTGCTTATTGAGTCGAGGTGGGTTTACGAGTACGAGGATTTGCGAGAGCGAGAGAAGACGAGTTTCGAATACGAAAGTTGGATCGAGTGGCATCTTTGTCAAGGCTGGGGTGTGGGAAGAGCCAATCATACGTCCGGGGGCTATGCTCTCTGCACAAGCATAGGCGTTGGATCTCGGATCTGCGGTCGGGGATCTTTTTAGCTTGGTCATGGTCCTGGGAAGATGAGTGGGGATATATTTACCGTAGCCTAGATTTGCTGTCATGTAGCAGCGTAATGGTAAAGTGATGGAGGAACATCACAGTGGAAGAGGACGAGAAGTGGACGAACGCATTCAGAAGCGCAGGGGGGAAACGCTTGAGTGGAAGGAACGAGGCAGTTGAAGGAGCGTTCTTGCTTATTGTTCTGGTCACGTGTATTATCACGTGCAAGTATACCCATGCTTCTCGATAATAACAACATCCCTCTACACGACATTTATGCACAGCAGTTCTAGCGCGCTTAGAGAATGCAATCATCACACCAATGTCCCTTGTGTAATACTTTATAGGAGGGCGAGAACTTTGTGGGCGAAACGGCCATCACCACTTCAGTAAGCTATCGAAATACCCGTCCTCGACACGGCCTTTCTCTGTCCCCGTCGCCCAGAGAGATCTACAAAGAATGTAGTCGATGACAATTCTGTTCGCTACCCAGCCTGGTCTCAATAGCGTCATCGCTCCAACATCTCGTGATCTCACGCCTTCAGGTCCGCCCTTCCAAAGCTGTCCTGGAAATGTTGTCCGACCGTTTTTCCTATTCGAGATCCCTCAGACACATCATTGACCGACGTCATCATCGTTGACATTGTGCCGTCATAGAAAAAGGGAATGCTGTACCGGTCACCTGTGTCTTTGTTGATCACTCGATGCAGCACACTACGGTAGTGACCATTGGTCCAAGCATTCAACACATCTCCGATGTTGACAACATATGTGTCCTCCGTGGTTGGAATCGGGATCCATGAGTCTTGGGCCGGGTGCAAGACTTCAAGTCCTTCTTGGCCTGGGTGTTGCAGAAGCAAAGTAATGGCTCCAAAATCTCTGTGAGCACCCGCTGTTGAACAGATTAGTCAGCCTCCGAAGCGACATGATGGATTTGAAGAAAAGAAAGATGAGAATCTACCTCCGAGCGTGGCTCCCCCGACTTTTCCCTGGGGGGGATAATGCAGCAGCTTGACTGAAGCCACTGGATCGCTCATGAACTCGTCGAAAATGGTAGCGCTACCAGGCATGCCACATGCAAGGATCTTGATGATCTCTGTAGCCAGCCGAAGCATATGATTCCGATATTCCGTGATCGGGGTTTTGAACTCGTTCTCGGGCAGATTGGGCCAGACATTCCGCCCATAGAGGTACTTCCCGTAATTGGGATCTTCTGGTGGGACATCCCGACCGATACGGAAAGCCTGTTCACCACTTCGAATTAGTACCATTGGGTGCAGAGAGCCAGGACAATCCAAAATCTCGGAAGATACTCCAATGCTTTTACAGGCTTACCTCCTTTGTGTCTGGTGCTTCTCCGGCCTGGAGAGCCTGTGAACCACTCATCTCGTATCCTCGACCGGTCCATGGGTCTTTGGCCAATGCCATCTTTTCCTCCAAAGGAAGAGAAAAGAATCTTTTGGCGCAATCGAATGCTTCATGTTGCAACGCAATTGGCACTCCGTGTCCCACCAACTGAAAGAATCCATACGTGATGCAAGCTCCGCGAATTTTGTCCACGACATCGTCTCTCCCACTCCCGTCCAGCCAGGGACTTATGTCAATGACTGGAATCTCACATTCGATGGATCCCATGGTGGTAGCAGCACAAGTGAAAAATTTTCAAGCACTTATTTGGGTTGGAAACCTAGGACGGGAGACTCATCCCAATGTTGAAGAGATCGCAATTCACCATGGCTCGAATGCTTATATACGTAGCTCACGCCAATTGAGAGTGGACCCCTCCTCTAGTCTGGTCAAATCGAGCCCTTCAGCCGTTGATAAGCCTGCTTCCTTGGCATCTTGGGTGCATTGACTGTAGCCCAGATGATGGACGGTTGCCTAGGAGTATATGATTCTGGCAAGCGAGAAACTAGAACTCTAGAGACATTATAGTTCAAGGGGCTTCATTCGACCTAGAACTGAAGTTTCCAGTCCTTTCAGCTGCAGGATACCAGGCCATCCTCGGACAGTAAAAGGTGAACCATTAACATGATAAACCAGGCACCAACTCTACCCAAAACAGCAGAAAGAAAGATATCTAGTCTAAGCCCAGTAACTTACGAGCATTCTCAGAGTAAATACAACGTTGAACATCAGTGCCAAACAATGACTTCACTTCTCGATCATTTCTGTTCGCCGACTCCAAGACCGCTTCGGCCGGGAGGAAGGGGAAATCAGTTCCATATAACAGACGTGAAGAGTCGGTGAATCTGAGGATCCCATGGATTTGATCCGGGAATGGAAACCCAGCAAGGTCAAAATAGAAACGAGTCTTGAACATATGTCGTATGTCGTCGCTCGAAACCGAATTCGTCCCATATACGCGTGCCGAATACGAGGTGAATCGCTCCACGATCGGCGGAAGTACCGCACCACAGTGTGGCACGATGAAAGTGATATCCGAGTTCCGCTCCACAGTCTTGGACAAAATCAAGTGCGTCACTGCTCGAGCCGTGTCGAAGAAGAACTCCAGCATCGGTCGTGGATACTCCGGCAAGGGCACAGCTTCTGCTGATCTGAGTGGTGTCTCCCCGACGCGTGGTGAAGATTCCTCAACTGCCGAAGATACAGGTGGAGGGGTGTTGGAAGGACACAATCGGCACGTGGTCGGATGAATCATCACAATGGCTTTCCGCTCGTTGAGTTTCTCAAACACCTGGTCCAGTCGCGAATCCCCGAGATAGACGCCATTCGAATTGGTCAGGACGTGAAAACCTTTGGCACCGAGCTGGTCCAACGCGTAGTCAATCTCGGTGATGGAACCCGCTACATCAGGCAGAGGCAGGCTCGCAAAGAACGAGAGCCGACTGGCATTGTTCCGACAGATCTCAGCCAGTTCTTCGTTGGTCTCGCGGGTGATCTGCCGACATAGAGCCGGATTGTCAGGGTCAAGATACGTGCCAGGCGACGTTATGCTCAACACGGCACTGGAGATTTGTGCACGATCCATGAGTTCCAGGTGCGCTTCGACGCTCCATTCCTACAGAAGTAAGACTTTTAATCAGCATTTATTCGCACTCTTCTTGTTCCTGACTGATTTCATCTCACCGGAATTCCTGCCATTCCATCAGGCTTTTCCCATCCAAGATCCATACATCTTTTTCTCCATTTAGGTGGAACAGCATGGCTGTGAGTGTCAATACGTTCCATGGCTGCGGTCTTTCTTTCAAATTACCTTCTGGAGGATTGTGTCTCGATGAGTTTAGGACCCTGCACGGCCAGAGGGTCGTTATCAAGGTACCAGGTGACACAAGCTTCCTGGTTGCTTCAGCAAATCAAGAGTTCTTGATAATCATGCAATACGAAAGAGGAGATTATACTTGGAATAGGGCGTCTGATGACCTTGCATACCTTAGATAGCCGATCTGTTGCATTCTCTGCCGATAAGCTCGTTGACGAGCTAGGCAGGGCGTTTCATGACCACACGTGTCATAAAGTGCTGTCCACTTTCGCAGTCAGGGGTGCGGTTATAGATTGCAGATTCACCAGTATCCACCATTGTTGATCGAGGAAGTATTTTGGGAAGATCCGCCAGCATCTTCATCTCGAACAAGGCAAGCACACCGGTAGTTCTTGAGCGATACTCCATTCAGAATTGAATAGTTCTAGTTCTTGACAACTCCCACTCCGAGCTTGGGCTCGTCCTGCAACTCTAAGTCTTACTAGTAGCCTATTGAGATATCTAGAGTCTACAATTGCCCAAACGCCATCTTTCTTCACCAGTAGACTTAGTTGTAACATCTCTCACAGAGCACTGTGCCTTCGCAAACCAGACGACCAAATGGTCTTTACCCAGTGAAATTGGAGTTATCAGCACACGAGAATGCGCTACCTAAGCAGCGACAGTTAGCCATATGACTCAGTAATACTATCTTTTGCGGATTGCTCTGCTTACCAATATCTCCTATAGCATACGCATTGATGATCAGTTGCACTGTGCTGTATGTACCACCAATTGAAAGGAAGCTCCCGATGAGTATCAGAAGGCAGTGGAAAGCGTAGAAAGCCTTTTGCTTTAGACTTCCGGACCGGTACGAACTGTGATCCGAAATCCACAGAATATTGGGGAGAATGATGGCCAAAGGAGCAAAACAAATCGACCCGGTCAAGGCGAGCAGATAGTTGAAGATTGGAATCGCTGACGCCAGGATGAATGCAATGATCGCAAGTCCGATCGTGCACCCTCTATTTCCTTTGTCAGTATCGCCCCGTAGATACTGTTTTTTTCGGTAGAAACGAAGTTCAGCATCGAGATGGGACTTACAGCCATGTACCCCAGTGGACAAGTGTGTTGGCCTGTAGATGTTTTGTGTTCCGCAGAAGACGAACGAACAAATACTTGGCCGCGACCTGGTGGTAGCAAACATGCTCAGTGAATGGTTACAGACCCCGTAAAAGTGGACCAACTTACATGGAGATAAAGACAACCGCTCACCGCAAGACCTACCAATCCGACCCCATATGCTACCTTTTTGACAACAGGGCCTGCGCTCTAAAGTAGATTGACTGTCAGCTCTCCTAGAAATCGATGGTCTCTTCAGTCTCGACTCTTACCCCGAGTGATGGATTAGCCACCCACTTGCCGCACCACCGATAGACCACCAGGCTGAACGAAAGATAAGCGGCGTTCAAGATCGCCATGCAGGTTAACAAGGCTTTGTTGTAGTCCCGGGGATTCTTCATCTCGGCAATGACTGGCATGAAAGAGGAAGTTCCTGAAGAGGAGACGAAAATGGTTGCAGAAGCCATCATTCCGCCGATAAAGGTAGGGTCTCCAATGACGCGGTACCCCAGATCGAAAGCTCCCTCTTGAGGTGCGGCCGCTGGTCGGTCGATGACAGTGACGCCAATTCTGAGAAATACAACATTTTAGCACGGATCCTTAGTTTCGTGGTTGCGAATGAAACAACTTTACTTACACCACAATCAGAACAGCCGCAAATATGGAGATGCATCCAGCCCAGGTGATCCAACCAATATTTTGAAATGTCCTAATACTTGCAAGCATCATGACAGCTATTGTGGCCAGGAACGACCACCAGACAGTGCAAGCAGCATGATCTGAGAGTGCGTTGATGGCGATGGAAACTCCCAGGATGCCAGAGCCGCTGACAAGGACGAATCTGATTTAATCGGCTTGTTAATCAAAGACGCTCCGTTCATTTCACCCAGCTTTCAACTCACCCGACAAGATACAGCATGCTGACCAATTCCCTAAACCAACTTCCTCCGACATGGTATGCCATATCGATCACTGTATGGCAATGTCGATGCCTGTTGCGGAATTGGCCGAGGATGAAGGCCGTGTCTTTGAGGTAACAGTGTCATCAGTACCGATCTTGCACCGTCGTGAATGAGAGACAGTCTTACAGGTATTCAATGCACCCCATCCAATCACCGACATGGCTCCACCGAATGCGCCTGAGAAAGAGCCGGTTAACAGATATGGCTTGTATCCTGTGAATCAAATAGCTTACCGAGCTCGTACATTGCACCCGGAATACTCAAGACTCCGGTAGCAAACATCACTGTCGGGACGGCGTCAGCTTTGGACCAATATTGAGCAGTTGGCTGATCTATAGCCTAGGGGAGGGCAAGAGCTCACGCTTCAGGAAGATAACGGAAGCCATGGGCCAACCCAGGCTACGGAACTTCACCCCATTTTCTTTGTCGTGAAACACTTCATTGGTGTCGAGATCTTCTGGAGCCAACTCTTCGATGTCACCTCGCTCAGACTTGCTATGAGTCGGAGATTGGCACTTTTCCATCGACACAATGTTGTCTTTGTTCATGGTTGATGATGTTTGCGGCTGAGTGGATGTTGAACGGAAGAAGGGTAGATTGATCAGATCACGGTCGAAACCGTTGAAGACGTCGAGACTCTGGCTTGGTTAAAATACAAACGAGGCTCCAGACCAAGTTTGTATCCGATAACTCATCGATCCCTATAGCGCTCTACGTTTTCCAATGTCAAGAAGCATCTGGCCTCAGCCGTAGTAGGCCTAGGTACCTAGTCATTGACGCCCTGCCGCTGAGATGATTCTCCGACCCTGTTGATAACGATGAGGCGCATGGGAGAGTCGGCGGGTCTCGACTTATGAAGCTTATCAAGAACAAACTGTCAAGATCCAAACACAATTAACGGTATAGGACCTGTGGATTTCCCGCCCTTTTAGATAGGCGTGTGGTCATGTTTCCGCCCTACCAGATAAGACTGGTCACCCGTCCGCCTTGTGGGACTGGCCAATTAGATCTGTCCGAAATACCCGCCGTGAGCCTAGGAACAGCAACGGCGCCTTTAGAGGTGACTGATTGATTAACACTCTTAAATGAATTATGCGAATAGATTACTGCCTAAGCAGTGTTCGTACCTGATATGCGTAGAAAGGAGACGTAATCTCATGTCAAGACCGACTGCACCGCCAACAGCAAGCGAGTGGTCATGTTCTCGCCCTACTAGATAAGACTGGTCGCCCGTTCGCCCTATAGGACTGACCAGTTAGATCTGTCCGAAAGTACCTGCCGAGCCCAGGAACAGCAAGGGCGCCTTCGTAGGTGACTGATTGGTTAGCACGCTTGAATAGTTTATACGAATAGATTACTATCTGAAAGGCGTAGAAAGGAGACGTAAGATCATGTTAAGACCGACTGCACCACCAATAACAAGCTTGCGACACAAATAGTCAAGTTCAGTTTCAACTCTGAGGATTTAGTCTAAGCTAAGTACAACTTTGTTAATCCCTGACTTGATTGTGTAACTGGTGTTCACATCTCATTCAACACACCTTTTTGCCTTGCAAAATTGACGTCGTCGAACCGCCATGATAAACACACTCAACGATGTCCCCAAGTAAGTTGACATTCGCCTATCTCTCCCTCTCATGTCTTTTGATGTTTTTCTGACCGGGTCTATAGGTCGAGGACAGGGCTCCCTGTCGCAGACCTTGCAGCAACCTATGGCATTACCGTTGACTCCACCCACATCGATGATTGGGACAAATTCTTACAATCCATCGATGAAAGCGCCCGGAAGGTATCTGAGATGGACGACTATCTTCCGACCTTAGACGTTGACAAATATCCTCGGTCAAAAGGGAAAATACCAGAAGATACATCGACCGGATGGGCATTACAGGTATGAAATGGTGATAGTACCACCAAAGGAGGAGCATAATTCAATGGTGGTCGTCATATCATTGTCCTGAGACGACTAACGAAAGCTGCAGTTGGTTGCAAGATGTCGAGTTCCCAAATCCGACAAGCTCTTGGGTCGTACCGTGGCATTGAAGGTAGGTGTTCCCGATCGGCTCTTCTGGATCGCATCAAAGCTCTCCAAGGATGTGCCTCAATCCTAACAAATTCTTGATTCAGGACAATATCGGGCTTGCAGGTGTACCCTGTACAAATGGCTCGGCAGCGATACCGGACTGGATTCCACAGTTTGACGCCACGGTCGCCATACGAATCATGGACGCAGGGGCAACTATCACCGGCAAATCTGGTCAGTTGGCATCTGGAGCCTATCATGCTCCTTGCAAAGGCGGTGTTAAGAATGCTCTGGCTGACCGATGAATAAACAGCATGCGAGAACGGATGTTACGAGAGCACAAGCGAGACTGCCATCTCGGGAATTGTCGACAATCCTTGGGCCAGAGGCTACAGTGCAGGAGGATCGAGTAGTGGCAGTGCTAGCTTGGTTGCCTCCGGTGAAGTAGACATGTCACTTGGGTGTGACCAGGGAGGGTGAGTTCTGTTTGAGGAGCCTGGGGTTCGCTGGACTCAATGGCTGGATTATTATGTTGACCAGCTATGAACAGGTCCATCAGAATGCCGGCGTCATTTTGCGGCATTGTCGGTCTCAAGCCTACCTGGGGTTTGGTACCATACACAGGAATCATCGGTCTTGATGCTAGCATTGACCACGTCGGGCCTATGTGTAAAAACGTGCATGACTGCGCTTTGCTGTTGGACTGTATAGCAGGAGCAGACGGTGTCGACGACAGACAGCAAAACTCGGTTGTTCATGGACGGACCCAGTATCTTGACAACTTGAAAACAAGTCTCACAGGCACGAATCGTGATCGTATGCTAGAGGGCATCCGGATAGGAATTCTCTCCGAAGGATTTGGACAGCCTTTTAGCGATCCAAACGTGGATAATTGCGTGCGTCAAGCAGCTCGGCAGTTTGAAATGCTTGGAGCACATGTCGAGACTTGTTCTATCCCATCCCATGAGACTGGACAGATGATCTGGGGTCTGGCTACATTTATGGGAAGTTTCCAGCAAACAGCAACCGGCAATGTGACTGGTCGTAAGTTGGTGTATGCGACAGACAGGGTCACCAAGACGAGCTGCGATCAATCTCTCTTTGATGCCGGTGGGCCTGGCGTTAGAAGTATGTTGCTCAGCGGTATGCATTTGTACGACTCTTATGGCCCCGGTTTGTACGCCAGATGCAAAAACCTTCTTCGAAAGCTGAACGTAAGTGTCTCTGGGAGGACTCTTGTTGACTTTGCCATTCTGTCCCTTTGCACATCCTGAATTGCTCTTGCTTGCCTTGGCATATCACTGAACACTGTTTGCTGACGTTAACCGTGATAGGACGAATATGACGGGAGTCTTGAACGGTATGATGTATTAATCACACCTACCACGCCTCACGCGGCCCCTCGACACCATCCTCCACAGACTGGCCCGGCAGAAAGATTGGCCAAGGCTCTCCCTATCACGTTCAACACCTCTCCACTTGATGCGACAGGCCATCCTGCTATCTCTATTCCTGTAGGGTTCGTGCCGGCGCAGGATGACCATTCTATTCGTCTACCGGTCGGAATGCAGATCATTGGACCTCATTATGGAGAGGACAAGTTGTTCAGAGTGGCAGGTAGCTGGGAACGGCATTTTGATTGGAAAATATAACAAATCAGGTAGAGTTAAGAGAAGTCCATAGGGGTATAGAGCTAGAAACCTGATCCTCATTCTGAGAAACGGCCTGAAATCTCAAAGCGTATTCTGTGCTTGTGGCTCGGTCACAGGAAGTAGGTTCAATACTCTCGCCGTTGTCAAGATGGTAGTCGCATCACTGAACGATCATCCCATTCTATGCCTACCAATCCAATCTCGTCCAACTCATCGAGCTTTCGAAACAGATGAAAATCCGTCATCTCAATAGTAGACGGGTCGATCAAATCGGATATCGAGAACGAGTCGGTCCCCCAATCCTCTGTACAGCTTTCCAATGCCGTGTACTGTTGCTCGGACTGAAAGTCTTGCTGTGACAGTGATTGATCATAGTCCATATCAATTTCATGCTGTGCATATTGATGAATCCCACCGGTAGCAGCTTGACCATACAACAATTGGGGAAGCTTAGCGTTCTCCAGCATCAAGGTAGCTTCCGGCTCTAGGCCCCAATCGCCAGTCCAGTCATTCATTGAAGATCCAGAGGCGAAATGATCTGCGATGTGATCCATCCGCGCTTGCCATGTCTCGAACCAGACATGACAAATTCCACAGCGGGAACGAAGACGTTCAGGTTGGGATTTCCACAGATCCATAGCTCCATCCCAGTCGGTGACACCATGAATCAGGCGAAGATGTTGTCGTAGGTGATCCTTGCGGTAAAATGTTCGATCCGATTGAGGGCGCTGAGCGCAGGCAGTGTAGCCATGCATTTGAAGATGTTCAGGACTAGGGTCAGCTTCGGGGCAAAAGGCACAGGTAACACAATTGGTAACATTATTCACCACCGTGCCGCCGCGAAGGCAGCACGTCCACGTTTCGAGTGGGAGGTGACGAGATTTCTCATGGCGTTGCCACTCATGTTTCCGTGCAAAAGATGCTTCGCAGAAGGTGCATTGGAACGGCCGAGGTTGCTGGGACGTGTTTGCACACCTGCCATAGGCCGACCGAGCTTTTCGTGTGAAGGCTTGCTTCCGGCGATCTAGTCGTTGAAGTGACGCGAAACTGTCCAGGCATTGCTGCTCTGCATTCACGGATTGATTCGCCGCGTAGGAACGGATCTCCATGCTTGAGACAGAAGACGTACCAGCTCGGTAGTATTGCCAGTTGGTACTTCGACCTGGCCGCTCAATACGAACTTCAGGCTTTCGACCTTGCCATCCCTCATTTTCCTCATTTCTCTGCTTGACAGCGTTTATGATGGCTTCCAGCGGAACGGCTTCAAATTGAGGCTCAAGCGTGAGCCATCGCTCGAATGGATGCAGAGAGCCCATGAAAGGTAAATGAGATTGACTGAAAGTTTGAGGCTGAGACCTTAGTCCTGATCCTGTCCGGGTTCTGGATCTTTTCCTGGCGTTGGCGAACCACTGACATACTTGACTGCGGGTTAAACCTGTAACGTCGCAGAGTCGATCCTTCTCAGCATCTGAAGGATAAGGAAATTGGGAATTTTTAGACCACCAGTCCACTAAGGCCAGCTTCGCATTCCTAGGAAGACGTGTCGAGGACTTGGAGAGCGTCTTTTCTCCTTTTCCGGTAGCGAGGACCCTTTCTCGTGACGACACGACGGGCGAATCCCGTGTAATGGAGAACTCGTAGGCAGGGTCGAGTATGCCGTCTTCCGCATTTGATATCATCGAGTCACTGGCTTCCCAACTTGCGAGGAAATTCGTCCATTCTGTGGGCAGAGAAAGATCGGAGTTTCCAGGGTTGTCGATGACCGCTGAGAGCGGGTCGGGGACGGGAGCCACGAAGTGCATATCTGTGTCGGGTTCTTCGAAGTGAAGCTGTTCTTCCATCTTGGAAGCCTATCGAAGGCTGGAAGTCGTGGACAGAATGTGGAAGTGAAATAGTCACCCACAAGTACAGTTTATGTCGACCCTTGCGTCCAGGATCTGACCTTGAACATAGGTTAGCGTTGTTGCGGCGGTTCCAGAACAAAGATCGCTACGTCCACTACTTCATAAGATAAGGGCAATGGTGTGAATTGCGACGACACTTGCCAATTGACCACTACGGAGTATAAATGAAGGGTCTCGGCAACACTAATGAATATTCAGCATTACGATAAGCTATGGAGAATGACATTCGTTTTTGGCTTGGGACGGGTTAAGTGCCGTCTGTGATTGGGCCCTTGAGTTGTTATCTGGGAGACCAGCGAGAGGCGTTGGTTGCAACCAGTCACCTGATTTCCGAGGCTCATTGAATCTTGTATTGGATGCCAAGCGGTCTAATCGAATGCATTCATTCTTCAGTGCGTCCAGGCTATTCAGATGAAGCTGAAATGACTTGAATAACGATGTGGAAACTATGGGGGAATGTTGGAATGTGGAGTATGGTAGAGGGAAGGTGGATCACGATCACGTGACTCCAGGACTTCCAATGCACGTGACATGCACGATCCTCGCAAGGCTGTCGACATTCCCAGATCCCTGAGGGCATCATGGCCGGTTTGTGGAGCGACTAAAAGCTCCAAGCAAGGCACAAGGTTGCCTTGCATGGCTTGCGATAGCACCATGCAATAATCGCTCCGTAGGCGACTTAGGGTTGGTTTTTACTCCCTGCGTATATCTTAACAACATCCCTCAACGCCTGGTAAACAACCTATTCCTAGAGAAACCCCATGTCTATCAATATGACTGGACAACATACACAAACTCAACTAAACCTCAAATTGCATACCATCACGGGTTATCGATCTTGCAGCTGATGCCAAAGGGAAGCCATAAGGTGCCTGGGGGATTGCAAATCCACCAATTATCGTCTCTTGAGTCGGTTCGCATTGGTGCCCTATTAACAGATGCTAACCGAGTTTGGAATGCGCTGTTGCCAATGAGTGCATACCCTGCCTCATTGCTGAGCTTGTCGCAAAATGTTGCAGCAGAATAGCACTGTCGAACTGATCCGTCGTCACGAGTGCTTTCACCATAGTATAGGTAAGAAATGCAGTTGGCAGCCCAAACCCCGTTGCCCTGGAGATCAATGTCGATTGTGTCATACGCTATTGCCACACTACCGTCCTTGTTGGATGGGTCGATCGGTTCTGTGGGCACCAGGCGGGCAGTTGCAATATAAGGGAGTAGCAGGACGAGGCTAGTGGTAAGCCACATATTGACCATGGAGTGGTAGTCGATGGAGATGGAGATGAAGATCGAGATCGGGGTTGGATAGTTAGGGGACAACGGTGTCTTTGGTCGACAAAAAGAGATGTTGGCATGTCATGATGGTATGCGCTCTCTCGTTGGCATCGATTCGAGTTATAACATACCCTCAGAACGGGTTTTCGTCCTCACTCAAGACCCATGGCCCTGTCTGTGCTTTTCAAATGTTCCCAATCAAGCATCAACGTCCCGCCGTGGTGTTGAATCAATGACATCGGGCGACACCCGGCAGTAACGTCTTCGCTGTAAGCAATTCTTCAATCCACAGTGTAAAGTGGCCATGAGGATCCACATGTGCCCCAAATGGCTGCAAAGGCGATGGGGCACGGACCCAAGACCGCCGCCACCACTATCGAGATGGAATTCCCATGCGAAGCCTGCACAATATCTCAGCGCTCGGACTTGAAAAAAAGACTGTTCTAGACAACCCCAGATGATCGTTTCGGGACAGCACACTTGCAATATCGGCCACATCTGCACTATGGTATAGGTGCGAGGAGACAAAGTTGCTTGCTAAAATGACACACTTCCAGAATAATGCTGCCACCAAACACCCATGCATGCTGCAACCACCAAATCACACATCTTCAGCCCTTCGTCCTCGATTATCAGCTTCCCAAGCTTTGCACTGTGACCCTTGAATCCTCCCCCAGCTTTCTCACGACCGAGATCCAATTTCATCTCTGGCTCCTGGTCGCCTCCTTGATTTGATTCATCAGTCTTTACATCAAATCTCGAAGAGCGTACCGCCACATTTCCAGTGCCGTCATTTTTGGAGAACTGTTCTCGAGCTCTTGTGGTGAAGTTCTGGAAACTTCGCCTCCACTGGTCTTTATGTACCGCCATTGTCGGTCGTTCGAGCGGCGATGTCGATGGGAACCCGGAATCAAGAGGTGAATGCTGTTGCGGGTTCGTATCCTTTGATCGAAGCTTGGCCCATGGTAGGTTGAATCGCACTTCAGCAATGTCTGCTGCCACTCCAGGCACACTAGAATCCACTGAAGGAAGGACGTGTCGGCATCTTAGACTTCTGCCGTCGATGCCATTGCTGAAGGAACATATACCTTTCCAAGGGGACAAAAATGAATACGCCTGGCGAGGTTTCCTCGAGGCTGCAGTGGTCGCCGAGGTGAATAGTTCTGCCGAATTACTTCGTTTTCGTCCTGACGTCGCGAGTGTGGAATTCGGCACGATCATGTGTCCTGTCTGTCTGCAAAAGGTGGGCCCTGCTGCTCCTTCATTCACAGAAAACTTGACATATCCAGGGGATGAGATTTCAATCCCGAATGGTACAAGTGCACCAGTACGGCTTGATCCATTGGGCAGGCTGATGGACCCCACATTCCACTGATTCCCTGAAGCTGGATCCCTACGAATCAAGGTAATGCGCATACGATCTGTCTGAGGCGTGGCACAGCCTGTTTGTTTTACAGCCGAGGGAAGACGGTCCGGGCTTACATCTCGCGACCCATTTGAGCGAACGGGGAGCGCAGATAGAACAGGTCTTCGATTTAATCCAAACTGTTGACGCTGCTCGAGGGAATCTGTAGGACTAGTGGATGACGGTTCTTTCATGGAAAGCTCGAGACGATCGGGAGAGGAGGGCATTGGTCTTGCGCCAACTGGTTTTCGGGGGACAACATTGCTTTGAGTCTGGTTGGGTGGATCAAGCCTCAAGTTAACCCCCCGATGTGCATATCTTTCTGCTTGAGTTGCATTATGTGTGCCTCCCGGGGCAGGCTGATAAGATGGATAACTCTTTGGAGGAGTCAGTGGTCGTCGAGAGGGTGGGTAGTTTTCATCTGGGGTCGAGGGCAAAGGTTTCCGCGCGATGGTGATCGGGGAGGTCTGCTTGGATGTGTCTGCGGAACGAGAAGCCTCTAGAGACAACCTGAGGTCTTCATCTTCCGGCCGTTCGACATGCAGAAAGTATAGACTGGATTGGACTGATTGAATGCTGATTGAGGCCTTTGTTGGGGGCTTGAGTGGGGTTAAGAAGATGTCTGTCGTGGTTCAGTACCCATCCCGCCAGATGGCGATACATGGATCTCACCTTTTCCCCCAGGCACCCGCAGGATATACAGAATTAGTGGATCATGGGCTCCATGAGTTGGATTTCGAGGATATCGAGGAGGGTTCGCAAGGAGATGATTCAGCGACGAAGTGGACTGCGCCTGGACGGGAGCACTCATGTGAAATGCTGACCCTGGACAGTCTGCAGTCTGGGGATTCAGATAACGCGGTCGATATTTCTGCTCTGGTGCTAGCTTGTAGGTGAGCAGCGGCGCCAATGGTGGGGGAGATTATATGACGAACGGATTAATTCCTCACGGAACAATCACGCTTTCATGCCCAGTATGAATCGAGGTGGTAATTAAGACAGGTGATGAGAAATCACGAAATGAAGAGGGGCCAGAACACAGGAGTCATTATTGAAAGTAGTTGGGTGTCACTGTCAAAGTTATGATAGGGCGATGACGAGTCTCATGTTGGCATGCACAGCGACAGCGCCTGCTGAGAGATTGATTGTATATGAGACCAAGATATGAGGAAGACATGCTCGCCAACCAAGAATTGAGGTTGCCTATTATTATGCGTGGTTGACATGGCAGCATGGCGGTGCAACGGACATTTACGCAAGCTGAGACTGGAGGAAATAGCAATGTCCTGCCTACGATGTGTTTTAATATTATTAGGCTACACCCTATAAGTGGCTGTTCCCAAGGGACAAATATAGGTGGGCCGAGGGGCGTAGTACTCCGTACATGGGCTACCTACCTAAGGTTGGTACCTACCCAGGTACTTGTTCCGCTCGCGGGGAAGCCTGAAAAGCCCCCCTCGGCCTGCAGAACGCCAGCTAGGTAGGCAAACGCTTCTACAAGTGTTCCCTTCTACTAAAAAATCACCTCCCCACCCTTAACAGTGCAGTTCAGACTTAGGCCAAGATGATCTGCTGATGGCTGAAGCCCCCTTGGCCCACAGGTCCCTCTGCCACTCTGTCCCAGGCACGCCAAGTAGCAGTTACCGGCGGGAGAAGGTTTCGAACACGTATTGTAGGAGGTACCAAGCACCAAATCTTTTAAACTCTTGTGGGACTTTATCCTGACAGACCGTGAGCAATGTCACCCTACTATCAATCGGCCATATCAGAATCCATTCAATCCTGTCCACTTCTCCATAACCGACCCAATATACGGAGTAGAGAGCTACTAGGACCGTAGTTCTGCCCCCCCGTATAACGCCATGCCCATCAAGGACCCCGGTACAGGCCAGGACTTCCTCGATATCTACCATGCCATTGGCACTTGTTTGCGGACATCTCCCTCTGCTCTCTGGACTAACAGATTCATGTCCAATGACCTGTTGTTGTTAGATCTTGCTCCAGTATCGACTCACACTCCTCGTGCTTCTCCACTATCAAGCTAAACCACAGACTTCCCTTGGCTTGCTTAGCCGGTTTCTGCTTTAGCCAAGGTAGGTATCTCAACCCTCCACTACAAGCCCCCCTGGACATACAGTACTCCGTACTCCACGAGTATACTACAAACTTTTGTACCGAGTATGCACGGGGTACTGACACCACTTCTCTTCAAAGTCGCTAACACCTGTTATCAGGCCTAAACAACTCAACACGCTGTAGGAGACTCCGCTACCCCTGTTCCTTTTTCAACTCGAGCCACACGATTCGTTCCTTTTGCTTTACCATGTCCACCAACCCCTCTGAAACTGCCGGTAACGACCAACGACGGAGTATACTGCCGTGACTGCTTACCCAACATCCCGCCATATCCTCCGACGTCATGCGGATCACAATCCTTCTCCCGCTCTTCTAAAGTCGTGCCCCCAGCACATAGCGTTCAAAGATAAGCGCACCATGCCATCACCTCACCCTTTCGGTTCCCCCATTCTTGGGAAGCGCTCCAGCTCCCATCAAGCAGAATATATTAGTTGAGTGGATTCACGGCCAATTGAGCGTCCCCTCCACCACCGAATACAACCCTGACTGTCAGTCACCGCGTTGCGTTGAGTTGTACAAGCCCCAACCCTGCCAACCTCACCTGTCTGTGTTGGTGAACCAGACCTTGGAGTGTTCAGACGATTTCGTCCACCAGTCAGAAGATCGATCAAGAGCCTACACCTAGCCACAACCAAGGTCTACTGTAGGCAAACTTCACCTTGCCAACCATGGACGACCCCAACCCCGCCAAGACCTCCCATGTCTCAAGTGATGACGAGAAAACCGACAGGCTCGTGGATGCAAAATCGCAAGATGTTCCTATCGGCTCAGGCAAGGACGCCGAAATCTTACCCGAAATCGACCATGTCAAAGAGAATGCATTGGTCAGGAAGCTTGACATGTATATCATTCCGCCGACAATGTTGCTCTACTTGGTCTCTTTCCTCGATCGGGTCAACATTGGCAATGCGAGACTTTACGGCTTGGAGGAGGACCTCGGGCTAGAGGGATCTCAGTTCCAGCTCGCCGTGTCAATCCTGTTCGTGACTTATGTCTTGCTTGAAGTCCCGTGTAATCTCTTGATCAAGAAACTACGTCCTTCACGGTTCATCTCCTTCATCTGTGTCGGCTGGGGTAAGTTCTGCTCGATCGCCATGGACCGAATGGGAACTAATTGTATCTAGGCATCGTTGCCACGCTCACGGGTGTCGTTCAGAATTTCGCTGGTTTGATAGTATGCCGTCTTTTGCTTGGTGCCCTGGAGTCTGGTCTCTTCCCTGGTAAATTCTTTTCCTGGCACTCATTGAAACACCGATTTAACTTATAGCAGGAATGACCATCTACTTGACCTTGTTCTACACCAAGAAAGAACTCGCTCTCCGCGTTGGCTTCCTGTTCGTGTCTGCGGCAATTGCTGGCAGCATTGGGGGGCTTTTGGCTTATGGCATCGGCTTCATGGACGGCGTGGCCGGCCAAAGAGGGTGGAGGTGGTGAGTAGACCTTTTTTTATTTCTGCTGTCGGCACGGGTTTTTTCTACCACCGATCAGCGTCTTGCCACCATTCAACAACCTGCATTTCCTTGTACTGATGCATCCGGTGCTAGGATCCTCATCATCGAAGGTCTACCCAGTGTCGTCCTCGGGGTCATCGTTTACTTCTGGCTCGCTGACGGCCCCGAGACTGCTTATTATTTGTCGAGCGAAGAACGTGAACTGATGGTGATCCGAAAGCGCCGCCAGATTGGGCACACCACCTCGGGCGACGAAATGCACAAGGAGGATGTCCGCAAAGCGTTCAAGGACTGGAAGGTCTGGCTGTTTGCATTGGGTCAATTTGGAGTGGACACTATGCTGTATGGATATTCGACCTTTCTCCCAACCATCATTCGAGGGCTTGGTAGGTGGACAACTGCTCAGGTGCAGGCTCTTACCGTGCCTTGTTACGCACTGGGGGCAATTATGGTGAGTGATCCTCTGTGTCGTTTAATTTCTTGAGTTTCGAATTGTCGGCCGGCTTTAGAGGGCAGTCAGTGAGGCTAATCTTTTGTTCGGGGCATCGCAGTATCTCATCGTCGCATACTTCTCCGACCGGTACCAGAAACGATTTCTGGCCGTGTTGCCCTTCGCCTGCGTCAGCATCATTGGATATGGCATCCTGATTGCCGATGTTTCCTCTGGGGCCCACTACTTTGGCTGTTTCATGGTTGCTGCAGGTCTTTATATTACGGTGGGAATTCCATTGGCATGGTTACCTTCAAGTAAGTCGAGCTTCGGATGACGCAACCTCAACTGGGGCGATCACTGATGCATACCACAGATCTCCCGCGATACGGCAAGCGTACCACAGCCACCGGAATGCAGTTGACAATTGGTATGAATACCCTCCAAGACAATCGTGGATCAAGCTGACCATTTATCAGGTAACTGTGCGGGTATCATGGCTCCATTTGTAAGTCTGACGTTGGCGCGGAGAAAGTGCCAGACCAGGAGCTGACTTGGATTACTCATAGCTCTACCAAACCCACGAAGCGCCACGCTACGTTCGCGGGCATGCAGTGTCCCTGGCAATGGTGGCAGCTGCAGCTATACTGTACGCCATTGTATATGGTTATTACAAGATGGCCAACAAAAAGCGTGCAGCGGGTGAGGAGGACTCCCTGATTGCTGGAAAGACTGAAGAGGAGATTGCAGAGATGGGCGATGAGAACCCACGCTTTGTCTATACACACTGATGAGTGAGCACAATCTCGACAAATCGACACCGTTGCAGCGGCCTTGCACGACTTCTCGTCGAAGGAGGGGGGGGCTATCAAATCAACGGGTTCAATGATGGGTGATCGGCGTGTGTGAGGACGCTAGCTATTCGCTCGATCTGACTTGTCCCTCCATACTCCGTAGTTGAACGGATTGATTGTCTCTCCACCTCGGCGATCGCTCATACGTAGCAGGATTGTTATGATTGCTATGTGCCTGTTCTAACATGGCTCAACATGTTGTCGCACCACAGTCTACATAAGTGGCTGACGCCTTTTAAGGTCGAGTGACGTGTCACGGGACCCACAATCGCTATATGGACGAGTGGCGGATGGGGAGCAAGCTGTTCAATAATGAGACTTCCTTGGACAAAGGCACAGAACCAGTAGGTGATCAGCAATTAGAAGCTGCCTGTGTCCACCGCCTTTGTGTGTCTGATCTGTTTGACCTTGGTGCCTTGGATTTGCTGAAGAAGCCTTTTGCAGCCCGTTTTTACTCCGATATCTGGAATCAAGGCATGTGCTACCACAACGCAACCACGAAGGCACTCAAGAGGGTATGATGAGTCTGCCCTGACAAATGGTTAGGCAGACAGTCCTGATTCCCACACAGTATTTGTGTGCGGCTTAGTAGTTGGATTTGGGGGCCGCACTTGGTGTTCGCATGTTTGCCCCGATGCTGACGATTCTTGTTGCTCCTTCCTTCATGACTGATTGAGAACGGGGCTCTCGTGAATCATGTTTTAGCTGGACTGACGCTTATGCAGCGACGTGGGCATTTCACAGAACACTTCTCACTGTATTCAGGTTGGGATATCGTCATTGGTCATGGCCGATGTGGCGAGTCTTGGGGTTGGCCCTCTGGACCGTCTGGCCTTTGTCTCGTCACAGGGTTCTCTGGGGCGATCAGGATCTCGATCGTGGATACTCATGTACAATACGCCCTGGTGGCCCCAGAGCCAACGACGGATGTGGACGGCAACGGGCAATGCAAACTGCAGACCACAGTATCGTGATCTTCACCACGCTGCCAGACCCGTGACTGCACGAGTCCAAATCCAACATCGGTGCCAACTGGCAATAATAGTGAGCAAAGGCAGGCGAAGAGTGGCGAACGAGGACCAGTGGGTAGTCAGCGACGATTGGGTGAGGCACCACCCTTGCAGATTTGAAGAGTGTTTGGGCAGTGTTTATTTGTGAACAGGACGAATGAGCCCTTAGGCGGTGGTTTTGGATTGGTTCAGAGGGGATTCAGGCGGCAAGGTTAACCCTAGCGCCTGTGCCTAGGCCGCCCCTGAGTCCACCCAGGCCAACCAAATCCACTTTGGGGGCACCAGACATTGCCAAAACCATGCCAACACGAGGCACTGCGTGTGTTGAGATGATTGTGGATGGTATTTTCCTGTAGGCTCACAGGCTGTAGCATGTAGGCTGGAGGCTGTAGGCCTTGATGTGAATAAAAAAGGGCACCGTAATAATAAAACCCCGGGGCCGAAAGGCATTCACCACGAGGCGGATGCTGTACAATACTTATGAAGAGACGAGTCCCTTGTCTCAAATCTTGAGTCGTGATCCAACAGTCATCCATCGATCAGGCAGACCCATTCGTCTAGAATCTCTCTTTTCCCTCCCTTGTGACTGTTTATGATTCGACCAACAAAGGATTGGCAGTATTAGCGAGCCACGAAGATTCTAGCTATGGGTGAAGAATTTCTATTCGAGTCCTGAGATCGGGTCCAACATCAAAACAAAACGGGTCTATAGAAGAGGTCTCATCACACAACATTTCCATCGGTTTCCTTTTCTTCCACGGATTCATTCTTCTCAACCGTTTTCTTGGGTTCAATCACAGCCACTTCCAGCAAACCGCGCACCCGCTACCGGCCGCAACGCTTTGTCACGCAACTCTCAAGACCATTCAAGTATTTTGACTCCCGAGGCCCCGAGACACACGAGGAAAGTTTCGGAAGTTGGTTCTCATCGCACAAGGTCACTCTGATCTGGTCATTGTGTGATCTTCTCGTCATCCCAAGCCAGTCGAGGCTGTCCTGGCGCCTTGTCTGTCGACGACCCCAGAGTGTCAACGCTGTTCACACACCCAAATCCAACTCTCAGACCCATAGTGGCCAACCGTTCGGCCCATCGATCTATCAGCAAAAGGCTGGAGCTGGCAGCACAGTCAGGGGGGCAAATTGGCTGATTGGGCGTCTTGGCTGCAGAGCCTTTTCGGCAACTTTTGGCTTCTGGGGCTCTAGATTGGGCCGAGAGCTGCCAGTGAGCCAGTGAGCAGGCCTCTTGACTCGGGGACTGACGCCCACTGGAATTGCACCTATCCTCACTCGCCCTCACTCGCCCTCTGCACTGTAGCACCCTGCCAATTGGTGGTCCCTGCACTGCTTCCCGACCAACGCCGTCTCATTTTCTTCCCCTACCAGTTAGCTGCTCGTTAGCAGTTACAGTCCGGAGACACATCCCACCCCGGCCCGCTTCGTCTTCCGTCGCCATCATCCGCTAAGAATTAACGACGCGTTCCCACTCGACCCAAACAGCTTCACACCAAAACCCTCATATCATCTTCTGCAACGGGGGTCTCTGCTGTTACCTCGACACCTTTCATTTACACCCTCGAATCTCTCCCGCTGCACAATATTTACCACGCGACCATGCCATCGGCCGTGTATCCCTACACCATCACGAATAGCTACAAAGGGTATGGCTTATGCATTCCTATCCATTCGATATACATATGCTGACACGTGGTAGGGGCCTCTACATGCGAACATACAGCCGTAATGTCCGTCGCGCTTGGGACGGTGAGGACTACCGCCCACCAAAGCGACAACGGCTCCAGGGTGCGTGGCACGCCCACGTTGCCGCCGCCAACTCGACCGTGAACGAAAACACGCTTCTCGCCCATCACCTCGAAGACAACTTGGAACGCGCCATTCGTGAGACCAGCGTAGCAGCAATGTCATCGTCACCCTCACGCAAGAACAGCACCATCTTCTCTGCAGAATCGCACGAAGACGATCTTGGTTCTACCACCATCACACCACCCTCATCACCGCCCCCCGAGTTGAACCTCACACCACCCAATGTTAAAGCTCGAAAGCCCACGTTTTCGTGTCTGGAGAAAAGCAAGAAAGAGAAAAAAGATCAAAAAGGCGTCAAGAGGAAACACGATCTACTGTCGACTGCACCCAACGAGCGTGTAGATACGCGTCATGACACGGAGCCGCTGGCTGAGATCTTCAATTTGAGTGCTCGCGCACAAGGCTCCCACACGGCACCGCGGGACGCGTCAACAGGCCAGTTACAGATGCCTGCTCCCTTGACGACCCAACCAATAACATTACACGTCCCCCGAATCTCAACACCCAAACAACACAGCCTGACTCAGACTGTCCTTGATTTCGGGCAATCGCTGCTGCCCGTCACATGCCCTCAATGCCAGATGTCATACTCGCCATCGGTGGCCGAAGACATCCAATTACATACTATGTACCACCATCGAGACAGCTCCGGTATTGAACTTGGAAAGGCGTTCCTCAAGTCAGCAATGCGCTGGTGCTACCAGGTCCCCAATATCTCTGGAAGTGTGGTCGTGGTGGACAGGAAAATCGCATTACCTGGACGACGTTCTGTTCAAAAGGCGCTAGAAATCATCAACAAGGAACTGGGAAGTGTGGATATCAAAGAGGAGGAATTGTGGAGCCAACGCGCTCCAGACGGCAAGAACGAGGAAGACGCGTTGTTGAACAAGAAGTGTGACCGCTACAAGGTCTTCCTCCACATCATCGATGAAAAGTGTGTGGGAATCTGCTTGGCCGAGCGTATCTCCAAAGCGCATCGAGTTATCCCCAACGAGAGCGTGTCGGGCGAGACGATTCCTTTGAATGGACACTACCGACCTGAAGCCCCAGTGACACCGGCACCAACGGAGATTCACGAAGAGGAGACTAAACAAGTTCCGGCCAAACCACAGATCCCAACTCCAGTTGCCAGCCCAACGTGTGCTGCCTTCACCCCCTCGAGTATCAACATCTCGGAAGAGACTTATCCAGCTGTCGTCGGAGTGAGCAGAATCTGGACGAGCCGTGCGTTTCGACACAAGGGAATTGCTAGCAACCTTCTCGAATGTGTTATGAACCAATTTATCTATGGAATGGAAATTGAACGTGAACAGGTCGCTTTCAGCCAGCCCACAGAGAGCGGAGCGGCTTTGGCGAGGGCCTGGTGCGGCGAACCTTACGGTTGGGCGGTCTATCGAGAAATCTAGATTCCAGATGGAATGTGATATCTGCCGAGACAATGATTACGACATGAGCATCTACACGGCCATTTTCTTGCATGGGGAGGATGGGGAGGCAGAGACCACCCACACGGGCAGCTTGCAGTGCCATCATGTACTGCATAGAATCTTATTGGACCAGCGGTGGATATGCACAGCGGTGTGTTGTAGGATACAAGTGAGCAAGGAAGATGACAGAAACAATCAGAAGACAGTGGCTGAAGCCAAGGAACATGCTTCGGAAATATTGAAATGCTTATGTACTCAATCAGCACTCCTTTAAAGCTACACCAATTTCACAAGGACAAAAGACAGTGATCGCCCACGATATGTTTCTAATAAATCGTGGCCGAATATGTCAGTACCCAGTTCATTGAAATCAATAAGTCAAACCTGCCAGCAAGATCTGTTTTCTAAGTAGTACAGGGGCAAGAGAAGAAGAAGATATGCCCTAATTACATTCCTCATCATTCCGAGTACTAAATATCCGAAGAAGATTGTTGATAACGCACCATGTTTCAGCCTTGCCTTGAACGTGTAAGATGCAATTTCCCTTCGTCATCATCTCGTCACGCAACTTGGCGGAGAGACGTAATTGAAGTTTGGCCTTGGCGGGAGCTTCCTCCATCGTTCCAGGCTTCCAGGCGAGTGTAGTTAAGCGCAAGTACTCCGTAGGTGCAGGTTTAAGTGGAGGCTAAGAAAGGGCAAGAAGCACTGAAAGAGCCACTGCATACTGCAATCATGCTGCATGCATGCATGGCTAAAACTCCACATGTCGATTTGCCCCAGCGAGCATTGCCCACTAACTGAAGTTGGTTATGGGCGACGGGTCGAAGGGGCCTGAGGCGCGCCCCTCAGCCATGGATCTTGCTAACTACCTACCTAGTAACCTAAAGTTAGTCCCCACGCTCCCTAAAGGTACGAGCACTCAATGAGCGGTTTCCGGGCCTCTCAGTAGTACTCCGTAGCACAGTCTGCCTGATCCTTACCAAGGCGGCACCTGCCTGCACCTGCGCCTGCCGTTGAACCAGTCAGCAAAGCCTCTCTTTGTCGACACCTTGGAACCGCGCAGCAAACATAATCTACCACCCTGCTTATGATTACTGCAGCAGCACTTGTCCGGAGTCAATCCCACCCTTACTACCTAATTGTTTCATTCCGGCTCATAGTCCACGGCGTCTCCTTCGTCCTATGATACATCTCCCACCTCAGTTCCAACTCCGCTCCGCTCCTTGCTCAATTAGTCTAGACGACTTCCCAAGTTGGCCGCAGCCTCATACCTCTCGCCCAAAGGCTGAGGTCGCTAGAACTTCAACCTCATACCTGATCAAGGCAAGAGTTGGACTAAATACCTTCATGATGGCTCACAGTCTTTGAGTGCCCCTCGTGGCCGCCCACGGGTTACCCAAGTGGTCTCACTCGCAAGGACCAACCCATCCTGCCGCCATACCTGAGGCATGGCTGAGATGACTTGGGAAAAGCCTGCGGTCTCAGACAATATTTCTTCCACAAGAGCGCTCCAGACAAACCTGACACGGTCCAAGGAGAACTCACCCAACCGTCAGCATATGGGTGGACCAGGCCCTGCCGTCGATCTCAACGGTGCTCTGGACGACCCAGCCTACCGGTCAGAACCCTCAAAGTTGTCTGCCACACAAGGGCCTCCTTCTGAAAATGTCAGCCCCCTTTCCGCCGTCCCAAATCCCACGGGTGGTTTCAAGCAGCCACTCGGGGCTCCCTTTGCTCCCCTCTCCATCAATTCGAACCATCTCGACACTTCAACCTCGCCGGGGAAAGAAGTTCCTGACGCAGATAACGCCTTGAACGGCAGCGGAACTGCTTATGGCAATGGCACGCCCACTGCGCCGAGAAAGAGTGTGCAATTCTCAAGAGACACGGAAGAAATTGATATCCCCATCCTTGGCCAGAGCACTCCGCCGCTTGACGGTTCAGAACTTGATAAACCTCAGTCTTTATATGCGAGACTAAGAGCACTGGCCATTCCCCAAGGATTTAGCCATTCTAGATCTGCTAGTGGACTGTCGACTTCTGCACGTTCGGCCGATGGCAAAGACGCCGACGCTCAGAACAACTATTTTGGTCGCCATGACAATGCACTTGCAGCAACCTTGGAAGAGGATAGTGCCGAAGAGGCTGATGATGACGCAGACGGAGAGGACAGTGCAGCAGAACGTAGAGAACCACAACCGACCTCTCGCACTCGGCGCAAACGCAGGATCCGCCGCTTCGACAACATCGAAACCGCTCCATCGTCACCAAATAGCCCAATGCGTCCGGGCCTAGCAAGTGTCCCACAGGCCTCTGACCGTCCACGTCCCCCCGTTTTGGTCAGGAGGGTGACTGATACTGACATGCCTCATAATCACAAACACCAAGGTTTGTCCGAAGATGAAGGCCACCGCAACTTGTCACGAGAGACCAGTGCCTGGACACCACGTCATCCACTGCGTGGCCTGAGTTATGGAGGACAGAGAAAGCCTGGTGATTCAACTCCAGAAGGTCAGAAACGACCTCTGACACTCTTGAATTTTGCTGGTATCACTTCATCTCGAGAAGCGGCACCTTCTGATCCTACAACACCAAAGACTCCTTCTCGCCGTAAGATCATGTCCGAAAGAGGAACTTCCCTCAGTGCTGCCAAATGGAAGCAGCTGAAGAACAGTTTGCGTCTTTTAGGCCAAACTAGAAAGAAGGAACGAACTCCCGACCACGAAAAGTCGGCCGAACTCCTGGCTGAGCTCGCAGCTGGGACCCCTGCAGCCCTCATGCTGGCTAGCATGTTCCAACGTGATGAACATGACAACCGAAGGATTCCCATCCTCATGGAACAATTGAAGCTTAGAATCACCGACAGTGAGGTGGACAAGGACCGATACAAAGAAGCAGACGTCAGCACCCCCAGCGATCGACATTTGATCTTTCGCATTGAGCTTGAGTATGGCAATGGCATCAACAGAATGAAGTGGGTGGTGAAGCGCTCATTGGGTGACTTTATCAATCTACATGCCAAGTACAAGCTCCACTACGGCTCTGAACGTTTGAAGGGGAGGGGAGATGCCTCCCTGGACAAGTTTCCCAAGTTTCCTCGAAGTGCCTTTCCCTATCTCAAGACATGGCGAGGACTGGACGATGAAACAGAGGAAGATGATGATCCTGCCAACAATCCCGACGATACTGCTGCTACTGACACAGAAGGTCGAACTCCAAAACTGCAAAGTCGTCCCTCGTTCATGCCTAGTCGACGGAGGTCTAGTGTTGGAGGAATCCAAGATCCCGAATCAGGCGGATTGCGTCGAGATCTTCGCTTCGCTGATCGTCAGCGGAAGAAACTGGAACTCTACCTTCAGCTGATGATCAAGTTTCTGCTGTTCCGACCTGAGAGCAATCGCCTGTGCAAATTTCTCGAAGTTTCCGCACTGGGCATGCGGCTCGCTGCAGAGGGCAGCTTCCACGGCAAGGAGGGTTATTTGCTCATCCGCTCTGCCAAAGGTCTAGATTTTCGCAGAGCACTCACGCCTGCTAATATCACACATCGACATACTCCGAAATGGTTTCTCGTTCGCCATAGCTACGTTGTATGTGTGGACTCCCCAGAGGAGATGCATATCTACGATGTCTTCCTTTTCGACTCCGACTTTCGCATCCAGTCTAAACGAAGACTGAAAAACCATCCCAGGGCCAAAGGCTTGGCTGACGCTGCAAGAGAATCGACCGGGCAGCATCATCGATTGAAGCTGATAAATTCTGAGAGAAGACTCAAGCTCCTCGCTCGTGGCGAGAGACAATTGCATCAATTCGAAGAGTCGATCCGAAACATGATCGAGATTTCACCCTGGGTGAAAATCAACCGATTCGACAGCTTTGCTCCCATCCGACCCAATTGTTTTGCACAGTGGCTGGTTGATGGAAGAGACTACATGTGGGTTGTCTCTCGTGCGATCAACCAGGCCAAAGATGTCATCTATATCCATGACTGGTGGCTCAGCCCTGAGCTGTACATGCGTCGACCTCCCGCCATTAGCCAGAAGTGGCGCCTTGACCGCCTGCTCAAACGAAAGGCGGAACAAGGTGTCAAGATTTTCGTCATCGTCTATCGAAATATCGAGTCTGCCATTCCTATCGATTCGCAGTATACCAAATTCTCGCTTCTCGATCTTCATCCAAACGTCTTTGTCCAAAGGTCGCCTAATCAATTCAGGCAGAATACCTTTTTCTGGGCCCATCACGAAAAGATCTGTATCGTTGATCATACCCTTGCTTTCGTTGGCGGGATTGACTTGTGCTTCGGACGATGGGATACACCTCAACATACATTGGTCGATGATAAATCCACCGGTTTCGAGGCAAGCGATCAGCCCAAGGATGCTGACCATTGCCAGCTCTGGCCTGGAAAAGACTACTCCAACCCGCGGATCCAAGATTTCTACAATTTGAATAAGCCGTACGAAGAAATGTATGATCGGACACGTATCGCGCGAATGCCCTGGCACGATATTTCCATGCAAGTTGTCGGCCAACCAGCTCGAGATCTGACGAGACACTTTGTCCAAAGATGGAACTATATCCTGCGGCAGCGTAAGCCAACACGCCCCACACCTTTCTTGCTACCTCCACCAGACTTCAACCCAGCAGACCTGGAAGCCCTCGGACTCGATGGGACTTGCGAGGTGCAGATTCTGCGGTCAGCTGGACCATGGTCCCTGGGCACCCCAGACAAGACCGAGCACAGCATCATGAATGCCTACGTCAAAATGATTGAAGAGTCTGAACACTTTGTGTATATGGAGAACCAGTTTTTCATCACCAGCTGTGAGACAGAAGGTGCAACGGTCCATAACAAAATCGGAGACGCGCTCGTCGAACGCATCACTCGAGCGTCCAAAAACGGGGAAGCATGGCGAGCTATCATCATTATTCCCCTAATTCCAGGATTTCAGAACACTGTCGAGCAAGAAGGAGGTACCAGCGTTCGTCTCATCATGCAGTACCAGTATCGAAGCATTTGTCGAGGAGAGTCATCCATTTTTGGACGCCTGAAGCATGCTGGAGTAGAGCCTGAGGACTACATCCAGTTTTACAGCTTGCGACAATGGGGCAGACTCGGCCCGAACAAAACGCTGGTCACCGAGCAGCTCTACATACATGCGAAATGCATCATTGTTGACGACAGGGTGGCATTGATTGGTTCTGCCAACATCAACGAACGGTCCATGTTAGGCAACCGCGATTCCGAGTGTGCAGCGATTGTACGTGACACTGATTTACTATGGTCAACTATGAATGGGAAACCGTACCAGGTCGGAAGATTTCCTCACACTCTACGCATGCGCTTGATGCGCGAACATTTGGGCCTTGATGTCGACAAAATCATGGAAGATGCTCAAGTCATGGAGGCCGAGCATCAGAAGTCAGAGATTGCCGGCAGATCTACCAAATCTCCATCTCACGGTGATGAAGTTGCAAGTCCACAATCTGAAGAGGAAGACACATTGACTCCACTCGGAAAAAGAACAGCAGAGCTCCGAGAAGAATTACTGAAACGATCAGAAGAACTCAAGAGTTTCAATCATGATGTTGATTGGGAGCAACAGGACAATCCTAATCTCAAAAGCAATCGCAAGCTAACAGAAGACTCTCGTGTGACCGGAAACGCAAATCATCGACAAGATGTGGAAGGTCAAGGATTCGACCACATGGCGGAGGCGGACGCCGCGGGCCTGATCGTTGGAAGAGATTCAGCTATCGCCAAGGGAGCTAGAGAGGTTCTAATTGCAAATCTTGACACCGAGGGTAGGGCTACGGTACAGAACCCTCGCCGACATGGTGAAGCAGTACGTCTTCCTTCTTACGTTGCTAAGCAAGAGGTGCCCAACCCACCATTCCCTCCAAGACCAACAGCCGAGCGTATGAACACTGAACAGCTTGGGCTTCCAATGCTCTCGATATTACCTGCCCTGCCTCCGGGAGACGATACCGATATCGGCGGTCCTCCTCTAGAGAAACTAACCTCCAAAGACTCCGTGCGTACGAGACATCCTTTGATGAACGACCTGCGTCGACCTATGGTTGACCGTGATTGTATGATGGACCCCATACATGATGCTTTCCTGTACGACACTTGGCATGCTGTGGCTGAAAACAATACCAAGATCTATCGATCAGTGTTCAGGTGTATGCCCGACAACCAGGTTAGGACTTGGGAAGATTATCGTCAATACATTGCATATGAGCATAGATTCAACCAGCTCCAGGGCCATGACATTCCCAATGACGACAAGATCCCTCACCCTTCCAAGTCAGGACCTGACACTAAGAGTGGACCACCGGGTGCTGGATCCCACGCTCCTGGTGCCCAGCTCAAGTCGATCGCTAAAGTGCCCAGTGATCTGGAGAAGCACACAGGTGATATCAAAGACAGGGTCAAGGAAGTCTTTGGTGGCGAAGGAAAAGAGGGTCAAGAGACATCCGAGAAGAACGATCTACGAGCGTGGGCAGCGGAAGCCAACCAGGCACAAGCCGACCGAGAAGGGGTGTCCGTGGCAGAGAGGCAAGGGATCCCTACCCTGCATCGCCAAGAGACGTTGACCGAAGAGAGGTCGGGATTGCAGACCGTTATTGAAGGACAAGTCATCTCAGACGAAATCAGTGGAGAAGATGATGAGGGCAGCATGGAACCTCCCAACAGCAGTCCTAGTACCAACACGGTGGTTGATAAGGAGACATTGAGCAATGGAGATACTCCAACGATAAGCGGTAGCTTTGTGGGATACTCTGAAGCGACCAATGTGAATTCTGCGCAAGGTGCGTCAGCGACTGGCAAGCAGCGGCGAAGAAGGGCCACAACGAGATCGAGTCGACGCGAGTTTAGCGCTAGTGACGATATTCTCAGCGTTCCTGAAGCGGAAGAGCTGCTGGATTGTGTTCAAGGACATTTGATTATTTGGCCTTATGATTGGTGAGTGATGACTGAGCTGGCGTTCCTGGGAACTGTTCTAATGAGTATTTGCAGGCTGGAAAAGGTTGAGGCGGGAAGCAATTGGCTGTTCCCGTTCGACCAGATCAGTCCGATTGAAATCTAGTAAGTTTGGGTCTGGTATGCTGGAGGTGAGCGAAAGCTAATGATTGCAGTATCTAATCCTCTTGACTTGTGGAAGAGCGGCTTAGCTTGACAGTTGATCGACACACACATGCCTTGGATCAACAGGACCTGGTGGAGAGGACGAGAAAGGCAGAAAACAAGAGAAGGAACCGGTTCACAGGCGACGAAAGAATTGTTTCCATTGAGAATGGGCGGACCAAAGCATTTTAAAGAGAAAGAACATATGGCGGACGAAGAGGCTGAGATGTGACCAAGCAAAGCTCCGCTCCGCTCGGCCCTGTACGTTGCTGATTTGCATGCCGTGCAGCAAACCACACCAGTGTTGTGGGCAAGTGAAATGCAGCTTTGTTTCCATATACGATCGAATTAGCGGGTGCGGGTATGCGGGCGGATTAACGGCTTTCATTGGGTTCGGGCAAGCACAAAACAGATGAATAGTCATCACTTCATTATTCTTATTGTTATCATTACCTACTATTCCGTTTATTAATGGAAGGCGGAGATGAAAAAGAAACAGGTGGAAGGGGAAGTGAGTAGGCAGGCAGGCAGGCAGGCAGGCAGTTGACCGAGGCTGGCCTGGCTGGCTTGGACGAGAAGAGTGACGCAGGATGGGAGCAAAAGGTGTCTGCCGGTGTCACTGTTGATCGAGGTCGAGTTCACTCATCATCTGTGTGACTGCTGTCAATACCTCTCTACCTCTACCTCTTCTCCTCCCTCTATAAGGGCTGTTGGTTCACGTCCGACTTTACACACACGTACACACATACACATACCTCCGAACTACTAGCTATTCCTGTCCTACAGCCCAGCTTGTAATGACAATAGATTTATTTTCTTTTTCTTCACGATCGAACCAGGTCAGGTCTATAGATAGATGTATCAGGTTATGATGCTTTTTATGCTTACTTGTAGAAGTCGCGTCAATGGTCTAGATAGGTATGGTCTAGATATAGATACTAGTATTCCATCAAAGACGGACTGGGATACATATGAGAGACCGAGACTTTTGGTGATGAGTTCTGGGTGCAGGGCGTAGGTGCAGGCAGACAGACATACTCTCGGGCTATGTGGTAAGCTCGGTATGTCGTCGCGTTGGGATGGAACTATCGGTATTCTTCCTTTGTATAGAACGACCGGTCCCGCTCCCTCGCCTTGGGTATGTCATGTCCTCTGATGATGACTTGTTCCGATCTTGGAATCTGTGATGCGAAGACCCTAGCTTTCCCAACCCAGATCAGATGACCTGCCACGAGATATATCGATGGCTTGTAAAACCAGGCCATTTTACCAAATCTCGCATCCGCCGGCGAGACATTATCGATGTGAGGGTCTCGTTTTAATTGATTGACGAGTTCCAACCCAGGCCCGAGTTGACCGTCGAATAGGTAAAATTCCTCCTTTCCCCACCTCAGTTTGTTGTTAATTCTTCCGTCCTCCATTTTCGGTTGCACCTTGATGAAATACATGGGGGAGAAAAGTGTATAGTAAAGCACAAAAACACAGAGACTGGTGGCCTCGAGAGGCCGGGAAGAAGCATCTAGACAGGAACCAGACTCTTTAGTCTTTATTATAGAGAGATCAAGGAAACTCGTGACGTGAGGTGGAGGGGGGGCCGAAATTCTTTGGAGAGATGGAATTGTTGTGCGCTGTTGCCAGCTCGAAAGTGTATGAGGAAGAGCTGGCAGATAGGAGGACGGAATTGTGAGGATCGCCTCGTCTGTTACCAAATGGGACAAAAGGTTGTCTCGATGGTGGGGCCAGTGTATGCCAGTATGGCGGAAGCCTGGAAAATGATCGGGTCACCAACGCATTGTCACGGGGTTGGTGACTGGCGAGAGGCCGAGGAAGAGAGTATTGATACAGAGTGTTGACTTGTCGATGGTGTACATGTCAGTGTTGCAGGAAGCGCGGAGGTGGAGGAGCTGGAGTTGGAGGTGGAGGTGGAGTCGACTGAAAAGGAGGCTATCGACAGCAGAAGACCTTTTTATACCAGGGGACGTGGGTGGCATCATCTTCAAAGCCGGATTTTTCGGCAGTGGGTGGTTGATTAGGATCGCGGTGATTCGATGACATGGTACCGGGTGGCTGATATGTCGATGTGCCTGCCCCGCTGACGTTTGGCGTGTGACCTTTTGAAGATGCAAACGGTGTGGGATGTGGATTGACATCTGATGCGCCACCTCCCTGGCGGCGGGCCTCGACCACTCTGCGGACAATCACTGAGAAATGTTGTTAGCTGGTTGTGGAAGAGAGGACAGAAAGAGTCAAGGGAGGGAAAAAGACACACATGCAAAAGTCTCCTCAATATTGACCATTTCTCGGGCGCTGGTCTCCATGAAGCCACAGCCTTTGCTTTTGGCATACTCCCAGCCAACTTTGCTGCTGACGACTCTGGCATCTTTCAAGTCGCATTTGTTTCCAGCGATGATCTTGATGGGAGGCGACTTCCATCCCAGCTCCCGGCGACCTCGGACCTTTGTCCCTTTTTCTCGGAGTAGTCGAGCATTTTCCTCGAGTCTGTTTTCGGCCTCAATATCAATCATGTCAAGGAACCACTGGAGGCCTTCTAATGAATGATGATTGGTGATGTCATATACAAGTAGGAAAGCATCCGACTGGAGATTGGAAGCAGCCCATAGCGAACGGTATTCTTCTTGACCGGCAGTATCGGTGAGGGACAAGTAGTAGTTGAGTCCGTCGACTGTTCGAGTGACTGAGTATGAGTCTTCAATCGTTGGGTCATAACTAGTATATTGATTAGTATGGAAAATGTGATGATGCGAAGGAGCCAGGAGGACTTACTCTGAAGTCCATTGTGAACGGACTAATCGCAAGGTAATGGAAGATTTGCCGCATCCGCCATCACCGCATATTGTGATTGAGATTTTGTCGGCCATGACGAGATCTCGAGGGTATGGGCCACCGGGTATACCGTGAGGCGAGTCGAAAGTGACTCTTTCTTAGAGACTTTGCGGGAATGAATGTCTCGATAGATATAGGCCGAGGAAAAGGTAGCGGGTTGGAGCAAGTACAAGTGCTAGTGCTCAAGTCACAGGGTTACAGTCGTAGGAAGGCTGTCGGCGCTGCGTGAGACGAAGATGATCGTGTGGCGCGGGAGTTTGTGGAAATGTAGCATGCGAGTATGCGCAGGAGGGGATTCGAGGTGGATTGGACCGGGGTCGTGTGACTGCGAGTGGGAATGAAATGGAACTGTGGGAGGACTGAGGGTCGGCGGCAGGATGCGACAGCTTTGTTCGATATAGAGAGAGATCGGGACACTGGCAGGTGAGGTCAAGTGTTGGAATTGGGATTGGTGGGTAGAGCCTTAGAGGGTTAAGTGAGGTGAGGTCAATATCGAGATTTGACGATCAAGGGTGTGTGTGATGGACAGAGGGAAATGTCAACTGGGCGAGAGGGAATGGTAGGACCAAGAGGACAGTATATGGCACAATGTCGTCGTGTAGTAGTAATGGGAGGTAGTAGCAAGTAGCAAGTAGCATTTAGTCGCAGGTGGTAGTCGATAGTGAATAGAATGTCTCGGAAAATTCAAGGAAGGTGGGCGGGCCTGGAAGGAGAAAGCCACGGGCTGTTGGCTGCTGTGAGGCGCGAGGCAATCATGGAATCATGGAATCATGGAAATCAATTGGCAAGTTGCAAGAGTTACGATGGGGTGGAAACTCGGTGTTGAAAGTGGGCCGTGAGCACCGACGCAGGCCGGCAAAGGCATGCTAAAGAGCCTGGGAGTCCACTACTGAGCCCTGCGTGTCCTGCAAGAGGGGGGGACTATGAGTGGGTTAGCAAGATTCACTACTGTACTCCGTAGGTACTAACTGGACAGTGGAGGCCATAGTGCCGTTGGTGCGGCTAAAACGCTAAACGAGGATGCATCAACTCTTAGGAACGGGGCACCGGGGCATCGATGACATGATTTAGCGACAAGGGAGAAGGGAAGGGAGGGACCCGGAGCGGGACGTCTTTGGGTGGTGCGCACGGTGCCACGGGTGGACAAGGGAGCCATGAGGCATAAGGCATGAGCCAGGCCCGAGGGGCCCATGAACCTACTCTGTAGGCACCTAGGTGAACTCTGCCCTTGCACATGGGAACTGAACTCGAGTGAACTGTGCGGTACATACTATACTGGCTCGATCGTCGTGTTGATCATTTGTTTCATGGTAAAAGAGGCACGCAAGATGATAAGATACACATGATCATCATAATGAGGCGTAGGTGCTTGGTTAGCTGGTTAGTATATTCGTAGGGAGAAAAGATCGACAACCCCAAGGCAGGAGAGGGCTCTCGAATTTCCCCAAGTAGGTGGTAGCCTGTAAAGGCATCTTCCGGGCGATGCCCACCCAATCAACCCTGTTGGTCCATCGTGTCTACGAGTTACCCCCCTCCCCTCCCCCCAATCTTGTTCCTGGTCATGTCCAATCCATGTCAATCCTAACCAAAATCAAGGCACCAAGGCTGGATAGTCCATCACCTCTGGCCCCAGAATTGGTACGGTACTACTCCGTACGTGGTACAAAGTAGGGGTGTTAGCATGCAGCAGTCAGTGTCCCCCAGCAAGAACAAGACGGGCAGGCAATCCTGCATTTTGATCATATTGATGAACCCGAGTCTAAGTAGGGGAAGAAAATGGACAAAATTTGCCATCCTCGCCGACGAGTCGAATTACTGATTGGATGATTTTCATGCATTTTCGAGTCAAAAAAATCATGCGGGATTACTCCGTAGAGGTACACAAAAGACAAAATTGTGCATTGCAGATGCCCAGGCACGCCAGGCCCCAGGCTCCGTGTCCCAGAATCGGATGCGCATGTAGAATTGAGTGCGGGAGGACGGATGGTCATGTCAACCCATGACACGCGAGGGCCGGTAAGATGCAAGTTGCTGCAGAGGCGATGCAGGAGGAGTTGAGAGTACTCCGTGCTCGTATATTTTATTATTCCCAGACAGGGTCGCTTTAGTAACCACCTAGTGGCCTTCTACTTACACTTTACATTGTAGCAAAATGCACATGGCCTCTGGAGCAAAGAGAAGAAGAAAAAGGGTTGACAGTGAGAAGTACATATGACGCCGATTAGGCCGTTGACTGATGGGCGCTGATAGGTGCGCCACCACATGAATGACGGCTCCGAGGAGCATGGGAGGGGCCCCTCAGGCCTGCGAAGGGGGGCACTGGGGGGAATCATCGGGCCCGCGACCGCCCGTCAATCCCTTGTCCTTGGGTCTCGTACCAGACAAGAGGTTTCGGGGAAGCAAATGCCATGGCCCTTGACTGGATGTTCCAGGATCATGGGTTTTTGTTTATACATACGCATCGCAAATGAGCCATCCTCGTAAACCAGTCCATGGGCCTTGAATCAAATGCCAAAACGTGCAATGTACGTACGGACAGGCAACTGACCACTTACAACTCTGCAAGTTCACCCGTAAGCGAAGGGAAAAACGTTCGAGACACCCCTCGTCATCATCCCCAAGGTCCTGGACGACAGGGTATTTAATGAGTACCTCGTATGTACAGTTCCATCCTCCGTCTCTCCCAATAGGAATATCATTTACCGATCTTTGTTCCCGTTCGCTGCTGCCATGGCTGCCTCAGAGTCATGCATCATCGTGACTGTACGGAGTACATATTCCAGTCCCTTCATACTCCGTACTTTCCATGCAGTAGCGTGACCACCTCAGTCCAAGAATCTGGGCATCTGCAACCCGTTCATTCGGGAGTTTTGGTTTCTTCGGAGAAAGATGAAAAAAGAGTTCGGGGCCACGAGAAAGATGCGAGAGACGGGCCAAACCTTACCGTGACAAGTCGATCCAGCCGAGGGGAACGGACGATAGCATCCACATTCACATTCACATTCGCATTCACATCCTAATCCACATCATCCACCTCGGCTGGGCCTTCTTCAACTCGGAGAGTAAATCTTGTGAGGCGTTTGGGCATCAATTGTGCAGGAAATAGACCTTGCACTTTTTCGAGCCCGGCGCACTGGCTCGAAAACTTAGCTTTTTAGACTCGCGAGAATGGATATGTCTATGGAGTACAGGTTGATCATTCATGTCAATCAATAAACTCTTCGAATGTGATGACGATTTCTATCAACAAGGTGAGATCATGCGACAGGTTTCGATTTGACAGAGCAAAACCAACCAGTCTTTCTGAGTACAGTATGCAGTTCTACTTACATCTTCTTCGAAAGGTGGTGGTGATACTTCGAGATCGACATTTACACTGTGCAGCATCCCACGCTCTCATACATGTACACATGCTGTGATAGTGCTTGTCCCTCTCCATCCTGTGATATCGTGCAATGTGCAGTGCGTGCTCACAAGACCGACCAGTCTGATTGATTGCCTCAGCACAGCTCATCACAAGTATATCAAGAATATCATCGTACTCCTCGACCCTCGGCGTTGTGATCATACGTACGAAAAACCACACCACACACACCAAACCCTCCTCTCGACGGAGTATCATCCCACCCGTTCATCGTTCTTCACCGGGTGCCCCTGAGCCCTCGGGCCCCTCGGCCCTCGTCGTTGAACTAAATTCGCCTAAACTTAGACTCGCCAAGATGAGACCTTCTCGCAATTCAGAGTTCACGCCGGCTCCTTTGATCATCCATGCGAGCAACCATGCGACTTTCCTCCGGCAACACATCCGCAAACCTCCTCTCCGTGTCAGTGATCCCTCACATCACAGGCTTATTCATCGAGCACTGTCACAGGCCATCTCTACGATTACTGCCACGATCCTTTAATGGGTATACTATAGCATAAACCTATTTCCCTTCCCGTCATTGTATGTATGTGACTTACAGAACGTTCCAGCCCGGTTCTTCTTGATGTTTCTCTCCTTCTATCCACTTCACCATCGCTCATGCTTCATATCGCTCAAGGGTGACCTTCCCTGCCTCCCAATATGCAATCTAATCGTGTCGGCGTAAGTGTCCCAATGCATTTGTTTCATATGTCTCAATCCCCGTCCAGTCGGCAAGCCAATGCAAGTTCCTCCTCTATTTCCCCAAATCCTCATCATCCTTATCAAGGTCACGGTGAGCAACCTGACAAAACCCCCAGAGTTGCCCCATATTCGCCATCGTCTCCGTAACTTGACCCAGATGAACTCATGAAAGAGATTGTCCGGCCTTTGCAAACATCTTGATGACCTGCCGCAATCTCGATGCTCAATGTCCTCGAATTGGATCCAAACTTCAATGAGGCTTGCCGTGTCTGTCATCCTATTAGCTCGATAATTACTTTCCTATGCTCAGACTGCCGTAACCACGCTAAGTCGGTAGATTGCTGACATGCGGTGGCTCATCGCCTTCCTCGATTTTCGGCGGCAAGTTCCCACGCCACGAATCATTGCTCTCCGTACTTTGGCGTTGGAGCATCGACGGCGCTATGGTGCCGGTCGAGTTTAACGTTGCCGGAGCCTGGGTGCTTGTTTGCCGTTCTTCTTGAGTGGTCGTGACGTACGCCGGAGATGTCGAGCCCCGGTCGCTAGGTACCGATGATCTTCGAGGTGAAACACGGCCATTCTGCGCGGTCAACCATCAAGCGTCAGCAACACTTCTCAAAAACACCGGGCTCATTTCCATGCAGCACTCTTACCTGTTTGGCCCAACGAAGCCCACAGCTATTACACAAGTCCCGATTTCCACTCGGTCCACGCCTCCACTCCGGGGTCACCCGAGTGTGGCAATTCGCACAGTCTTTTTCCAGTTGGCCCAGGCCCTTTCTCCGTTTGCGTTTCTTCTTGCGGCTGAGTAGAGCTTGAAGCTCTTCCGCGAGCATGCGATTTTGCTTTTCCATCTGTCTCAATTCAAATTGCCAACTGGTACTTCGTGTCGTCTTGAGCTCATCAAAGATGTTGTCTTCCGATGCCAGAGCCTCGTCTTGGTTGCCCAATACCAGGCCCTGGCTTCCAGGGTTGGTTACAGCGGTCTTGGTTTCGATTGGCTGTCCAGATGGCATGGTGGTTGTGGTAGAGCCAGATTTCATGTTGACCGAACCTGGTCTCGAAGTTTGAGTTGCTGGTGTAGCAGATCCAACCGATGCCTGATCAGTGCGCGGCGATGCACTTCCTACCCCGGATTTTTGACTCAAGAGTATTGCTCGCGTCATCTTGACCAAACGCGTTTGCGCAAGTAAGAATGTGGGCTTGTTTCCGGGCCTTGCATCTCCAGGGTACAACGTCGTTTGAGCATGCAACACTTGGCCACGGCGATTCTGCAAATCGTGTCGACACGTGCCCTTTTGTCCAGAACGCGCCAACTCGAGTAATTGCGAAAAGTCTTGTCTTGATTCCGGCCTCATCAAAGCCTGCATGCTAGTTCCAACCAAGTCCTCCGGCAGACGATCCAGCATGACTCGTGAGGTGGAGGAAATGTAGAGGAACATTCCAGAGGTCGAGATTTTCGACCACATCTCGCTCTCGCCTGCACTGCCTTCAATGCCCAATTCGGATCGATAGAGTGCGTAAACAGGCCGCTCACGCCCGACGAGAATTAGGCATTTGCGCCCCTTTCCTTGTTCGGTGTGAAGACTGCCATGGGCTTCAAACCATGTGTACCCACTATTCTTCCTGCGGATCCTATAAACAACGTTGACCAAGGCCCCTGTGGAAGAGTCTTTCAACTCTCGAGTGACAGGCACAATATCGCTGGGATGGCAAACCGACGACAATGCCATACCGACGAGCTCGCCAGCGTCATACTCGAGCACCTTTTTGCAGGCTGGAGACAGGTAGAGGAAGAGGCCTTTCAAAGAAAGAACGTGGACAACATCGTCCGCATTTTCCAACAATATCTTGTCCCATAGCCTTTTGGAGGAATCTGACTCCCCACGGCCGAGGGTGCCAAGGACTTGGGATACCTCATCCCGGGGAATAGTCTGACCCATCTCCTGGATGTCTTTAGGCTCCACAGGAGGTGGAAGGGCATATGCTGGGAGCGCGCTTCGATTGTAGTTAATGGAATAACTTCCATCTGGTGAGGAGTCAGCGAGGCTCAGTTGGTCAGTGTACACTGTTTCATACCGGGATTTCTACCAGCTACCGAGCTTGGCTGCTCCACCAGATCAACCTGAAAACCGACGTAAAATTTGTAATCATCTGAATCAAAGGTGATTGGGATCATGGTGAGAAGGTTCATAAAGGGCTGACCACCTTTCCGATAGTTGATGAGACTCAATTGAGCTTCGGCTCGTTTTTGGATCTGGTTCTTCAAGTATAGCACTGATCGATCATCAACGTACTTGCGTTTGACCCCTGGCTGAACCTTGCCGTCGGGTGCTTGCAAGAATCGACAATTCCGACCAAGGATCTCGTGTTTCGTATAACCGGTGAGGCGCTCAAACATATCTGAGCAATAGACAATAGGTAAATCGTATTGCGCAATATCACAAACGACAAAGGCACAGGATAAGTCGACAGGTCCGATATTGATTTCTGGTCTCCTCCGAGTCGCAACGCGCATCTGCTAATGTCAGTGGGAAATTCAGTGGAAACTGGGAGAGACTTCAGACAAGAACGCCCAGCATATCAAAACCGCTAGACGAATACGCGTTGGCATATCTAGATGGTGGGATTATGGGGTTGAAAAATTGTGACGAATTGGCGGGAAGTACGGAATGAGAAGTTTGTACATTGCTGAGGCCTGACAACCAGAGTCAGTATGCAGTACAAAGGGAGAGTAGTGAAACATACTGTTCGGATGTATAGGGGATGCAGAGCTCATGGATTGCCTCCGCGAGGGGACCTTTAGGTTTGAAGGTGTGTCGGCTTGCGATGGGGTTGTAGACTCGACGACACGGCCAGTGAGAGCCGAAGGAATTGACCGGTTCGAATTCGAGGACGGCGTGAAGGCTTGAGGTATATTCGGCATGTTCGGCATGGTAGATACGCGTTGGATGGGATTCATGTTGCTCATTTGGTTGGGCAACATTGATGGGCCCATGGCGTGGACAGCTTGATCGGAGTTGGTCGGTCCAAAAGCCATCGGGTACGAATGAGAGGTAGGAGACTGGGAATAGCCAGGAGCAAGCATTGTGGAGTCGAGCGCCATGGTCGTCGGTTTCAAGGGAAGTACGCCGGAATCCATGTCATGGCTCATGCTGTAGCCACTGTGCGGGACAAATGTGGATGACGGTTCTATGCCCGCGGAATATGGCATGCCCGTCAAGTCGGCGAAATTGGCATTCATCTGGGAAAACTGAACGTCGAGTGACAAATCGTCGCGCGAGCGAACCCTGCGCGGATCGAGACTTCTTTGTGCCATCGGCAGCATGGTCGGGCCGGTGTCTATTGGGTTCGGGTCGAATTGAAAGTCAGCCAGACCGCTGTCCATGGTTGAGGTGAACTCTGAGATGGAGGCCCTGCGATTTGGTTCATTATTATGGTGTCGATAATGAGGCTGCGCCTGGGCTGAATTCCGGCTACGCATGAGTTGTTCATTATTCTGGCTGATGATCTGGTGTAGTGTCTGTGGTTGGCCCATGACATTGGCGGTCATATCACCAGGATCTATCGTATTGATCATCCCATCTTGCTGAAATGCGCTCATGTCTTGAAGATCCATGCCTTGGTAGCCTTGCTGGCCGTAGAAGCCTTGCATGCCGTCCATATTGTCCGTTGGAAGATGGAACGGCGATGGGCTGACACGGCGACGGAGTAGAATTCAGACACGCTCCTCTGTATCAAGTGACAGACCGATGTAGGGATACGGGGGGGAGAGCGAAAGAGCCTCTGGAAATGCTGACCGAGACTTGGTGGAGCGAGGAGGAGGATCTGATGGCCGGTGCGACGCACTTTGAGGCATCCTGGCTTGATGTCGCAGCGATAGAGTTGTTGGTTGTGTCAAATTGACATACTCCGGATAACGAATAAGATGTAATACTGGAGCAGGACGCGAGTGAGAAGGGAGGGAGGTTTTGGGGAGATGAGAGGGATTGCGCTGTGGGAGGAATCTCGGGCAAGGGCGGAGAGTCGATGATTGTGGTGGAGGATATTTGGTGGGCAAATGGTAGGTGCAATGGTGGATGAGATATGAGATGGAGAAGTTGAACAGCAAGATGGGAAACCAAGATTGAGGGTTGGGGCCACGCAACTTGTGGCTGCCCACCTGCGATAGAATTCGGGGTTCGTGGATCTGGGATTCAGGGCGAAGAAGAGCCAATGCGCTTGGTTTGTCGGTGGATGGGCGGATGGGTGGGTAGGTGCATATTCGTACCCATTCGCCGCAGATCTTTCAAAAGGTAGCCAACTAAGTACCTTAATTAGGTCCTGTATATACCTAGGGAGGCAACTGCTTGGGGGCGACTACACTTAAAGGCGAGGGCCTGAGGGACGAGAGGCGGCCCCGAAGCGGCGGGTGGCGCGGGTAGACGCCAGGACAGGTTTTCTGTTTACCTCAACTTACGAGTAGGTGGGCTCAGCAGTACTACTTTTAAACTGATATAAGGGCAGGCATCTGCCTCCTCCACCTGCCCTTGAATACCCTAAGCAGGGATGCTACCTGTATAATATGACCATGAATTCACTTGTCGATGAATGAAGCTGTCTTTGTGATTGATAGTGTTGAGGTTCAATGCACAGTCAATAGACTGACTGTATCTTCCTAGATTCCTATGGTACTAGGTACTATTGTAGATAGCAGGACGGGGCGCACTGGGCCACTAAAAGTACACCATCGGCATCTTAACTACCTAAAGTAGCAGCAACCTTTGGTAGCTGCAGAATAAGTGAGTACCAAGCAGGTTAGAAGCCTGGACCACCTCTCTTGTAATCCCGTATGGATTTGTCACAATACTAATAGCTGTCGTCAGTTAGCGACCTTCCGACTTTTAGGACCGTCTTTCAATAATACTATCAAAGATAACCCAACACAAGTCGACATTTTCGTCTGGTCTTTTGGTGAGATAGTTGACAAGACCATTGAAAAAAGCCATTGGCCGATAGGCGGGTTTGCCGAGTCGTCAATCGTCGCTTTCCTCCGAGCGTCCAGGTAGTGGACAATTAGCGGTCTTCTTGGTTGTCGTTCAGAGGCGTTGACACTACCGATGACAGGTCCAACCAAGCAATCTTGTACAATCCCAAACTCTCAAAGATCACTAATCTTATGATCAGCCATTATCCTTAATTACTGGTAGCTTACTTTTGCCTATAGTTCTACCATTATCAGAGGATGGCACATTTCATACGTTCCCGACGGACTCGCTGTTGTGGTGGAACAGAAATCGTGGTACGAGCACATAGGTCTCTAGCCCGGGGGCGAAACCCGCGGCTCATATTATGTGCCTAGGTACTAATGCGCACCCCGCAGCCCCTCGCCCCCGTGGCTTTTTTCTTGATCTCCCTTGATGCATAGTGACGTTACATGGCGTCGGCCGAGGTGCCAAAGTCGAGAGCCTCAAACATAAAGTGGATATGCAGTGCTTTAAGTACCTACTGACCTACCTACGGAGTACTAACCTACCTACTTTAAGTACCTACCTAAATTCTCGCCCAGGCCACCCGACCATCATTCAACTCTAGAAGTCTGCGCACGGGACTCTATCATAACCTGGTATTGTATACCCTAGAGTCACTGACGATTCTCTGATCAAGGAAAATAGGCATGAACTTTTCAACGGCCACTAATGATACTTCTCACAGCGCCAGATTTAGCGCATCGTACTAACTCTGCTGATGCTCTCTTTGACCATGAAACTGGTCATAGCCTATGAGTTTTGACAGCCATCTTAAGCCTGAAGCCTCGCGGTGTTCCGCCTCCCTGTAGTTCTACATGCTCAGCGCATGTGCGCGTAATCTTCGAAACAAGCCATTCAATGCTTTGAAGCAAACAGTCTCCAAGGCTGACCTCGCCTGTGATGGTTACCATGATTCTCCGCTTTCTCAACATCAACTTTAGCTCACACATTATGCCGCCTGCTGCGTCGGCCTTGCCAAAAGTGGTGCAATCTTCTCTCTGGCGGCTTTCTCCTGTTCACGCTGAGCCCGGTCTGCTTTGGTGATCCGAGGTTTCCGTGTCACGCCGCCGCCTCGAGAACCTGGCCCGCCGCCTCTGGAAGATCCGCCTTCAGCAGCGGCGGCTGCTCGTCCACCTCTAGAGCCAGGACCGCCGCCTCGGCCTCGGCCACGTCCTCTCTTGATCGTCCCGTCGGCCCTATCAAATCGATTAGTTTCAACATGACTTTCTCCACCTTGAATTGAACATACCTTTCCACAGCGGGCTTCTCCCCCTCGGGAACGAGTGGGCCAGAGTAGACAAAGAACCCGTCCTTGCTGGCTGCTGCATGCGCCTCCCAGAGCAATTCGCTGTCATCAACAAACGGGTCATCTTGGTCGTACTCTTCTTGCTTCTTTCTCCGCCGACGCTTAGGCCCAGGACCATCGGTACCACTGTTGGCCGCATCTGGCCCTCCATTGACCCCGGACATGGCCACATCCCCATCGTTGTCCGAGTCGCGATCGATGTCTACACTGAGGTCCTCATCCCCACTCTCGCCTGCTGAGGTGCCTCCAAACTTGCTGCCAGACGCGGATCTTTCCAATACTGCACCAGCCGCTGCAACCTTGGCAAGTCGCTCCTTCTGCGCAGCCTGACGAGGATACAATGCTGCAAACCCGTACTTCTGCTCGGCCAGTCGCGCAAAGTTGACAATTCTGTTCTCCGGGTCCTTGAGGTTGATGTGGAGCACAATATTTGGGGCTTTGCCAGTCCCACTATTTGAGACATCCAATGCAGAATCGCCCCCAAAGAGACTTGCGGATAATAGTCCCGAGCCTGGAGGAAGAGGAGGAGGTTGCTCCTTGGCTCGCGTCGGTTTAGGCGAGGTTGTCCGCGTAGGTGCTTCTGAAGGCACCTTCTTCGACGGTGCTTTTTTCGGAGGATTTGGGTCGCTTGCAGCAGAGTCAATCTCCATCGCCGAGGTTTTGTCGTTCATGGAAGGCGAGGTCGAGGCGACGTTGTCAGTATGAGACAGGGCGGATGTGTGCAATGTGGCTCGGTTCGCTGAAGGATCTGCGGAAGCAAATGTTGGTTGCGTCGGAGGGTCAATGATGCTAGATATAGCAGGAGAAGTGCTTGGGTTGAGAATCGGTCTTGGTGGAGTATGTACGTGTGATAGTTTTGGTGACTCGCTAGGAGTCGGATCAACGAGACGAGAGATAGTCATGGACCTAATAGGATCGTACATGGCTGAAGCTCGCGAAGGTGGTAGAGAGGCTGGGCCGTTGACGTCGTTGTTGAATTCATACGGGCGATGGGAGGATATAGGGTTAGCACGAGGTATCGACGGATTCGGGTGATGATTGGGGCCGAGAGCTTTGGCGGCTTCATCATGATGTTGGGTTTCAGGGTGCGTAAGGAATGCTACCGGCTGGACCAGAGTGGATGCTTGTAGTCCAGGGTTAACTGGTTGAGCAAGATGAATCGTCCGATTGTCATCAATTTGTTCCAGCTTGGGCTTTTTGCGAGAAGACCCTGAGCCGGCAGCATTAGAAGCACCTCTAGGCCTTCGCGGAGCCCGTTCCTTCTTCTCGGCCACTTCGGTGGTGGCATTCGCATCTTTTTTCTTGCGAGGTTTGGTGATTCGGGTTTTAGCCACTGCTGTGGCTTGTTGATCTCCACTGGCTTGGCGACTGCCTGCACTTGTGGCTGGTGCTACCAAGGTGTGTTGTTGATCTGCAGGGTTGCCAGCAACACCTGAGCCTTTGACAAGAGGATGGAGGTTTGGATTATAACCCCTAGCAGGAGTACTCTCCCCGTCGCTGGGTGGTGCACTGGAGAGGTCGTTGGAGGAACTCCTTCCATCAATGACCTCCATCTTGCAGTGGCGCAACTAGATATAAATTGCAGTTCGGACCATTCAAATAGACTGTAGAAGTGGTCACCTTTGAAGAGGTTTTGCAAGGTTGCGAGAGTGGGAGTCTTTGTGGTTGGGACAAAGACAAACGCGGATGGCGAGGGAGATAGGTTGGTGTTGCCAAAGAGGTTGAACGAGAAATGTGGGTGGTAACGTGTACCAGGTGACAAGGGCGACTTCAACTCTATAGGGCTATTATTGTGTTGGACGCGATGGGTGCACACCTCAAACTAGTCGTGAAGTGAAGCGCGCACCTGATGAGAAGAAGAGTGGCGAAGAAGTTGCAAAAAAGGTTGGTAGACTGGTGATGAAACCACTGAGATCATCAGATGGAGCAATCCGGACGTGAGGGAGGGAGGGAGTTTACAAAAAGGTGTAGAAAACAGGATGAGGAGGAGAAGAGGTAGAAAAAGGTGTGTGGGTGTCTGTAGGAGTGCAGGATATAAGTAGAAGATGAAAAGCAACAGACTGAAGAAGTGGTAGATAATTTGAACAAAGGACAAGAAAGCTGAAGGGCGAACGGGGTCAGGCGCGGACAGAATAGTCACTACTTGAAAGTAGGCAAAGGAGCTGGGAAACAACACGATGACAGGCGAGACAAGAAGAGTGGAGTGGAAAGGTGAATTGATGGATGGCGCGCAGGTATCGAATCACCGCGAATTATGACAGCAAGGCGACAAGAATGGCAGCAGAATGGCAACAAAACACCTGGGAGTGAGTGAAGTGAGTGATTAGGAGGCACCTAGAACGGCAGGCCAAGCAGTCATGAATGGCTCATTCAGAAGGACACGAAGGGGGAAGGGCAAAAGGCAAAGACACCAGAGTAGCATTTCATGGGACCTGGGGCAATATGGGACTTTGAAGGGCGGGCCCGGAAAATGAACAATGGAAGTAGGAGTATTAGTGAAAAGTGTGTGGACAAAGCGTCTAATCATTATGGATGGTGTACGTAGAGCAGAGCAGAGCAGAATGGAGTGAAGTGCAGGAAGTAGTACAATTAGGTCAGTCATGGTCAGTCCATGGAGAAATGGTGACAGTAGTAGGTAGGTACTTAGTGCGTGCCACTGTGAGTACAGAGTGCCATGTACACGTATCGACATCACCCCAGTTTGGAGAATGGCACGAATGGCCAGACTGTGATCAATAGAAAGAATATGTGGGCGACTTTTCCACAAGATGATAGAGCTCTCCTATTGGCCAAACCACAAGCCACCAGGTCAAGCTTCAGCCTGGGTCAACCTTGATTAGTCATCGATCTGGCAGGCATGAGACACGACTCTCATCAACCACTCCGCACCTATAAGCCCTAAGTTACTGTATGGAAATCTGTTTCGACTGGACTAAACGCGTGTTTCATCGCCTTTTTGTTTGACAAGGAACACACCAATCGACAGAGCTTACCTACAAGACAAGATCATCACAGCACACGTGAGAGAGATGATGTTAAGCTTACCAGGTATGTATGTGATAAAATCGGCCGCGAACAATTGCTGAGAACCTTTTTGGTGACAGAGCCCGGCATTTGGTATACAGGGGGCGGTGTCCACTTTGGCCGTTTCTTCTCCAGATTTTTGGCTCTTCAGATCCAAGCAGGTATCGCGGGGACACCTCTGAAGCTATATAGATGTAATGGAATTGCGATCTTTTAGGTGGACATTGGTCTGATAAGAGGGAAACTGTAGACTACCAGCCGCCATAATTGAAGGCAAAACGCGCACTCTTGCGCCGGCAGTAGGAGTGACGACAGCACGGACCAGTCTCCATGCCACCTCATCCTGAATGTGGAGCAGAGGATGCCGATAGATGCCCTCTTTACCTGAGAATCGATTTCAGTTGAGAGTCGAGTCTCTATCAGCCAAAAAGGCAAAATCGTCTTCTTTGTTTTGACAATTGACTATATAGAAAGTAGATCTGATCTTGTCTATAAACACATGTTCTTCTTCTGACGAATATGAATCTCGAAAGAGATGGTGGCACTGGCACATGTGTGTACTACGCATCGCGCCCCGGCTTAAGGTGCCTCTACCGCCGGTAAAACCCGACGGCACGCCAAGGTGGGTTAGTGTGAGGCAAACTTACCGCCGCCTTAAAGCATAGTGGTGCCCTCGACGAGGTGCCCTAAGACTCTGTTCCTGGATTATTCTCTGACTCGGATGGAAGTGGACGAGTCCTGATAACATGAAACATAGCACCGTGTGTGTCCGAACCAATCCACAGTGAACTCTTGGGAGTTGGGACCCGCTGTCCATGTTGAGGTATCTTCTCCATATACCTTCAGCTTCAGTCGCTCGCGACTCTGCGAGCCCAACCCAACTAACGGCGAGAGGCCGCTCCATTACAGTATATGATCAAACATGGACGGTAGCGCCGTCTACCAAACCAAGAAGCGTCGAGTCAGCAAAGCATGTGGACGCTGTGCTCGAAAGAAGACCCGCGTAAGTCTCTGGGCAATTGAGGGCTTCAAAAACAAAAGGAGATCTAACCAACCCTGCTACCAGTGCGACTTGCGTTACCCTAGCTGTGGTGCATGCCTGGCAGCAGGTGTACCCTGTTTTGCGGTGGACCCGCTTCATGGTAATCCGAGGCCTCGAAGCACAGTCCGTGCCCTTGAAGGAGAGATTGCCCGTCTGGAGGTTGATCTCGCACGCGCAAGAGATCATGCCCACAATGAAACCGCCATTAAGAACACCGAGATCCAAAAGCTGGGCACCCGTCTGGCGAAAAGCATTGTCGCCCCACCCATTTCTGCCAGACCACATCACAATCTGATACCTCTGACGTCGCCATTCTTCCTGTCAAACTCGCCGGTGCCCTATCTCAACAGGGCAACTTACACCAGTTCTGCTATTGGCGTTGGTGATGGGGAACGTTCGGGTTCCCTGCCTTCACCAATCTTGGCCTCATCCATCTCCCACGTGGCCGTCGATGCTATGTTGAAGCACTACTGTGACATTTATCTTTCCATGTTCCCAGCTATCGAAGAGTCAGACTTGTATGCTGCTCGTGACCGGGTGTACAGCAACTCAGAGCCGTCAAACTACGACATATTCTGTGTACACATTACACTAGCAATCAGTGTAGGCGAACGTCGGTTTCTATGCTTCTAATAAGATATCTAACGCCTGCAGACAAACACTCTCATGCGCGGTAATGAGAAGCGAGCAACCTCGGCAACCCGGGGACTGTGGGCGACAGCAAAGAAGCATCTGGAACAGGTTGGAACTAAAAATCTCTGGGAGCGCTTGCAAGCCTTGCAACTCCTGACTCACTTTGCTGCGCTGAACCCGCAAGATGCCAATTGCGTCAATTGCGGCGGAGCCGCAACAAGGCTCTGTGTACAGTTGGGGCTACATCAGGAGCTGGGCGATGCGACGCGACGGCTGCTAAATATCGACGAACATACACTAAATCGTCGCAAGACGTTGTTTTGGAACGCGTATTCCCTTGATATGTAAATGCCAGACCAACCCTTCGCATTTCATTGGACTAATGCTTCAAGTGCAATCCATACAACGATTTGTCAGCCTTTTCTGTGGCCGGAAGGCTCCATCACAACCACAGTAAGTCCAAGCTCTCCTTACGTATTACGAGAAAATTGATTTGCTGTAGTTTCCAGAGTTCGAGTCTGATATATGCGCAACGGCACATATATGGCAGCTACGCGACATCGAGGCCGAAGTTCTTCGATACCTGTACTATCCTAACCTGGCTCCAGATGACCACCGCCGGGGTGAATTATTCGACGGCTGGTTCGCAGGCGTAGAACGGCGGCTCGAGACATGGTTGTCAATAGCCCGCGAGAATGAGAGTCTGAGACAGAAAATTCCCACTTCCGACGTGCTCGCCCATGCTCTTTTTCTGAGGATGAATCGACCCTCGCCGGGGTGTCCAGCACCCAACAGAGGAATGCAGAAGCGAGCTTTGCAGGCCGCAATGGCTCTCTCTCAAGACTTTCACACCATGGACTCGACGGGCAACCTTTTCTGGCTTTGGCATGGAGCCTATTTCATTATCGAAGCCGCCGTGTGCTTGATGGCCTCCGTAATGGTTGAACTGGAGATCGAAGCTGACTGCCGAGGGTCGTCACACCTCAAGCCTGCAAACCTCAACATTGTGCTCTGCTGTATAGAAAAACTCCCACTGATGCTCCGGAAAGTCTCGCGTCGTTGGCCCGAAGTGGCGCAGAACGCCTCTGCTTTGGAGACAGTGTCCCACCTTTTCATGAACCAATGGACACAATGGTCGAATGGTGACACCCTATGGAACGCCGAAGCTGACGTCCTCAGGGAGAAGTTGGCGCACCTTTTGTTGTTCTCGCCATTTCCGGCAGCATCTAATTATTTGACGAGACGCGACGATGTTGCGCCCGTCAGGACTTTGCCACCAAGCCATGATAAGAGCCTTTCAACAGGGTCTACGACTCAAACTCAACCGTCATCTACTCAGTACCCGTCGATTCGGGACCCAGCCACAGACCTCGCCCAGATCCTTCCACTTTGGGACTACGATCCAACCGCGGAGAACTCAGGTGTTCCATACGGCTTCATGGCGGACGACGAGTTTATATGGGACTTTTCTGGACTGCAGGATGACGAAATCCTGACCGCAATGCTCGAGGGAAGTGCTGATTTGCTGCTGGACCACACTGTGGACGTGAATTATGTTTGACGCGCACCATGTATTCATTCTTCACGACGCTCATTCAGTCAGCCAGTTGATCCAACTCCCACTGTTCCCAACGTGGCGGACCTAGCTCCGGGCACGGCTGTAGAGCCTTTTGGCCAGCCCCATCGACGCTTTTCTTCCCCTTTCAAGTGTTCGAGTCATCATCTACAAACAGTAGTATAGTCAAGGAGCTCTTGCAACCATTCCATTCCAAGCCTCCTGTTGTATTGCGCGCAGCCAACGATGGGTGCTCGAAACATCTACGATAAGGCTGGGTCTGTGGCGTTCGCCACTGCATCTGGCGCGATCAGGCCGGTCAACAAACCTTGTAGGCGAAAAAGGATTGCATTGACCGGTGCGGCAACAGGCAGTCTCTGACTGCCAAACGGCGGATCATCGGATACGCAACATTGGCGCGTCATCGTGGCGTTGCGGCTCGGGATCGACCTAGCGTATCTTCTTTGACCCTAGCGCTCCAGCGGTGTGCCTTACTTGGACAGATCTTTTCGACCAATTGTACCCATTATTTCCATCACCATCTGGCGCCCTAATGTCCTATCTGGTGGGAGAGGTGACATTTCTGCCAGGTCATCGTTCACGATCCCATCATAGAACTCCACAGCCCATTCTTGCATGTCTCTAGGTGCACGCCTGGCTTAGTAAAACATTCATTCAGCGAAGCCTGACCCGTAGTGGAGGTCCGATGGCATTATTGGTATTGATTTATAAGCGGAGACTTCGAAATCAGATAGATACTTTTGTACAGAGTCCAACGTTAGAGTCTCTTTTGCGAGGTATTTATTCATTTGTATCCTTTGTTTGTTAAAACAGTCGCTCTTGAGAAGATTCTCTGATCATGGTTCCTCTTTACCACAAAACGAATCATCGCGCTCCTTGTCTCGCTTCATCATGTCGCTCAACGGCTGTATTCCCGCGCACACCATCCCGGTGAAGGTGCCTACGGGAACGGCACTCCAGCAGGATCCTCCTACGCTGTTCACGCCGCTCAAGATCAGAGGACTGGAGATGCAGAACCGCATCGTCGTGTCACCGATGGGAACCTGGAGCGCGGAACATGGCCACCTGACAGATTTTCACCTCGTCCACTACGGCGAACTCGCATTTCGTGGACCGGGTTTGACCGTCATCGAAGCAACTTCGGTGCTCCCCAACGGCCGGACGTCCCCTCAGGATTCGGGGTTATGGGCAGACAGCCAGATCGCGCCTCTGAAGCGGGTGGTCGATTGGATCCATTCCAGATCGCAAAAGGTCGGCATACAACTGGGACACGCGGGGCGCAAGTCGAGCATGCTGGCACCGGAGATGGCGCCGACCAGGGCGCCGGCGATAGCGACAGAGTCAGAAGGGGGTTGGCCGGATGACGTCTGGGCCCCCAGCGCTCTCCCATATTCACGAGAATATGTCACCCCGAAACCTTTGTCCGTCGAAGGCATACGATGCTTGGTTCAGGCTTTCGCCGATGCCACGCGGCGGGCCGTCCAGGCCGGTGTCGGTCAGTGTATACTCGGTGTGGAATGTATCTGGAACGGTGGCTGACCTTTTTTTTCTTTCGCATCAGATTTCATCGAACTTCATGCGGCCCACGGCTACCTCGCCCACCAGTTTCTTTCTCCCCTGACCAACACGCGCACGGACGAGTACGGCGGCAGTTTCGAGAACCGCATCCGCTTCCTCCTCGAATGTGTCGAGGCCGTCCGAGCGGAAATGCCGAGCTCCATCCCGTTGTCGATTCGGATATCGGCGACCGAGTGGATGGAGTGGGCAGTCGAACGCCCATCTTGGGACATGGAACAATCTCTCCGGCTCGCAAAAATCCTCGCCGACATGGGTGTCGACATCTTGGACGTGTCGTCTGGCGGCAACCACAGCGAACAAAGGATCTTGCTTGAGCCAAACTACCAACTGGACCTCGCGCACTCGATACGTCAAGCGCTGCGCAGGGATGGAATCGGTATGCTGGTCGCGGCGGTGGGATTCATCGACAGTCCAGAGGTTGCCAGGAAGACGACCCAAGCAACCGATGGAGAGGACGAGAAACGAACGGCAGATCTGGCGTTCGTAGGAAGGGCCTGCCTGCGGGACCCCAGTTTTGTCTTGCGGAGTGCGAAGGAACTTGGGGTTGCGGTTCAATGGCCATTTCAGTTCCAGATGGCTCTGAGAAAACGTTTAATGTAAGCTTGGAAACCAAGCGCCGTGGGTGAGCCGACTGTTGCCCGGCGTGTATCTTTTGCAGAACACATGGCACCACTCATATACGGCGGTCACCGAACAGGACAGGAATCCGGCTGTAAACGTTGCAGAGGGCCACCTGTTCAGACCACCTCCCCGGGATAATCGTAGCTAGGTAAATTTCAATGCAATGGGAGCAGGGTCAACAAGACCAGGGATGTACGCTCTTTGTAACGATGAGACTCACGGTCGCAGTCCCAGCGTAAAGACCCTTGAAACGTCTTGATCCCACTGTGTGGCAAAACAGCAACCATGGTTTATACTCCTGAGCAAATGTTGTGATGTTGGCGTCACCTTTGGAAATTTTTACAGTGGCGGCTTCATCACCAGGGTGGCCGAGACCATCACTCACCGTAATGCGACCGCGAGCCCTTTCTCCACAACCTGTGAAGCTTGTGGAAGCACGACGTATGGCCGCGAGTGGCCAGCGCCGTAAGCAGCACTGATACGGAAGCAATATGGTTGGATCAAAGCGAAGTGGGATGATTTACGTTCTCTGGAAACATATAGAATGGAGCGAGCGAGAGAGATGGAACGCTATCTACACTCTCCGTTCCTCAAAGTTAGAGTCCTGACACGCCAAACAAGGTCCGGATGGTTGCTAGCTTGGAAAAGAAGAGACTAGGTCGGCCCCGAACTCGGATCGATCTTGGCACATTTACTCCGTGACACATTCGCTTTTGCATCCCTCAGTGTATGGGAGAGACACTCCCCATCGTCGATCTAGACTCTGTGGCGTCTAGAATTAGGTTTAATGACTTGCTGTCAAACGATGTTCACTACCCCAGTGACACGTTCGGCGTAAATCGTACAGTGGCTATCGGATGTGCTGTGGGGGACTTTAATCATAGCTGTGCGAACAGCATGCTCGAGGCGTCCAGGTCTAAGCCATCGTCGACCATGTCAATACCGAGAGAAAGCTGGCTCTCTGTGATCCAAGGTTCGGTGTCCAGCAAGCCTGGAGATCCGTCTGCAGCTGGAGGATTGCCATGGCCAGCACGGTCGACGGGTACTGCTTGGATGGTCAGTCGGGAGCATGACATGATTCACGGGCAGCCGAGGAAGACCAAACCTGTAGGGGAGGTGTGCAAGCCATTGGTGACCTTGCCACCGACGTTGTTCCTCCAGTAGAACAGACAGTCGTATGTGAGACTCGCGCCGTGCCGGGAGCGGTGTATCACGAGGGGCTCGCCGCCGGCAGTACGATGTTGTTGCAATTCTGCAACCGTCCAGAGATGGACGAGGATCTCGGCGTGTCGCGCCGCGTTGTCGTTATTTTCGATCGAGCACGCGCGTAGGGCACGGATGGCGCTGTTGAAGGTGGCCCTCCCGGCCGCGAAATCGACATCTGCATGGTAGCCGGAATGCAAGACCTTCCAGAGCACACACGTCGCGGTGAACAAGCTCAGAAACAGCGATCCGCTGATGTGCCGAAAGAGATCCAAAACCCTGTCGATACTCGATGCCTCGCTGATGAACTCCTGGGCAATCGCGTAGCATTCGAGAATTCCACGCTTCCTCCCGTTCTCCCAGGTGGGCAAGTAGAAATAATGAACGTAGTAAGCTAATTTAACAGACAGCATCTGGCAGAGCACGTATTCTGCCAAAAATGAGATTCATTCCTCACATAGACCTCATAGGGGTGCTTACTATTCGATATGTCGACGCTTTGCTGCAATACTCCCAATTCAGTCTCGAGTTGTGGCATGTGTTGGGTGGCAGACACCGGAGCGAGATTCCCGCCATCCGGACAAAACGTTTCACTGAGCCTGGAGCCAATGCGATGACTGAATCGAGCAATCATACAGAATTGCCGAAGGTCATACGGAAGTTGTCTGATGTAAGGCTCTTCGAGCGACGAATGAATGGTCAGACCGAATGAGAACGAGGGCATGATTCCAGAAGCGGTCGCGGCACTGTCATTGACCAATTAGTGGGTGACGCTCGCATTTCGTGACAAATGCAAAGGCAAAGACAATACTTTTGCGTGACTATGACACAGGCTGCCCATGTTCGCAACCTTTCGTCCTCCATGGACGTGGTAAGACGTCGTTTGGCTCTGGAATACTCGGAGCTGCGATCGGGTCCTGGTAGGCCTAGTTGTTGGGCCATGCTCGTAGCCATGGAGATCCAGGCGTGCGTGGGCTCCAGCCAGCGTGTAACTGTTGGGAATGGCCACGTGCACAGTAATAGCAGAGCCTGCAAGCTGGCGAGGCTACTTGGGAAAGTTCTGATAGTGTCCCACGCCAGACGCGTGACTGGCGATGCCAGTAAAGGTAGCAAGGCTATATCCTGGTCCCATTGACGCCCAGCCACAGAAATAATGGACCAAAAGAGTAGACTCGATTGACTGAAATACTCATCTGGAGAACGTAGCGGGTCGAGGAAAGGGAGATGAGGGTGGTATTTGTCGAAGAATCTGATGAAACGTTAGGTCTGGCTCAGAGGGGGAGCTTTGGCAGCATCCGTTACATACATTCTAAAGAGCTCATCAACATGGTCACTTTTCACGTTGATAAGCCCCAGCTGATGTGATCCCTTTGCAAGGGGCCGCGAAGGTGAACGCGTCGATGGGTACGAGCCCGGGTTCGTCTTCGTTTGAGGTGGCCAGGAATTCTGGGCAACAGAGGAATGCGACACGGCAGAAGCATGTGTCTCGTGCCAATCGTTCTGCAGGCTTGTAGACAGGGGAATCGCCATGCTCTTGGTTCTGTCCCATTGTCCTGGCTCAGGCCCGGGAAGCGGCGAGGGTGACAAGATTCTCGACATGGGAATCTGTGCCGCCTGGGAACGGGTATCGTTGACCAAAGCCATGCAGTCCTGGACCTGTCTTTCTAACTCCTGAATCTGTCTAGACTTGATTGTAAGTCACCTCTTACTCACTGGGGCTCATCGCTCTTGCGCAAACGTACCGGCTCTTGCTCGTCCGACGGTAATTCGGGTCTTCGCGACAGGAAATCTGCAATCTTCTACAACGAGAACAAGGTCCCGTACCTCTGTCACAGCGAGACTGTAATAACCGGGCCGACAGATAAGCATAGACAACCTTCCACAGGGTTTCATTTGACCAACCTTGTTCTGCCTGCAAGCGATGCAAGCAATCCGTCGGGACGAAGAACTTGAAATGCTCTCTGACATGTCTGGTATAGGACTATTCTTGTTAGGGAAGTGACTGGAGGCGGTGACTATGTCTTCTCCCCAGGAAAAAGGGATTCGGGAACAGGGAATGGCCCACAAGATCGAAGCATCATCAAGTCTGGCCCCCTCTACAGATTTCCGGATGAGGGGAATCGAGGTATGGAGTACGCGGCGGTCTTATAGACATTGGTACTGAGTACGGAGAAGCGGCTTGATATCTCGGGACTGTATGCTAAACAACGTGACTAGCTATTTGTGATTAGCTATCGGTGCCTTGAGTGGGGATCCGTCTCGCCAGATGAGTCCATGCAACCATGACGGCAATCGGCAATGCAGTCACACCTTATCAAGACTGAACCCAGTCCTTGTACTTTATCAGAATCTAAATTCAGACTGTGTGTCTGCCATCAGCAGGACTCGACCATCTTGGCGCGCAGGGTGAGTCCATATCAATAGCCTCCCCCTAGGAAGCCTTGAGAACTGATAAGATTGTTCTTTGAAGCACGCTAGGACATTATTAATAGGAAGACTTAGATTGAAAGATTCGAATACGCTTGGGTCATGGGCCAGTTCCCCGCAGTCCAGGTGATACATGTGGCTGTGTTTCAAGTCACAACACACACATCTTGAGGCCGTGATATTTCGCGTATAGAGCAAGAAATCTAAACGTTCTTCGCGAGGCGAAGTGATCCTATGAACGTGGCCATATCGCTTGTCCCGACGAGCGAAGGGATAGAGTCACGAATAGCTTTTGCCCTGTCCTTCCCGTAGATTGCACTGGCCATCATATCAAATTTGCTCTGTGCAGCCTCCCAAGTCACTGGGTTCGCCGGCTCACCCAGGGGATGCTCAACCGTCACCGAGCTCTCGCACACCTGGACAGTCGTCAGAAGAGATTTGTCTGGAATGGTATCGTCCACGGAGACAGTGATGCGACTGCAGAGTTTTTCTACGCCGTCGTGGCCGAGATATTGGTACGCTGTCCAATCATTGTGTCCAAACAACAGCGCCACCGCTACATGATAATAGATGCTAAATTGTGCTTCCACGATGCTCCGAGGTCGAACTTTGTTGGCAGCGGAGTGGCCTACAATCATGTACGTCTTCGCAGAGGTGCGCACGTGCACGCATGTATCAGTGTCCACGTGGATGTCCTTGCGCAGCTTGTACACGGCATCAATGGCCGCGTGTGTTAAACGACAAGAGGCGTACGGCTTGATTGCTGTGTTAGACGCCTCCCACACTCGTCCCACGTCCTGAGCAATCGGCAACAGATCGAACATTCCGCGGCCATATGCTTCGACCAAGCCAAATTCGCCTTCGATAGATGCCGTGGCTCCCACGACGCCCGCACGTACCATGGCCACGTTTAGCAGAGCATGATGAGCTGCAAGTCCGGGATGGAGCCTCTTATTCCAAGATCCGTTCTCCAGATACTGCATCGAACCGCTGGCCACGCTTCCAGTCAACCCGAAAAGACTTTCCATCTGGATGGCATTAAATCCAGCAATGCGACCAGCCGCCGCGGCGGCGCCGTAAGCCCCCAAGACACCTGTCGGATGGAATCCTGCGCGATGCAGTGTTGCGCTCAAGCAATTCCCCAGACGACATGCAATTTCATAGCCAACTGCCACTGCCTCTACAAAGAGCCGGCCGCAAATGACAACCCCTCGGTGCTTTTCAATCTCAGACTGAGCAAGTGCCGCAGATATGACAGGGGCACCGGGATGCAATGCCGCCCCAATGTGCGTGTCGTCGCAATCCATCGAGTGCGCCAGTGCTCCGTTGAGGAGTGCCGCGTATTGCGGCTGAAGCTGTGAAGAGCTTCCGACAACGGTCGCAATCCCAGGAGCGGAAAGACTCTCAACGGCTGAGAAAAAGTGCGCGGAAGATTCGACGTTCTGTGTAGCAAAGGATACCAAGCCGACATAGTCCAGAATGCCTTTCAATACTACCTCAGCCACAGGCTCAATGTCGAGCCGGTGCTCTGCTGCAAACGTAGCCAGAAGGCGAGTAGTCTGTGATGTCTTCATTGAATCCATCTGTGCAGTATTTGCCATGTCTCAGCAGGCGTTTGCGAGTTACTATCGATGACCTGGCTCTCCAAGCGTACTATTCTGTTTGTCGATCTCAATATTGACAGTCATACCGGAAGTGGGCACGGAGAATGTAGTATGCTCATAGAAATTGGCAGTGAGATCAAGGACAGGCCTGGCTGGAGCTTTGAAAGAGAGGAGATCATGGCTCCTTTTCCTTGCCGCCTCGATCGGCCCGGGGGACATGATGCACAATGTGTCGATCTCCACCAGATGGTGGTCTATTCAGGACACATTCGTGCCAGTTTCCTACCATTCTCCATATTGACACCGAACATTTGGCGAGGTGGAGATGAAACTCGGACTTTAGCTAGCTCAGTTGTATTCGATCTCGCACTGGGCCGGCCATCCATGTCTTGGAACTCAGGCCGATGACGCCCTTTGTTCCCACCAGGACAGATTCCATCAATACGGCTGAATGATTCTGCATGGATTCCCTACTAGGTACTGGTCTAGCGCGGCTAGGATATCCCTCGCGGTATCCCGGCCTGCGACACCCTTCGTCAACAACTACCTAAGTTTTTCTTTTTGGCTCTCTGGCTCCCCGCCAACCCCCCCCCCCCCCCCGAAAATGCATTATACTTTCAAAGCTGCTGGTGCAAACATATTCCTTGCTTACAAGAGAGGAGAGGGAAATCTTGTACATGCTCAAAGTTGAGGACTTCTCCGAGCAAAGCAAACCATCGCACTGGCCTGCCTGTCGCCTTCGGGAGCACCACAATAGCCAGCTTCTACAGCAAGCCGCAACCAGCTCTCCACACCCTGAATATATATAATGGCGACGCTGACTGTCATATCTCTTGCACAAGAGTACTGCTGCGAACCTTACAAAGGTGGTCTTCGAACATTACACCAGTGTAATCCTGCGAGTGACGCTACGATGGGTCGTGATATCGACCAATGTTGAGTCTGTTAGCCCAAGGCCCCCTGGCCTAGCAGTCTGCGTCAATACACGGAGACTAGTAGCTATGCCCAAGTAAAAATCGTAGTCTTCTCAGAGTGTTTGAGAATGCAAGCAAGAATAGCTGCTGGCTGACATGAAGCTTATCTGATTGATTGACGCGACATGATTCGCTATCTCTCCGTGGTCCGACGTTCTTCCGAGACATTAGAGAGCATTGTACGCTACTGGGGGGCGTCCAACCTTCATCCCACTACAATCCTGTCTGGTATCTTTATTCTCCATCACGACACCGGATAGACTCAGTAAGCATTTTCGCTCTGTAACGAGAGTACGTGACACTCGAGGGAAATTGGAAGGAGAATTCGACCCCAAACCGAGATTGTGACGTCTCCATCGGGATCCTTTCCCAACTGCAAATCTCCTTGATCTTTTGACGAATACTTCGCGACCCGGCAATCCGAAAGTCCAGAACAAAGAAAGTGATCATTGAGCAGGTTTAGAGAGAGAGAGGGATTCCCTCCTTTCCTATCCCCTCCAAAGATATGCTGGCTCCACAGATCTGCAACAGATGCCGCAAGCAGCGGATCAAAGTGCGAAAGAGCCCGGCCTTCGAGAGGTCAAATGCTGACGTTGATTGCACAGTGCGACTTGCGTCTGCCACAGTGTAACAACTGCCATAATGCAGACGCTGAGTGCATGTTTCATGACGAGGCATTGATGGAAGATATCCCGTGCAGGTTCGTCTTTCTCGCTCTTCGATCTCGACGCCGACCATTCAATGCTGATTGCCAGTGCTGCTGCAGTTATTTGTACTCACTACAAAAACGGCAGAAAGACCTCCAACGCGAGCTCAATGTTGTAACGAATGGCGCAGCCACTGCTGACAACGCTTCTGCGCTGGGATTTTTCGATTTCGACAAGCAAGATTTTCTCATTAGAGTAGGCGACGAAGAGTCTGCGTCATCGTCTTGGCCGATGTTCGCGTATCTCGGATCTGGGAGCTTAGCACGCCTCCTTCAGCACCTCCTGCGCAGCGCACTTGCATGGCACCTCACCCATGGCGCCATCATTCCGCCACGTCTTGTTCCATCAGAAGACAAGCCGCTGCTATCATCATTGGATCCTCGACTTGAAGACTTGCCAGCGCTGCTTTTACCGGTGCCATCAGACCAGCGAAAACCTCGGCCAGAGTTGCATACCCTTCTGCCCCGGGCTGTTCAACGTGCCATTATCGACCACTACTCGAGGACTGTGGCGCCTACATTCCAATTTCTACCAAGGGGGCAGGTCGCTAGTCTCGTTCAGCTCGAGAATCCCTTGAAATGGAGCAGCTCCAACAGGGATGCGCCCCAAGCTTGGGCCTTGAGTATTATATTTGCGGTCTCGACCTCACTGCTCAGTCGCGATCATGCCTCGACTGCGATGGCAACGATCGCGACGCGGTGTGCCGAGGATTTGAACAAGCTGTCTCAAATACCGATATCAACGACAGAGCCAATTGATACGACTAGATGGACCTGTCGGGCGATGTGTGCAGTCGCTCTGTGTTCCCTCATCGACGCAACACCAGATCGTCTCTGGGAAAGTCTTGGAAGAGCCGTCTCCGCCATCGAGTCATTGCGCGGGCGATACAAGATTGAGAACACGGAGATCGATGAGCCGTTCTGGAGACTTGAGCTGACAATGCTCAAGTTGGAGTGGTAAGTCCCTTTCGAGCGTTGATGGTAGCTTTGGACGCGTTTCTGGAGCACCCTACCGCCTTGCCATCCTTTGCTAACAACGCCCCAGTTTCACCTCGCTGTACCTTTGTCGGCCATCTTATTTTTGTGAAATGTACCTAAAAATCGGGGTGGAAAACGTGCCAACTTCGCATTACCCACACGATGGCAAAGCTTTTTTGACCTCTTTGTACAACGTTACAACTCAAGTCAACTCGATTCCAAGACTCTCCGCCACAAGTCTGGAAGACTTTATTCCAAACCCATACAGGCTCGACTCTACAAGGGTCATGGATCATAAGACCATCTCTCCAGAGACTGCTACTCTCTACATGGCCTTGCACCCGCTATTCACTACCTTGAACCTAAATCCCACGGCGGCTTCATCATCCTCATTACTCTCTGGAGTGAATGAGGTTTCGCCGTCATCTTCGCAAATGCTTAAATCCATCGCCATGTCTGCATGCGCGCTGATTGACCACTTTACTCTCCTCAATGATGAGGGCCAGGTACTCAGTCTCTGGCTCACGGCGGGACGCACGCTTGAAGCCGGAGCCCTGTGGGTATTCTATCTGGTTCGTAGACGTATCACGTTGGATACGGGACAAGACGGCGGATCTCTTACGGCGAGTGAAGCAGTAAGTCCCTTGCTGAAGGTGTCTGCTCTTTTGGCTTCGTTCGCGGCGCGGTGGAGCCCCGGTGTTGCATATGCGAATTCGTGGCAAGCGTTGGTCGATCTGCTTTGGGGGATGCTGGGTTGAGGGATTCCAGCCTCCTTCCCTGCTGGGACAGGGCAGTCACAATTTATTGCCATCTCGTCACTGGCTCAATGTCAACTGCAGATCAACGACATGAAGTCAGTCAAGCTTTCCCGGAGCTAAATCCGGGAGCAGGTGGTGTTACCGCCCAAGGTTGGAGGATTGAATGCCCTTGACTTTCTCAATTGAGATGACTAGAGCCCGCCAGGTCAGAAGTGAACTGCAAAGTGTCCTCAGATCAGTCCCCCTCCCCTTGAGCTAGCAACTAACTTTCTGTCACTGTCATCAGCTTCGCGAAGAGTTTCGACAGCTATGCTCGACGCGCGATGACTCGAACATCCCACGTATGACATTGGCATACAGAAATTCTTTTACCGGAGCGTTCGAGACCCCGCTATGACCGTCGGCCGTGTTCAAAGCAAGAGTTACTGCACAGTGGCTAACTGATCATCATCCCCCGGCCGGAGCGAAACCGCTGGCCAGAACATGCGCGGGGGCCCCACTCATGCACGGAGACCGAATGATCAAAAATTACGAATAATCAAAACCAGGTCAACACAGAAGCTGCACAACAAAAGGTTGAACGTTTGCACATCTCTAAATCCTGAGCAAGACTCTCTTCTTCGAGTATAGAAGACAACTGTACACCACGCTCACTGAAATTAGTCTCAATCCCTCCCCAAAAGTACGCCCCATCCAAATATGGCCGACGTCAAGCGTTACGATGTAATCGTTGTTGGAGGTGGCAACGCTGCGCTTTGTGCCGCACTTTCTGCTCACGAATCTGGGGCAAAGACAGTCGTTCTCGAAGCGGCGCCAAAGGAGCTTCGTGGTGGCAACAGCCGATTCGCCTCGGCGTGCTTTCGAGTCGTTCACAACGGTATGCAGGACATCGAGCCGCTCATTCACCCAGACAACAAGTATTTGGTCAAAAGAGCACGACTAGCCCCTTTCACCAAGGACCGGTATCGGAAAGAGTTTCAGGAGACGTCCAAGGGCCACCATGACAAAGCGATCATGGGGACTCTTATCGACAACTCGCTTGACACTGTGTACTGGATGCGCGACAAGGGCGTCAGATGGACCATCGCCCTGAGCAAGTTCTTCACCGAAGAGCAGATCACACGGGACGTGGTGGACATCAACCCGGGCTTGTGTCTCATGGCACAAGACGAGGGGATCGGCTTGACGGACAACCTTTGGGCTGCGGTGGAGAAGACTTCGATTGATGTCTACTACGGCTCTCCGGCATGCGACTTGATCGCCAAAGGTGACACGATCCAAGGCGTGCGAGTTCGAGGAAGTTCTCAGTTCATCGACTTCTACGGAAATGTCATCCTCGGTTGTGGAGGGTTCGAAGCCTCTCCCCGTCTCAGGCGTCAATATCTGGGCGAGGGCTGGGACCTTGTCTGCGTCCGAGGAACGCGGTACAATACGGGGACCATGCTGGAGAAGGCCATTGCAGCCGGCGCCGGGGCCGCAGGTCATTGGGGCGGCTGCCACGCCGTTCCCATGGACATCAACTCCCCCGCCGTTGGCGACTTGCGGCTCACCGACAAAATGAGCCGCTACTCGTACCCCTTTGCAATCATGGTTAATAAGGAAGGCAAACGGTTCATGGATGAGGGCAGGGACACGTTCGAGCTGACATACGCCGCGACCGGGGATCTGATCGGCAAGCAAACCGATTCGACCGCGTTCCAGATTTTCGACCAGAAATCCCTCATCACGTTGGAACCAAGGTACTCTACCGGCAAGCCGGTAGAGGCTGAGACCCTCGCGGAGCTCGGCACAAAGTTGGGTCTTAACGTGCGTGAATTTCTCAAGACGGTCGAGGAATTCAACGCCGCCGTTCCCGATTCCCCGGCGTGGGATCCATTCCACAAGGATGGCAGATCAACGGGCGACAAGCTGGCGATCCCGAAGACGAACTGGGCTCAAACCGTCGACCAGGGCCCGTTTGTGGCATACGTCGTCACTTGCGGTAAGTGCCTTGTATTTCCCGACCACCATGTAATTTCAAGCTTTGGCTTTTTCCCCCTGACTTTGCCACAGGTATCACTTTCACCTATGGAGGACTGAAGACGGACGCACGCGCCCACGTCTTGAACCACGAGGGAAACAGGATGCCTGGTCTCTGGGCCGTGGGAGAGATCAGCGGAGGTCTGTTTGCGTACAACTATCCCGGAGCTTCGGGACTCGTCAAAGGCTCGGTCTTTGGCAAGATTGCCGGTGCTGCAGCGGCAGAACAGGCCCTCCAAAGCCCAGTTCAGACACGTCTATAGATAGGCCAGTGAGCGTACGGAGGGCGTGACCCGGTCTTTGATATCAGTTGAGATGTTTCTAGCCGAACGGCGAGGAAAACCAGCTCGTAATTAGACCCTCGAAGGAATAAAAAAAGGAAGAGTTCATTAAGTCATGTGAATCCTGTCGCAATACTGTCAAACTCTATGGTATCACCGTGACCTTTCGGAGAACGGATCTGCTAGACTCTAGGGCGTGTTTTTGCGTTGTTAAACCATCCATTTCTTGAGCTAAAGCAAACTGCAGTTTTGATGGGCAGCTGGAATGAAAATACAACTTGGGCGTGTGACACCTCGCAAATGATGCTAATGCGTCCAGACCAACAATCTTGCACGTCGTGCGAATCCGCCAGTGTCGTTTGACGCTACGATTTGAAGCCGTTTTGGAGATATGAGTTACATTCGATCTCATAATTCCGGTGGGAGAAGTATCTAAATCTTAGCAAACCCGGCACCGGGCTCTTTGATGTAGTACGACAGGTCGCCCGCCTCCATCTCCCGTCTGGTCCTACCGTGCCCAAAGAAGTTGAACCGGTTGCGGTGTATATACTCAATGTCGTAATCCTCCCATCTCGGTGAGGTCATGACCTCGAGATAGTGGAGGCTCGAGCCAGGCCAAGGTCCCCAGACGTGGCCATTTCGCTTGTACCTTTGTGATGGAGAATTAGCGGATACTCGATGTATGCCACGGAAGATACAGTTTTCTAGATTGAGAAAACGGGGGCCATCATCAAAGATCTTACCAGGAAGTGCACGATCCGGTCCAGACCAAGTCCTTCATCAGCGACTCCTTGTACTCTTGGAAATCGTCGACGGCGGCCGTTTTGGGAGAGACTGACTTGATTCCGTCATACTGAAGCTTCTGGGCCACCGCGAATGCGTATCTAATGTTGTTCTCGAGGGCCGGCAAAAGGCACCCGTTGGCGAGGGGAAAATTGGGCCCACTTGTGACTGGGAGAACACACGTGTCAGTCTCTATGGTAATATTCTCGTCGCATCAAAGAGGTTGACTGACTGAAATAGTTCGGGATCCCGGCCGCCGCAACCGAGAGATATGATCTTGGCTGCTCTCGCCAGAGATCACGAAGATCCTGGCCCCCATAACCTTTCACTGGAAACGAAGGCCGATAGGATGTGTCGAATCCAGTCGCGCAGACAAGGGCGTCGATCTTGATGGTGTCACCGGTTGCCATACGGAGACCTTCTGAAGTCACGCCGATTATGCCGTCGTTCCGCACCGTCACGTTCTGGGAAGCCAACGCTTCCAAGTAGCCGTGACCCTAGGTACACACCGATGAGGGTCAGACACTGACGGACAAGATACGATGCTCGTTCTGGATCATTAACTCACAGGTGTAATTCGTCGACAGCCAACCTCGAAGTCGGGAACTAAGAGTCGCGGTCAGGTCTGATTCATGCCGAAGGGGGTGGGAAAGCAATTCACCAATCTTCTCAATCAAATCTTCTCGATGGCGCAACCGCTCCTTCATCGTCTTGCGAAAGTTTTCGCGGGCCATCTTCTGCTCCGTCGAGGACTTGAATTGCATCTCAAAGAAGCTGTTGACCGTCGAGTTGACCTCTTTTCTGTACCTGAGAAACTCGTCCTTGTCGTTGGCCCACTTCGTCTTTTGCTCGTCCGAAAAGAAGGATGTGCGACCCTCTGGAGCGAACTCGGCAGCGAACTCGGGCGTGATCCAAGTCTTCGACCGGTTGATAGAGTACAGGTGTTTGGTCTCTGCATGGAAATTGGTCAAAAATTAAGTATGTTACAGCCTGGTATGGTATATCCGTGGTACACTTACTCGGTTGGAGCTGTGGCACTATCTGGATCGCCGAACTTCCACACCCAATGACGGCCACGATCTTGTCGGAGAAGTCGTACTCGTTGTCCCAGGCGGCAGAATGTAGCAGCTTGCCTTGAAAAGAATCAAGTCCTGGAATGTCGGGCCATTTCCAGTTGCTGGTACACACACAATCTGAATTAGAACCCCAGCCAACAGACGAGAAGAAGCTTCAATGCCCGGTACGTACTTGAGAAAGCCAGCCGCGTTGACCAAGATGTCGGCCTCGTCTTCGAGTCGTCTCCCGTCTCGCGTATCGTCGAGGCTGACGACCCATTTCCCGCGTCGATCGTCCCACGCCGCCGCCGTGACTCGATGGCCCAGACGGACAAACTCATCCACCCCGTACGCCCCGGCACGACCTTTGAAGTACTCATAAAGTTCAACGGACCCGACATAGGCACGGCTCCAGTTTGGATTGCCCTCCCACGAGAACGTGTACGCGTGTGCGGGTACATCACAGGCACAGCTAGAAGAGATGTTAGCAAACCAGGAAGCTTTTCGTCAATGAGAATAGCCCGCTTTCCTGTCACCACGTCGAACCATGTACAGACAGAAGAGTGCTTACCCGGGGTAGCGGTTCTCGAGCCATGTGCCCGTCACGTCGGCATTCTTCTCGTAAATTACCATCTCGACATCTCTCTCGGGGAAATTTTCCTTGTAGATCTTGACGGCGGCGATGCCGCTCAGACCGGCTCCAACCACGATGATGCGTATCCTCCTTTTCTGTCCCAAGTACTGGTTTGGATATTGGTATTCACCATTCGCTGCATGTCCATTTACTGAGGTAGTATTTTCATCCGTGCAGTCTTCAGTCGTGATTTTCCCCGTTGTGAATGCAGTTGTGTGATCTTCGGTAACTGTGCTTGCCCCTGCCTGGGGTGCGCCAGCGGTTGTTGAGGCTGTCATGATCATCCCACCCCCCTTATTCGAGCCTGATATTTCGAGGTCTTACAAACTGTTCCGTCACCTGCGAGGACTTGTATGTGCCTTTCTCGAAGCTCGAGTGGGTTAGTCGAGCTGTCTTTTCTAATAAAACAAAGACAGAAATCTTGAGTACTGTCTGCCTTTTTGGGGGAAGAGTCCGGTCAAAACCGAGATAATATAACTCAAAGTAGCGCCAGCAATGATTGGGGCTGAATGTTGGTGAGTTCGAAGAAAGTGGCGTGAGGAATGCGATACGTTGACATGATCCGCGTCTCAATATTTCATAGATGATTTTCCGTGGTGACTGCTATCTACGTCCAGCTTCAACACGGGTTGAAAGCCGAGGCCGTGAGTTGTCCACGTCTCGTAAGTACCTCACATGTGCAGCTATGTTAAATCTTTAGTCTCCTTTTTCGCTCCGAAGCAGGCCGGAGAGATTATGACCCCACACTCGCACACTGGGCTCCACACTTATAATTGATCCACGTCTGAGGAACAAAGCAGTCACGTCCCGTGGAGTTGACATGGACGAAGCATGATACTAGGTATTCCAGCCTAGTCGAACTCCGGCCGGGGCGTTTCAGGGAAGCGGTGGGTCGGGCGGGCCGCTGACAGGTTGAAAGGAGTTCGGAACTGGGACGAAAGAACGCTGCAGGAACTATTTGTCTAGATGGTACTGACATTTCGAGCACTTACTTTCCCTCTGATCGATATCACTCCGATTCTCTTTAACAACGACTCTGAAGCTTTTGGCTCTCGTCACACCAAGTACGACACGATGGCCTTTCGCTCTGGCCCATTCGCACCTGGCGTCGCTTTCATCACGGGAGGCGCCCGTGGAATTGGAAATGCCATCGGCGTCTCGTTCGCGAAAGACGGCGCTCGGGGTGTGGTACTCGTGGACATTCAAGACGAAGAGACGTTCGCGGAGGGAAAGAAGAACGTGGAAGCGTACGGCGCAAAGGTATGAAGCAGACTCGATTGATCTTCTCCTTTCATCGGCGACAGCCATCAGTTCCCTAGGACACCGTTTCAAAAACCTCTAGTCCTCTCTGCCCTATCGAGGACCAAAATTTGACTCAACTTCCACGTCGTTTTTACAGGTCCTGACCATCCGTGCCGACGTCACCATAGAGGCCGAGGTCGAGCGAGCCGTGGCCGAAGCAGTCAAGGAATTCGGCCGCATTGATTATGCCGCGTGAGTCACGAGCCTTTCCCCATTTTTTGGAGGTCGAGCAGGCCCAATTGACGGTTACGGACGGTATGGGCACTAGAAATTTCGCCGGTATCGTCGGCCCTCTGGATGCCAGCTGGAATCTGGACCTCACGGAGTGGAAAAAAGTCATCGAGGTTAACGTCGTGGGTGTCTGGCTGTGCACGAAGCACCAGCTGAAGCAGATGCTCACACAGGACTCACTCGACGTGTAGGTCCCCCTTCCCCCTCGTTGAAATTTTTTCTTTTCTTCCACCCTACTCGCAAAACCATTTTGCCCCCCGTCCTCTGACTGACGACAACTGCCACGTTCTACGGTCCCAAACAGTGAAGATGGCCGAACGCTCCAGCGTGGTTCCATCGTCAACTGCGCCTCGGTTGCCTCGCTCCACGGCGAGGCTGGAGTGACGCCCTACACCGCCTCCAAACACGCCGTCGTGGGCCTCACAAGATCCGTATGTCTACCAATCCGGTGTTGTGCCGTTTTTTGAGCCGTCCTGCCTCCTGCTAACTGATCACTCCCCGAACGAAGGCCGCGCTCGAGGCCCGCGGACACGGAATTCGCGTCAATGCGCTTTCGCCCGGTTTCATTCGAACCCGAATGCAAGATTCCTTCATGGGCGGTGCTGAGGGTAACGCCGTGCCCGAGGCCGCGCAGAAGTCCTGGGAGCTGTACCATGCCCGACAAGGCCGAGCGGCCACCCCGAGCGAGATTGGCGACGCCGTAGTATGTCTGAGTTCGCCCAGAATGAGCCTCGTCGTGGCTCATAATCTGGTCGTTGACAAGTGAGTTCTCCTCCCACTTTTATTTTAACTCTCCACTCCTTCAAAACCCATTCTGTCCTCGAGCTCAGGTAATGAGATGTATTTTGTCATCCACCATGGCCCTGAACTCTGAGCGACTCTCTGGTTTGAGGCCTTGGGAAATTGGCTGACTGACTCATTCCAGTGGTTTCACTCCCAATATGGGTTGGCAATGAAGGAGGGTTTCGACGACGCGATCCCTCAGGAGATTCTATAGTTCGTCATAGATGAAATACCTAGTATCATTGTTTGCATAACAGTCAAACCCCCTCCAGGAAAACATCAGGGCTGGCCGACGTTCAGAAACCTGAAGATTAAACTCAGATCATGTCCATGTCGGAAGGGGCAGGATATTATTATCTCATCTCCTCCTTCTCCTTCTCCTTCTCTTCCTTCTCCTTCTCTCCCTTCTCCTTCTCTCCGTATAAATGAGAGACTTGTAAAGTACGGATCTCACGGTCACGAGAGTTCAACACTCTCTATCTACAGTACGAGTAGATACTACCTAAGTACTGTACCTAGTATATACTTGACTACCCATTGTCACATATAACAAAATACACGACATCGTATGGATCTTGGGGTTTATCGCTCGCTACTAGGTATCGAAATGATACTCATGGTCGCCAGAAGGAGCCAAACCCAGCCGTTCATGTGCTAATCCTCATCTAACGCTACCAGGATGCCATGATCTTGACACTGGAAGATCCATGTGACACGATGCGGCGCCTGCAGGCGAGAAATTTAGAAACCCGAATACGCTCAAAACTCTCCAAAATGTCTCTGGGCTCTACAATAAAACCCCGTGCCTTCAAGTACCATCTCATTCCTCCTTCATCCTACACAGACGTGCTGCTCTCCTTAGTCCCGACTCCCAACTCTAGGACGATTGTTACCCTTTGGTCTCGGCGGTGACACTCGGGCTTTTGTCCACAGCATAGCTGGCGGGGGTCTTATCATCACGCTCCCCTTTGATAACTGCTTCCTCGATCACGTGACTGGGGACGACGACGTCCTCTTCTTCGAAGTACATGGTCTCCTTGACTTCGAACAGTGCCAGGTAAAGGAGTCCAGCGGCACCCACCACGAAGAAGGCCAGAATTGTCCCCGCCTCCTTGATATATGGAACTCCTATGGAGTCGACACCAAAGTTGACGGCCTCGCCGGCGCCCAGAATAGCGCGAAAAACACCCTGTAGGATAAGTAGATTAGTTACGTTGTCGATAACATTAGTTCTGGCGGAAATGTCACGTACCGTGTAGTTTGCGGCCTTGCGAGGATCATTGCTGAGAGCTGTCATCCACGTTAGCTGTGAATGGAGAATGGTGAAGGAGCAAGGAGCAAGGAGCAAGGAATCTCACATACTGCCGAGAAAGTAGTAAATTAGGTTGGTCCAAAGACATCCGGAGACGAAGTTCATGACAAAGAGGATGAAGATCGGGGCAAAGTTTGGGTCGGTCCAATCCATTCCTTCCACCGGCGGGTTGTTGCGGTCGTAGTTGCGCACCCGGATCACTTCCCAGACCCACGCGGCCAGGAGAGGGATTGCCACAACGGCCAAACCGACGAGCGCTCGGGTTCTACGTTTCCCTTTTGTCATGTCAGCCTTGTTGGATCATGTTCAATAGATCCAAAACACACATTTTTGGTGGTCAAAGATGTACATCAGTGGAATGGAGAAGATGATCTGGAAAATGATGGCCATGAAACCTAAGAGGCACCTTGTGCGCAGATTGTTGTGATAGGCATTGACGGAGCCGCTGTAGACAAGGTACGATTCTCCTGGAATGAAAGCCGGAATCTACCAAGCTGATATCAGTGAGGGTTGCCGCACGAGCAACAAACACTACATACCATGAGCCATAGTCTCCAGTCCTTCAAGGTATAGATTGTCAACCTGACCTCTTCGAGGAAAGGCCTCGATTTGTGGATCACGATCCCTTCACCTGATTCGCGAATGATTTTTTCGGGGGGTAGGAGTAGGAAAGACGCCATACTCCCGACAGTCATGATGACCACAAATGAAATGTAAACAGACGTCGGGCAACCACCACTCGCAGACTGTACTCCGGTCAGTACTCAGGCAATCGGGATGGACGTTTTACCTACCTCGCTCCGGTTGATAATCAGCGGGATGAACGATCCGACGGCACAGCCCGTGGCGAATATGTTGAAAGTGATGGTCACAAACATGCCTCGTTCCTTCTCCTCCGAGTATGAGATTGCGATGTAACCCATGACGATGAGTAAAAGACCGGCAGATGCCTATAGATGGTCAGATCCTAGTCCAACTTGCGCGGGTAGGACATAGCTTGCCCCAATGAGGACTCCGGAGAGATATGGAAACCAAGGGTGGCCATATTGATCAAAGTACCACAAAGCGCCGACGTAGATGATATACCCAATGCAGCCAAGCTTGGAGGTGAAAATGAGCAACTTCAGTGCACCAGATTTTCGAGTGAATGACTTACGAAGCCGGTCAACGCGGGACCGAGCACGTTCAAGACACTTCCTCCGATAAATGACGAGAAGAACCACACCGTACAGGCGGTTGCGTTGGCGATCTGAATAGTTTTGGCGGAGTTCGGTCGACCACCGCCCGCCTGCAAAGGAAGGATGAGTCATATTTCTTCCTTGAATTGATAGGATCATGTTACCTACACCCAACACATTGAGGGAGAGATAAATCCCTGCGGTAATGCCGACTATGAATCCGGCAATAACACTTTCAACGCATTAACGTTAGCAAGCAGGATAGGTGCAGCATGGGGTAGAGTATACTTTTGCCAGAACGGGCTCGAACGACGCGGGCGAGGGATGTGAAAACCCATGATTGCGGTAGCCTGTGTTTGCAGCGTCCTATTCTGGTGGTAATGATGTCGTCTCTATCTTCGTCTCCTTGACGGGCGAGGAGCCACAAGTTAAAGTACTTTATTCAAGATGAAGGAGTCAGAGGAAGTCGTTTCGACTCCTATCTCATTGCACACCCGTAATCAGCGTCTCATGTCTTGATAGCTGTATTCTGCTGGATAGGCGGGCTGGGACGTTCCTGTGGGTATCTGTGCGGAGCCGCCAGCGATACCGGGCCCACATCGGCGACGAGGAAAGCACTAAGCTCCGGTTCGCTCCCAAACCAGGTCTGTTCCCACAGGTCGTCGTGCACTGCGATTGTCACCACGGGTCTGCGGCTGCGCTCCCTTTGGACATGACCTGCTCCTCTACGTCCGCATACCCAACCGCCTAACTCGGGCGCTTGATTGACTGGACTCGCCATAGACAGCCGCGATAGGGCGACGTCGTCCTTTGCATGACTTGGTCTTCCGCTCGACGCGGGCCGAGACTTTTACAATGCTTCGCTCCTTGTGCTATCGCGGAACCTAAATGGACCCGGTGCGTGTCACAGTCATTGGTCAAGGGGAGGTTTAAGGCCAGTAATGAACAGAGTTGACGCAAGGCTAGACGAGCTATGGCAGCCACTCCCCATGGCCCGAAGATTTCACTCAAAACATGGCGCAGAGCCTCGGAATATATGCTCGCGTGCGCTCAGAACTCTCGCCAAAATCATCCAGTGAAGAAACTTGCAATCTTCCAAACTATGAGCTCGGCAAAACCTCATTTTCCAACAGAAGGTGCGTTGCGGTTCGGAAAGCGCCCAGCACTCATCGTCATTGATGTGTGCAATGCCTACCTCACCCCTGAGTCTCCGTTGTACGCCCCTGACCGCTTCAGCGCGGCTCTGAACGTCATTGAACAGACCATCGAGCTCTTCCGGTCCTTGAATCTGCCAATTGTCTTCACCAAGATATCCCTCGGTACCGCCGGCGCGGGGGGATTATGGTTCACAGAAAAGCTACCAAACATCATCCCGTGTTTCATGGAAGGGAGTGAGCTCGGCCAATATCCAAGCACTTCAAAAGTTTGTCGATATCGTGCAGATCGACCCCGGGTGGAGTTCGAGCTCAGCAAGCAGTTCTCGAGTTGCTTCTTCGGGACCGCGTTGTCGTCTTTATTGGTCAGTATGGGCGTGGAGACGACAGTCATTGTCGGGTTCAGTACCAGCGGATGTGTGAGAGCCACCGCGCTAGATGCAATTCAGAACGGATTCCGACCGTTTGTGATCAGGGACGCCTGTGGCGACCGGGATGAAGTTGTGCACAGCTCGAACCTGTTCGACATTCAAGCCAAAATCGCAGAGGTCATTTCTTCGGATCAGCTCGCGGATGAAATGAAGCATCTGGACAAATTTTGTCAAGACACTGGAAGCTTTCGCAAAACATAGCAGCGTCCCATCTCAAGACGCAGCTGCGACATTTTGGTAGCACTGAGCATCTCTGCGCAACGCCTGATACCACACTCCGGTAGCACACTGCGGTTGATAATCTATCCTTTCATTTCTTCGTTTTAGTACTAGAAATCTGTGTGAGGTGGCTGATGCTCGTGCATGAGCATGGCACAGCGAGCTGCAGGAACATATATGCCCTGAGAGGTGGATCTTTGTCCCAAGGATGGCCAATCTGCCCTCAAAACTGGTCTTGACTGGGAGACTGAGGAATCGGTGTTTATTTCATGTATACTGACTGGCTTACTGTTGACCTTCAACTCAGTTTTCAACGACGCCCATAACTTAACATTCACAATACGCTGCTCGATAGATCAATTTCGAAAAGTAGAAGCATGCGCTGTGCTAACAGTTCAGCTAATCAGAGAATATACAGAGCACAGCAAAACTGCGTCCTCAAGCAGTTCCAGTCTTGTAGGTTCCGAATACGAATGGTTTGGCCGAAAATCGCTCGAGTAGATCGAAAAATGGAATCTCCCTGTCACGCACGCTATGTCAAGCGGACAAGGCACGATAACCATGACTAACTTGACCCCTTGGTATGGTGAATGATTGAGAAGAAACTTAAGTGTGTTGCAAGGTCGATGCGAACCATGGGTCTATTAAGTCAGCTCTTTATCCTATTCTAGCTTCCCATTCTGTCAGATATTCTGGTGGCTGAGCCTGGAAGTTGTTCGAAGAATAAACAAGTGGATCGTGAATGATCATCCCTCACCCGAAGCTATAGTGGTGTTTCTCCGATCGTTCACTTGAGGGCAGCACCGTTTCTCTTTGGCCTTTGACAGGGAGGTGAAAGATTGGTCGATCTTAGCCAATCTTCGAATTATGCAAGTTGACCTGCCTTGTAGGGGAATTTAGATGCGAAATGCTCGGCAATTTGGGTGCGCTGGCAGAGACTTTGTATTAATACAAGATGAAAGAGGACACAGCCGGCGGCTGGTGGAAAGAGTAATCCTTACTGTTGCGAACCATACACCCTCCTTTGATTGCATATAGTCGATCAACTTCTTCAAGGCCCACGTACGGCCCGGTTTACCCATGATACGGCAATGCAGAGCCGTAGTCATCATCTTGGGAGAGCCCTTGAGGCCTTCCTCGTAGAGAGTGTCAACTGTAGCGCTGTTAGTCTTTGGCCTGCCAACCCGGACCAGGTAGTGGGCGTCGGGCTCGAACAACTCACAGGCTCCTTTGTTCTGTTCGAACCATTGCTGCGGTGTAAGTTTATGGGCCTCCTGGATCTGATAATCGTTGCAGTCGAGACTGCCGTAGCCTCGTCAGTTTCGGCGTTCTGCAGACACACTCTCAGGGTCAGACGTACGAGTAAGGAACAATCAACATGCCCTGGGGGTCGGGTTTGCCCCGCTCCCCGGGGACATCGACCCAGTAGGGTACATCATCCTCGTAGCTGTCGCTCATCCATAGGAGAGGGACGCCCATCTCCTGATGCACTTCCCATACCAGGGCCTTGGACCGTGGTGAAAGACGCCCATAGTACCAGCCCTTGGGCGGCTCACCGCACAGCTTCGTGATACATTCGATGTTCGCTCGAATCATTGCTTTCTCCTCCTCCGGGGGCATATCATGAAAATCGATCCACCTTTGAAAACGGTGTCAGCATTATTTGTCGGTTCCAGGTAAAATGGGGATCGTAGCGAGACTTACCGATAGCAATGACTGGCATTATCGTGACCCTGTTCGGCTGTCGCCTTTGCCACGGCAGGATTGCGCTCATACGCCTTACCAGTGGCATACATAGTGACCTTGATGGCTCTTTCGTTGAAGTGTCGGAGAATGCGCCAGACCCCACATCGAGAACCGTAGTTATAGTCCGACTCGATCATCAAGCCTCTCGACTCTCGGCGCAGGGGAAATTCACACTCCGTGAGTGAGTTTTCCTGCTCCGAGTCTCCATTTAGAACAGACCTCTCTCCTCCCTAGGACAAAACGTTAGTACCTGTCAAGCACAACTTCCGATGCGAATGTCAAGAAGTTTTAGGTAGCATCGACCCCAGGACTGCCGAGTCTGGGCTTCTAGAAATCTGACAAGCACTCGGGGAATGGGCGTTATATACCTCTTCGTAGTTAAGCACGAAGGAAACCGCTATCTTGGCGCCATTGGGCCATTGAGGGTCGAAGGACTTTTCACCATATCCAACGAGGTCCCTTTCAAAGTCATATCGATCGGACCACTGGTACTTCTGTACTTGGGACATAACTGTTCTCATGCAAAGCTGAAATGAGTCGAATGTTGGGAGATTGATTTTCGATGATACCTCTGATTGACATGACCAGCTGCGAACCACATGTTGCAGATTTTATACAAATTCAAATACAATACATCACATGCAGGGGTGATCAGCGTCCAGTTTTCGGACATCTCCCGCCCCTTGAACAGGATGTAAGTCTCCGCAGTTCGCAAGTTCATATCATCATGGTCTGTATTGCTAATGCTTGGACGGGCCTGCTGCGGCCCGGGGTCCCACTTGGTACACTTGAAGGAGACCTTCACCCAGCAAGAGAACCGAGTCTGATAGGCTGTCTTCAGAACACTGGCTTCCTGATTGCGTGCAGATCTAAGACTCAACTTCTATAGATATGTGTTATATCTGATTTGTCAGCTAATCCGACTTGGAAGATGCTGCGCGTGCATGATCCGGAACAGGAGGTTCTCACCTTCTCTCCTTGAGTCTTTGATTAAACTGCGCGTTTCGGGCTTGTAGCTATCAAACTCGCCGCGTCAAAGCCTCCGACATCGCCTTATCATGACTCATAGGAGTTGACGAGTATCGCTCTCCTCCTATCAGCATAAGTATTTGCGACATACCTGTGTTATCGGTGCAGCCAACATCTCCCCGGAAGTCGGGCTCCCGAAGGCGAAACCAAAACCACAGAACACGGGGGCCGAATTAAGTGATCCCTCGCTAGATGCTTGGGCCGCTCATTGTACGCTTGAAGACCCTCCAAGCGATCCTCAAGACACTTGGACTCACTTGCTGTCCCTCGCCCAGCGTGTCTCCCGGTACTCTGCCTCTATGTTGCATCCAGACGATGTTCACGCTGCTCAACACCAAGCTGTGGACCTGAATACTTGGTCGTAAGAAAATGCAGAATATACACTCTACCTAGGCTCAATAATGGCCCAACTACGTTCGCTCGACACCTCTCCCCTCTTCTGAAAGGTCCTTGACTTATATTGTGTAAATTCTTGATCTCTTGGAGGCGTCTCGACATTGTAAAAGCAACCTGCAAATTCCCGATCCAATTGTATATATCGGGGTCCCATCTCTTGAAATGCAAACATGTCTTTAGCGATGATACGAGTGTTTAGCAGATATTGAATCGAAATTCAAGCGAAATTCTCAGTATGAGTACCGTTCGTAAGAGCGTGGTCAGTCGTAGTTAGATCAACTCAGAATGACAGCGATATCGTAGCTCAGTTCGCGATTTAATAACTTCATTTTGCGCATTTTCAACATGAGAAGCCACTACTAGCAGACGAAAATGTCCTGCTGCTCTAAGTAGTGGACCGTTTTGAATAGCGTCACGTGACTAGTTGACCATGAATCTCCAACCACGGCGTGACAGGGTTAAAACTGACGATCTACGGATACGGAGGATCTTACGCCTTCCTTGGCGTCAGATGCATGCGCCACTGGACGCCGCTAAGGCACTCATCCGAACTTATTTCCTTTTGTCTGAGAATCCCTGACTTCCATACCATGTAGTCATCACACTGTACCAAAATGGCGGCCCGCGGGCAGCGTTTCGAGCTAGATCTCGACGCAGATGACTTTGCGGTGAATATCTTGAATGGCACTGACGGTGTAGCCAGCTCCGAACCCCCAACTCCTTTCATCAAAGAGATTCAAGAGCACGACATCGATAGCCCTCCTCCGGCCCCTTCCTTCAAATCACACAGATCTGGGTTTCCTGAACACAAGCCTCGTCCAAAGGTATCTTCATTTAAGCAGAGGCAGCAGGCATCAAGTCAATCCTCAAATCCCTTCCCAGCTGGATCGAGAGAACCTTCCGATCGGGCCATCATCAACCATCTAGGCAAGAAATATGGCCATGCTCCAGAGTCGAGAGAAAAGGCGGAGATATCTGAAGAAAACAACAGGCGGATAGCTCAGATGTCTGTAGAGGAGATTGAACAAGCACGGGCTGAATTGATGGCCAATCTAAATCCTATGTTTGTCGACCGCCTGCTCAAGAAAGCCAACCTAGACGACGAGTCTACAAACCAGGCACAATGGCCGGGAGATGAGCATGACTCGAAACCGTCATCGTCGTCTCCCGCGGAAAACAACAGTGGTGAGGCAGAATCAAGGCAGACGCACTTGACCACTTCAGATGTGGAAGAACCCCCAACTGCGATGTCATCGGTTCATTTCCCCCACCCTCCTCGATCTGCAGATGACTACGTACCCTTGAATACGAATGACAACTCGTTCCTTTCTGATCTCAAGACTCATTACTTCCCCGAACTTTCCCACGATCCAGCCTCGTTGTCTTGGATGCAAGACCCCACCGAAGAAGAAAATGCAGAATCCCTATACAACCCTAGCAAAGAATCCTTCCTTCCTTCGGCGCTGCGATTCGGTTTCAATGGCCGCCTGATCGCACCCAAGGAAAGTTTGGAAATTGATGTAAAGAAAGGACTACACCACCACGGCGATGCACCAAGTAGTGCAGGATACACCATTCCTGAGCTGTCACTCCTGGCACGATCAACTCTACCCAACCAGCGATGTCTAGCCTATCAGGTCCTCGGCCGGATCCTCTATCGGCTGGGACAAGGTGGTTTCGGGCCACGAGGAGGTGAGTTACAAGAGGCTATGTGGTCCGTTATCGAACGAGAGAAGCCGATTGAGGTCATGATGAGTGAGGCCAACCGCCTGTCTGGACATTCTAGCGCCAAATCACACGCAACTGAAGCGCTGTGGTTGTGGAAAAAAGGTGGAGGTGGCGACCGCGGCATACTCAAACCCGGCCAAAACCTAGCAAAGTAATGATAGAGGGAGAGACATTTGCTGGAGTTTTGAAGAAACCCTGAAAGGCATAGTCTGTGCCGATTGTTTCTATTAGGAGTAAGTAGTCAAATGGCGCTGGTCCAGAACCGCCGCCCCAGCTACATAGGGGAAGATTGACACGAATGACGATAATTATACCCTCAATCTACGATCTATTGTGCTGTCCTAGATATAAGAGGCCGCAAAGGTCGATCAAAAGGAAGTCTGTATGTAACCAAGACTTTACACGTATTCAACTGGGTACACCAAGAGCATCAATAGCATATCAAAGCGCTCGTGCAAGGACGGGGCCTCGGCGAAATTATGAACGCCGTTCGGGGAGGCCGTTAGGCATGCCATCGGCGCCCTCGGCGTGACTTTGTACCGATTGTTGTACGCAGTACCAACCAACCGGCTAAATGTAACAACAGAGCTACAAGGTACAGTATTCATTAATATTCAGGGAGATAAGATCTCTCCCGCGGTACGCCTGAGGTTTCGGGCCTCCTGGTATCTAGAAATCTATCCCAACCACTCCGAGCTCGCACGCCTTTAACTGAAGAAATTACTCCACCGTCAAATCTCACCCGCCTGGAAATCACCCAGAGCCACTCAAATCCTCAATATGGCTCAGACGTCACAGCTGAATCAGGCTTGGCGAGAGGGCATGGCGCTGTTGATCAACAAAGATGTACGACCTTGAGTGATATAAAACCCATCCTTTGATGTCTTAGGTACCTTCTCTTCGGTCGATAGATCAATGGTGATGCTCCATCGATACTAAATAAATACTCACCTCGCCAGCTCAATCACGCCTGCAATACTCTCTTCACCATCCCAACAGACTCTCTTTCAACATGGCTCGAACCATCTTAATCACAGGATGTTCTGACGAAGGACTTGGAGCTGCTCTCGCCACGGAATTCCATAAAAATGGCGATCGCGTGATTGCCACGGCACGCAACCCAGCTAAAATGAGTGTTCTCAAGTCCCAGGGCATCGAGACCGTGACCCTTGATGTGTTATCAGAAGAATCATTCAAGACCGCCGTGGAGGAAGTGTCACGACTGACCAACAACACGCTCGACATGCTGATCAACAACGCTGGCCTCGGATACTCGTCACCTCTACTGGAGGCCGACATGGCCAAGGCCGAGGCCATTTTCAAAGTCAATGTCTTTGCTCCTTTTCGCGCCGTCCAGGCGTTTATGCCTCTACTGCGCAATTCCACCAAGGGCGCGTTCGTGGTCAACAATACCTCGATCGCCAGTGTGACGCCAGTACCGTTCCAGGGAGCCTATGGAGGTTCCAAAGCCGCTATTGCCTCGATGACCGATAGTCTCCGTTTGGAATTGCAGCCGTTCAATATCCGAGTCATTGAGTTGAAGACCGGCAGTGTGACCTCCAAATTCTTCAACAATACCAATGGTTTTGTCGGCACGATGCCCAAATTGTCGCCCGAGTCTATCTACCAGCCTGCAGCTGAGTCCATTGAGCGCTTCATGTGCGGCAGTAATCTGAAGTCTATGCCTTCCGACGTTTGGGCCCGAAACGTCGTCAAAGATCTCAGTGTCTCAGATCCCCCTTCGCAGATTTGGCGTGGCGCGGAAACTACAAAGGTCTGGATGTCCACTTGGTTGCCCCATGGCTCCATGGACGGCTTTTTGAAACAAATGACCGGTCTATCTGATCTAGAGAAGAAGCTGAAGGACGACGGCGCAAAAAAGACGAAATAGGCAAGGATTCATTCCATCAGTCAGTGTTAGCGGTGTGATGTGAGATAGATGGGTAATGATTAGACACGTTTTCAGCTCTCCATTGACAACACTCAAAGTCATGTTCTTCAGCAACCCCGTGAAGTTCTTGTGATGCTACGATTTTTTCATTCATTTATTCATTAGACAATGCTAAGGTAACCTGACACAGCAAACGCTATCCAGATTTCTAATGCCAAAAACCACGCTGAAGCAATGCTCTGAATCATGTCCTCCAACCAGACTAACAGGCTAGCGAGCGTCTTCTTCCCAATGCCTTAGCACACCTCGCTCCAAAGCTCTTCCAATCTGTCCGTCGAAGTCGCAGTCCAGCATAGGCTAGCAGCCGATATCCAATCGTCACCCCCAACAGTGCAATCGCATATTCGGTGGTGTTGATATTGAGCTGATACAGATCCAAAACCTGTTCCCCTGTCTCAATCGGACAATGACCATCACCCAGTCTCTGATCCGGCTCGCACGTGAAATCGATGTCGCGAAGGCTGTAGCTCAACAGGCTACCAACCTGCCACTTAATTGGGCTGATGTAGTTGACTCCAGCCAGAAATTTGTCCACATTGATGCTCAACACTCCGCCCAGATGCACAGAGATTGAAAGCACAACGCTCATGACACTCACCGCCAGTCCTGTGTGAGAGAACATGGTCAAAAACAAGATTCCAAAGCTCTCCCCGCATGAAATAACGCAGAAGGATGCAGAGACCATGAGGAAATACATGCTCGCCGTTCGGGGAAGGCCCACCGCGAACACAGTCAAAAGACTGAAACCGAATGAAGCGACAAGCTCCATAGGGACTTCGATGGCCAAGTAGTAGAAGAAGAAGGCTTCCAGCGGGTAGGTTCGGTCACGATCTTCATGGTAGAAGAGGTCGCGCTCATAGGGCCACATCGCAATGCTGTTGAGCATACCGACGAAAAACATGCTTGACATGGCTTGGATGTAGCCAACTCTTGTTTGCACCGCGTAGTAGTCGTTCTGTAGGGGAGTGAAGAAAGCTGTGAGCACGATTCCAAGCCCAACAAGCTGACTAATACGGCCCGTGAGCAAATTTGGCTGTCGTCGAAGGTTGATCATCCCACGCTGTGTCAGTATTGGAAAAGATCGAGCAAACGGCAATGGCGATCGACTATAAACTCCCAAAGCAGCGGGAAGCTCAAGGTGCTTCTCCCTTGCGATATTTGGCGTGGGTGACTCATTGTGGTCAGGCGTTATAACCTCATCAACCAGATCTCTGCCGGTCGGTGGGGCCACCTTTTGTTCCTTCAGCGCTTGTGGCTTGCCATTTGCCAACAAGTCGAGAGCGAAGTCTGCCGGGTTGGCTGATTCCATGCAAACAAAGCCGCTGTTGTCAAAGTAGGGCAGCATGCCAGACACAGGTCCGGTATAAACCACTTCTCCACCTTTGGCCAATAAGAGTATGCCGCCAAACTGTTTGAACATGTCCGAGCGCGGCTGATGGATGGAGAAGATGATAGTTCGGCCTTCATCTGCAAGGCTCTTGAGCACCTCAATTATGGAGAAGGCGGTAAATGCATCAAGGCCCGAGGTTGGCTCGTCCAAGAGAAGGACTCTGGGGTCCGTCAAAATCTGTATTGCGATGGACACACGTCTCTTTTCGCCGCCACTAATCCCTTTGACCAACTCACTACCGATGAGTGTGTCAGCACAATCCTTGAGTCCCAGCTTCAAAAGTACGGCCTCAGCTCGTTGTATCTTCTGCTCGTGGTGTAAAAATGTGGGGAGCCGCAGACGAGCAGCAAAGTGCAGAGTTTCTCGGACGGTGAGTGATGATAACAAGCCTCCATCATCCTGGGGGACATAGGAGCAGATTGAGGTTACGACTTCATCCGTGATTGTTGCCCCATTAAGTCGCATATGCCCCGAAGGCACATATTTCACGAGTGACGAGTTGTTCAGCCTCCTGGCCATGGCGTTGAGACAGGACGATTTGCCTGATCCCGAAGGACCCATGATCACATTCAAAACTCCAGGTCCAAATGATGTGCTGACAGGATGAAGTATTCGCTTGCTTGTATTCTTGCCAAAGAGTCGTTTCAATTGCACATCTAGGCCAAAGTTATCAAGTGTAACAGTGATGGTGTGCTCGTCAGGGGACCGTTGGCCGACTAGAACCGCCTCAGCGTCTGGCGCTTCGCTTGTATGCACCTTAGCCATTTCTACCTCCGTAGTTTGGAGTTGAAGGACAATGCCCGAGAGAATGAAGAAGAATATCACGAAGGCGACGAGTACCACGATTGGACGCCATAGCCAGTTGCTCGGCAGATGCAAAGACTCCAGAATGAACGAACCCGTATATTCCAGGCAAAGTGGATTATCTGCACCACCTGGAATGGGACAGCCGTAGAAGTGACCGGCAAACTCGTTGGTGCATAATGCCCCAAAAGCATAGAACTGCCTGAGATCAGAGCTATAATTCAAGGTAGCGGGAAAAGACTTACCGTGTAAGCGGTCCATTTGATCCAGCGGAGCCAAACGGATATGGAACGTGTATTGATGAAGAACCCGCAAGCCATAGTTTGCAGCGTAAAGGAGAGGTTTGCTATCAGGGACGCAATCATGAACTGACGACTCATAGCTACGCACACGGTCGCAAGGTTGACTGCCGTTAGATGCAACAATAGCTGGATGGCGAAGAAGATAAAGAATTGGTCAGCGTCTGCCCGAAATCCGGCCATGAAGTAGAAGATGACTGAATAAAAGAAGGGTACGGGCAAATCTTCCAGAACGAAACGCGAGGCTCTCCTGCTGACGATGAAACTGATTGGTATGACAACGCCTTCAATACGTTCGCGATCATAGATTTGGATGTCAATGGTCAATCGATAAGTCTCAAAGAGAAGAATCAGATAGCCCTGCAAAGCGCATGCAGAATACATAGCGCCTTGTCGACTGCGAATTCCTGATAGATCGGTACCGAGCTGATAGAAGATCCAGCCGCTCATGATGCCCATACTCAAAGACTCGATCATGCTGGCAAGAAGGCCAAGCCGATCGCGGCATGTAACGACCAAGTTTCTTTTTGTGTGAACCATGATTTGATGTCCATAATAGTTTAAACCGGTGCCGGCGGACACGGTCAGTGGTTTGCCGTCCAAGTCTTCCTGGGGCGATTGACTGATGAACTTTGATGATGTGGTTCTCCAGGCATCTTGAAGTCTCTGTACACGCACGAGAGAAGTAGTCTCGCGTTCTCGTGACCGAAGATCGACGGCGGCCAAATCAATGACAAAGTCGAAAGGATTAAAGAACGGAGGCATCTTGTATCCGACGTCTTCGAAGTAGGCTAAACAATCTTTCACAGGACCCGAATAAACGGGCGACCCTTGGGAGAGGAGAACGAGGTTATCGACAAGGGTCCAGATCTCGGAGCGTGGTTGGTGTACTTTGAGAAATATGTCAGCTGAATCCAGTGGGCTGTTAGGGGGACCTACTCGTCATCACGACTGTTTTGCCTCGCATGGCCAAAGCCTTGAGAGTTCTAACTACCTGGATCGCAGAAGCTGCGTCCAGGCCAGTAGTGGGTTCATCGAGTATCAGTACAGGCTGGTCAGCAAGTAACTGTACTCCGATACTGGTTCGTCGCTTTTCTCCCCCACTGCATCCTTTATGAGCATCGTCCCCGATTCGTGTATCAGCACAGGATATCAGGCCCAGGTCCTCAATGACACTCTCGACCATGGCTTGTCGTTCGGATCTGGTTCTTGTTGATGAGAGCCTAAGGTCTGCAGCATATTGCAGGGTTTCACGGACGGTTAATGTGGGAAGCAAGACGTCCTGCTGGAGGACGTAGGCCATTCCCATCTGTTCGCCTGTCGCGCCATGCTCTGGCTCGTACGCTACAGTTCCCGACTTTTGGAAAGCCTTATCCTTGACCCGATGTGATACAATATTGAGTAGAGTTGTCTTTCCACTGCCACTGGCTCCAATAATCGCGGTCAAGCTGCCGCTCGGAAAATCTGCCGAGACATCTCTAAGAATGCTCTTGATCATGGGCTTCTTTCCGCCTAAGTATCGAGCCTTGAAAGCCTCGAGGTTCGAGAAGGGCGATACATGCTGGGGATCAAGGGTCACCGAGACATTTCGCACTTTAACGTTGACATGTCGAAGGTCCAGGTTCTCTGGGCTACCACGTGGGTCAATCGAAGAGGAGTCGATGTCCTTCTCATTCTTAGTGTCTTTAACTTCCTCGGCCTGGTCCAAGTCCTGAATGACATGATCTGAAATCTCTGTGGGTGCCATTGTTCAAATGTCTATCCATCCGTGGGCGAGGATGACTATCATGGGGTGGACTCGACCAAGTCGGGAGTGAATTGGCTTTTGTTCATTGCTAGCCGGTAGTTGAGACCCGCGATCGAATCTTGGACTGTTGTCTGCTTGGAATGATGGATAATGGATATCTTTCTGAAGCCATCGAGAGGTACTCGTACAGCAGAGAGAAGCTTGACGAGATGGAATGGCACATGGGTCAGGTACTTAAGCGGCCGGGGGCATGGCATCCAGAATCCTCGTATACTAAACCAAATATGGCGCCAGCTGTAAGCGACGTTACGGCTTCTCCAAGCGAGGAGACGCCAACGCGCCCAAGCCTTCGGTGCGGAGGATGTGACATCTGGGCTGAGGTAGTGTGTACCGGAGAGAAATAACCGAGGAGGCGGCGGTCACAATTAAGAACCCAGAACCCACCTGTTATCATCATTAGCTAAGGTCCTCTAGCCTAGACGGCTTGGACATGGGGAGTGCATCATTTTCGAAGACTGTTGTGCAGCGGATCGGAGCGAAGTGGGTTGGAAAGGGAGGGGTTGAGAGGTGTGAGAGGATCTGTTGTTGCGGTGGGGATTGGGCAAATTTTGTCCAAAGTTGCACCTTCCGTGCAGTGGTGACGAGATTGCCGGCAACCCCTCCTTCCGCATCTACCTTGGTAACAAGTAAATTGTCCTGGAAGGCACGTGTGGAAACTTCATGCTCTGAAGGAAGCTCCGCCCATGAACGCGTCCAGCCGTGTCAATCTCTTTGATCTCCAAACTTTTATCTCATACAGGGTCGTAGGTAGGCAGACACGTAAATAAGTCGTTGATGAGCTTGGTACTCACGCTGTAGCCACTTGTCTTGCCCATCGTCTCAGACTAGGATTTTCATTTCCTTCCGTGCTGATGTTACTTAGACATTTTTTTGTCCTTGATCAAACCCCCCGATCCCGTTGACTCGATATGATGGGCAGGTAGATCGTGGCATCATCGTGGCATCATCGTGGGATCATTATTTGACCTTGAGGTGATGCTCTCTTCAGTTCCAGCTCGAATGCGGTGCCGTAGCGTCTCTGGTCACGTCACGTGTCCCACACCTAACCATTAGGCGAGAATGACGGCATGGTGCTCCTGGTTTCTTACCAAAGCATGCCCTCAAGGAATTGTCAGATCCTGGGCCGACCTCACCCAAGGACCTGCCAGGTATCCTGCACAATCAGAGTTGGGAAGCAAACGTCACTTTGGATTAGTTTTAATGTCAAAGTACCCAGTTGCCCTGGGCTGGTTTAGGCCTCTACGAACGGCCCGAGGGCGAAAATCTCTCTACATCGGATTTTACGGACTTGAGACAGGCCCTGAACCGGCCTCTTAAAGTTTGCGCTGGGCAGCCTCCCCCCAGGTGTGGACACAAGAGGCGAAGTCGATGAATTGATCTGGTCAATAATGATCATCTTGAACTGGGTCTCGTGCCGAATTCCGGAATGGCTGATCTTCAATTGGTTTCCCCCCGGACTTCCTCACCAACCATAGCGAAGTCAATGCTACACTTTTAGGGGCGATTTATGTACCATGGATAACGCGGCAACTCGATGGCTTTGCTGCTGAAAAGACGCGACAACTCCGGTGACAATCATTCAAATACAAATATCTATGGCTGCCGCCAACTGGTCAGACTCTCTTGAGCCTCGGTCTAGAAGGCCATCTCTGACTCCAATTTCATTCGCACAGCTTGCCAGACTGTGCGAGGATGTCGTCGGAATTAACGAAAGCCCTCACCGCACCCGAAGCGAGAACGTGGAGGAACCCACTGAGCCGTTCTAGGTCCACTCCCCAGTCTAGGCCCCTGACACAATATCCTCCACGGTTCATCGACGATTTTGGTTCACACTCCTACAACACTGCAACTGAGCTCGAAAGTGTCCGTCGTGCCTCAACCGGTCATGATAAGCCTACGTCCGCTCACTTCTCAGACGAGTTTTCTCGAGATCTCGAATCCAATGCGATTGAGCCTGAAAAGGACGTTTTCGTTGGGCCAGTAAAGAATCCCAATATTGTGAGTTCTTGATTAGGCCAATACCGGGACCGATATCTCATGCGATTCTAGGTCACATGGGATTCGGACGATGATGGCGAAAATCCCAAAAATTGGTCGTTTCGGAAGAAGTGGGCTGCAACCTTGATCGTATCTGCATTCACCTTCATCTCCCCCGTGTCCTCGTCAATGATCGCTCCAGCTTTAGACAAGATTGGCGAAGAATTCCACATCACATCAGACCTTGAAAAGTCACTCACTCTATCAGCTTTTGTTCTCGCATATGCCATAGGTCCGTTGATACTAGGGCCGCTCTCGGAGATCTACGGCCGCGTCATTGTTATCCAATCAGCGAATGCTTTTTTTCTTGCTTTCAATATTGGTTGTGGGTTTGCCCAGTCCAAATCCCAGCTGATAGCATTTCGTTTCCTCAGTGGCCTGGGTGGAAGCGCACCCCTTGCCCTGGGAGGCGGTGTGCTCAGCGATACATGGCGGGCCGAGGAACGAGGGAAGTCAATGAGCATATATTCTCTTGCTCCTCTGCTAGGACCTGCAGGTGGGTAGAAACGGGATCGCAAATCATGGAATCCATCTAACCTGTTACAGTGGGACCGATCGCCGGTGGCTTCATTGCAATGAATGTGAGTGTGTTTTTTCAACATATGATCAATCATCTGACGATGACGAATGACAGACAACATGGAGATGGTGTTTCTGGGCAACTTCGATAGTCGATACCGGAATTCAATGCCTTGGGTACTTCTACTTACGCGAGACCTATGCGCCTAAAATTTTGAGCATGAAGGCGAAAAGACTTCGCAAAGAGACGGGCAATCCAGATCTCCGTACCGAATGGGAAATTCCTGGTCGGACTTTGACCACCATTCTTGCGACCAACTTGATCCGTCCATTCCGTCTGCTGGGCACGCAGATCATAATCCAGGTCATCGCCATATATATGTGAGTGATCCCGATTCGGAGTTAGCTTCCCACTGACATGTTGCAGGGCGTACCTGTACGGATTGATGTATCTTGTACTAGCCACCTTTCCAAGGGTTTGGGCAGAAATCTACGACCAATCCACGGGGATGGGCGGCTTGAATTATCTGTCATTGGGGATTGGATTTTTCATGGGCAGTCAAATTGCCGCTCCCTTGAACGATCGTATATACATTGCTCTTAAGAAGCGTAATGGTGGCGTGGGCCGACCAGAGTTCCGGTGCCCATTGATGGTACCTGGAGCGCTTCTTGTCCCTATTGGACTGTTCATTTATGGCTGGACTGCCAGACCAGGCGTACATTGGATATTCCCCAACATTGGGGCAGCCCTTCTATCAGCGGGAACGATTATGGGCTTTCAATGTGCTCAGACTTACATTGTTGATGCTTACCAAAGATTTGCGGCCTCGGCCATTGCGGCGGCGGTTGTTCTGCGGTCTCTTGCAGGCTTTGGATTGTGAGTCTTCCACCAAATTTATGCACAGCTAAAGCTAATGGAAATGAAAGCCCGCTCTTCGCCCCATATCTGTATGCGGCTTTGAATTTGGACTGGGGGAACTCACTGCTTGGCTTTGTAAGTCCTCAATTACCACAAATTCATCTCGAGATCGCTGTTTGAACGCACGCCGTGTATGGAGAGACAGATATGGACCTTTGTCTGGTTTCGCCACCAATGCTGCACCTTCAATCGATTTGTCGATCATAACTGACTTGCCGGTCTCTAGATTGCAATTGGGCTAGGCCTGCCAGCGCCATTCCTTCTGTACCGCTTTGGTGAGAGACTCAGAGCATCATCGCCCTATGCTGCAGGTGCATAATCCACCTAATATCTTCCGTCATAGCCGGCCTATTTCCAAAGGTATAGGATAGAATCACCTTACGGCGTACCCTAGAAATCTAATAGTTGGACAAACAAATCGCAAAAGTATAGTGCATTCGGCCGAAATAGTTCTACTTGTTTCTTTCTGAGGCAAGTTTGATTACCGTGTCCATCATGCGCTGATTTCGAGGACGGCTTTGCCAACATTCTCTCCCTTGAACAGGCTGACTAGTCCTTCTGCCGCATTGTCAATGCCCTTTATCACGCTCATGACCGGTTTCAGGGACCCGTCCTTGATCCAATCCTGGGCGTTCTTCTGATGTTCCTCGCCGTACTTGATCCAGAAGTCCTCGTCGAAAACCGTGAAACCACGCCAGGTGATCCGCTTGGATACGATCACTCCGGTATTCCTGATGCCGTACTGCTTGTCATAGGGGATGCTGTATTGGGACGCGGCACCGCAAGCAACTGGACCATCGCAGGTCAGCTTTGTCATTTGATCTCCTCATCCTCTGGATACTCACCGATTCGTCCCCAGTCCTTCAAGACTTCGATCGCTGCTTCGAGCTGCTCACCACCAACATTGTCATAATAGACCGCAAGGCTGTTAATAACGGTAAGAAACGGATGAAAGGTTGCTTGACATACTATCAATCCCTTGAGGGGCCAGGCGCTTCAGTTCCTCCACGATCTTGACCTTTCGGTAGTTGAATCCCCTCTGAAAGCCGAACTTATTCTTGATGATGTCGAGCTTCTCGTCGCTCCCAACACTTCCTATCACGGTGAGTCCTTCTCGTAATGCCAGTTGTCCGACAATTTGTCCGACAGCACCACTGGCCGCTGATATGAAAATCGTCTCCCCCTTCTGCGGCTTGGCGATCTCGTAAAAAGCAGAATATGCTGTGATGCCGGGCAAACCCAATGGGCCTAAAAAGAGATGGAGGTCAAAGTTGTACGGATTATGAAGCAATTTGAATTGCTTCGCTTCCTCTTCTTGAACACTTGCGTACTCGGCAATAGGTGCCATACCCGTCAATTTATCGCCGGCTTTGAATTCTGATGACTTGTCGGCCTTTAATACTTCGAGTATGGCTCCATTGACGATAGCAGAATTGATTTCGAACGGCGTAAACTCCCGAGCCTCATCGACTGCCACCAACTTATGTCTGAGGTACGGATCAAAGGACGAGTAGAGTATGCGAGCCACAAATCCACCTGGGGGCACCTCGTCCAAGTCTAGTGGCCGGTCAACCAAGACGATGTTCTCTCCTGCTACTGGCTGGCCTACAGCCGCTTTGGCGAAGATGAGTGTCTTGTTGGTTACCATGTTGACAGTGTTCTTGAAAACTGAAAATGCTATCTTGGAAAGCAACTTCGGGCTGGGTGCCTCTCTCGACCAAGAATTAAAGAAGAGTGTCTTATACGAAGTAGATGGCTCCAGTCGAACAGCCTTCTGGTCGTCCTTCTTCGGGATCTATTCCCTACCTTGAGCGATACGCTGTCCCAGAGAAACAAGACGAATTCCCCCTTGGTGGAGAAGGGTGATGATCCACTCGCAGTTTTGGATATGACAACCAGAATCACTGGTATCGACAATAAGCATACCGGACCTGGAAACTCCTCGGACCTTGGTTCCCATTGAGTGTTTGGGGAGGCCTGCCGGGATCCGTACCAAGCCGGACCCACGCCTTTAACTTCGAACGGTAGGGTGGAGATGAAGTCCCCTATCATATAATGGGGAATCAAAATCTATGTCTTCATTGCTTGCTAAGTCACATACGATCGTGTTTGCCTGGTCCTCATTGCTCGTTAATCACAAAAATCAAGATTTATATAGCAAGATTTAGTTGTCTTAGACCTAGCGATGTTCATTAGGCCCCTAGAGGCCTCGGCCTGGGATTTTCAACCCATGAGAAAACGCGATGCAGCATCCAACAAAACATCCAGACCCCCGGCTTCCTCGGCCAGCTTGAAGAATGCAGTCCTTCTTGAAGTGGCTTCCTCATCTCCCATGTGACTCACTCGAGAGCTGATACCCTGGCTACTGGGTCCGTATACAGTCACTTGGTGGTCAAGTTTGAAGTTTGGCACTGGTTCTTGACCTGCCGTGAAGTCAATAACATGCTCCGCAAACTTTCGGGCTACTGCTTCTTGAGATGGTGTGAGGGTGTGGTTGTAGTTTTGCCATAGATATGCAATGTCCAGCATATGGTTGGCACGGCCATGATAAAGGCCTTCCCATGGGTTGCCTTCGTTAAAATGGCAAAGGTAAGACGTTTCCCAAGTTTGCGCCATTGCCACCGACGGTGCATAGAACATGATGTCGGTTATAAACGATATTATCGAAGCGAGAGCATCCTGGTCGGAACTGTCTTCTCGGATACCATAGAAATCGAGTATCTTCTGGCTCTTCGCCGTAGCTTGCAACTTCGGATTCGATCTGATAAATCCCTGAAATGCCTCACGGATGCCTCTTTCGCGAGCGTTGAGGTTGACCAGTGCCATGATAGTGCCCTGTTTAGCCTTGTTAAGTAGAGATCTCAATCTCTCATGGACCAAATTGTACTCACATCAAATGCACAATCAACAGACATCAGCCGGTGGCACCAGCCCTTACCAGGAAGTGGCAACCCGCGCTCATCTCCAATGTGGGAGAAGCTCGCCACACCCGGAATCATGTCATTGTCGACGACAGGGCCTAATAACATGGTTGGGGCGACCTTCTGGAAAAATTCTGATGGATCAAGCTCCAAAAGCGACTTGATCCGATCTGATGCAGACAGGTGGCTAAGTCCAAGGTCTTTGAGAACCGCATCATAGACATTTTCGGCCACGTCGAAGTCTCCAGCTCTCATCATGAGAAAGGTTCCTGCAAGAAGGATGCACTGGTGGAAAAGAGGCTCGTGCGATTGAAGATGGTAGGTTAAGGAGGCTGCTCTTGAATTAGTCAGGTTCGGCATCAGTGACCGCCTTCACTTACCAGCCCCAACGCTTTGCCCTATGGCAGTAATTGCTTGTGGGTTCCCGCCAAATCCAGAAATATACTGCTTTATCCATCGGAAAGCTATCTTTTGGTCTCGCAGCCCATTGTTAGTCCCAAACCCGCCCAAATCACGGAGCTCCTTGGAGGTCAGAAAGCCTGGAACACCCAGGCGATAGCTAGGTTTGTCAGAAGTCTGGACGTTCCATGCATCCGAGACGATTGCTTACTTGATGTTGATCGCAATGAGAGGTTGCCCCATCTCGAGAGCGAGGTCTACGATGTGAGCTTGATCGTAGTGTGGATAGGAACTTGATCCGAAAGCAAAGCCACCTCCATGTACGTAGACGAGGACTGGCAGGCGGGCGTCTGCCCCTGGTAGCTCACCATCGAGAATGGGGACACTGACGTTCAAATTCAATCCTTCAAGATCTGACGGCGGCGGGATTCTCGGCTTGTCCAGGGTTTGCTGTATGAACGCCATTTCCATGTCACAGGATTCAGGGGGCATGACCACAGGCGGGCTGCATCGCCAATCAGTCACTACTGCTATAAGTGGGCGTGCAAGGACATTCTTTCTAGGTGGATTTGCGTGGAGGCACATACCCATAGCTTGTCGCGTCGATCACATTCTTGTTGTTCGCTTGGTTGACCTCTGACACGGCAAACCGATGCTTCAAGACTCCGTATTTGAGCCCAAGAAGTTGTACGGTCCTGCCCTTTCGCCGTCCAGCCACAGCTCCAAGTTGGGGGTGCTGCAATTGAGTCACAGCGTCCGACATCTTGATCTATACTGGTGCCTCTGGGCTGAGCGAACGTGGCTGGGCCATTGAGATGTATATTCCCTCATCAGTCGTGGTCTTCGTTGGGCGAATGTGGACGTTGTACGGCCTGACCTGGTACAAAGTCGGAGACCGGCCCCGGAGCCCCCGATAGATAGCGCCCTCGGCCCCTCGAGAGCCTAAGTGAGAAGGCTCGCATCCTGAGAGTATCCACCAAGCCAGGCTATTTGATGCTTCCCGTAACGACGACAAAGGGCATGTAGATCTGATGTATGAATTTGAACAAGACTGAGCAAAAGATATCTACTTACAATGCAACCCGTTCCGCCAGCCATCAGGATTGGACTGTAAGTTCTCGGCTGTCATTCCATCGGTCGAATCTCTCGTTACGGAGCAAGTAACTTGCCTCAGACGCCATGGCCTCGATAGAAGACCCTGAAAGTTGGATGGTGTATGGACAAATAGATCCAGAACTGGCCGAGGTACGTCCACCATGGGGATCGTTGCAGGGACAGCACAAAATTTACAACCCCGGTGCAGATACTTCAGCAAGGTACTAAACCTCGATTCGACAAAGATAACAGCGTAGCAGGGATTCCAGCTGTCCGCAAAGCATGGTCGCCACTCTACGTACAGTTTGCGGCGGAGGCACTGCGTCAAGCTGGAACAGAGGTTCTCGGTGAAGAGTGCTTTGTTCCGTGCCGAGATGGCCATCTCGCTCGATGCTTGGTCTACAAACCAGCCGTGCCTCCTCCACAGGGAAGTCCGCTAGTGGTGCTCTACCATGGAGGAGGGTTCTGTTTTGGAAGCCCCGAGATGGATGCCATCAACTGTATCAAAGCGGTGCAGCGCTATGGCGCGGTGGCACTCAGCGTCGAATATCGATTAGCGCCTGAGAGTCCTTTCCCAGCAGCCGTGAACGACAGTTGGGATGTTTTAAATTGGGTGAGTGATACAGAACAATCCTCCTGTTTGCAATACCACGTGCAGTGACGGGCTCTGACAGACAGCTCTAAGGTTGCTGCAAACGCCTCTCAACTAGGCGCCAATCCATCCCTGGGTCTCATCATCGGGGGCACTTCCGCCGGAGGCAATATCTCTGCAATACTCTCTCACCTTGCAAGAGATACAGCGATGACACCGCCGATCACAGGAGTCTGGCTCAATATTCCTGCTCTTCTCGACCACGATGCCGTCCCGGAGGCATACCAAGACCTATACCTCAGCCGCGAACAAAACAAGGATGCACCGATACTTCCCAAGGCCGCGATGGATGTGTACGACGAAGCATACAAGCCGGATCATTCATCGGAATATTGGAACCCGTTCAATTGGAGCAGCGGTCATGAGAAGCTCCCGCCTCATTATTTCCAGATCTGTGGCATGGACATCTTGCGGGACGAGGGATTGCTCTACGAACGTGTCCTGAGGAAGGACTGGGGAGTTAAAACCAAGGTGGACATTTATCCAGGTCTCCCTCATGTATTCTGGGCCAATTTCCCAACCCACTCGAAGAGTAAAGATTACGCCGTTGACACAAACAAAGGCCTAGGGTGGCTGCTGAACAGAACAGATTGATATCAACGTAGCTTGATGAAGCTGAAGAAGGACTCTGGTCTTGTCTGCTACGTAGAAATGACACAACCCTGTTGGTCCTATCCTATCTTCTAGTCTTGAGCGTATCATCTGTGGTCCGGTGAGCCAGTATGGGCATTCACCCTGGGTCGATCGAACAAAATTGACACAATGTAATGACATATCTTCCGAAGAACCCGAATTGTCCTCATATATATTACCCTGAACCCTGTCTACTCCGAACTACGTAGGGGTTTTTTCAACTTAAGTATCGTCCAATTCATCTGGAAAGAGCCCTTTCCATTATGGAGCATATCTCAGGCGTAAAAGGGTGTTTCTCATCGATAGTGGGCTCTATACACATCTGCTACATGGCTCTTCATGTCGTACCTGCTCAGAAGGTCAGCATCTAATATATATCAAGAGAAAGAGAACCCACGTGTTCATCTCATCAATTGTGAGTTTCTCATGCTCATTGGCAACGCTATACTTCTGGTTGCTTGTGTTGCTCGAAAAGCCGATTCGTTCAGTGATATTCAGCCGTGCTCTTGCGCTCGCCGACTGCACTTTGGTCGCTCGACGTTTGCGGACCTCTTCGAAAATTTTGAAGGCTTCGGGCACGTCGCCGCGGAAGTGCTCCTTGGAGAAAACGAGGCCAAGGGCTGCTGCATCCTCGATGGCCTGGCATGCTCCCTGGCTTTGGTCGGGCATCATGGGATGGGCGGCGTCACCCATTAGCGAAGACACCCCTTTGGCCCAGAAGGAATATTCCTGATGGATCCAAAGCCTCCAAGGCCGGATGTCGGTGGATATCTTCAAATGAGCGATGACATTGGGGTCAAGCTCGGGGTAGGGCTCGAGCAGCTCCTCCAACGACGCCATATAGTTCCACCCTTCGTCTCCCACCTTTCCTTTCTCACGTGGGAAGAAGCAATAGAAGGATAGAATTTTGCCTTCATGACATGGCGAGAAGACGATCTTGTCGTCCCCATAGCCGCCCCAATACTCGATCGCATCATTACTCGCATAGTCCGGCAAGCCGAGTGCCTGCGCCTGTGCTCTGTCCACATTGGCGTGGAGACAAGTAGATGTGCAAGGCTTTTTGTCTGGAACGATACCCATTCTTGCACGAACGGTGGACTAGAGGTCGTTTTCTGTCAGCGAATGGACTTGGATCTCTCTGAGAGGGGGTGGTCGGCCGCCCTAAGGGTTACGTACCCCGACTCCATCGGCCGCGACAACAGCATCGTGCTGGACCTCTGTGCCATTCTCGAATTTGATACGTCCGGTTTCAAAGTCGATGTCCGTCAACTTGTGGTCCAGCTTTAACTCTGGCCTGATGCCTTCGCCTTCTCCCAGAGCCGCCTCCATGAGCATCTTGTGCATATCTTGTCGGTGGAACATATAATAAACCTAACGTCCACTGCGATGAGTCGCTGAGCACGCGTGAAAGCCTGCAATATGAGAACTTACGTAGCCCCATTTCTCCTTGTAATCACCCAAATCGTAGACGTTCTGCTCGGCGCCGGTGTCCCAGTCGCGAGAGATCAGATTCCGCAAAATGACAGGTTTACCGATGGAGACATCGACGTTCCACTCCTCGAGCCATCGCGTTCCATTCGCTGCGCAGCTGATGGAAGCCCCAACCTCACCAGCAAAGTGCGCCCGCTCGTAGACCACGACCTTGTGGCCAGCTCGACGAAGTGACAAAGCTGCGGCAAAACCCCCAAGGCCGCCTCCGATCACCCCTATGTCTAGCTGTTTCCACGTAGCTTCGCCCGCAGAGCCCATTGTGGCGCGAAAGAGATGATGGATTTAACGTTGGAAGGTCTAGATTCTGAAGCGGCAACGAAAGATGTATGCCAATGGTGTCACTCTTTGCAGCCGTCGGCGAAAGGAGCCTTCTATTCTTATGCTGTTTCCACCAGCGGCCTATAAGGTCACCCACCAGGTTGTGATGTTCACAAGTCCCACTGGAGTACGAGCCTGACACTACTGAAGTTTTGGCTGGTTGTACGCTCCAGATGTACGATGATCTAGAACGATCTTTGTCGTGAAAGAACCAGAGGGCCAGATCCGGTCGACGTCCGACCGGAAGCCAGTGTCCACGGAATCCGGAACTCCACAATCTAAGTACGATGCATGAAATTGTCCCTCTCCCAACACTCGGGGAGTAAGCAAATACCTTCTTTTCAAACATTCTGACAGGTTGGAAACCAGCTGTTCCGTACGATGGAATGAATCACAAGTCGTTACTGGTGCCACGGGCTAAATGAATGGGGCATATCTGGCCGGGCTACTGCATGACATATTATCTCTTCTTACGCCTCGCGACTTCTTCGTTGTCAACAGCTGATCAACTTGTTAATGTTCCATACATCCTACAAGTCCAGAGATAATCACTGTAAAATGTCCATCCCTCGTGTCAAGCAGCCACCAACAGATGGTTCAAGCTATATTCTGCCCCAACTGGAGGGCGAAATATTTACTATTCCTGGGTTCAAGAGCGTCTTTCGTATGTTCACCTCGCAAGAGCAGACCAACAATGGCATGGCGGTGTTCGCCTGGGACGGTGTGAAGAATGACACGGCGCCATTTCATCATCATAAATATGCCCATGACATCTTTCTTGTGGCAGAGGGCACCATGTTATGTTGGAACGATGATCAATGCCGACTTCTTGGACCGGGAGATTTCGCCTCAGTCCCCCCTGTAAGTGGCGTCCCATTGATCATTGCGTACAGCTACAGCGAGCTCACGGACTCTCGTTGTTAGGGAACCCTCCACAAACCATATCCGCAAGGACCCGTGACAAAGGCCATCGACCTTATCACGCCGGGTGACTGGGTGAACTTTTTCCGCCATGTGTCGGACAAGTTTGAAGGGTTGATATTTCCCGAATGGGACGATAGAAAGCAAGGGATGTTTCCAAACCTGGTCGGCAACTGGGAGGAGGAATTTGACGTCTACGCGCATCCTGACCATGTTGGCTGCGAGGTGTCGGAGTGGTCGGAGAAGGACGAGATCCTGCCAGATGGCGAGGTGCCCTACTACTTGAAGGCGAACAAGGGTCCTCGTTGGCTGCTGGGTGGCGTGCTGTCACGCCCATTCATGACCACAAAGCAGAGCGGTGGCAGGTCGGCGATCAGCACTATCGAGTCTTCCAATGCCTACAGTTCTAGTGTCTTTCAGCGGAAGCTAACCTTCGCCGCACACCATTGCCTGGTCATGTTCGATGGAGAACTCAAAGTATATATTGGTGACGGGCCAGCCAGCAGTGTTCGCCCAGGAGAAGTCTGCTTTTTGCCGGCCAAGGTTGCTTTCAGACTGGAGTTCGCGTCGAAGTATGTTCGATTCTGGAGCTTTGCAAGTGGTGATGGGATCGAAGCCCTGATTGGGGAGGCCGGGGAGAGGTATCCCGGACAAGCACTCCCGGACCAGGAGAAGCCCTGGGATGAGCAGAAGCTTAAGGAGGCATGTCAGAAACTCGATATCTCCATTTTGTAGTTCCAGTTTTAATGTGATCTACTTCACTCCATCTTTGGCCTATTCAAGGCAAATCTAGAGCCACTTGAGAGCCGGAGGGCCTCACTTTGCAGCAATACGGAACACTGTTGACTGAGTTTTGCTCTCTGAGATGTCGTGCTAAGCGGGCTTATGTCATTTCTTGGTGGTTTATGTGTGCAATTTTTCGTCTAGTACAACATCTCTTCGGTTCCGATGCCGATGACCCACGATGAGTTCTTTCCATATTAAATATCTGTCTAATCACCCGCGCAACCCAGATGACGCCAGCTTATTGACCATCAAATAATCATGAGTCCTCCGTTGACATTGATGTATTCACCATTAATCCACTTGGATCGGGGTTCGGCTAGGAAAGCGACGGTCCATGCTATATCATCTTCGTCGGCCACGCTCCCTTCACAGGGCGTGCCCTCCGAAAAGCTTGCCTTAATCTCCTCTAGTTCAGGTGCGAAGCTTGTTCGGAAAGTCTTCGTGTTGACAGGACCTGGAGCAACCCCATTGACAGTGCACCCATAGATCGGAGGAAGCTCCTTGGCCCAGTTCTTGATCATGGAGTCGAGCGCGCCTTTGGTCGCTGAGTAGGCTATTAGATCTGGTTGTGGTAGACGCCCCGCCCCTGACCCTATACAGATTATCCTGGAGCCGCCCAAGACGCCAGAAGCCTCCGGGGGATTTGAGCGCTGGTATGGCGTAAGGTGCGGCAGCACCGCTTTGGTCAAGAAGAAAGTACCTCGAGCATTCAAATTCATGGCTCTGTCCCATTTTGCCCCATCGATTTCCCAAGTTGGACCGTGGGGGACCACCCCTGCATTGTTGACCAGAATGTGTATGTGGCCAAACTCCTTGACGGCAGCGTCAACCAGAAGCTCCGGGCCCTCTAAGGTTGACAGGTCTGCGCAGACAGCGATCCAGGATGTCTGCAAGGTCTGCCCAACAGCCTTACACTCTGCCTCAAGTTCTGGAAAGGGATAGTTCAACACGATGTTGGCCCCTCGCGCTGATAGTTCACGCGCGATGGCAGCTCCAATACCGGCAGAAGACCCTGATACGATGGCTGCTCGTCCGAGCAATGTTTTGGGGTACATGGTTATGCGTTCTGATGATGTCTTAAAGGTCGTCTTTGATTTGATGCGGGGGAGAGCATAGACGGCCGTTGTAGGACGCACTAGCAGGAGAAATCAAGTATCTAGCTCGCCTGATCTTGTCTTGAGGACTGGAAGTGCGCCGTTTACAGGTCTTTGGCCTGCCGTTGATACTGGCCTAACGTTGAGCGCCAGCTGCGTCGACATTAGGGCACAGATTCAAGCAGATCTGAAGTCAAAGATACGGGTGGTCGGAAGCCGGCTCCGGGCGACTGATACCCATAGTGGGCCCCCATTATTGGCCTCGCCCGGAATTTTCGGCTTCCATTGTCATCAACAGACCCGACCCCTGCTATCAACCGTCGTGAACGAAGTGAGCTGGGATGGCCGGAGCCTCAGCCACAGGTTTGGAGTTCTCTTGCAGAACCACCGCCTCATTCTCATCTGCAAAATCGATCTCGCTGCAAATAGTTTGCCGAGGCCTCTGATGTTTTAGGTTAGGCGCGAGCTAAACGAGGCATACAAGTCGGAACAGGGGACACTCATTTTACGAGTCTGAGATTGCGTATGTCAACGAGCAGTAGCCTTGGTCACTTGTTGAGGTCATTGCCAGCAGGTCATACCCTCTCAAGATGGCATTGTCCAGCCTTGTGGAGGATATAATGTTTATGGGAGGTTGCGCTCGTTTCGCGAAGCTAGCAACCATTAATTTGGGAAACACAGGTGCTGGTGCCACCATTGTCATCCTTTGTGGCTTGATAATTGTCTTCGGACGGCAGCTTCTGCGTCCAAAGCTGAAGGTTCCGATCCTGCTTGAGGACGAAGTGCGATCTTCCAAGAAGCGTCGCCTAGCGTATTGCTATACACCGAAAGAGTTGATGGAAAAGGGTTATGAACAGGTCAGTGTCCGTGGCAGGTCATTCGACATAAAACCACGCTTACAAGTCCTAGTACCGCGATGAAATCTATGGGTTGGATACAAATGATGGTACGGCGATGTACAGGGCGAGGCTGTGGGCAAGCGACGCTTTCTGACAACCTCTCGCAGGCATCAAGCTCGTGTTGCCCGTACGATTCCTCGACGAGCTGAAAAGCAATCCGCATATGAGTTTCGTCGTTTCCATTGATAATGTAAGAACGCTGGCGCGAAGTCTTGTTCATGCACTGATCCTGGCTGGAATCAGGACATGCAAAAAGACTACACATATTTTGGTGGCGCGCCAGACAATGTGGTCAACGCCATCAAGGCCAAGTTCAATCCCTCACTTGGTAAGCCTTTTCCAACATTTCCTTAAAGCTCGGCGCTCACCTTGAGTTAGGAGCACTTACGCCTGTCATGCATGAGATTGTAATTCGGAACAGAGCGCGGATCATGGGTGAATATCAAAGTACGTCCACGGCACGCTCAGCACCTGGTCAAGACCTAGCTAAGATTCTGTGGCAGATTGGACTCCCGTTAAAGTGCACGACAGGGTGTTAAAGCTTGCTGGGCACTCCAATGCTCGAGTCTTTCATGGAACAGCGGCGAGTCAGAGCGAAGAGTGGGTTGATGCTTCTACTGGATATGTTCTGTCGACCTTTGACTGCATCAAGGCCCTGAAAGCATGGCCGCCGTACTTGAGACCTCTTGTCCATCGGTTCATACCAGAGCGTGCCGCTATCAACGATCAATGGAGAAGGGCACGCCCCTTCGTCGAAGAATCACTCAAGCGCAAAAATGCTCTTGGAGGGAAGTTCCTTGAAGAGCCCGGCTCCATGCTAGACTATATGACCAGCGGCAAGAATGAAGCGATGGCTTACGATGTGGAGAAGCAGCTACTGTACCAGATGACATTGGTTGCGGTTGGTACCGTTACTACATTTGCCTCGATTGTCCAAGTGCTCTATGACCTGGCCGACAACCCAGAATACATTCCAATTCTCCGTGAAGAGGTTGAACAGGCCGATCGAGATGAAGATGGGCACTTTACCAAGGATGCAGTGTTCGAAATGAAAAAGCTTGACAGCTTTATCAAAGAAAGTCAGCGACTTCACGCGCCAGACTTGTGTATGTCTTCCAAAGGTCACCACCTCACAGGCAACTAATCTGCTCTCATAGCTACCTTTCAACGCGCGGCTACAGCAGACATCACCCTTTCCAACGGCCTCTTTATTCCGAAGGGAACAAAACTCGAGGCGCCCACTGCTGCCATTCAAGTCGATGAAGGCATCTATCCTGATGCTCAAAACTTTGATGGTCTTCGCTTCTATCGCCAGCGACGGAAACCCGGAGAGGAGAACAAGCACCTCTACGTTAGCGTTGGCCTCAATGATCTGTCGTTCGGTTTTGGCCGTCATGCCTGCCCTGGCAGGTACCTAGGACATATCAACATCAAATTGATAGTGGCGGAAATTCTGATGAACTATGATATCAAACTGGGAGAAGGGCAGAAGCGACCAGCGGACCAGAGGTTTGAAGCCATCGTGAGTCTCCCTTTTCGTGTTTCGGCTTTTGCAAGAGCTTTCTGTCAGATGAAACCCTCCTCTAACTACGCGTCTCTACGATTAAGGTATCACCTGACCCTGAAGGCGAGATATTGCTGAAATCGCGCATGGCGAAAGGGGCCGACTAGGACTCCCCAGAAAGATTGGAGGGCCATACGGGGAACTGAACGAGAGGACAGCGTCGAGTCTTTTGCAAGGGCGCTTTGAATTAGCTTCGATCCAACACCGCCAGGTAACTACCGGGAGATTTCCGAGAAACCGAAGGCAGTCTCAGGTCTTACAACCGAGGACGAAAAAACAAGTAGGCAGTGGTAGACGAGTCAATGTATTGACTTTCCGGTTTAAGCAGACTGGAAACGTTTGATCAATTTCCAGTTCGATCCCATACACCCCTAAGCCGGGCTCACTCCTACCGGGCACGTACCACAGAGGCGGGGAAGCATCTTGGCGCTGAAACTCTCTCGGGCTGAGACTTCATATCAGTTTTGAGAACGCAAAACAGCTGTTGATGCCCATCTCAGTCTTTGCGTGGACAGGATGACAATCAGCCATCACAATCAGCACGAACAAATTATCCGGAGAGATATCCGACCCTGTGATCCATAACTAATATCTTATCAATAGTGTTATCGAAACCTTGTTGGACTTTCAGAATTAGCTTCAGGTTGATAAGCTACCAATCTTGACGCTGCCCGGAAATCCGGGGCCGCTGACTTCCCCAAAGCTTTTGCTCGTCCATCCTGGCCCGGGCAGTCCATGGCTGCAGTTGTTAAATCTGGCTGGTTTGCTCCTCTCCTGATGTGATGAAAGGTCTTTCAGTTCCGCGTGGATTGAAGCACAGAACCAGTGTCGAAGCCTCTCAGTATGGCTGTTGAAGAACCTTCAGCGTCTCAGCTCCAAAGCAGTACGTCGGACTCAAAGAATAGTATGCACCCGGCCCTACCCAGTCGAGCCTCCATTAATGAATCTGCAGGTGTCGAGTCTGGGGTCTCTGCAGCCCAAGAGGATGGCTCCTGGGACAGTATAGGACCATGTCAGTCACTGGGCATGAAGAGGGATTTGTCTGTCTATGGAATTCTGTCAGCAGGCTACAGCATCAGTAATAGCTGGCTGGTTGTTGCCGCTAACTTGGCCATATCGCTTTTTTATGGCCCGATGAATACTGTCTGGGGTCTTATATTGACCACGGTCATCTACAGTTGCGTCGGGTTGACCCTCTGTGAGCTTGTGTCCGCCTATCCTACTACCGGCGGCCAGTACCACTGGACGTCGATCTTGGCCCCGAAAGGCGTCAATCGTGCTGCTGTAAGTCTCTTTCCTGACTGAGTGCCTCCTGCTGTGTCTGATTCTCCATTACTAGAGCTATTTTTGCGGCTTCATCAGCTGGCTGTCCTGGTTAATGATGTGCGCTTCGAGCATGGGCGCCGTTTCCAACAGCATCAACGCTCTCGCACTCAACGCCAACCCAGACTTTGTCATGAAACCTTGGTTGTTCTTTGTGATTTATGAGGCTATGAATCTCATCGCCCTTCTATTCAACCTCTTTTTTCACAAAGGGCTAGGAAAGCTTTATGAGTTCGGGTGTAGGTAACTCTGAACATCCATAGATCCAGGGTAACTAACCATCACAGTCGTTCTGAGCTTGGTGTCTTTCGTGGTCATCACAGTAACGTGTCTGGCCATGCAACACGACAAACAACCTTCTTCATATGTGTGGTTGGCTACAGAGTCTGGTTCTGGCTGGTCACTGGGAACGCAATTCATGATCGGACTAGCCGGCCCAGTCATTGCTTTCATGCCCCTGGACGGAGCAGCTCATCTGGTCGCAGAGGTCAACCGGCCGGCCATCATCGTTCCCAAGACGATCATGGCATCTCTAGTGATTTCGTTCTTGTCTGCCCTTGTTTTTGTGCTTGCGGTTCTCTACTCGATCTCAGACGTGATGTCAGTCCTCACAAGCCCTTCTGGCTTCGTACTCTTCGAGCTTTGGCGACAGGCAACGGGATCCACGGCACCCGCAATTGCCTTCACGATCTCAATCATCATAATGCTACCCATTGGCAGCATTGCTTGCCAGCAGGTGGCTTCTATGATGGCACTCAGTCTGGGGTTGGACAAGGCCTTGGTCTTCCCTGACACATGGAGTACTTTGAACAAGAGACTCAATACGCCAGTCAACGCCTTACTATTGAATTTTGCCCTGATGTTTCTTGTCGGGATTCTCTTCTTGGTATCCACGCTCGGTGCGTCGACTCCTCCAGCATGTTTTTGTTGTGTTATCTGGAAGCTAATGTTGGGTTGGAACAGCATACAATGCCTTGATTGGCACCGCTATAGTGTTACAGCAAATCACTCTGGTGACCCCGACCGCGTTCTTGCTATACAACCGTCGCTCCACACTGGCTTTGCCACCTACTCGTCCTTTCAGGCTTCCGAATTTGGTGGGCTGGACTGTCAATATTGTAACAGTGGTAGCATTGTCAGTTACAACGGCCTTCTTCTTTCTTCCGGCTAGTCGTCCTGTCACAGCTCACACCATGAGTAAGTTACACCATGGCCTTTGCATACACGCATCATACAGGAGGCTTCAGTTGGCTAACTCCTTTTGCTTCTTGTCTTTATAGATTATGCCTGTGTTGTGGTAGTTGGGTTTTTGACTATCGGCGTTATCAACTGGTTCATCCACGCCCGAAAGCATTATCACGGCCCAAGATCTTTTGTACTTCATCAGTAGGGGATTCCGGAACAAATTCGTAGTTCAAGGTCACTACTAAGCAGATTGAGAGATGTGCCTCGCTAGAGTCATCTACCATCAGAGGAGGAGCTAGGAGGAAATCACGGCGCCTTGTTTGGAGCATAGAAGTACAGTCGAGGAGTTGGCCCTACACACTCCTGCACTCCTTCGTTGCTCGAGAACGGTTGTACAGTAATATGGAAGATATGTCGATAGGATCCACCTTGTGATATCAAATTCTCGTGTTCATAGGACGAATTTCAAGTTGCCATTCATCTTTACTAGCCTTCTCCTTCTGTCGAGCAAAGCTTCAGTTGTTCGCGTCCACTTATGCCGCAAGGAGCATATCCTCAATGTAGCATTTCGATACAAAGTGTCCAACTTAACATCTGGACAATCAGTCCTTACTGACACATGGAAGGGTCCAGTCCGTCACATCCACGGTCCTCGGAGACGCACTCGGATGGGGCGTTCCATCGGCCTCGCCTGCCGACCGGTGCCGTCAACATGGGGATAATGGCCGAGCACTGGACATATTACCAATACTCGGCGAATATGTGAACATTGAAAAGGAACGAAATATTGCCGATTTCGCATTTCAGGTGCCTAAGCTTCGAACTTCAACGAATATCTTGGGACTCTTAGATCTAGCAACTCCGAGTTGACTGCTTTGACTTGACCAGACGATCAATCCGAAGTGAAAGGCGCTATCCTCACTCCAGTCTTGCGACCTTTCCACCTTCTCAACAACACCATGGCCAAGCCTTCTGATAGTGAAGCAAGCTGGTCGCACCAGATTCATGCAGAGAATACGTCTAAGACTCGGGAATTCATTGAAAATCTATTCGCCAAAAAAGTGGACTGGGATCATGCATTCCCCGAAGCGCTGGCAGATGGTTTGATCTGGACCACGAATGGGTCATCACCGATTTCGGGGCGTTATGAGAGTAAACAAGACTACGTCGACAGGGTACTCAAACCAATGCATGCAATTGTGGAAAAAATCCCGCCGCCGACTGTCAAGCATTTATTTGTTGATGGCCTCTGGGCGGTTGTGCATTGGAGGGGTGAAGGTGTGAAAGCCTTGAATGGGGCAAGCTATGAACAGGACTATTGTTGGCTTCTCAGAACAAATGGTCAACCGAACAACCAGATCGTTGAAATTATATCCTGGTTTGATCCAGCTAAGCTGTCTGAAGCACTTGAAGGGACCGGCGTCACATTTCCCGGAGCGCAATCCAAGATCGAGTAAGCACTGGCGTGGAATCTGGATGCTATAGCGCGACCTCTTTGAGAATTGGACGACAAGCTGGTGTTTTCTTATCGACCCAACTCTAAGAACTAGGTGGTGTTGTTATGAGAGTCAATCCTGTTGATGTTGAAACTCTTCCCGGATATGCTAGGCGGGCGTCGATTGTGCTGCCTTTGCCCAACATGAACTCAGGAAAGGCTCAATTTTTATGGTCTCAATTTCTGGGGCAAAAGTCTGGAGGTTGGTTCCCGAGATGTCGAAGACACCAGTGGCCATTCCGACCATCAAAGTACTTATAATCATGTCAAGTTCCTGTTTTCCTCCCGGAAAATATTGATAGCAGTGCCTGTTCGACGGCAACTCGGTGGTTTTCATTCTTCGTAGCTTCTGCAGTGGGTCAAAGGTCTTCTTAAATTGCCGACCTAGAGTAGTCTGTCAGCCTTTAAGAATCGACAATTCCGAAACAAGTCTCCATACCTGTGACCTTTTCCGCCAGGAACAGCAGATCATTCAAGACGATTCTTTCACCAATCACAGCAGATTCAAGTGGCCACTTGTCTGCAGCAACTTCAAGTAGTGTGGCCACGAGTCTGCCCACATCTCTTGTATGTGTGAAAACTGCCGCGGCGCTTCCATCCCCCGGAACAGCCGCCTCTCCAGAACGAAGATCCAAGATGAAGTATAGTGGATGCAAATGGGTCTCTGCGTATGGAAGGCCCAGGTAATCCAGAAAGAACCCATTCCGTACCAGTGTGTATGTGAGCTCAGTATGGACATGTAGTTCTTGCACAGCCTTGAGTTGATCGAGACGGGGAGGATATGGCATTCGACTATCCATGAGGTTAGTTTCTGGCCCTGACCACAACTAACAGAATGGCTTGCTTCTTGCGAGGGCAGCATACTCTTGTGACACATTGTAGTCAATATTGAACTCACTGGGGATAAACCTCTTCACGACCCCCGACTGGGCTGACCCTCGAATTAAATTGAGCTGTGATTCCGAGGACCCTGGCCAGTTCAAGTTCAACGTTGAGATGACCGTGTCAACACGAAGCTTTTGCAAGACATGGCTAATATTGGATGGGCTGTCATAGTCCAAGGGAATAAGATCTGCTATCAGTGTGATAGGATGTGTGCGACTTGACTACAGCCGTGTCAACAGGCCGAATTACTCATTTGAACATTGAACGAACATTTCTAGTGAAGACATAGATGCTATGCTTGCCGGTGCTGGCGATAGCCTCGACAATGGTGCGGCCCAGATCCCCTGTGCCTCCCGCCACGGCAACAATACACATCTTGTTCAGAATACCTTCAGAGTAGGCGCAAAAGAATGCAAGTTGACTCTTGTCTCTAAGCCCGACGAGTTATCCAAGACGATCAGTGGTGCTTCACGGCCTGGAAGCAACGATGACTGGAGACCCTAAGCCAACTTGGAGATCGTTTACCCCTTCCCTTGTAGCTCTGCTTAAGTGGCACCTGTTGTAATCTGATGCTCATAGACAAGGCCACGGAATCCGGAATCCGGATCCCGAAACTCCGGATAGGAGAATCAACTGCCAAGGCTGGTTATCTCCACCCCCCATATGTAGACTAGCGCTGTGCTGCTAATCCTGGGCTCCGTTGATGGCAGCCTCCTCCATGTCCCACGTATCTTGAATGTGGGAATGACCGATGAGACGATCCTTTACGCCAGCTAGACAATTTGCTAGCTTCGCAGCTCAACGCGATGAATGTTCACAAGGACCAGCGGCTACCATCGGCGGTGAGTATTGGAAGAAGTTGTAGAGATCTCGCTGTGGCTAATCCGTACCTCAAAGTGTGACCTCTGTCACGACAAGAAGGTGGGTCGCGTAGCCTCATTCAACGTGCCTTGCATTCTTCAGACCCATTGACGTGCTATAGATCAAATGCGACCGGCAAAGTCCATGCGCAAACTGCACTGTGGCTGGCGCCAATTGTCTTCGTCGGCGACCCAGACATTCTAGCACCAGGCAGAACAGGAACCAGGAGTGCGTATAACTTACAGATTCGCTACCTGGGCGGCCACAGACTAAGCGCATCTAGTGATCGACTCAACATGGTCCTCGAAGGCATCAGCAGGCTTGTAGAGTCACTCCCACGGACAGCGCCCGGACCTCCTGATGGGGCTGCCCACGAGAGAGACCCAGGACGGCCGTCCATGCGGGACGAGGTTTCTTCGAGTGGCGCGCATCCGGCCAAAAGAAGGCGAACTGACGCCCCAGAGGCAATCGTCCCTCGTCCAAGCCAAGAATATGGGCCGCGTGAACCAAGTGAGCGGTCCCAATCACCATCGATATCGGTGAGAGGGACGGAAATTGAGGCCGGCAACTCCCCCCGGGTGTGTGCAGACGAACCTGGCCCTCGTGATGAAGAGTTGGGCACCATCGACCTCCAAAGATACCTTACACCATCGCACCAGCATCATCAGCCAGGTCATGGCGACAGCGACAGGCGCCGAGCCCTTGAAGCCGCAATCAAAGTGGCTAAAAGAGTTGCAATCATGCAGCCCAAACCCGAGTCCCTGAATCGTCCCTTGATCGAGAGGGTCAACTTCTACGACCCGTCTATGTACCTGACCGCCGAATTTGCGCACACGATCATGGATAGTGAGACTCCCCTTGGAGGATTGTGGAATTGTGGCCTAACGCGTTCCAACAGGGAGATGTGGCAACGCTGCCATGAGCTATTACCTCGACATCAATACAAATGTGTCCAGTTCGACATTCGAGGACATGACTCTTGCCCTCATCAACAATCGGGTCCATGGTCAAACGAGACTGCACTATATTGTCTGCGTCAACTATGTCGCCTATTCGTATCTAGTGGCGAATGGCTCCGAAGGCCAAAGCGCGGCCATGATGGAAAACCTTCAAGTCTCGAGGCGCAGATATTGTGCAAACGCATTCGCGGCTTTGGACGAAATGGACTTGAACTCTGCTCCAGATATCCCCATGCTCCAGGCATTGTTATCAGGCGTAGGCTACCATCCCCTTTCCATGGCTAAACGCTAACTAATTCGTCCTCTTCGAAGGCGATGTTGTCCCAGGATATGGGCAACATGCGTCGCTGCTGGCGGCTTAACACCCATGCTTGTCGCATATGCTCGCGTCTTGGTGGGAGGGCTTTGAGTGAACTTAATACCGTTGCCTCACTCGAAGAGGCCATGAACACCCGTCTAGTATTTTTGAAATGCTACATCTTCGACAAGTCACTGTCGGCAAACATGTATCAGCCCTCGTGCTTGGCAGATGTACGGCTGGATACTTCGAGGCTGGATGTTACCAAACCCTCTCATGCCATGTTATTCATTCTTCTGGAGCTTTCAAAGGTGCAGGAAATCATGGTCCGCGAGACCGACGCGATCAGGTCCCCTAGTCGGCCGGCTGGACTCAGCTTGGAGAATATGCCATGTAACGAGAAACTGAGGACTTGCCAAGGGAGAATGCACCAAATATTTGCCCAAACTCAGGAGGTTTGTAGAGAAGCACCACATGTAATGCGTGCAACTGACTTTGGCAGTTTCGAGCCAAACCCCCTTCCAACCAGGACGACTTTTTGAAATTTGAATGGATGAATGTCGATTTCATCTACTTCTCCATGATGACAAGTCTGATCCGCTTAACAGTGCGGACCAATGATGCGCGCTCTGATTATGAATGTCTAAGGCACGCTCGGAATGCCTTGTCATCCCTGAATCTCCTCCTTCATCTCTGTGCTCAGCCGTGCTCATTTCGGGAAATGTCGATGAGTTCACTCGCATGGTATGTCCCCATATGCAGGCCTTACCGAGCCAGGAGCTTCTGTTGATGACTTTGCTAGGCTTGTTCCCCTGTTTCCCTTGAGACCCATCTACAGCGTCTTCAGCAACATCGTTGCAACATCGGACCCGCTCGATCTCAAACTCCTTCAGGATACGGCGATCGGCCTGGCTCCATTAGCTGAGACTCACGCTTCAATGAAAGCGGTCCATGAGCTTTGTAGTTCCCTCATAGACCTGTGCACCGCGTTCGTCAGGAATAACGACACTAGCCTAGGCCTTCCGTCTTCGCAGTTTGGACTGAGCGGACCGATCACGCCGTCTACTGGCCAGACCCAGGAGCGCGAAGGTCTCCGACAGCAAGGACGGCTCAAAACCGTTCCATTCAACTCCGTTGGCCAATCGACAGTAGTCCCGGGAAACATCAATCAAGAATTCCATGGCCCTGTGGCCCAGGAGCAATCGTTACTTGCCGGGAATGACAACTTTCAGAATAGATACCACTTTGGCGATGATCTCGATTGGGAATTGTTCTGTGCCCAGCCATCTTTGGATTTCTTCACCCTGGACTAAAGGACTTGGTTGACACGACAATTCACACGAAGAACGTCAGCTGCCTTGACTCAATGATGACACGGTGAAATTTCCATCGCAAGAGCAGGACTAAGAGTCACCAGCTGACAGGCCAGGCTGTTGCGTGCTATCATCTGGCATCTGTAAGAATAGGATGTGCAATATATATCGAATGACCGCTCAAGATCTAATAGTTTGACAGTTCTGAGAACTCTTCGTAACCTCCTGTGCTAAATAAGGGCTCCGGCTGCTCAAACACTTCTCATCAAGCCTGGTGGTCGCGGGCCGCACCCTGTCGACCGGACTCCATAAAATGCCCTGGAATCCCCCGGAAATGCGAGAAAAGATTCCTTCCAACTCACTCAAGGCATGCTGTGAATCTGCCTTGAATCGCACCATTTCTCCTGATTTGAACTCAAACTCAAGCATCACAGTCGTTCGGACCGTAGACTCAGCTACTGATCCTTCTGATTTCACCATGCTTTCGTTTCTTCGGCCATCATTGCCTCCACGAACCGAGCGGGCCGGTCAGAATCCCGTGTTCTACGAAAATGGACGCTCGTCTTTGGAATTCAGGGACGCTGGTGCCGACTACTCCTTGCGAAACATGCACCCTCCAATGGTCAAAGGCGAACCACTGTCTATCATGGTCCCTCCTCATCATTACCATATCAAACAATCCGAGCACTTCCGAATCGTTTCCGGCACCGTCAACATATACAGAGGCTTAGACCCTCAGCCGTGGAAAATCTTGTCGGACCGAGACGGTTTTGAAGAAGCCGCCATGATCCCCAAGAAGATCTATCATCGGATCGAAAATGCATCTTCGACCGAGCCACTCGTGCTGGACGTACATCTGGCCCCTGAAGAGTACGAGGTTGAACAGCGCTTCTTTCGGAATTTCTTTGGCTATCTTGACGATTGCAAATCTGGCAATGTGGCCCCAAGCCTCTTTCAGCTACTTGTCTTTCTACATAGTGCGGACACGCCCTTAGCCCTTCCATTCTCGGAATCGTGGCCCGGTGTGTTTGCAAGTCGCATCTTTTTGATTGGAATGGCATTCTGGGGCCGATGGATCTTGGGGTATAAGCAGACTTATCCGGAATACTACCTTGAGAAGAAGGATCTTTGAAAGTCTGAATCATTTGATTGGGTGGCGTCATTCCAGATTGAATCCTGTACCGCGATCTCCCCACCGAGAAAAGTGCTAGGTTCAATTGATAGATGAATCGTAGCCGGTAGTTCAATGGATCAATACGGAGCTGCCTGCCTTCGCTAGTACCACCATCCAGCTCTCGATCGATAATCGTGGCGCGGGAGTTCTTCCTCGCTAATTGCCTCTTTGTATCGAAAGGTTCGGGCTTCCACTATCCTGTGGAATTCCCGTCCTATCACCGAGCAAGTTTCTGCGACGATAGGCGATGGAAGGTTGGGGTTGCGTTGTCCGGCGAGCCGCAAACCGGAAACCGGAAGCCGAAAGCGCCCATTCTGCACGAGCCTCTGTGCCAGCCTTGTAATCGCACCACCGGTGCCCGGGAGGCTTCCGATATGGTGAGTGCTGACTGCAGGCTCAGCAGGGCACCGCAGGATTAACGCTGCGCCAATGGGTCAACCTCAACCAACTACTGCGATGGAAGCACTGCAGGTATTAGTGATCGGCGTGGCCCGACCTTCCATTGAATATCTCCCGCCAATCGTCAAAGCATTCGCAAGGATACTTCCTTCAGTCTGCGAAAATGGGCAAACCAGAGCTCGAAACCAGGCGCATCTTCTGTGCCATTGTTGGCGGTGGCTTGTGCGGCGTGTCACTGGGATTCCAGCTCATCAGTACTAACACTCTGCATCATGACGAGTTCCGGATTTTCGACAGAAACGAGGATTTCGGGGGGGTATGGGAAAGCAACCGGTACCCCGGGGCTGCATGCGACATTCCCAGTCATGCATATCAAATGAGACTATACCTCAACGCTGGTATGTTGGGGCTTTTGTCCTTGCCTCGAAGCAATGATACTGATGGCTGATGACTGATGACTTACTAGACTGGACGAAAAAGCTGGCGGACGGGAAAGAGATCCAGCAATACTACTCTCGAATGGCTGATGCACGCGGGCTGCGACGGAGCACACTTTTTGGAGTTGAAGTTCACCACGCGAAGTGGAATGAAGACATTCTTCTGTGGGAGATCCTCGTCGAAGATAGACAAACTCAGAAGCAGACCATATGGCAAGCGAACGTCCTCTTCGACGGTGGGGGCGGATTCCATCGACCCAAGTATGCGAACATTCCCGGCAAAGACATCTTCAAGGGTGAACAGGTACACACAGCGGTATGGCGAGATAATCTCGATCTCAAAGACAAACGCGTCGCTCTCATCGGTACTGGGCCGAGTGCCGCTCAAGTGGCTCCACGGATTCAACCTCTCGTAAAACAGCTTTACGTCTTCCAAAGGAGTTCGGGTCATGTCCTGCCCCGAAACAACTATGTCGTCCCGAGATGGATGAAATTGCTGTTCAAATGGTGTTACCCACTGCTGTGGCTATACCATGTGTGGTGGTTTTTGTTCGTAAGTTGGTCCTCAATCGCCCAATGGATATCTCGTACTGACCTAGGTTCTCCTCCAGTTCGATCAGAGCAAGAAGATGTGGCTTGTAGGGACAAAAGAGAATCAAGCCATGCACGATGCGAGTATTGCTTTCCTAGACCAGCAAGTCAAAGACCCGGGGGTACGTGAAAAGCTACGGCCTCGAGCTGCATTCGGTTGCAAGCGAGTTTTATTCCTGGACGACTGGTATTCGTTGTTCAATAAGCCCAATGTCGAGCTTATTACGGAGAAGCCGGTTAGATTCACGGAGACTGGCATAGTCTTCAAGCCCACGGATGACATGACCGCAAAAGAGCGAGACGAGGTGCCCACAGGAGCGTACCTCAAACGGACTGACGGTGTCGACCATGGTGAGAAGACTCGAGAGATCGACGTGATCGTCTGGGGAACAGGCTTCGACATGAATGACTCTGGTGGCCATTTCCAGGTTTACGGTGTCGACGGCATCAACCTCTCCCAAACATGGAAAGACTACCCGGAAACGTACTGGGGAATTGCGGTCTCCCAATTCCCGAATTTCTTCTTGATCCTTGGGCCAAACTCAGTCAACTATTGGTCCAATGTGACCACGGTGACGGAAATGCAGATCAATTGGCACTGCAAAATGCTCAGACATATCAAGAAACAATGCCAAATCCAACCTTATGCCCTGTACCCGCGGAGGGATGTCCAGGAACAATACAACGACTGGCTCCGCAACAATCGAGGAACACCTACTTTTCTGGCTCCTGGGTGTGCTACTTACCATGTGACTCCATCGGGGGCAACGCCAATGTACAACCATTATAGAATTTTCCGCACTTGGTGGAAATTGCTATGGCCAGAGTACACCGAATTTACCCAAATCCGACGCCCCCGTCCACAGTTGGCGTAGGCGGGGTGGGCGGCGGGAGGCAGTGACATTTACCTAGAGTTTTAGGATAGTCCCGGTTTCCGGCCCGTCGTAGCAGTCTGAAACAATGTTGCGATGGTCTTGGTGGCGGTTGCAATAGGGACATGGTAAACAGGTCTAGTTAGGTTGAAGCTGGGGCTAAGCCTTGCAACTCAAGACGAATCTAGAAGAACCTCCTCAGAAGCCACATAGTCAGATCGGACCCTCATACCGCCTACACCGATCTCTTCTAGGAGACTACTGATGCCAAAATTAGCGAAGCCGAACTTGCTCCCATTCATGGTTGGTTTGCCCTCCGCAGTCGTCCCCTATTCATGCAAGCAACTCAACAGCTCATATGCCCTGTAGCCAAAAGATCTGTAAGAAGCCAATATCGATATCTCAGTGCCGGATGACCGAGAAGAAAGGTCAGGGCCTCCTTACCTCTTTCCCGTCAGCATGATCATCCATCGCGCAGATCATCGCAGTCGACGCCAGGGCATCTGAGCTCGAGATTCTGCTCGAATCACACAGCGGTCGGATGGGCCGTGATCCAAGGCGACGTCAACCACCGGGCGACGAGTCAAACGGCCATCGATGCAGCTATATAATGTAGCTCCCGTCCAAGCGGTACCCATCATCCGGTGATTTGCCAACACTTTTTCAACTGCGCGTGCCCCCACCTCTACGGCTACGAAGCTCCTTTGGCTGAGACTTTGTAAAGCCGGAAAGGTGTTCACTTAACGACTTTAGGTGCGTCCTGGTGTGGTCTTCTGGCCGAATCAGTGCATGAACAGCTTGAGAAGGTGTCTCAGAACTGTCGTGCGACGGTGGCGACTTCGGGCTGTCTGAGCAATGCTTTTCGCGGCATTCTTCCATCTTCAGTGAATTGAGATTCGTGTGATAGCAGACTTTTGGTTGATGATAGGCAACAACGACCTCATCATGTCAATTTCGTCCTCTTTGTGAGACAGGCGAACTCCATAGTTGGAATTGAGCTGCGAATTGTTTTGATAATTTGTCTTTAGCCTCCTCGCCCAGACAGGTCTCCCGGTATCAGCTACATTTGTGAGCGTACTGGAAGTCGAGTGGAAATAGTTGATTTGTCATTTGGAGACGTGTGCTCTCCGAAAAACAACACAGGCTCACGAGCTTTGAACGAGGGAGACGTGTACAGGACACCTTGGGATGACTGATGTTTGGTGCGACGACGACCAAGAAGCAAGGAAACGTTGACCTAACCTGGACTCGATCATCACCGTGGCATCTTGTATAGTGTACAACAACAACTAGTCGACCAACATCCAACGTTCAACTTCCAACTTTCAGCTGGAGTCAACCGGGGCCCCCTCTACAGCGTGAGGTGTCACCGACAGGAGGTGCATGGGTGGTGAAAGACATGCATCAACTTCGGCAAAGTAGCGCGGATGGTCGATCGTTGGACCCGGTTGGATTAACTGACCGACAGCTGACATGTTGGTCACTGTCACTGCCTGTCGTCAGACTCTGTTTGGACGGAATACCTAACATGGCGGAGGAGGACGCTAGGATGGGATATCATATCATCACCAGCAACAGACTTGGACTTGTAACAGTCGAGTCGCACAGGACGCATGTTTCAGCTGAGCAGGGCTCGGTGGGGATAGAAGTTCGGCTTGGGCAGCAATCGACTTTACGCAGACCGCTGTCAAGGCAAGGAAAGGGGTTGCCGACCCAATGTCGATGGTGAGGTGTGATTTGCCTCGTGTTGTGTATGCACGGGGCATACAAGAGAAAGGCAGATGTGAATGTAACATCACGTGTTTAATACTTCCAATTCATCTGTCCCACAGCCTCATCAACAAGTTCTCATGATTGACAGGATTGATGACTCGTTCGATCCCGGCTATCTACTCGTATGTATGTAGCCTACGAGACACATGTTGTCTGTCATCCTGTCATCCGGTACCTAGCGTAAGGCTATTGACTCCACTCACTTAATGTCAATATTTCGAAACGTGCTCACCCAGCCTTTGTGTTGCGAATCTGTGTCATGGTTGAACTGTTCTGGTTGGCTGATATGTCTTGCAACAAGGCCATGATTTCTGTCTATGCCAGCACCAGACTGAAGGGTCGACGTTGGACACGTTGGGCACCCGCGGAATGAAAATCCATAGGTCACAGACAGGCAGGGTGTATCGATAGATGATGGCCAACAAGATATTTCATTCAAGATATTCTAAAGCAAAGCAGACAAAGTCGTCTCTTCCAAGCGAGTGGTTGGGGACAGTGTCTCCCTAAGTACATGCAACACAAAGATGGCGAAAAACAAAGTCCCCCTTCCACCAGAACTTCTCATCCATTTCTCAGGTCATGGCCGTTGTGGCTGATTGATGTCCCTAGGATCCTTCGAGAGGTAGAGTTGATCCGTGGCTAGGCTTTGACAGAGACAGCCGCCCCATCCCCACCTTCACAACCTAGGAACAGTGCTATTTCTTGCGATCACTTTTCTGCTTCTTCTTCTGGGTGGCATTGGCGCGTTTGCGCTCGAGCTCGAGCTCTTCTAATTCTCCTGTTGAGAAGGCCTCGTACTGGGGGTTCTTCAATGGCTTGGGCGGCGGCGAAGTCACATTGCATATTCGGCAAGCGGTAGGAACAGATCCTGTGCGGTTGCAAGTTTTGCATTTTATAATACTGAAATGAGAATTAGTAGGGGTCTTTCTTTTGAACTCCTTGCGAACATGCGCAAAAAGCGCGAGGACGCCAGGGAGGCAATAGCTGGAAATACCATCTTGGTTGTCCCTTACAGTCAGGACATCCTGTGCTGGAAGGACCGTGGCTGCACTGAACAAGCATGGTTGCGGTGTTGTCTTTGACGGTTGGTCTTTGACGTTTGAAGGAGAACAATGGCGAAGTTGGAACGTTCGAGTACTAGAGTCGAGAGTCGAATGGATCTGAGGAGTCGATTGCGTCGATGGGAGCTCTCAAGCAAATTATATACCATTTTCCCAGAAGCTTGACTTCCACAACCGAGGTTTGGACCGGCCTCAAGGCTAGCCGTAAGTCACGAAGATGACGGAAGGATCACCACGATCACCCCGACCAGGGGTGAATCTTGATTGAAGGGTGTACTGGGACAGAAATCGAACGTATGGTACATCTGATTTGAATATTGACACACAGAGTAGCGCGATCCCCCGCCACCGTCTGAATATCTACTGTGATGAAGCAGTCAGGAGGTGCCCGGATGATTCTCTGACATAAACCAAACCGCATTTCGTCAAGTTCAATGCGCATTGGTCCATTTCGAGTTGGAAAACCCTAGTGCAACAACGTCTTTAAGAGCGGATGTCGACAAGGTGGGATCGAACTTGTCCAGGAGAGCGGCACCTTGTTGTTACAGCAATCATTTATGGACACAGCTAGGCATTGTGGAAGAGAGGTCGAGATGTCGTGTCTCCAATGATCGGTGGGGAACCAATCGACTGGGCCGTGATACGAAGACCGTTGATGATACATGATCGGTATCGCACAACCTTCCCCGAACCTAGGCGAGAAAGGTACCAGGGAAGCGGAGAGAAGTTCGTAGGCAGTGCATGAGCGACATGGTGCTTTGACGATGATGACTTCTCCGCAAACATATCGTGTGTCTTGGTCAATTAGTTGCAAGAAGAGCGAGTGCTCATGGTAATTTTTCAGATCCAACGTCATAGCAGATCATGTGGTAAAGTAACCATGCAGCAAGGACCCTTCACCGTACAACACGAACGTGAGACCACCTGATGATACCACGTCAAGGGCAAGACAGGAGGAGTTCGGAAGGCATCATTGACCCATTGCCGGTGTCCGTCTGATGGTGCTTCATCCTTGTCATGGTCATCAGAGTGCAGCGTGAACGACAGGTGACCAAGTCAACGGTTGTCATTGTTGTGCCATGTGCAGGCTAGGTGCAGATACTCCCCACCGGGGGTTCGGCTCAAACGTGGGGGAGGACAAGTTTGGAAGCGATAAATCGCAATTGGCATGATAAATTGTTCGGAGATTTGTGACCGTTGCTGCTTGGTCGAAGAGGGGATCCGCAGGGTGGGTGTTGTTGAGAGAGACGGAGTCAAGAAGGAGTTAAGAGAGTGTCGTAGGACAAATTTCCCAACGGCTTTTCCAGGGGCGACGAGTCACAAGAGAGTAGAAGACTTACATACCAGGGTTTCGCATTGCATGACAGTTACGAGGTTTGCATCATCTAGGCCAGGTTTGAAGGCGTGATGAAGAAGGCATGGGATGGCAGTTTGACATTTCTGACGATCCGGGAGCAGGCATTTGCAATTTGAAGGATGAATGAACAGCTGGGTTCTCTTTCTTGCCAGGGGAGAAGGGCGAAGAGAAAGAGAGATAGAGAGAGACTCTCTTCGGCACGCTGGTCTTGGTCGTTCAGTGTAACTTGTGTGTTTATTGTTGGTGAGTCGTGGTGTTGGTAGGACTTGAATTTCAAAGTGCGAATTCAAGTCTTACGGAGGAAAGGCACAATGGGGAAGGCTTGCCGAGTCTATGATTGTTTGGGAAGGAAGTGGTGGTTGATGACAAAGTCTTGGAATGTCGCCTTCCTCGTACTCTCGTAAGCCGTTTACTGAGCTTGAAGCGTCGTATTCAGCCGCGGGGCACGAACTACCGCCCAACAGGCATGTCTAAGGGCAAGCTGGGGGCCGAGGCGGCCGGGGGGTCCTCGTCGCAGTACTTACCTATTTTGCAGCCCCTGGGCCCCTGGGCCCCTGTAGCCCCGCTACCCATGTGCATGACCACATACCAGCCGAGTCAATTTGCTAGGCGTGTCTAAGATGCCGAGGTTGTTTCTCGACTTGAACTTCAGCAGATCCTATGAGAAGCCGGATGATACTCATGATTTTCACGACTGATTGATTGTTGACGACTGCTTCCACAATTCACCAACTACAACTCATTAGATACGGCCGACAGCGGTTCGACTCCTTCTTGACTGACAGATTCAAATACTCTTCTCTCCCGCTCCAAACTACGCGAGGTGTAAAAGGTGTAAACCCGATTGTCATTATCATCGTCCATCATGTCACCCAGTTCGTTACCAAATGCCAAATTCTTCAATGTCACCACGCCAGCGCCCTTTGTGGCGCACGTGGAGATCAATCGACCCAGCAAGATGAATGCCTTTTGTGCACCGATGTGGATCGAACTAAAGGGGATTTTTGATCACCTTTCAACAGATCCAGATCTGCGATGTATTGTCCTCTCTGGGGCTGGAGATCGAGCGTTCACAGCCGGTAGGTTGCTTGACCACAATCAGGGAGAAAGTAGTAACTAATTTACGTTTGCTCCAAGGTCTCGATGTGCAAGAAGCGTCGCAGTCTTCGACTTTGGGAGGCAGCGGTCCAGGCGACACAGCGAGAAAGGCCACTAGTGTGCGTCGACACATTCTCGAGCTACAAGATGCAGTGTCGAGCGTTGCACGCTGCGAGAAACCTGTGATTGCCTTGGTGCACGGCATTACCTTTGGTTTGGGCATTGATCTGTCCACAGCCTGCGACATCCGCATGGCTGAGACCAATACCAAGTTTTCGGTCAAGGAAGTCGACATTGGTCTCGCAGCCGACGTTGGAACATTAAGTCGACTACCCAAAGTGGCGGGAGGTCTGACCAGTTGGGTCAAAGAGATTACACTGAGTGCTCGAGTATTTTCAGCCGAGGAAGCGCTCAAGAACAACTTTGTCAGCAGAGTCGTCTCCGGCAAGGCTGAATTGATCAAACAAGGTATCGAACTGGCCAAATACATCTCTACCAAGAGCCCTGTCGCGGTCCAGGGTACCAAGAATATTCTCGACGCCGCATGGGGAAGGACAGTCGAAGACAACCTCAACTACACAGCCGTGTGGAATGCGGCCATGATCCAGAGTACAGATGTCTCACGAGCGATGCTTAGTGGGCTGCAGAAGAAGACACCAACGTTTGAGAAGTTGTAGACACATGGCTTGGCAGGAATAGTAAGTCAAAGGATAAAAATAGCGAAGTCCAGTGGACATGGTCGAGAAAATAGTGGTGGTTGTATCGACATCAATTCGTAAAGAGCAAAATAACAAACTACTAGGTAGTAGTCTAGGATGAAAAATTACAGTAATTTCGCTGCCGCCTAGCCATTCTTGACCAGGTTAAAAGGGTGTGAGGTGTGCATAATGTGCATAGTGTGCATAGTGTAAACTATCGCTCGACTAAAATTCAAGATTGGACCCAAAAGGCAAATCAATCATTGACTCAATTGACATGGTCAAGTCAATTGGAAGAGTTTTGGTAAGAAAAGCCGTCAGCCACTCAATGCCACTGGATTGAATGTCTGTCATACAACCCTAAACCCGTGCCCAGGACGACGCCGGAAGCCGCGGAACTTTGAGTGTTCAATTGGCTGGGATTAAATCTTGACCGCCCATGGAAAAAGGGAAACCAATTTCTCCGGGTTACGTGAGTCAAGAGCTCCCTAGGAAGGTAGACAGGGAGTGGCCTAAGTAGGGTATTTGCTTGAGGTACTTGGTACCTAAGGTACCTAGGTAGGTATCTATGTGTTGGAACTGGGACATTGATGAAAATCACCTGCAAGACACAAAAGCTTCTCGTCCACAATTCTATAATTCAGCTTGCAAAGCAGCGAGGCTTGTTGAGAGAGAGATGGGTCTGTACGAACTACTGGAAGCATGCGACATGTGCGTGGGCATAGTTCGTAGCTGGTACCTCGTGGGCGTGCCTTGCGCACTCCAGGAGTCCAGGCGACTAGTGTCCAACGCCACAGGCATCCACGCATGACCATTTCGGGGTGATCTCTCTCTCCACTTTAGGCCTAAATGCCCCTAGTTGGCGCTTATGCCCATTTATGCCCTGGTGACGTAGCTGGACACACAGTATTGAAAGAATTGACCCGCAACAATGCGTCAGTGCTTGTTGCCCCCCAGGTGCGCCTATTACGGAGTAGCACTGATCGCTATGAGTGAGTTACCTACTACTCCGTAATATTATTGATCAGGTCAGAGGGAATCTGCAAGGCCCGGTGGCCCACAACCCACAAGGCCACAAATCCCTCCTGCGCTTTCTGCAATCTGCATGCACCCAAGCTCTTTTCCGTCGTCACCAACATCATCATCATTCCACACCCTTCCGCCCTCTCCACCTCAAACCTGAACCTTGCTCTTTCTCCTCGACCTCAAGCAGGTTCCTTTTTCCACAGCTTCATCCACAGCTTCAATCGTGCTGTTCTTGTTCTATTCATTCTTCCTCACCTCAGCTCTTCCTTCGACTCTTACCCTGCCCATCCAGGTACTTGCAGCTTCACACTATAACTCTCAACATCACCGTCGCATAAGCGTAACCACCTACCTCATCTGTGTTACCTCTAGCTACCTCCATCATGGTCTCGCGAGTGGTCAACCTCGGGTTGCGAGGATTTCAGGTACTTATCCCAACTTTTTGGTGACCGTTATCCTCGAAACCAGCTACTGACTGGTTGTCACTGTCTAGTTCCTCTGCATTCTCATCGTCATGGCCCTGGTCGGCAACATGATTGCCACGGCCTTCGCGGGAAACCCTTCCCTCATCAACTACGATATCTTCGTAGCAACATTCGCAATGCTGTCACTCTTCTATCTGATAGCCATCAGCTTCAATGAGTCCTTCACCGGCCACTCCATCATCCCCGTCGCCCTCGACGCCCTCAATGTACTCTTTCTGTTCTGCGCTGCAGTCGCCATGGCGGCTGAGCTTGGTGTGCATTCATGCAGCAACAGTGTATGTGAATCCTCAATACTCGACAACTCCACCCGCACTAACATCAGTCGCAGTCTTACACTGAACGCAACCACATCACCAACGGTGCTGAAGACACCGAGGGTCGGTGTCGCAAGGCCCAAGCCACCACCGCTTTCCTCTGGTTTGCCTTTGCCGCCTGGACTGCTAGCTTGGTCTTCACCTTCCTCGCTGCAAGAGGTGGCGGCGTCAACTTGAAACCCGGTTTCGGCAGGAGAGGTGGGCCATCCATGTCGCAAGTGTAAAGGTGTGCAGAGACGGGAAGGGACAAAATTCGTCGGTTTAAAGGCTGATCGGGCTCCCCGGACTTCTGCACCACGTATGCTTCGAGACACTTCTTCATTCAAGATCGCAGAGCATTCTAACCATTCACAGGCGTTTAAATCCTCTTTGTCGCACTAAACTCGTCCTCTGCTCGATCCTTCTGACCTGTCAAACTTGCGACGCATCGAGTCATTCCCATCGTATGGTCGTAATTCACCCGGGAGCTATCGCCTCCCCCCTCCATCGATTGGGAAAAAACAAAAACAAAACAAAAGACAAAAACTGTTTGCCACGCCATGTTATGAACTTTTTGGGGGAAATCTTGCTTTCAACGATGCAATCAAATGGACAGGACAACGCACACGCCCCCGCTGGGTGGGTTCGTGATAATGTGTACGAATACAAACCATGCGTATACCGACCAGTGCCTTGCACTTTGATCTCTTAATGTGGATAACGACGACCAGGTTGGACAAAAGGCGCCCATTGGTGCGTATGAAGAAGGAGGGAGGGCATCATGGACTCTTGTCTGACTTCATGTCTGATTCCAATCATGGGACATCTCTATAGCAATATTGGTCAAGCTAAGTATCTAATACAGTGCAATTGCTAATTGAAATAAATTCAGAGATGCTCGTTCATGCTGTTTCATGCTCTTCATTGTTGTTGTTGGTGGTCTCCTACACTACGAGCGTTGCTCATGACGTCCTCCGAGCTTAACGATGCAGTGACTTGTTGATCGCTCAAACCCTAGTAAAGGCCATTGGCCTACTTAGTCAATCTCGAGCACAGCGCATGGTTCTACCGAATACACGGAACAGTGTCACTTCTTTAGCTTCAACGTGATCAAATCGTCGCGCGAATAATTTTACATTTTTTTCCAGCGCTCGACCCTCTTTTTGGGATCGACCAACTTCTCGAATCGCTCCAGCGTGTACACTAACCCATACGACCCTGCCTCGCACTCTGTCTACGGTGCCATCAACCTTGCACATGACACCATGCTAGCTTTGAGGCCAGCAAAACAGAGCCCCTAATCCCGGGCATTTCGCATCTAGAAATGGATGGCGGATGCATATGTGCTCATGGCGGCCTCCTTGAATGCTTCCGCCAGCGTGGGATGAGCGTGGCAAGTTCGTGCCACGTCTTCACTCGAGGCACCGTACTCAAGAGCCAACGTGCCCTCGGCAATCATCTCACCGGCATTGGGGCCAATAATGTGCACTCCCAGAATTCGATCCGTCTCTGCGTCTGCCAGGAACTTGACGAAACCGTCGGTGTCGAGGTTGGTCTTTGCTCTCGAGTTGGCAGTAAAGGGGAACTGTCCCACCTTGTAGTTGACCTTGGCCGCCTTCAGCTCCTGCTCGTTCTGGCCTACCCAGGCCACCTCGGGATGTGTGTACATGACTGAGGGAATGGCACCATAGTTGACGTGACCGAAACCCTTCTTGATGAACTCGACCACAGCCACGCCCTCTTCTTCGGCCTTGTGCGCCAACATGGGTCCAAACGTCACATCACCAATCACTCGGATATGGGGGATCTTTGTGCGGTATTCTTGGTCAATCACCAGCCGTTTCCGCTCGTCTTGCTCAATGCCAATGTTCTCCAGTCCGAGGCCTTCTGTGTATGGTCTGCGGCCAATGGCCACCAGAACCACCTCTGACTCGACCGTCTCGGCCTTTCCACCTTTGGCAGCCTCGAGTTCAAGCTTGACGAGCTCACCACTGGCATCGCCCGATGTCACTTTGGTGTTCAGCTTGAACTTGATGCCTTGTTTTGTAAGAAGCTTTTGTGCCTGTTTGGCGACATCGGCATCCATACCAGGGCCACCAATCTGGCCCAGGAATTCCACCACCGTCACTTGCGAGCCAAGTCGAGACCATACTGATGCCTGTTACATGTGAGTCAGAAGATGATAACGCCAAGAGGAGGGCGAAGTAGAAGGGACTGACCATCTCGAGTCCAATAATGCCACCTCCAATCACGGTCATTCTTTTGGGCACTTCTTCAAGAGCAATGGCTCCGGTGCTTGTGATGACCTTCTTCTCATCGATGGTGAGTCCTGGGAAAGGAGTGGATTCGCTTCCGGTCGCAATGATGATGTTCTTTGCCTTGACTTCAGTCTCACCCCCTTCTATTAAGTTGACTCGAACCGTGTTTTCGTCGACAAAGGAGCCTGTGCCGGGGATGTAGTCGACCTTGTTCTTCTTGAAGAGGAACTCGACGCCTTTGGTGAGACCTGAGACTGAATCTTCCTTTGCCTTCATCATTTGCCTGAGGTTGAGCTTGACATCGCCGACATCAATGCCTCGTTTCTTGGTGTCGTGGAGGATTTGGTGGTAAAGATGTGAGTTGTTCAAAAGGGACTTGGAAGGTATGCAGCCCACGTTCAAACATGTGCCACCCAGGGCTCCTCGCTTCTCAATGCAGGCGGTCTGTAGCTTGGGTTAGACAAAGGCTACAGGGATGGAGTGTTAGACTTGTGCTGACCTTGAGACCCTCCTGCCCGGCCTTGATTGCGCCGACATAGCCTGCAACGCCACCACCAATGAACAGGATGTCGTACTCTTTCGCCTCTGAGGCATATCCCCGACTTCTGGGTTGGTTTAACGAGACGATCTGAAAGCTTGGAGCGGTCCGCAGGTTGGCGGGGCCCAGGTGCGGAGCTTTTGACGAAAGCAGCGACCTGCTGGATCTTGGGATGAGGGTTTTGAGCATATTGACAACGTGAACAGGCGAGAGGACACAAGAGGCAGCGAAAGAAAGGCGACAACAAGCCGCAGAGGGTCGGTTTCAGTAGACAAAAGAATGCCGGAGGATGCAGGGCAACGGGCAACGGGCAACAGGTTGCGAAGCAGAAGATATTGATTGCAAGTCCAAGTACAAGAAGTTCGGAGTCGGCGAATGGTTTCTAGTGAATTGGAGTTGAATGGAGCTTCAGGTCTCAACGCACGGCATGAGTCTGCATCGACGCCCGAAGGAGCTTAGTCGGCCGGGGGCAGGAGTTGGCGATGACTCCGGAAACCAACAAAGTGCGCATACAAACCACCTCAGCCGGTGGCACTTGCCGTTAATAAGCGCGGGTCACGTGGGAAAATGGCGCGGAAGGGGCGGAGGTTTCCCGGAGGTCTTGCAAGTATCCACAATAACAACGACATGCAACAATCAACTACCAAAACACCAACGATACGATACTTTTGGTCGCCATCGTCCTCTCGAGATGTACTGAGACTTCTTCTCTGGTACTGGTGAATGACTGGTACAGGATATCTATCTGGGTTTGTGAAGATCGCGTCTCCCTGATCCACTGGGATGATTCATTGGTAGGTTCTTTAAGCCATACTCCAATAAAATATGCAAGGATATCACATTTCAGCCTTGTCAACCCAACGACCTCGCGGGGACTTGTATCAAGACATTGCGAATTCTCTGCTCTAACTATTCTCTGGCAAAATCCATGGCACAACTCTCACAGGAGAATGGTCAATATCAGGTATGGATCATCTTCATAGTACAGGTAGGTCTTTTCGACCTACAGGCTTTTCGCGGCTTTCCCCCCTCTCTCCCTCCCCTTTCTCCTTTTTGCTCAGCCTCATATGACAGCCTTGTCACCTTTCATCATTCCTAGGCTTCACCAGAAGTTGGGGACTCGTCAAAGATCAATTATCTTGTTCTTCGCCAGACTTGCCTTCAATCATTTTTCGCCTTCACATCCATTCATGTTCACGTTTACGGATTTCACGTGATGCTGGATGAGCCTACAGGCAGTAATGACCTTTTTACACAGCACCCTAACTTGGTGTGAATCTTCACGCTTGGCACTTTGTTGTTCAAGCTACTACCATGCAACTGCTGCTCTCCTGTCACACCTGGCTTTGATATTTGTCTTTCTCACACACCGCGTTTGCCTTGATCGTGTTTAGCAGCAATCATTGATCCCTAAGACTTCAAAATGGCAAAGAAAATACAAACACAAACCCCCCTTAATGGGCCACCTCAATTCTACTTCGTCGACAAGCTGTCCGCCACCAAACAGAAGCTTGAGATCAGCAAAGGAATGAGCGTAAAGGACATCCGGGATCTTCTTTCACAGACCACGAGGAACTTTAGGTCTTTAATCAAAGGGACAAGACATCCGCCACACCCTGAACAGGGGTACACCAATGCTGATGGGCCATGGAGATATCGACTGTCCCGCGCTGACGGAAGCCATCACCCTGGGCGTCGCGTGAATGATACAGATGATACAGATGATACAGATCCATGGAGGATCTTTCAGACAGACAAAGATCTTGAAACCTTGTGGGAGCAGTTGCAGCCAGGCTGTGAGGCTAAAGGAGGCGAAGTGGAGTTTCAACACGTATGTTCCTCTCAGTATAAGCCTGCCACTCTCATGCTGACCTTCCTTTAGTCCATGCAGCTCTTTCGAGACCAGAGAACGCAGGCGCGAGACATTCCTCTACATTTACAGCTGGAGCCGTCGCCGTCGCCGTCACCATGGGGCAAGTTGCAGTCTGCAAGAGTGAATCTTCACAAGGTGACGGCTACTCTGACCGGGCATTCCAAAGAAGATAAAACTTCTCCATCCTCCCAAATTCTGTCGGCAACCCTCTCTTCTTCCGAACGCCCTCCAAAGCCCTCAACACCTTCCGAAACAGTCATGCTCAAGGTTTCGTTCGACGCTGGTTTGGAGGCAACGGAGAGCTATCTCTCAAGAGAAGCGGCGGTGTCCAGACCCATCATTGTTGATGGCTCATCGGCCCAGGATCGATTTGAGGATGTTGAACATGGTGGAGGCGATCAAACCGGCTCTCTTCAAGCTTCATCGACGCAACAGGCATCGTCGTCATCGGATACAGCAACGGCAGAACCTTCCTCTCTTCCTCCTTCGTTACATCATCGAGGGGTGCCACGTGCAACGGGTGGTGCTCAACACACTCCAGCTTCACAAGACCGTCAAGAGGTTAGTTTTTACCCGTACAGCTACAGCAGCCTTAGGTGGCCACCTGCACCCAAAACGAGCCCCAAAACTTTCATGCTCAATCTTCCACCTCCTCGAGCCGCTAACGTCAACTATCATGGTCGAGGTCGTGGTCGTGGTCGTGGCAGACGGGCTTTCACTGGACGCGAGACTTTTCGGCGGCCGGCAGCTTTTCTCCCACAGCCGTACGGTCAATCCATGGATCATGAACGAGGAGGACAATACACATTCGATCAGGGCAACGCTGGTATGCAACTGGGAAGACAAGGTCCACAAGTCCGGTGGCCAAGAAATCCACGTCCGATGACGAGTTCGCTAGAACTAGCAGGACAATACACATTCGATCAGGACAACGCCGATATGCCATGGGGAGGACATGATATACCAAACGAATTCCTGAGATATCCGCATCGAATGACAAATCCGCAAGAACTAGCAGGCCAATACACATTCGATCAAGGCAGCGCTGGTATGCAATTAGCAAGACAAGGCCCGCCAGCCGAATGGCTAGGGAATCCGCGTCCGATGACGATTCCGCAACACCATGCAACATATCATGGAGCAGCATGGAATCCCCAGAATCCAACCAATAATCCCGGCTTCAACACCGATCTCTGGAACGGAACGGATACTCGGGCTATGACTAGTCGAGCTGTTGGTCAAGTTCCAGACCGCTTTGCACCAAGCGCCTTCAATCCACAGATGCAGAGTCAGGAAATGTTCAACATGCACATGGGTCAACCTCCCACATTTCAAGGCTCACATTGGTCGACTCCGACCAAATTTAACGGGTTGCATAATCAGATGGCTAACACTGGGGCTCATGTGACGAACAATACTTATCAACACCAGCCAGATCAAATGATGAACTTGACCTTTCAAGATCCACCGCTGAGTGTGAGGACAACCAGCAATGCCGACCAGTCACGGTCTGCCCCGCCGAAAAAAAGCCGTGGTGGTGGTAAGAAACATCAGTCACGGTCTCCCCCGCTGACAGGCAACCGTGGTAGGGGTAAGAAACATCACGGAGCTAAGAAGCATTCGAACATTGGTCTGGACGTGAAGGATAACCAGGACTCAGAGAAGGCCACGGTGAAGTCTCAGTCCATCAAATTTGGATCTGCACCATACGTGGTCCCTTCCAATGTTGAACTTCCTGCATCGGGTCCCCAGTGACCACAAAGTCTAGGCTCCGGAGGTTGCCATCGAAGACACGACTCACAAGCAAGCCGGAAATGACTTGGACGCGTTGCAGAAGGCAACGGAAGCAATTGAAGAAAATCCAGAATGAAAAAAATAAAATAAAAACCATCGAGTACACAGATCAGCAACGGACAAGACCAGCCGACACCAGGAACGACGATCATGGCTGTTTGAGGAAAGCGGTTCATTGGATTGCGAGCGTGGCACAAATGGCTGAGCTGGGCTGACCCAGTAAGCTTGGAGATTGTAGATATTGGAGAGTTTCTTCCCATTCATATGAACAATCAATCAATCAATCAACCAACCAACCAACGAGCTTAGAGCAAGCGAATTTGGAAATCCGGGAATGGGCGGGTTATGTACAAGTATGTCTAGGTGATTGGGGAGAGCCCTGAATAGAAATGGAGAAACCGTTGAGTGATAGATCAAACTTGTAAAACGAATTCTAGTAAAAATGTAGCATGCTTTCCTGTTATTCCCTCTTGGGGGAGATGTATTCTAAATCCGGAGCCTTCGTAATGGCCCAGGAGAGACGAGGCGGCAAAACTCCAAGGGAGCTCCTAGCAAATTCATGGGGTGAGGGCGAGGCTGCGCTCTTAGGTTTGTAATCGTAAGTTGTTTATGTGGTTTCAAGTATGTACTATCTCGCACTATCTCTGTTCATTCGTTCATCCGTTCATCCGTTCATCCGTTCATCCGTTCATCCGTTCATCCGTTCATCTTTACAATGTTTCCTAGGAATGCCTGAGGGAGGGTCCAAAGGACTCTGCAAGCTACCGGTCGATTTGAACGTTGGCAGTTTCATCTCCACCAACCAACCTCAACCTTTCGTCACCCTTTGAGGGCAGCTGGAGGTATAATGTGGAGCCATGCCCTCACCAGTTTGGGGCTTGCATGAAGCCTATGCCTGTTTATTCTCCGTCTGAGGTCTCGTGTGACGCTCCCTGGATCCGGATCCAGATCCAAATCCAGATTCTCACATCTATCGTTGAGTCAGGAGAATCCGAGTGCCAGGAGATCGAAAGGGTTGGACAGACCTCGATGACTGTGCGCCAGGTGACCCCGTGACCCCGTCAGTCAGGTGGGAGGGAGCCAGCAATCTCTGCGCTGACCAAGTCTGAAGTGGGATTTGGCGGTCTGGTGTGTTTCCAGATGAAAATCTCCAGGCGCAGATCAAACTCACTTCACTCCCATGGTGCTCTGCCCGAGTAGACTAGGCGGCGACCATCATCGTCATCATCTCCCTTACCCGTTACACTCCAGAACAACAAACTCGAAGCCGCATCCGCCATCTGAGGATTCGAATACTTTTGCAAAACCTGCTTCATGAATCCATCCAAATCCCAACCCCTCAAGACCCTCTTGTGAGTCAACTTATCGCCCGTTCCATACAAATCCTCCTTCCAGGCCCCAAATCCTTGTACCCGCTCCCCTTCTTCGACTTCAGCCATCTTGGCTCGATCAAAAGGAGGATTAATACCGATATATTCGGTGACACCACGCCAGTGAACTGCGGGGAGATGAAGTTTGAGGAATCGTTCACGTTTGAATTCGTGAGATATGATGGTGAGATGGGTGGGGAAGGGATGGTTAGAAGAGACAAGTGTTTGCGCGGCAGGATTGTCTGTCGAGGCTAATTGGCCGAGGAAGAGAGGGTATTGGATTAGTGAGAGGAGAATGTTTTGGTATGAGTCCGTGGCATACTCGTCGACAAAGATCCGTTGTCGAAGGGTTGGGGGAGTGGTTTCTAGGCCGAACAGATTGTGTTCGAGAGCGACATCCTACGGAAGTTGTGATGGTTGGGGTTAGCTTGGTTTCTTTTCGTTTGAATGAACCATTGCTATTGCCATGCCATGCTAGCGTGATTTCAAGACCGACTCACCAAGTAACTCTGACCCTCTGACTTTGATGTCTTTGCTTGTTTAGTCGCTCCTCCGCTAAATACCAAAATAGCAGGACTTGAAGCAGCGCTGGAGTCGCCGTCGCCGCCGTTGATAACATTCGACTTTTCAATTGCAACAGCTTCCGCGAGACGACGAACGCCCGCCTCAATATGTTGGATATACGTGGTGGTTTCGCCAGCCTGGAAAGGCTCAATGAGCCAGTTTGATTCGTTGTGGCTGGGTAGTTCTGCGTACTCGGTCTGGATGTTGATTGTGGAAGGAAGCGATGGTCCAATGTAGATGGCGTGGCAAGCAACGATAATGAGATGTGCTGATGCTGGTGCTGGTACTGGTACCAGGGCCTGGGGATTGATTCTTGATGTGCTGCCGAGTGTGTGGATTTGATATTGTGATGTCATGTTCTTCGTTATAGTCATGCGTAGATATGCCAGGAAGATTAGGGTGCATGATACGCCCATGAAGAATGACAGCCATCGTCGTAATTGGCGAGGGACCATGTTATCAGTGCTCTGGAGGGCTGCTCTGGAGGGCTGTGGCTGGTGGTGCTCAAGTACTGAATTTGTTTCCCGCAAGGTCGAGCTTGCTCCTTATGAGGAGCTCAATTCAAATGGTTCAACTCATCATCGAGGCTCGAATGGTACTCTCTAATAATGCTTAGGATGGTAGATCTGCAACGTGTCCGTACGTGTCATATCTTTCTATGCTTGATTCAGGGTTGATGGAGGTTGGAGATGACGGGGATTCGTCAATGATAAGCATCTGAAATGGCCAGTTAGTGGCCGAGGGGCTATCGCAGCCTGCCAGCCTTTTATTTGCTACTTTGCTATTTATAAACGATTGGAGAAACTTCGTGTCTACGGATAGTCTACGTCGCCGACCTCACGAAAACTATGAAGCTGTAAATCATGCTCTGATCATACTAGCGATCCATTAATTGAATGAAGATGCTATGCTATTCCTTCGAGGACGTCCATTCTCCCACTATTGTTGACAGGCAGAATCTCAAATCGTCCTCTTTCACAGGCCACTGTAGCGCTAAACTCAACGGCAAAAATCCTCCTTGAGCTGTGACAGTGACAGGATAAACCGAATCAGATTCATGATGATGATGCATGCTTCTTCGCCAAATCACCTTGAACCGTCATAATGTACAATGATGGCCGATCCTCAATCGGATCCAGACGCCCTGGCCATCGTGAGTATCTCATTTCATTCATCGCCATGAAGATATGTGCATTTGTCCCCCTTGAGACACTTGCCTTGTTCCCAGAACGAGCATTTCTGTGTCTTGTAGTTGTATGGTTTCGCCTCGCTAGATCCAGACATTGGTTTTTTCTTTTTGCTTCCACCTTTACGTCCATAATCATCGTGATCATGACCATCCCCACGACCGTGTTTACGAGACTGGTCCTCGGTCGCTCCAGGGTATGGGTTTGGGTTTGCCCCAAGTCCTAAAGGCAAGCCTGAGAGTTGACTCGTTATCGACGACGTCTGCGCATGTGGCTGGGACTGTTGCGATTGTTGTTGGAGACTAGCCAAGATCGCGCCCAGATCAATATTGGTAGGAATTGCTGCCGGTGCGGGTTGCTGATATGGCGATGTCGAATTTTGGCCCTGGAGCTGCAACTTGATCTGTTCCACTGAACTAAGTAGAGTCTGATAGTTGGTGCTTGGTGCCACTGGAGCCACTTGAACTGGCTGCGATTGCTGATTGCGCAGATTGCCTAGGAATTGCTGAAGATCTGTTGGAATTGCTGACGAAGATTTCTGAGGCCCAGGGGACGTGTTGCCTGTCTGTGGCTTCAATCTAGCTTGTCGCTCAACATACTCCCGTTCACGGCGTCGGACCTCTTCTTTAGGTTCCCCAAAAGGTACCTCAGGCTCTGCAGGTTCGAATTCTCCGTCATCGTCATCTGGCTCCTTGGGCGTTGGTGGTCGATCACTCTTAGAGACATAGATGGCCATGAGTGTGTCCTGCTCGTGCTTGCTCTGAGATTCACTGCTAGCGCTCTCTGCTTTTGTTGGTCCCCCAAATCTGGCAAAGTTTTCGGCAAACAAGCTAAGCCCAGACCCATCCTCGGCCAAGATGTTGAAGTCGACCTCTGAGGGAGGCGTGTACGGTTCTAGCTCCTCAAAGGAATCCTCGTCCTCGTCCTCCTCTTCCTCGGCCACACCCTGATGCAGTTTGAGCATTTCACCTTCGCCCCCAATGTCACCCACGTCTCGCACTTGGCTGTCATTGTGACCAACTTCCTCCTCTGGATCATGAGTAAAGTGTCGAATCTCAACGAGCTCCGCATCTGCCTTCCAAGTCACGCGCAATCTTCGTCTGGCCTCCTTGCGAAGTCGCCGGGTTCGTTCTTCCTCGGTTTCATTGGGGATCTCCAACTCCTTCTTCTCGGCCTTCTCCGGTTTTTTCTCCATGTCCGTTAATAAATCTAAGAATGAGGAGGATGTTTTGGCCGCCGAGACCGCGCCATTGCGTGGGGGTGAATCTCTCTTTGAAGGATCCTTGACACTATTGGCCGCTGTCGTAGTTCCAGGTGAAGGTTTGTCTTTGGCAGCGGCAGCTCGGGCTGCAAGAGAGGTTCCCGGTTTCTTGGAAGCTGACAGCAACGATCCGAAGACGGCTGACTTAGGAGGTGGTAATACAGCAACCTTGCCTTTGGAGGCTGTAGCGCCAGGGGTCGCTGACCCAGCGGCTGCACTGTTGCCTAGACTAGTTTTGTCGCCTCCTTTGGCGCCTTGGGCAGCCTCCAGTGCTTTCCGGCGTTCAGCATTTTGTAAAGCCAATGGCTTGGAGGATGTTTTGGCGGCCTTTTTGGCGGCCGTAGGTGGCGCGGCATCTCCTTCTCGCGGCCTCTTCATCCCTGTGACGATTTCCTTTCGCAACAAAGCTCCTGGACTATCCACTGTCTGTGGTGATGCTGCTTTGTCGCCCTTTGCATCAACGTTCTTCTTTGCCGATGCGGCCACGGCATTGTTTAGAATGGTTTGAGCCAAAGTCTTAGATTCATTGGTCGCCTTTTTGGTGAATCGCTGTAAGATTTTGGAGACTTTGGTCATCTCTAACATTTCAGTGTCAAGAGTTTCAAACTTGACGACAAACTATTCATTCATTAGCATAAAACATGTGGAAGCCCAATTATCGTGCATACCTTGAGGATGTTGCTGACCAGACTGCTGTCATAATCTCCGGCATTGACACGATCAAGCATGAAGGAATATAATGCTGACATGGTGAATTGATTCTCGCCCAACCTGATTAATTTATTAGCATTCGCATTAATGTCAAAACATATATCAAGTTTTCTTCCCAACATAACTCGAGGCGGAAAGTCACGCCAAGTTATATCTTGAACACTATCTAGACAAGACGTAGCTATGGATATTGCCAATATTCTCATCCCAGAGTGCAAGAAAAGCTTGCAAATCACGTTGTTGAAAGAGTCAAGGTTGGTGCAATCAGGACCCGGCCCTGTTAAGAGTCGTGGGCTCCAATATTTGCACATGAGCCGGAACTCTCCAGAACAAGACTTGTAACATGTGGCAGAAAGGGCAGGAAAGACAGGATATGCATACCTCTTGACGATTGTTGGATGACCGTGGAGCAATGAGCGTGTCATCAGAAGTTCCATTATCGAGCGATACTTTGCGACTTCTTCTTTCAGAAGCGTGACATCAGACGCGGTCGGAGAGTTAGGCAGCTCGGCCTTCCGCAGGCTGTCGTTTTTGGACTTCCACGAATCTCTCAGGCCACGCACAGTATCGCCGAAGGCAGCAATGGCACTTCGGACCTTCTCCACCGAAGCGGATCTATTTCTTGGGGACCAAACTGCATTCACGGCATTGTACAGCAGCTTTCCTCTCTCATCGGTAGGTTGTGCAACAGCTAATACGGCAGGAATCATTTCTGGCTCATCTTCCTCAATTGCGAGCTCGTCATCACTCGAGTCCGTTTCTGAAAGAGACTCAGGTTTCGTCTTCTTGGAGATAGACTTTGTAGCCTTTGGTTTCGAGACTGGAGGAATGGGTTTGCCAGTTTGATTAGCAGGAGGACCTACAGGAGCGCCTTGAGTCGTAATGATGTTCGTAGGCGGATCAGTGAACCCTGGGTGCGGAGCTGGAGCGCCATCCAAGAACCGAGGATCCAAAGACGAGGTGTTGAAAAACTCGGGCTGTAAATAGGTTTGCTGAGGTTGGTAGTTGGGGAGAGTACCTGTACCTTGTGAGTGAGGCGGAGGATATTCCTGGTGTGCGAACTTACCACCAGAATTGCCCATGTGGTTGGCGGACAACATGTTTGGGTCAACAAAAGGTCCATTTGTTGGATGACCCTGATCGTAAGGATTGAACTGGATTACGTCCGGAGTCTGCTGCCCCGCAGGAATCGTTGGCTGACGCTGTGCAATGTTGGTGTAGGATACGGCCGAGGTGGGGTGTTGGTGTTGTGGCGGTGGTCTCTGTTGCAAGTTGGTAGCGGGAGAGGGCGAGGGTCTGGGAGGCATATTCATCTGCTGTTGCTGGTGCTGCTGATATTGCTGGGGCTGATAGCCGATCTGAGGGTGATAGGCAAACCCATCGTAGTTGACAGGGGACTGAGAAGGGCGAACAAAGAAACGAGGGTCGTAGGACGACTGTGGCATTGGTTGAGAGTTAAACATGGGCTGAGGGTGTTGAGGATGTTGAGGGTGCTGAGAGTGTTGGGTGTGTTGGGGAAATTGAGGATGTTGGTATGAAGGCTGAGGAGAGTTGAACTGAGATAGGCCAGGGCTATTGGACTGCCTGGGTTGGTTTTGATTGAAGTTGTTCTGAGATAGTGGTTGTGCTTGCTGAGAGAATCCAGGTCCCAACGCCGAAGCCTCAAAGAGGGCAGGATCGAAGAACTGTGACAGCTCATCATTGGTGTGCAGATGGCCAGGATCGGTAAAATCTGTAATTTCGTCTAGGAACGAATTATTATTGGGGTTGAAATGATTTTCTCCATGCTGTGAGCCATTCATGGCTGAATTGATGGACGGATCCATTGTCTACAGTCAACCAGAAATTCTTGAGACTGAGGCAAAGTGGTGTGCGCGTGTAGTGACACGCTGGCACGTGACTGGTCGGACCAAAAAAGGAAGTCACGAGCTTAACGTCTCTCTCACGTGCGAGTTGGAGTAAAAGTTGGAAGGTGGAAGAGGTTGGTTCGAGGCCAAATCAGGCTTAGTGGGAAAACCGCCTTGGCTGGGGCAAGTTTTGCCACTCACAGGCGGAAACACGCGCTCTCGGCTGCATGGGAACCTTAGGAACCCAGCCCAAGCAGCAGTACCCGGCGCTGAAAGAGGAGCCTGATCAGACACTTGAAGAATTAAAAGTCGTGTAGTTAGAGATGGACGGCTGTTTGTAGTTGGTTATTGTGTCAAAACACACTGTAGCGGGCGTCAAGTCGCGGATTTCTGATGTGGCTGAACCACCTGGACTGCCAGTTGGAAAATTTCGCTCCTGAATCTGCAATCCCGCCTCTTCCTCAGTCACCCTGCCCTCACTAGCACTCGACTGCCCGTAAGCCAGCCGCGTCTAGAACTGACAAAGTCTGGGAAATTCAAACTAATGCACTCGATCTGCCTTTTGCGGGGATCGTACAAGACCCTTCAGATGACTTTGTGCATACGCACTATTAGAGAGCGAGCAAACACGCCACAGTGTCAAGTGTCACGCCGACCTCATTCACCCCAAACTTGAACTCCAGCCTATGCGTGAGAAGAAATGGAAAACCATCCAATACCACGGATTACAGACCACTGTCAGCTGTGAGAGAACAAAGGTATTACAAGAGCGGGTAAGATGCTTGTCTGCAATTGACAGGATTGGGGTGTGGAAGATGTGTGTTGTGATGAACAAGAGAGGGAGGAAGAAAGGGTTGCGCCGACGTTGACTTTGAGGGCCTTGGGTCGAAGAGATCTAGCCATATTTAGTTAGCGCGGTCATGGGACTTTGGAGGAAATGACAGATTTGCCAAGGCTCCATATGCTTTCAGTGGCTTTCCTACCAGAGACATACTGAAAGTGTCCGGCAAGTCGCTCCATTACACGTCTGCGGAGTTTCAACAGAGAGACGATCATTATAGTGTTCACTGTGCTTGCAATTTCGGGATACTCTATCAGTCAAAGGACTCCAAGTCTGCTCACACAATGTCCGGCTAAGCTCAAAATGGTCTTTGGACTTAGTACCACTTCTTCTCCACAAGCCCTCTACTACCCGTCGGAAGGCAACAAACCACAACCATGACCTCCCGCCAGCAGACCCTGCGCGATCGTCAGATAGGTATGTGACTTTACAAAGGAAGAATCAGGCGATATCACTCAAGCGATCTGACTTATCAACAGCAACGATTGAGCGGATCCTAAGCCTAAACAACGAGGATATCCAGGACACCGACCCCTCGAATCCGACTCCCAGTTCATCTTTACTCGGCGAAAATGGCCAGCCTATTTGGAAGGTACTGGTCTTTGACAACCTCGGGAGAGACATCATTAGCAGTGTGCTCCGAGTCAACGATTTACGTGCCAAGGGGGTAACAATACACCTGTAAGATGATCAAAACACTTGCCTGCGCTGCTCGGACTAACTTGGCAAAAGAAACATAAACTCAACCAGGTTTCCTATACCAGACGTTCCAGTTCTTTACCTCGTTGAGCCGACGATAGCGAACATTCAGATAATATGCTCCGACCTCGCCAGAGGCCTCTACACCCCGGCTTATATCAATTTCCTCTCCTCCGTCCCCCGTCCTCTCCTCGAAGAATTTGCCGCTCAAATTGCCTCCACCAATACCTCCGAAGCGATCGCCCAAGTCTATGACCAGTATTTGAATTTCATCGTCGCAGAGCCTGACTTGTTCAGTCTGGGCATGGGCAAAGATTCCTTTTGGACATTCAACAGCGCAAAGGTACAAGAGGAGGTCCAGGACGCTGCAATAGACAGAATTGTCACCGGTCTGTTCAGTGTGAGCGTCACCATGGGCTCTGTACCCATAATCCGGTGTCCCCAGTCAGAACTTGCCAAAATGATCGCCACGAAACTCGACCGAAAATTACGGGATCATGTCCTCAATTCCAAAGACAACCTGTTCTCCTCCAAGTCGGCAAATGTCTACTCTACCCCCTCCCGACCAGTCCTCATTATACTGGACCGAAACGTTGACCTGGTGCCAATGTTGTCGCATTCATGGACATACCAATCCCTTGTTCATGATGTCTTGAAAATGCATCTCAATAGAATCACTGTTGATGTTGCAGACGAAACAAATCCCACAGCTCAACCCCGAGCCTACGACCTAAACGCGAGCGATTTCTTTTGGGCACGAAATGCCAGTGCTCCATTCCCTCAGGTGGCAGAGGACATTGATTCGGAACTCACAAAGTACAAGGCCGACGCAGAAGAGGTTACCAAGAAAACTGGTGTGAATAGCATCGAAGACTTGAATGACACATCAGCTTCTGCAACCCACTTGAAAGCAGCAATAACATTACTGCCGGAACTACGGGAACGGAAAGCCACCCTGGACATGCACATGAATATTGCAACTGCCCTTCTGAAAGGAATTCGAGACCGACAACTGGATAACCTATTCCAGCTTGAAGAGAACATTACAAAACAGACAGCAGATCAAATGCTTGCCCTGATCAAGGCAGACGACAAGGGCAACAATCCCTTGGACAAACTACGTATATTCATCATCTGGTATCTGTCCGTCGACCGTGAGCCCTCGAAGTCCGAATTAGCCGAATTCGAAACCGCACTCACGAATGCTGGTGTCGGCGAGTCGATTGCTTCAATCAAGCATATATCCAACCTCCGACTGGGAACGCGTGGCACGATGATGGCCTCAACAGTCTCGACAAGTCAACCCGCGCAGGCACCGCTCTTTGGCGGACTGTCATCTCTCTCAAAGAACTTTACCGACAAAATTGCCTCTACAGGTTTTGGCGCCGTCAATTTCGACAACCTCGTGTCTGGTGTGAAAAACTTTTTGCCCGCCAACCGTGATCTTACAGTGACGAAGATCGTCGAGTCCATCATGGACCCACCCGCTGCATCGTCCTCTGCCATTGCCAAGACAGAGAACTACCTCTACTTCGATCCACGAAGCGCACATGCTCGTGGAACTACTGGCGGTGGACCAGCATCATCCGCACGTGGCGGAGGACAAGCGGGAGTGAATCCTAGTTTCGGCCAACGGCGACAGGGGTACACCGAAGCAATTGTCTTCACTGTCGGTGGAGGTAGCATGGACGAGTACGGAAACTTACAGGAATGGGTCAAACGGACCACAGGCCAAGGTGCTGCTGGCTCCGGCGCAGGAAATGCCCCAAGAAATCGACGTGTTGTTTACGGTAGTACCGAACTGGTCAATGGAGAGGATTTCTTGAAGGAATTGGTTAGGTTAGGCTCAGAAGGCTGATAATCCATAGACCCCTTTTAAGACTTTTCAGTTTCCAATAACTTTCCACATATATCATCACGTAGGAGGATCTCTGTTCGTTATTCTGGCGAGAAACTCATCGATCATGTCCCTGACTAGATCTAGGATATAAATATATCGGAAAAATTCAAGTGTCATAACTCATTACCCCATACAAAGGGTCGTATAAAGTCGAGCTTCTCCCTAAGGTGTCTATCTATCTCCTCCCCCGCCCGAACTTTCCTCTCCCATGACCCTTTGCCTTTGAATTTTTGTTTCGGATCTTCAAACTACGGAAATTCATATGCGACTGCGCATTTGGGTTGATCTTGCGAGTTTCCCAGTCGTCGCTAGTATTATTGACTTTGGATTTCTTCGATTGTTGTTTCGTCTTGCTGGACATGGTGTTGTTGCTGGTCTTTTTAACCCCTGACGACTTTGACCGAGATTTTGTTGGTTGTGACCTCGAGGAGTTGTCATAGTCAGACATGTAGTCTCGACCTAACTCATCGTCGCTGGAGATGAAATCGTCGTCAATATCAGAAGGCGGTTCTTGTTCTGTTGGGCCAGCCTGGGTTGCTAGCTCCGCCTCGGCAATTAGGTGATCGAGGTCGGGGTCGCTGAATGCTTCGTCATGGACGTCTGCTTTGGTGCCCGCTATCGACTGGTTTTCGTCGGTGCGGGTGACTGTGTCTTCTTCTTCTTCTTCATCATCCTCGAATAATTCTTCTTCTGGGTCTTCGGCAGCCACAAATTTGGGAAGTGCCGAAGGCTTCATCTTCACTGGTCTCATGATGGCTCTCCTAGTTGTCCGCTTCTGTCCTTTCTTTTTCCATATGCGAATCGGTTGGTCTCCTGGTGGCTGGCTATCGCCTACAACAAGATTGATTTCACCATGTTCCATCTCTCTGAGGGCATCAAGGTCATCGTCGAGGTCCTCTTCACGGTCTTGAATTCGATCCTCAGAAGACTCTGCATTTTGAGTCTGGCTCTGGCTTCGCTTCCGCTCTTCTTCCTCCCGTAACTCTCTCATGTGGTTCTCTCGATCGGCGATGATCTGGCTAAGTGGCTTAGGACCAAACCGCAGATGCCGTGGCCCGCGAGTCACAGTTCGGGTGGAGGTTGGACTGGTATTGTTTTCTGCTGCCGGATTGTTCGACGTAGGACCTGTTGCCGAGGCAAAAAGAAGTCGTTCTTTGAATGAGACTGAACGCTTCAGGTAGGGAGGTGTCGCGTCCATAGACTGAGCTGCGAACTGATCATTGACATCTTTAGCTGGGGATAGCCCCAGAACACGGTCTCGCAAAGGTGTTTTATGCCCCCCAAGGGTTTTGGCTTGATCTTCTCCAACGTCGCCGGCTATCATTGTTGCGAAGCGGACGGCACTGGGGGTCGCAAAGAAATGGTCTAACATGAAACGCTTGCTTTCACTGGCTGGGGTTCGGGATAAATTGCGCCTCCCTGTCGCAGGGCCAGAGCCAGGCGTTGTTGCTGCTAGGAGGGAGGAATTGGTTTTTCGACTTGGAGATTTTCTATGGTTTGGCGTTTGAGCATTTGAGAGTAGTGTGGAATTGTCATGTACGACATCTGGGCCAAGTGCATCGCGTTTCCTTTTCTTGCTCGATGGCGTTTCGTGTGTACCTCTTCTGGAACCTCCGGAAGATAACAGGTCGAAGATGCCGAGTATGGTTCCGTCACGATGAGGAGTTGGCCCCACCGCACGCAGCATAGGCCTTGGAGATGCTGAAGATGGGGCATCATAAGGGTCAAGGTCATTCGGGTGAGCTCGAGCCTTTGAGGGTGTTTCTTTATGCCGTTGACGAAAAGGAGTGAGGCTGACAGCGCTGTCCTTGCGGATGTGAGATGTGCTCCGACTCTGACGCTGAGGTTGCGACGACGCGGTCAACACATTGAAGCCTAGCTTCCCTGCAAGAACGTCTCGGACTTTGTTGTATTCTTTGTATTTGCTTGATATCACAGGATCTGCCTTTATGTCTTCTCTTCCAGGTTTCCGTCCATGGTGACTGGATGCATACGTCCTCTCAAAATCTTTGAGGGCAGCTTTCAGCGTTTCTGCTTGTGCTTGGAGCGTCCGCTTTTTCGGGGTGTCGAGAGGCAGGATTTCGTCTTCCATAGTTCATTGCAAGGGAGCTAATGCGAGAGGAAGCGGTGTGAAGAAGTCGAAAAGCCCAAATTGTAGTAGCGTTGGATGGTGTCTCAATAATGTGACTATCTATTGGGCATTTGAGAGACACGCCCCGCGTTCTTGTGCAGCGCGACGAGGCTGAGAGCCAGACATACACTATGATTGGCTTGCTGAATCGCCCAGTCACGTGATACAACCGATCTTCCTACAACTACCTTGTAGCACCAGGGTGAATACTTTTGGCCTCTGATATACTACAGCAAAACTTGAAGTTCAGGAAAAGCGAAATCTGGCAACAGGGTGAAATTGTCATTCAAGACTGTCACATTCAACTCATGCCTGATAGCAAGCCAATTGAAAGCAAGCTGCAGTAAAAAATCCTCGTCTGGTATTTCTCATGGTTTTGCATTTTTGAGCTGACATTGTCATCTATTGGCGACTTTGCCGAGCATCTCGCTTCGCGTGCTCTTGCGAATATCATTCATAGACATTGCTATGATCGGTTCTGACCTTCCCATGCCCAACACATCACAGTTGAGGATTGAGTTGATGTGATTTGAAAATCGAGTTGACGTGAGAAACACCGCTTATGCAACCAATTCAACAACACCACCGGCCTCCTTGATCTTTCGCTCTGCCTCCTTGCTGAACCATCGTGCTCGTACAACAATTGGGATCTCTGGGATTCTGCCTTTGCCGAGGACTTTGGAGTAGCCCAATGGGAGGAGGTCGAGAACGGGAGCGGTGTCTGTCTTCTTTCCTGAGATGTAGGCCTCGCGAGTCTCTTCGGGAACCAATGACCAAAGCTGCGAGAGTTAGTCCAGCTGCCAGATCTGAGAACGGATATTGAGTGGCTCTAACCTTGTCAAGGTTGACGGAAGGCTTCCAGTAGTGGTTTCTGAGCAGGTGGAAATGTCTCATACCAACCTTACCGAAGTAACTGCAAAGATGTTAACAGCTGTTTGAGCCAGATAGTGGTGGCCAGGGTCGAAATATCGAGACGCTCTGGCACCGTGTTCCTTACCCAGGATGATATTTGTCGAAGTTGGTTCGGTGGTGATGTTGACCACCAGCAAGACCACGACCACCGGGATGCTTTCTGTGCTTTCCTACACGACCCTTACCAGCGGACACATGGCCGCGGCTAAAATTTAGAAAAGTCAGCGTATGTTCTTCCTTTTTCCTTGAAATTTCAACAATCCCATCTGGACAACGACATTTGGAGGCTGGGTTTAGAAGGTCGCCGCGGAGGAGAAGGAGAGGATCGTCATATCTGCTCGGGTATTGTGCTGACTTCGCATTGGGTGATCAGGGCGTATCTGGATGGTTTGGAAGAATGGCGAGTTTCTTCGAGGGTTCGATCGCGCTCCGTCCTCGTCGTGTCGCTGTCCCGGGACAGTGCTGAAAGAGACAACATCGCAAAGGGTGAACTCACTGCTTCCTCGTTTTTGTCAGTCTCGTAGGCATCTTGTCGGTGATGAGACTGTCGTTGTCGTGGTTGAAGCGAAGTTGTTGTGCTGTGAGGGTCTAACTTTGAATTGTCGCAGCCAGAGTGTGTGCCAAGACTAAAGACTTGGCAACACTCACCGAAATTCCTTCCTTCAGCTGATTGCATTCAACCGAAGATTAGCCGCTGCTCGCCTTGGAAATTATTGTGCCTTTGGACACCAATGCTCATCAATTGGGTTGAACGAGGCTTTATTACATTTGCATCGCTGCATCATAATCTATCTGATCTGTTGTTCGATCTAGTCATTGTATGTTCGTAACTGTCATCAACACTTCTGTCGGAAGAAGCTTGCGAGTTCCTTTTCAATTTGCGCCCAGTGTTGTTCCTTCACCCTGAGACTGCTCTGAATCCAGCCAGGCAATTTTCTCTGGATGCGCTCCGTTGCGAATCTGCCATCAATCATCAATATAGCAGCGTAATCATTTCTGTGTCGAATGACTCTCCCAATGCTCTGGTTGACTGCTCTCATACATGCATTTTCATAAAATTCTCGGCTTGCTTGTTTCGCTTTCTCTCTCATTTGGTGTTCACTCATTTGCTTCGTTGCCTTGAATTGCTGGTACTGCAAACTCTCGACATGCGCCAATTTGGCCTTCCATTCGGCCCCATTGGCGTTCGGGAATGGTAGACCAACAGCTATCACAGCACGGCCAAGTCGATCCGCAAAGTTGATGCCTTCAGAGAGCTTCCCACCCACAACTGATAGCATTAGGCCACCTCTTCCTGAATCTACCGCTGCAGCATACTCACACAGGAGGTCGTCAACCGAGTTTCCTTTCATTTCTTGGAATACGGTGGTGACTCTTTCAAGTGAAGTCATGACAGACTCGGAAGTTGCGGATTTTCTCCAGCAGGCTATGACTTCCGTCAGGTAGTTGTAGCTGGGAAAGAAAGCCACCACACCATCGGGCACACACTGACAGACCCGCAGAACCAATTTCCCCAGTTCTAGCATCATGGCCGTCGAGCCTCTTGTGCCGTAGGTAAAGTCGAATGCAATACCGCCTGGTCCTCGGGTGACTGCTTGTGCAAAAAGATTACTGTCAGGAATAACATGCCCGAAGCTGAACGTCTGTAACTGACTTTGTGTCAAGTATGGAAAGAGATAATCTGAGTAGTCAGTCATGGGTGACATGGTGCCGCCAGCCAGAATAACAGAACGAGCTTCGCGGACAATATCGCGAAAATGTTCTCTGGGATTCAACAAGGTATAACGAACAGTCACATCTTGGTCGGTACGGGAGACAAAAAACCGGCCTTCGTCGTCCGGATTCATGAGTATCGCCAGGAAGTTCTGGAAGGATAGTAAGACATTTTTGTGTTTTGCGGGTCGCTGGGTATCTCCGCTTGTCCCTGATTCTGAGTAGCCTTCGATCTTGTGGGCAAGCTTGCTTTCGTGGAGAAATTGCAAGAGCTTGTGCGGCTTGATCTGGTCCATCCCTTTCCCAGACATCAGTTGAGCAGTTGTCACTGTGACCTCTTCAGATTTCATTTGCGTCACCGTGCTGCGCAAACAGGCCACCAAGGAGTTTAAAACACGCAAGACCTGAGTGACGTAAACGCGATTCTTGCCCTTGAGTCGATTTTTGAAACGCACAGCGTATGCTGTTGCTTGATCAATGGCCTGGTCGAGCTGAGAAAGACTTAAATTTGCCGAGTGTGTCTCCGCAATCGCATCCATCAAATTGTGTGCCTCATCAATGATGACGATATTGTTCTTAACGGAGACGCCTAGGGCTTCCCGGGCCGATTTCTGGAGGAGTAGGGGATACGGTAAGGTCAGGACTTCTGACTGTCGAATTGCATTCCGAGACGCATAGTAAGGGCATGTCTTCATTTCACGGCCGAGGGCACCAATGTCCTCGATATCTCTGATTTGCGCCATTGTTCTATCACGAAATTCGTCCATCTTATCCCTTTCCTCCTTGCCGGGTAGGTAAGGGCATTTCTTGTCTTTTGGGGTGCCGGGTTTCTGCAATTCGAGGCATTGTTCGTTGATTGCTATAGTAGATTGTAAGCGAGAAACGTTGGGATTGATGCAGAGGTGCTTCCTCGAGCTCAAGGGCAGGTGTTTCACGCTTTCTTCGGCAAATGCACTCGGATTCTGGTCACTCGTATGGTTTGGCAAGGAGCCTGGGACCTTGACACGACGTAATTCACTGACAAACTGTGTGAGTTGAGAGTGGGTCCGCGAACAAATGATCAGCTTGTGTCGATCAGTTTCTTCATCCTCGGCCACGGTTTTGGAAGGCTTGGACAGTTTGTCTAACAGGTCCTGCGTTTTGGCTGAGAAACGACTCTGTTCATTTGTGGATGAGGGTGTGTCTGTGTCACTGTTGTAGTCCTCAAGCATGTATTCATCGTTGTCTGGCTTTTCACTCTGGCCATTTTGTTGACTCACACGAGGCCTCTTGGCCAATGGGACGTCAAGGCGACGTTGGATGCGTTTGGCCTCTTGAAGCCGAATGCTGGCGAGCCTTTGCTCGAGTTCCTGTCGCTCGAGGATAACTTGCCGTCTATGGACGTTGGCCTCGGCTTGAAGCAACCAGTCCGCATTGTCAGGGGTATCGTCGGTGTGGAGGAGCCGGCGGTCATGATCTCGTAACCAAGTTAAGGAACCACAGATCAGGCTGAGCGACTTGCCTGTGCCTGTTGGAGACTCGAAGATACCGACGTTCCCATGCTCGATACAGGAGTAAAGCTTGGTCATGAAATCATGTTGAATGGGGTAAGGTTGATAGGGATGGAAGAAATTGTCATGGCTCGGATTCATGTCAGGGCCGAGCGAGAGACGTACAGGTGCGGCGCGTGAGTTGACCGCCAGTCGCATGTGGAATTTGAATAGACGTGTTTGAAGTTGTAGCTCATGGTTGGCTGAGACCTTGGTACATGAGCCTCAGATCGGTGACGAGTGTTGACGTTGATGTGGACGCGTTTCCTGAATTGATTTGCAACGCGGAATAACGTGACCGAGACACATAGAGTGGCAGCAGGCTGTACGGAGTACGAGGACTCGGATGCGTGCCTTAGGAACATAACCTAGGTAAGTCGGGTCCTTGGGCTAAAGAAAGAGACTACGATGCCCCCGAGGCACCAAACAATTGGCGGAAAGGTTGCCAAATCTGGGTTTTTGCCAACTGGGCAGGCAGTGCTATTGAACCATCGTGGCTCATCATACCAGACACGTGGCTTGGTCACCAGGCTTTGCCCCCCCTGCCTGCTTCCACGCATCCTCACATGCTCTCTCAGTTGATCGTCTCGAGACTCTAGCCATAGCGAATTCAAGCTGCACAGGATATTTGATATGAAATCAGAAATCAGAACCTCGATGTGTTTGTTATAAGTCATAAGAATATCTTATTGACATTACAGCTCTTGGTGCTGTCAATGTTCCGGATACTGAGTCATGGTGTAAGAATCCTGGAGGATTTGATTTGGGTGCCTCCAGATACCTCTAGCTTATTGTGACTGCGACTGATAACCTGCAGCCACTTTGTTCAGGCAGTGTGGTTCATAAGCACAATACACAAGGTACATACCTACATACATCCCCAGTAGACCTTGCCTCCAGCTCTCCCAGATATCGTACCTTACTATTAGGTATGCTTTTGTGGTGACACAGAGCCCAGCTGGCTCATGCCTATAAAGTACGCGCTTAACGCCAATGAAAACCGCACCGTTGGCCCCTCGGCCCCTGCTGAGAACACCCGCAGGGCCAAGATCTCAAGGGCCTCCGCCTTGTTAGACCTCTTTTGGTAAAGATCCTCCAGTTAACGCTGGGCATATGCATGAGGCTCCTGTCTCTTACTCCCGGCACTCCAGTGACCTCCCCGGCCCTCGCTTCTCTAATTATTATTATCATCATCAGGAACGAGAAGTGCTGCCGTAGGTCATTTTTACTCCATACTTCTTCTCCAATTCCACACCAAGGCGTCCAAATCACCTCAGCCTCGACGATGGATTCGGGTCTTCTGGACCAAGCTGCGGCCTTGATTTCCTAGACGCTCCAGGTACCCAACAAGCGAATCTTGCGTAAACCACAATCTTCTTATTCCCTCATTCTTGCCCAAACACTTTCCTTCGCTCTGGCCTGCTCGGAAATTGTTTATTGTTGATCGCTCTTTCCTCGCGGCCTTTACCCCACTTTCCCTTGTCAAACCCCATTCCATCATCGTGACCGCGTCATCCGAGGGTTTCGTCTTCAGGACCACTTCACCACAGTTCCAAGTCTCCTATCTCTGCCAATTCATCGCTGCCTACTTGAATCACCCCTATTCATATGCCCCAAAGCTGACCACTCCTGAGTCAACGCCCAACGCCTGAGCCGCCAGAGTGTGTAACCAAGAAAGCGGGCCAGTTTGGTCCGACCTTCGTGCCTTTGATCGACTAACTCACGATTACCATCCTCCTAATAAGACGGTTCTTGAACCACCTGCTACACCTTTGAAAGATACCCCCGGGATCGTCCGTCCTGTCCGGATCATTGGACCATCAAGATGAGCTACAACACCGGCGCAACCTTCATTCCTGGCGGAGAAGATAACTACTACATCCCGGAAATCGTTCAACCTACCCCCAATCGGTACGTGCGCAGACACCCTTGGGCCCACTCATCCATTCCTTTGCAAGTGGACTTGTCCAGCTCATCTCATCTAGCGTACATGAACAACCTCAAAACATTCAGCATAACGTAGCTCAGCTCGAACATGCTGCTTCGAGCCCTGACTCGGCATACTCAGGCTCTGTCTACAGCCCTCAATCCGCCCATACTTCCTCCAATATGTACACCCAGTGGCCTCAGTCACAACATGACCAGCTGTATCAACAACCACCTGCTCAGCAGCATTATGACAATCGGGGTTATGCGACACCACTGACAAGTCCTCAAGCTCAATCACATTCTCAGCCTCAGTCTCAACCCCGGCTCCAACACCCGCAGTACACTCAACCTCCCTCCCAATCCTACCAACAAGATGCCTTTCCTCCTCGCCAATCCTCGGCTGCTGTGGTCGAACAACCAAACTTCTCTCCATTTCCTGTCATTCGAAACCCTCCACCGAACATCCCTCCCACCGATGAACAGAAGGAAGCTACATTGGAGGCCTCAAGAGCTGCGGTTCTAAGTTGCAATGATCCCGAAACCCAACTTTTATGGGCTCAAGATGCTCTCAATTATGTCGAGATTTGCCAGCAGAATGAGCAACGACAGGCTTTGGCGCAGCCTGCTCGAGCCATGACTCCCCGCATCGAACATGTTCTCCGTGAAGATGCAGTGAAAGTGGTCTCCTTTCTTGCCGATCAGCACCACCCACGCGCCGAATTTATGAGATCCATGTGGTTAGAGTTCGGCAAGTTCGGCCATAGGATCGACAAGAAGGAGGCTTTCCTTGGTTACTCTCGTGCTTCTGAGAGGGGTTACGCACGCGCCGATTACCGCATCGGAATGCAGTTTGAGTCATCTAACGATGCTCTGAAAGCCATCAAGTATTATCAACAAGGTGTCGATAAGGGTGACTCGGCTTCTTGTTACAGATTAGGCATGATGACGCTTCTCGGTCAGCATGGCCAAGTGCAAGACTACGAGCGAGGCCTCAACCTGATCTATATGGCAGCGCAGACCGCGGACGAAAATGCTCCCCAAGGCGCCTACGTCTTGGGCATGCTTCAAGCTCACGAAATGCCACAAGTGTCCATACCAGAGGCCTATCTACCAAAGGACATTGCAAACGCCAGGATTAATATCGAAAAGGCCGCCTTTCTTGGTTTCGCAAAAGCCCAGGTCAGACTCGGGGCTGCCTATGAATTGTGTGAGTTGGAGTGTCCCTTCGATCCCGCACTATCTCTACACTACAATGCTCTTGCTGCCAGACAAGGAGAGGCAGAGGCAGAAATGGCCATCAGCAAATGGTTCCTCTGTGGGCACGAAGGGCTCTTTGAAAAGAATGAAGAGATGGCTTTCGTTTACGCCCAGAGAGCGGCTCTGTCAGGCTTATCAACCGCCCAATTCGCTTTGGGATACTACTATGAAGTCGGTATATATGTTCCCGTCAACTTTGAACAGGCCAAGGATTGGTATCGAAAAGCGTCACAAGGAGGAAACTCTGATGCGGCTGGTAGAGTCGAGGCAATCTCAAGGTCCAAAACTTTGTCTCGGAAGGATCACGAAAAAGTCGCACTCTCCAAGATACGACAACAACGTGCTGCTACAACTGGGCGCCCGACTGACACCCCGACGCCTTCGTTGCCTTCATTAAATGAAGTCAACGAGCCCCTGTTAGATATGCCAGACCCCTCTCGACTTTCGATCAACGATCAACGGCTGTCCCCAAGGCCTGGCAGTACGGCGCCATATCCAACGGGCAAACCCAGTATGCCTCATCCTGAGATTCGCCCTACATCCGCATTTGGTATCAACCCCAATCTTCGTACAGCTTCGGCCCAGTCCATGGGATCAGGGCGACAAGACCCATACAGTTACAACCAGATGCCACCGCAACAACGCCCCTATGCTGATAACGATGGCTATGGTCGAGGAAGTCGTATGCCATCTGCCGGATACAATCAAAGTCATGAGGGAGGTCCTCAGGTTCGGCCACCAAACAGAACAAATGCTGGATCGCCTTATCTCAATCAGCAGAATACTCCTCCACTACCAGGGAAGGTCAATATCGGATATACCGCCCCGCTCGAACCTGAGAGAAAACCTCGCCCGATGCATCCGAACGGTGGTCAGCCACCCTCAAATCCCTCGTCTCGCAACTCCTCCCGCCCCAATCAGCCTCCACAAGGAGGCCAGGGACCCCCACGACCAGCCTCATCGAATCAACAGCGTCCAAGTCAAGGCTCTTTCAACCAGAGCAATCGTCCGCAACCCGGCCGAGCCCCAAACCAATACCCTCCACAAAATGTCCAACCAGCAAAGATGGCACCTTCCAAGCCATCACCCCACGCCCCTGCTAGCAATGCACCGCAATCTAAGCCGGCCGCAGTCCCAGCTGCTGCAGCGCCTGTCCGACCACCAGGGAAAGGACCCAAGACCTTTGACGAAATGGGTGTCCCTCAGGGGAAGGACAAGGGCGATTGTGTAAGTCGACTCCATACCGATGCTACTGCATTTCCAAGTTTCCTCACTGACGATTGTCGTATCTACAGCGTGTGATGTAATGTTCCGACACCATGATTCTCTTCGTAATACTTGGTCTATTTGGAATGATTAATGACATTCGATGATACCCATTTTTAACAGTTCAGCGGTTTTGTTGATATGTGAACCTGAACTTTGCGATGAGTTGCGTTATCGAACTCCTTCATGTTTTTTGAAATACTTCTATGAATGGGGGCCGAGGGCTTCTCGAGCTCTAGGATGATATTGGAGGCCGGCGTGGTCGACTGTAGACGACGGTGGCATGGGGGCGTCCAACTGTCTGCCATGTTTTGGTCAAATATAATGCGGCTGTGCCACCAGCCAGCCAATTCCACATTCGCAAACTTCTTGGACAAGGTCTTCTTTTTACCCAATCCGCAGACTAGCCCGGCTGTTCCAAACTCGCCTGCTTAGCAAACCCAGGTGGCAGAGGAGTGTCTGCGCAGACCACCATGAAAGAGGTCCCTCAGCCCTCTTCCGTAGCGATTTGTTGGGGCACCGTGATGGTGTCGACGTCCAAGGTCAAGTCGCCCCGGTGACCCATTTGAAGCCTGGAAATCGCCGCAGTCACAGTATCTTGGATCGGCGCCACTTATAATAGCTGGCGACCTCAAGCCTGGATGCAGTCGGGGAGCATCCGTGAACAAACATTAGAGACGGTGCCGGTTATGGGTGGATCAGCGATGGTCTCTTTGGTTGTCGCCAAATGGTCGGATTTCCCAGAGTTGGTATCTTTGAACTCTCTTGGTCCAACACTTTCAAGCGAAGAAATATGCCATAGATCCTGGGATGGAAAAGTGTGCACGATGTGCAAAGGCATATCAATCACCAAGGTTCATCATCCTGGGTAGCCAAATACCTCCTGTGAGGATTTCTCTTAATCCAATCCAGAACATGTTGCGCCGCATCCCTCGTCTCAGCGTGGTCGTAATAACTCGTCAATTGAAAGCCGTAGATCAAGCCATCAACGCCCGCGGTGCCGAGTAGCTTCTCCACATACCAGTCATGCTTGCTGCCCGTGGTCCATGCAAAGACTTTGCCGAACGCTCTGGAGGCCTTGGCCTGGCGTAGCTCCGTGCACGTATAGTAAGAGGTCTCGTCGCAGGTTCCAAATTGCAGCGGGAGGATCCAGTGGCCATAGGACATGACGCCTTGAGTGAACGACACGGACGAGGCGGCAAAGGCTGCGAGAACGGTTCGAGAAGCGCCGTTGAGATTGAGAGCTTCATTGGCATTGATCGATTTGGCGATCGAGTTGTAAGCCCGGCCTCTCGTATTGTAGAACCCGAATTGAACCCTGACGCCGTGAGGCTCAAGAATCTCGCGCGAAAGATCTTGTAGTCCTTCGACGGCGCAGTGTCGCCGTGACGGAGAGTCGACACACCGGTCAGGAGTTTTGATATCAAACCATACAAAGTTGACGGTCCGGCCGGCTTGACGTTCCAAGGCAATGGCTTCGAACATGGTGCGTGCGGAATCCCCCCGAGTGATCGATGTCCCATCGTGGTCCGCATACCATCCATCCTTCCACGCGTACATATCCATTTCCAGTGCGTTGGCCCCATGACTCAACGAATCCCGTATTCCTTGAACCGTGTGAACCCGATGGGCTATCATGTAGAACGGTTCCGCTGTTGTATTTCGCCCGCCATTGTTGGCTTCGTCCTCAGTTTGTCGCCCCCCATCCAGTACTCTTTGCTCGTTGGGTAATGGGCTAAGTGTCGATGCGCATATGTAGCCGAAGACCAACACAAGGAGGTATTGGACCAGGCGGTACTGAGTGCCCGCCATGGTGTCGACAAGGTGGATTTCGGTGCAGGTGCTATATCATGGCGTGTGGCACTGATGTGGGGGTATCAAGCGACCGAGGGTGTCTCATTGCATTTCAAAAGCTTCACCATGTATTGCAGTACATGTCAACTGCAAAATGTACCACAGCTTGACAATCTTCTTCCTTATGAAGGAACAACCATGAAGCATTGAGTAGAGCAGACCGCAGTATTGAGGGACCAAAGCCGTAAAATGTTATATGTTGCATTGGCCGTCAGGAGGGTAGTGGTCGTATCTCGTATGCTTTAGGTCAGCCCCGGAAAATAGATTCTGGGCGCTCGGGCTTACGATTCAAGCCTGGATTCCCCAGGACTTGTCACGTCCTTCAAACTGTAAAGTTTGGGTGCTTTTGGGTTGCCGAGAGAGGTGGTCACTGTGGGTGGACACCGAGCTCCCAGCGAGATGTTGTGCGCCACACAGGCGTCTTAGATCCATGCGAGGTGCAGCGGAGCCGCGCTTCGTCGCTCGGAATGGCCCGAATGGACCATTTATTGCATCATAAAGCTCTGAGTGCTGCCACTGTCTCGATCCATCACAAACCCTCTTGTGCATCCCATGCGAGAGGCTACTTCGTAGGCAGATTGTTTGGTATTGTCTGATTTAGGGACCCCTCCCCCGGGGATCCCTAACCGTAATAGGCTCGATCTCCTACTCTGTACGTAGCATCTATGGAGCAGTAGTGCTCTTGTAGCTGGTTATACGTGGTCAAATTTCCAAACAGTCAACAGGATCGACATGTCGCATGGCTGTTTTCGGTTTTCTGTTGGCGGTGTGTTGTTGTTGACAACCCATCAACGCCGTAGCTGATTGTAGGCCTACAGCGTTCGATGCGAGGCGCATCTTCGGCCATGCATCCATATTATTGGCGCCGTTTGCATCGTCGTAAGCATTCGACTTCTATTGGTCTGCATGTGATGACTTTCGCTCTCCACATGTATTTACAGACCGCCGATGAAGACTTCGTGCCTGCGACAGTGCTGCTGCTCGCCGAGACCTAACAAATGGATGGCGACGTTTCGCTTTGGACGGTCCGAAGCTTCCAGGCTGACGGATCTTTTACTGGCCCAGCCTTTAGAGTTGCAAGGCCTGATGACGAAACAAGTGAAAGAGCTCATTGTTGGTCCGTGGTCCACGCGCCGACAGGTAAGGGGGGCGCCTCACTGTCATATCCTGGGAGCGCCTTATGCCACCTTCGCAACAGATGCTGGACAAACAAGCTGAGGGCTGAACAGCTTCATAGGAACCTCCGCAGTCCTGGGCTGTCCAGTGAGATCAGTAAGTTCTGGGACGGTTGCTCAATCCATCTGCCATCCCATTTCTTCGGCAATCACATCTGTCAGTCCGTTTTTGTATTTGTGTGCATCCGAGCGAAGAGGCGGCCACTGTCTGCTCTTCTTTCGTAGCGCCTCGACCTGAGGAATGGATGATTTCAAATCACTTGGTCGACAGTTAGTCAGTCAGTCAGGTCTCAAAATCTCGCGAAGACTGATAGCACAAAAGCAGACAAGCGCAATGTATAGCACCTGTCAAGGAATGCAACATACTCGAGCTTGCCATGAATGACATATTCCTGCTGCTCCAGAACTTCGGCAAGTTCAAGTTGATGATTGTGCAAGAGATCTGTGTTGGGCACAACCACGAGAGGAACGCCGATTCTCAAAGCGTCGAGAATAGACCCCGAACCTAGTGCCAAAGATGAGACCTAAATGTCCCTCTCCTTCCAGCAGTCGGGAAACCAACCTGCATGACTAATGACCAGGCCCTCGTCGTCTGTGGTCCGACCTTTGGCCGCCAACATCTCACTTCCGAGGCCTGTCGAATTGAAGCCAAAACCAGTCACATTGAAATCCTGTGATCCAGATGTGTTGTTTAGGTCGTCGACCCCAGAACGAAAGATGGTCCCTCCCTCTTCATTGCCATACTGTACCCTTAGCTCAGTGTATTCTGCTTTCTTGAGGGCAGCAATGAAGTCTGGCGCTAGCACCGCTCGGATGAGGCTGTTAAAAGATGCCGTAGCCCCGATGGTCACAAAACATCGCTTTCCTGACGCATCTGTTGACATAGTACTTGCCATAATCAACTGGAATGGGGTCTCCAAGCCAGGAACAATAGCATGAATGTTGAGATAGGCATCGCACGGCATGAATGGAGAGAAAATGCATCGGAGAAATTATGGCGAAGCATAAATCTATCAGTGTGCCACTATGGCAGACCATAAGCTTCTAATGCGCATTATGCATTTCTCCAGAAAATGTTCAAGCTCAGCATTAATGGTCATGCCTTGAACAAAATCAGACATCCACACATAGCCAGGCGATGGCCACATCAGCGCGACATTTATGTCGCTCCTTACTACAGGTCTCTCATCACTTGCCTGTCAAACGGAAAGGGCCGCAGGCATGCCTGCACGGGCCAAAGTGGTCATGCAAAGTTCCTCCATTCCGACAACTATCATCAACGACGTTCCGCAGAGCTGCAAACGATCCCACCGACGGGCAGTCAGGTAATCCCACATCTCTTCAGGATGATTCAAGCCCCCGAGGCGAGAACGAGAACGCGGCAGCAGCACAGCCCGGTAAAAAAGCACAAGACAATGGAATGGTAGACGAGTTGGAAGAGCTCCTCTTTGACACCACGCCTCCACCAATCCGGATGTACGAAACACCGAATAGCCCAGCCAGCGCCGAAGACCTCACCGAGGACGAACTTGCCCTGATGAAAGAATTGGCCAAGGACGCACCCCAAGAATTTCGCGGCGACCCGGTCGGACTCTACAACCATCTCCTTGCTGAGGCGGAGTCGATGGAGACGGAGGAGGGAATGGACAAGTCGGTGCTTGACGATTTCGAACGCGAGTTCTCACTGGGAATGGACGATCTCGACATAGGGGTTGATAGATTGGACCGAAGAAGTATAGGGTGGCATGCACGCGATGAAGACGACGAATTTGCTCAGACCGAGGATGCGGACGACGAGCATGATGATTCAGACATCACATCTGTTGCCCACAGTGAATTGGAAGTTCATCGAGAAATCAGAGAGTATACCCGGGTGACGGCCTGGGATATGCCATTACTACAAAGTAAGTCGCAGACAGGACAAGCGCATTGTGCATCTACCGTGGTCAACACTTGTAACTAACAATGTCTCCAGACTTTGTCAAACCCTTTGAACCACCGACCGAAAAACAGCCCTTGCGATTTCGCTATACAACATACCTAGGCGAGACTCATCCAGCAGCTCGAAAAGTCGTCTTGCAGTTCTGTCCCAAGGATCTGCCAGGCCTCACCGCAGCACAACAGCTGAAGCTCCTCAAGCTGGTGGGCCCGCGTTACAACCCAGACACAGAAATTGTCAAAATGTCATGCGAGAATTTCGAGGCACCTGCACAGAACAAGCGTCACCTAGCTGATCTTGTGACCTCGTTGATCGATGAAGCCAAGAATGGAAAGGATACCCTTGAGGATATCCCACTTGACCTGCGACATCATAGGTCCAAGAAAGTCGCAAAGTTCCCGCAGGAGTGGAAACTCGACACAGAACGAGTTAAGCAACTGCTGAGCCAGAGAAAAGAGCAGCAATTGCTGCAGGAGTCCGAGGGCACGAAAGTGCTGGACGGAAGAGAATACGTGTATAAACAGGTTGAGGCTGCCCGGCAGCAGCGTGTACAGCAGCCAGTCCGCACTCTGAATTATTAGACGAACCTCATCTCTTGACTTTCCTGGTCACGAGTCTGTATTCCGAACAATTTTCAACTTTTTTTTATTTCTTTGATAATATTGTTTGAAGGCCGTGGCACTATCTTTGTCACCCCTTTGTTGCCATCACTCTTGGCTTTCGAAAATCCAATGAACCCAGGTGTCTATCTATGAGACATTGAATGAAGCACCCTTTTCCCCCAAACCCCCCAAAAATGACTGGGTATCACAAGCAATGAACATGTCCGTCCCCCTTAACCCTCATGCAAGAAGTCCAATTCACCAGGCTGTCGCGGGTCCTACTTTGAGCTTCCGCTGGATGTGCCTTTGGCCTTCTTCGCCTCACCATCAGCAGATCCAGCTTTACCTTGAGTAGTGGTGCGCGACGACGATGCACTTCCAGCAGCCACCTTAGCACTTCCAGCAGCCACCTTAGCACTTCCGTCTTTCTTTCCATCCTTCACCTCCCGTCGAAGGTGTAAAGCCCGTCCGCGACGAGAAAAAACCGGTCTTAGACTGGGATGGGCCCAGCCAGTCATCATGAGATTACCTTTCCTAAAGGCATCTTCATCTCGCTTTCGCGCTGCTGCATTCAACGCCTCTTCGTGTCGTCTGATCAACTCTCGCTTGTCTTGTGCGAGATTGGTCTGCTTGTCGTCCTCGACGTCGACACGCTCATCGGCTGAGCTCTCAGCAGTTCGATTATCTGCCTTTCGTCCACGATTGTTGGTAGAAGGGGTGCTGGCAGTGGAGTAGCGGTTGGAAATATAGCTTTGGCGGCTGGAAGCTCGAGACATCTCCTGAAGGCCCGAGCCTCGTCTCCAGTTCATGTCATGGATTCCATGGCTCAATCTGCTGTGGCCATTTCCAACAAGTAAACTTCCCTTGCCGTATCTCTCACGGTACCATTTCGGAAGGTCCTGTAGACCAACTGCGTGTAGGCCAGCAAGATCGGTTGGCATCTCATGCTTGTAGATGCAACCAGTCTGAGCAAAATCGCATTCGCCTTTGCGCATCCAGTAGGCACAGTGGGTTTTCTTGCCATGAGGCCGTGCGACGTTCACAGCGCTCGATCCGACTGAGATTGTCGGTGAGGTCTCCGTAGGACTTGGACTACTCATGGGAATATCAAAGTCGATGAGGGAACTGGTTGAGATTGGCGTGTCCACTTCTGAAGCCGTCTGGTCTTCGACCCCATATGCTCTTCCCTCCTCAGCAAGACTTTCCAGATTGTGTTCCTTGATGTCCCTGCGGAGCACGGCGGTTGGTCTGGCCGGTGATTGAGGGGAACGGATTGGTAAAGTCGTTGTTTCCACTGATGGCTCTTTTTGCTGGGTGGATCTAGCAAATGGCGGGATGGAATTGTTGATGGCGTCAACGATGTAGTATTCATGACGGCTTGGGGCAACTCCGATCCCAGTCATGCCTGCTGTGTCCCAGGTTGATAGAGTCCTGGACAGATTCCGGATTTGTATATGATGAGGTAGCTCATCCATTGCGATGAGCGGCACCATGGCCCCATTCTGTCTAGTGACAAAGAATTGGGGCTTGAGAGAACTGGTCTCAGCTCGAATGTCGGCCATTGTGTGACAAGTAGACCTAAAAGATAGAGTAATTGTTAGATATATGTACCTGAGGAGCGACAGAGCAAGATCTTGGGAGCACAAGGAAATGAGGCTTTTGCTGTAGGCTCTCGCTATTGCTGCTGATGTTGAGTGATTTGGAATGAGGATCTGGGAGGGGGGAAAGGCCGAATATTTATAGTCTGGGGGAATCAGAGGAGATGACTGGACGTTGAGTAGTAACGACTTGTATGTGTCATACGTGATTCATTGAGAAGCCAGGAACGTGAATAGCCGTGGCATGCAAACTCATATGTCTCACATGTGGTGATTCATGCAGTGAGCAACTTGAATAGTAAGGTAGTCTTAAGGGTCCAATGTGCAGTGACTCCACGATGAATAGCCATGGGGGACACTCAGCAAGCCAACTTAACACCATGGATAGTCATGACAGCGACCCAACAGTGTGTCGTGAATAATCGTTCATGTCCAAAGGGGAATTCCTGATAGGCCAGTTTAAGACCTTTCGTTATGACTCCATAGTTTGAATAGAGTCGTTACGACCAGTGTAGGAAGCCCCAGTCATGGCCAGTATCCGTGTCTCGGGTTGTAGTAACGACATGTAGTGTAAGCTCACGTGATCAATGGGTATGACTTACAGTATCCAAAGCCTTGGCCAATAGATGTATGTAGAATTCAAGGATATGTGCAGCGAAGGAAAATGGAGACTGTGAAGATAGGTAGTCGTGTCAATGTCCTCATGATTGATAGAAATCTGCAAATTGTGAAAATTGTTGGAAGGCTATATGGGATACTTGCGTTTGCTTGCTTCCAAACAGAGTTGACCGAACAGACGGTTTGGCACATTCAAAGAACATCCTCCACATTTCTTTGTGCAAACGGAACCAACACAAATACCGAGCAAGAGAAGATGGGACCAAACAGTGGAAATGAATTGCAAACCGTGGATAGAGCAGTCAAACAAGCATTCGACAAGATGATAATTGAATCAATCAACTAAGCGTGGAATTGGATAGAATGGATTTGAGTTGAGGCACGCGTTTTCCTACCGTTCGTGCTCTGAATGGTACTTGCCGCTCGATACCAGAAAGACATACCTTGAGAGTCCGACCTACTCTTGCATTCTGTTTTTTCAGTTCAGATGGTTCATCAACATAAGAATCCTGAGTCCACGGTGTTGGAGCCACAAGGCTGCCATCCGCCCGCAAGCCATGCAGATATCCATGAGGTTTAAGACAGTCATGACGAATGACGAATGCGCCACGTCACTAAGCCAACGCCCCAACTTGAGTGTTCCGGTAGAGTTATTTAGGCTGTGAAGATGCAGATGCTCAGCAGCTTCCCGAGAAGAACAAAGGGCTCCAATGGGTTAGAAGAGGAAATTTTGATGTTGATTAATTGAGCAGCCATGTGAACCTAAGAGGCCACGACCGAGCGATTCAACTCCTGGGATGATTTGGCGATACCTAATTCCAATGAAGAGGGCGGACGGCGAAGATCAAGACTCTGTCGAATTGATTTTTTGCGACTTTCTGGTCTGAAGGGTGCTGTAGGCAATGCCTACCGACATGGGCACTCCTGGCATTCAATTCGTGTCTGCATTCGAAAAAGTTGGAACAAGCAATGACTTATCGTGCTGATGTGTCCCGGTCCCGGTCCCTCAGCAAGGAAGCTCTAGCAACCTTGCTTCCATGATTGACAAGGGATGCGAGTCAGTGAGATTCATGATTGGCCACGATAAAATTGATGGGCAGCCTTATCATGGCTGGGTGTCTGATCTCTGCCAGGCAGAAGCAAGGCTTCATTGTCGTGGGTTTTGTAGTTGCATGCCAAGAATGAAAATGCGAGAGATGAGCGACGCACAAGAAATCCAGACCTTACAAAACAAGTATTAGGTACAACGTACCTTGGAACATGGAGGAACCGACCTACGGTCTATACATAACAAATTTCCAAACCAGTAAAGGCAGTCATGACGTGAGGCTTGGGAATGTATCGGGGCACCTACATACGCACACCTACTTGGTAAATTTATAAGTCACATGATAGACTAATCATCCCTACAGGAATACTCCGTAGGAAACAAACGCCCTCTAGAAGTGAGGAGTGCCCTGGAGAGGGTGCCCCGGGGAAAGCACCCTGGAGGAGAGTGCTTAGGAGGAGTGCATCGAGTGCCCAAGTAGCCCTTGGAGAAGTGCTAGATATGCTAAGGAATAGCATGCATATGTCGATGCCTTGATACATTCCCTCAAAACATTTCAATTCATAAGACAGGTGACGATGGGGGTATGCTGAGGCATAATGGAGTATAATTTTATGTCCGAGTGTGGTTTCCATAGTGACCTCAGTTGAGAGAGCTTATCTCCTAGGCTTAGCTGCTCCACAAAAGTGAAAATCCTAGCGCTGGCGTGGCAGCCTACTCCGTACAGAGTAGGGCAGAATGAATACTTACCGTACTTTTTACGCACACAAAATAATGTAGATTGAGAGATTGAGAGATTTATTCAAATCAGATCGTTCTAAGCTTTTGTTCTGACCGAATGGCTTCGGTCAATTCAGACATTACAATGATAAAACCAGGGAGGCAGGTAAGCCGTAAGGTGAAACGAGACAGATGCCTTCCTTCAGCGAAGGAATCTTGATGCCTGGCCGACTTCGATCGATCGAAAAGCAGGGGCTGAGTGGCTCATCACCTGTGATCGACCGAAACTACCATCACTCCCAGTTCATCGGCTGATCCAGACTCACCATGGACGATGATCGGGCATCATTCAATTGTAAAGTGCTCGTCGTGCCCGTTCCCCGCCGACGCATTCCAGCCTATAACTTCTGGATGGTGGACGTGCTCGCCCTATTGTGCCTTTCTACCGGGCTTCGGGCATCGGTTAAGCATGATCTTTTGTAAACTCGTGCTCGAGACCCTTGCGATCCTTGGTACCCTTGCTTAGGAAACAGGTCGCGGTATCTGTTTGGCTGAATCAGCCTCTTTCTCACCGCGTGTCCATCGATAGTGGGAAGCTAAGCATGTTAGTTGCTGTAAGACGACCGGTGACCCTGCGTCAAGTGATCTGGAATGATGACTCTTGTCTCTCTCAGGCCCGGCAAGGAAGGTCCATGGCTAGGGAACACCCAGTCAGCGGCCGAGAGGCTCCTGGTGGATGCATGGGTATGACTGGATCCGATGCGTATTTACGAGAACGAGGTGAATGAGTCTCGTGCGAGCGTACCTATTTGGTACCCAGTAGGCCAGTCCACCCTGTCGTAGCCATTCCGGGGGCTTAGCCACGCACCACTCGGCAGGCACTGGCCGCGCCCCTCCAGAAAGGTGTTGAGGGTGCAAACCACAGTCCATTGACCCTGGCCCATGGGCCACCTACCTAACCAGCCACTACAGGCTCCTTAGAGGATGGATGATGCTTAGCCCAAGGTGAAACCGCAATCTAAACCCAAATCAAACCGCCCCAAGGTCCCTTAGACTCATGCTGCACAAACTGCACAGGCACGACAGGATAGTAGGTCTGCAAGTCTGCCGCCAGTCACGCCTAAAAATGTGCAAAGTCCAGCGTTGTGGCACCAATGCTGGCTGTCCACGCCGTCCAAACCCAGACAGCCGCAGTTCCTCAATTGCACCCTCGCCTCCAACACCTCGTTTCCTATTCTTCCATCCACAACACCTCATCACCTCTCTGCCGTGGGCAACCTTTTTCCTTCTTTCATCCCTCTTTGCGACCTGCTTTCGCCTTGATTTTATTCTGCCACGCGTCAATTGGATTTTACAACCACGTTACCATGGCCACCGAGGCCTCAATCGCCCTCACCAATCGATCCCTCCGTACCATCCGCACAGTGCGTCCAACCTCCCTTCCGCGGCACCCCGAATCATCTCAAAACTGACCTTTGAACAGGAATTGGAATTTCTCGCAGACTCTGCAATCATCTCTCCAGACCAGCTTTCCTCCATTCTGTCACAACTACCCGCCCAGACCCCCCTACATGCTCCTTTACACGCCCCCATTCAAAATGGCTCATCCAACACCCCCGTCGAACAGTTTTCCAACATGTCTATGAAGGAGCAATACGCCCCAGTCCCTACTCCTGCTCCTCTACCTCCTCCAGCATACGTGCCTGTCCCTCAGATTCTTTCCATCGCTTCCGCTTTATACGCATATTCTCCCACAGATGCCGGAGACTTGGCATTGCAGCCTGGAGATCGGATCCAGGTGTCAGAACACATGAACAACGACTGTACGTCATGAACCATTCCATAATTTCAAAACAACATCTGACTAATGTAATCTCACAGGGTGGAGAGGTCGAAATGAACGCACAAATTTGGAAGGAATCTTTCCACGAAGTTATGTCAACGTGATCGAGGAAAAGGCGCGGCCTCCAATGATGCCTGGATCTTCAGACTATGGCAACATGCCTCTTCAATTGACCCAGTCTGGAACAGGACCTGACGGCCGGAAATACAGCAAACTTGAAGAGCAAGGCAAGAAGTTTGGTAAAAAGATGGGCAATGCCGCCATCTTTGGTGCTGGAGCAACAATCGGCAGCAACATTGTCAACGGCATATTCTGATGAATCCGTCAGGTGTTCGTTATGTTTCAACATCAGCCTCGATCGGCTACGACTATGACTTGGGTAGACACTATGCACCACGCGGATAGGGAGACATGATGGATTCTGTCGGCATGTGCGTTGACAGACTGGTTGCTATAATGGAAGAGAGTATTTGGCCTTTGAGCACAATTCGACGACCACACCGAACTGAATCAAACCACACCGAGCCACCGGGATGTTTTTTTGTGCATGGGATTTGGCGTTGGGCAGTCATGGGATTTTTATCAGGGACGATGGACTGGGTCATCAAAATCGAAATGCGGAGTCCAGCACGAGTCTGGCCACACAGCGTCTTCTCGTTTCACCACTTTTACAGGGTACCGGCCTTATTTCCTTTGTATCTATTAGACACCTCTTGAGAGATATTGTCTCATTCGATCGACAACACTTGCGTCTTTATGGCAACCTGGCCTATATTTTCCTTTGGCAAGCCAAATTGCTTCTGCTTGTCTTATAACAGCGCTCAGTGTTGATTGTGGCAAGCACGTTGCCCAAAAAACAGAAGAAGAGGATTGAGGTCAATGTGGAGGTCTATAACATGCAATTGCAACAAGGTAGAATGAGTTCCACCACGTGCAGTGGAGAATAGAATGGTTTGCCCTCGCGGTAATTTCTCAAGAAAATGCGACGCTTTTTCAGGAGTCCCCTTGCGATGCCGCCCTTTTCCCCCTCCAATCATTCTCTGCCTCTCCCGAGTACTGATGTCGTCTACGTCAGTCCTCAGCATCGGCCCACTGTATGTACATCTGGGTGATCATGTTCTGAAGTCCACATGAAACCCAGGAATTCTGAAAGTTGTGGTAGGGCAAGATGCGTCCATTGTAGACTGTTTCAGCTCAATGTGTTTGGCTGGTTCTCTCAATCACGGTCGTGTGTGGTCGTGTGTGGCTGTTTGCAAGGACAACGTTGGAGTGGGAGAGCCACACTCACCGCCACGGCGAGGTCGCGAGAACGTCGGATCCCCAACGCTTTTACCGCCTTTTGCTTCGCCCAAGATATTTGGTACAAGATACGTTGAGTAGACCGTATACATGCATGTCATCTCTTCACTCGACTTATGTGAATTGTCGTCGTCGTTGAAATGTATTGGTGATGAAATTGTCCCAGGTCTCAGCCTCAGTCTTCGTCTTTCGCTGGAGGTGGACCACTGGCTCGAATCATCTTTTCAATCATTTGGCCTCGCACCACCTCTTTACTCTCGCCCATGCCTAGAGCCATGTATGCCAGAAGAGGAGGGTGCCCAACGTAACTGGCATAGGAGTCGCGAACAATGTTGTTGCTCCATTCATAACGCGAGGTGTCGGCATGCCCCGTTCCGACATATTTTGCCTGCAAAGATTCGAGTTGTTGCAAAGTACGCAATTTGTCGGCCATGATAGCGGAATGGGCTTCGAATGGGAAGAATGCCGGGTGGTGTAGGTCTCAAAGGAAAGGGCAAATGCGGTGAGGACTCGCGGATTCAAAGGTTCGTCGCTGGTATTGCTTTTGGCAGGCTTTTTGACTAGAGAGAACGATCATTCATCTGCAAAATGGTTACAGTGGTTCAGAGAGGAATGTCACGTGCGACCCCATTCGGGAAGGATTCTGGTCACGTTGAAACAGAAGGCTAAACACGTGATCCTCCACTCAGCCCCTCAAGTCCCTCCACTTGCACCACCGCAAAAGGGCAGGAAGGAGCAATTTCGGGTCCGGGTTAATTTTCTCCCCGGCCACAGAAAACGCACAACTCAGACGCAGACGCATACCTTTTGACCTCGTCCTATACTTTGCTCGCCCTGTTCCGTCTGCCTGGAAGTCTCCAAAACTCGTTGCCCCGCCCCGTGCCTCAAGATCCACCATCGTGGAACTCTTCTGGACGCGAGTCCTCGGATACGACACCTTTCGGAGCGACACCGGCCTACGGAGTACTCCAAGGTCTTGGAGAGTGGTGCCTTTATACCACCAGACCCTTAGTCCCACGACCCTACGGAGCCGCCCAAAGTCCGTCCCCATCTAGTCGCAGACGCTTGAGCACACCGCTGGTGAGTTGACAAAGTCTCTACACACACAAGTTAATGCTCATGGGGAATCCGCAAGCAGGATATTACCACACACATACGGACAAATTCTCTGAAAAGCGAACATCTCTGAGATCCCGCGTGGCATTACTGACGAGAGTCAGATCTGTCCCTGTCAGATTTTTCCGCATCCCGTCCAGTCAAAGTCCCTCCAGAGTCGTATCGGTTCCTCCTCAAGGTTTCTTGGTCCCGCCCCCCACATCACTCGCGGCACTCGCCAACATTCTGCGGGAGTAGACGTTGCACAAGTCTGCCACCGCCCTCCGTTGTACGGTGGTTGACACAGCATCGGCTGTGGACCGGACTACTTGCCCTCGGCCCAAGTCGGCTTGCTCTGTAATCCCCCCTCCTCATTCGTCCACCCCTCCTAAGCCGCTCGCCGCAGCCGAACGCATCTGAGCGCAGAACCCCCAAAGAACCACCGACCTGCCAGGAACCTGTTCATCTTACGCCATGGCTTGATACCCGCCCCTTCAACAGTTCCCTCGGATCTTGTCCTGAACCCGTCCTCTTGTCTGAGGTCTGTCCGAACTGTCCACCTGCGTCCAATCCCGCGACACTGATTATCGTGCGTCCCTCAATTCCGCCATCCTAATCTCCCTCCATGAACCCCATCAGATTTGCCCTAGTGGGCTCTTGTAGAAAATCTCTCATCTCTCCCACTTTCTCATCCAGAATGGCCACCACAAGACTACAAGCTGAAGCCAGAAGGATGGGGTCAATCAGTCAGACACGCGCCGCTTCTGGCGCCGCAAAGATCAAGGTCAAGAACCCTGTTGTCGAGCTCGATGGCGATGAGATGACCCGTATCATCTGGCAAGACATCAAGGACAAGTTCATCTACCCATACCTCGACATTGACCTCAAGTACTACGATCTAGGCCTTCCCTATCGTGATGAGACTGACGACAAGGTCACCATCGAAGCTGCAGAGGCTATCAAGAAATACTCGGTCGGCGTCAAGTGTGCCACCATTACTCCAGATGAAGAGCGAGTCAAGGAGTTCAACCTCAAGAAGAGTTCGTACATACCTCAGTCCTGCATCGAACCTGCGATACTGATACTCTCTCCTTTTTAGTGTGGCTTTCGCCCAATGGTACCATCCGAAATATCCTAGGAGGCACAGTCTTCCGCGAGCCTATTGTCATTCCCCGCATCCCCCGCCTGGTACCTGGCTGGGAGAAGTCTATCATCATCGGCCGTCACGCCTTTGGAGATCAATACCGTGCAAAGGATGAAGTGATCCGCGAGGCTGGTACTCTCGAGATGGTCTTCAAGCCCGCCAATGGCGGAGAGCCAAAGACCGTCAAGGTTTTCGATTTTCCCGAGTCTGGTGGCGTTGCCCAAACACAATACAACACCACCGAGTCCATTGAAGGCTTCGCCCATGCCTCGTTCAAGTTTGCGCTCGAAAAGGGCTGGCCCTTGTACATGAGCACCAAGAACACCATTCTCAAGGCTTACGATGGCAAGTTCAAGGACACTTTCCAGGCCATCTACGAGAGTGACTACAAGAAGGACTTTGAGGCCAAGAAGATCTGGTATGAGCATCGTCTCATCGACGACATGGTCGCACAGATGATCAAGAGCGAGGGTGGCTTCGTCATTGCCATGAAGAACTACGATGGTGACGTCCAGTCCGATATCGTCGCCCAGGGCTTCGGCTCTCTTGGTCTCATGACCTCCCAACTCATTACTCCCGATGGATTGACATACGAAAGTGAGGCCGCTCACGGCACCGTCACCCGCCACTACCGTGAACACCAAAAGGGCCGAGAGACCTCCACCAACCCCATTGCCAGTATCTTCGCATGGACCCGAGGCTTAGTCAAGCGTGGACATCTCGACGAGACCCCTGAGCTCGTCACATGGGCTGAAAGCCTGGAGAAGGCCGTCATTGACACAGTCAACGACGATGGCATCATGACCAAGGATTTGGCTCTTGCCACCGGTCGTAAAGACCGTGAGGCCTGGGTCACCACCGGCCAATTCATGGAGGCAATCGAGAAGAGATTCCAGAAGAACCTCGCGGCTGAGGGATTGGCCAAGAAATAGATGTGACCTCAACTCACCGGCATTTTGATTATTGTTTTTGGGAACAAGACGGTGTCAAGCCAGCCAAGAACGTTTAGAAGGAAACATCTGGTCAGCAGCAACAGCGAAAGCACTGGCGGCGACAGGAGCAGCAGAAGCAGAAGAAGCATTGCATCTCGGCCGTGAAACTAGGCCGTTCTCCTTTTCATATCCATTGTGAGCGTGGTTGAAGCAACAGCATGGCGTCAGCTTTCCATACAGAAGGACGAAAGTCTGGATAGAGGGTGAGCAGTGCCAGAGCATTGGACTTACACCGCCCGGCGTCTCTACACTTCCAACAATTACCTAGAAAGCGAGAGCGAGAGCGAAGATGGGAGGGGAAAAAGTGGTGTCGACGAGCGCTTATGGACTGGCGTTTTGCGCATCATGGAAACTTGATGTCCGTCGCGTCACGTCACCGGGAGAAGGACCGCCGGCTAGCATTGCATCGCTTGCAATTTTCATCTTGATTGCATAGTAGTGCCATGGGATCGGTCGGTCGGTCGGTCGGTCGGTCGCCACCGCAATCATTTGCTCCCTGTCTTTTTTTGCATTCTGCATGTTAGAAAAGTCGAAATATAAACAAACCAATTGATCAAATTACCGCAACAAAATGCCCTCATAGTCGATTTCCTAGTTCATTCGATCTATCGTTTCCTTGCCGAATGTTGAAAAACTTTAAACTAGTGTTTTCTATATACATTGCCTTCTATCAGCCTGACTCGTAGTTTGTGTTGGATTCTGGCAGGATGCGTACAGAACATAAATTGCGAAATATAGTCACGTCAACAATAATGGTCATGGTAATGGTTATGATAGTGGTCATGGGACAAAAGCATCTGCTATTGGAATGAAATCTATCATGATTGTGGAAGTGCGGCATGTTCGCCAACATTACAAGACTTTCCATAATGGTCAGTCGTTGCGTCCTGCGTCGGCTCCATGCCCTTCCTCCCTTTCTGCAGAATCACAAATGAGTGTTTTGAGGATATCAAAGCCCCATGCTCATCTGTAACAGACACACGCAAGGCAGGCAGGCGCCGTCCTAAGCTCGACTTGAGCAGTAGAAGATTCATGACCGCTGGCGTCATTTTCAGATACCAACACTCTCCGACCCTTCCAAATATGCTCCAAGGTCGAGAGCTCTGGTATCAATCAAATCACACCCTCCGAGACTGCTGTCTGCATTCTGGTAGGGTGTGGTTTCTCTTCGCCACGCAAGATGAAGATCAGAGTGTGATCCGAGAAGGCACCCTTTTACTTCTTCTTTCCGAATGTCAAGGGACTTCCAATATCCGAGCCTCTCAGCTTGATGCCCAGAACCCTCTCTATACGGCCCAGTTTCGTCTGGTCGGGTGGTGCGGACCCGTTCTCAAATTGTTGGATTTCGGTATCTTTCATGTTGGTTCGGGTGGCGAGATCCTTCTGTGTCATCTTCGGGGTGATTTCGTTTCTTCGCTTGGTGATGGCTTGGCCGACTTCTCGTCCGACGGTCTTGGGCTTGACGATCTCGTCTGATCGGTCGACTTTGGTCAGATGTTGGCCTTCGACGCTGGTTTTCTATTACAGGAATTAGATCTGGCTGGCTGGCACTGTGAATGTGGGAGGGGAGACGGAGACAGATACAAATACCGTCTCGTCTCGGCTCACGGGGTCAGGGGCAAGACATACGCTGTTTGCACTGGCGAATTTCTTCTCAGCACCGATAATTGCTCCAGATCGACTGGCGGCGTTGATGGCGGACTTTCCCTTCACAACTCTTTCGCGGTCCACGGCAGTGCCGCCACCGGCTCGCACTTTGCTTCCGATACGAGTGACACTGTCCCAGTCTGCGTCGGCCATGATGGATGTTCAAGGGAATAGGTGAGGGTAGGTGGCAAGTGGCGGTGGGTTGATTGATGAGGCTGAGGAAGTGAAGTCTGTGGGATGTGCTGGTAGGGTGGTTGTGTGGGACGCTGAGTGCACAAGAGGACACTGGTGTGTTTGTAGAATTAAGGGAGGTTGAGGTGGTGAGAGAAGGAATGTGAGATCGGTGAGGTGTTTGAATGATAGTGAACAATTGGATTTGTCCAACAGGACGCAGGTGCCGGAGGAAAAGCGTCTAGAAGTTGCCATTGAACAGCCCCGCCAAGTGATTGAGTCATCGCTGGTGCCACGTGCCCACCTACGATATTCCGGTGATAGGCACACAGTTATGCCCGAGGGGCCTAGGTACCCCGGGGCTTACAGTATGACCACGACGATAGGGACTGGAGTTACTCAAGGCAAATGAATTGCTAGTCCAATGCCTGTCATGATAGCACAAACGATCAAAAGAGTGCCCATGTGTATGAGTCACGGGCTGCAAAATCTCTATGACTCCTTGGTTGGCTGGAGTTATTATTGGCTTATGGCTACTTTGAATGTATACTCCTTGACTATAGTGCACGCTTGCAAGTTGTCGAGTTCGAGGACAGGAATTTGAATATTCCACGTGATCCATCAAGCAGAAACAAAATCTCGAAAACCACCCCGTACCATAGTGTAGACCAATCCTGTGCAATCAAAGTTAGACAAGGTAACCAGACAATCGTGTCATATTTGAGAGTAAAGTGGAAAACATGAATCAGAGTAAAATGTGGTGGTTTGGGGTTTTGTTTCAAAGGAGACAAAAGGAAGAAGCAGAGCCCCTAGACCTAATCGTCTGCCTCAAATGGCTGTTCCAATATTGACATCATAAGAATTTAGAGGAGGGTTGGATATAGGGCACAAGCATTGGAGGTGCTCTTACCTGAATGAATCAACCTGTATCTTGTCAAGGCGTCAAAATCTGTTGGTCAATGTGATGTTTTAGAGGTCAACAATTGGCAACGTCTTGCATGAACCTCAAGCTCGATTGGCGTAGCCGGTCAGTCACAGAAGGGCGTCAGACGTATCCTTCAGTCATGAAGAGTCCGGTCGAGGCTGGCCCCGATGTGGGCAGCCATACAAAAGGAGTAAACAATGCATTGCTGGACTACATGAAGGAGTCGTTCAAAGACCAGCTTAAAAAGTCGTGGAGTGTGGATGCAATAATGAGGCAAGTCTTCCGAGACACAATTTTGGTGGTTGATTATCTAACCCAGACTCGAAGAGAACAGTTACATGTCTGCAATTCTGATCATTCATGCAATCATCATTGTTATTCAAGCATCTAGTGTCATGAATATGGCCGTGTCAATCCCAAGAATCCCTAGAGTCCATTTCCATCTGTCCGGGTATCTTCCTCGAGACTATAATCATCATTCATCATATCCATCCATTTTGACCAAAGCATATCGCTCAGTGTCTCCCAGTGAAGGCGACTTCTTCAATCTGTAGAGTCCCGTCCTCGACCCGTCGAAGAAACTCTTTCAAACCCATATTCCAACGCTTTTTCCCAATTTTGTCTAGGTCCAACCCAGCCGGGCAGTCTGGCTTGGTCTGCCATCCATTGCCAGCATGTGTAACCGGCTCGTGTTCATCTCCATGTCTTCTCGTTACCGCTTCATCCAATGTCTCTATTTTGATCAACACAGGGATGACGGCGCCTGTCCCAAGAGCAAATCTGCGATGGCCTACAACTTTTAGGATCATGGAAATTGTGCCCGAGTGGGCCGTGAGACTGATTCTCTCATTGTCATCCACGCTCACGATGCTGTCCAGCATTTTGGCTTGTCGAGCTGCCAATGCGTCGTTAGTCTCCCGGTAGATGGGATCCCAATATGTGTCCTTTTCTGTGAGAAGAGGATCCTTGTCTGTGATGAAATTGGGAAACCGCCCTTTGATGTAGCTGACCCCACTTCTTCGATCACAGGTATGTATACCGGACCCTTCCCGTAATCTTTCGAGGACAACAGGGCGGAAGCCGTCACTTGTGGTTACCAGATCATCAAAAGTGACATTGGCTGTCTCCATGGCACGATCCAGCGGACTGACGTAGTATGACTGTGGCAAACTGATTTTCTGTTCATTCAACTGTTTCTTCCAGAACTGATTCGCTTCTTTCGCCTGTCGAATGCCTTCTTTGGTGAGGTGTGCATCGCTCCATGTCATGATATGCTCGTCGTCCCCATCTAGCGTCGAAAAGTGGCAATCCCATGCTTCAGGTCCATAGTAGCGTTCGGCTACATTATGAAACCCATTTCCGTGTCGACCGAGGAACAGTAGTTTGTAGGAAATTTGAGAGGTGGACTCGTGTCTGGCTCTCGCTGCCTTGTTCAGCTCGGAGACCTGGTGTTCAAATCTCTGCCAGGCGGTCAAGTCCCGTCCATTGTTTGGCAGACTACGATCAGAATCATATGCCCGGTCGATCAGGCCGAAATTCGTCGCCGTAAAATTGAAGCCATTTGGATCTGTTGATGGATCGTCCTGCATAAAATATCCCTTCACGGTTGTATATTTGTATCTTTTGGCGGTCTGCTCTTGAATTACCTCGCCATCGACGCCTGCGCCTGGGTCAGGCTCAGTATGGATATCCAACACCTTCTGGTCACTCATGCTGAAGGAATGGAGAGAGCTGCTGGCTTGGAGCAAGCCACAAACTATGAAGGCAACGGTAAAGAAGAGAAGTAATGGGCTACTCGTAGTGGGGTTGGTCAGTTGCTTCGCCAGTCAATCTTCAGACTGCGCCAGGTTACACTCACACAGCAGTGGTTGTTTGGCAAATCCTGCGTTGGATTCTCCTCCTAAATTGAACGTTGCGATTGTCATGAATCAATGTCATTCTCGGAATTAATACCTCATCATCTTGAATCACAGTCTGGTTTTTGCACTTTGGCAGTCATGAATTTAGACCTTGTCATCACGAAATTCAGTAGATGTTCGACAAGGCTGAGGTGAGTGCATATAGTCTCAATATACTTCACCGTAGCGAGTATGGCGAAGCACTTGGCTCGAAGATGACGTCGCCATTACTTAGATTAGACCCTTGTGGTACAGACAGGTTGAATGCCTTTGCCGGCAACGCCAAAGGCGGACGGCTTGAGTCTGTGATGCACAGTGTTGCTTGATATGTGGGGAGGATACGGCTGATCGCCCGAGACGCGCATCGACTACAGGCTATTGACACTCTTTGTGGCTACATTCTAGTGAAACTTTGGCACTTGACACTGCTATCGGGTGGCAAAGGAGTGTGCCTGGTAGACCGTTAGCATGACGCTGCTTTTTTATTTCAAAATCCTTTGACGAGTTCAACTGGTGTCATTGTATCATTGATCCAACCGTGAACACATGTTGAGTTAGGGCCTGCCTGAGGCGGCGACTTCGAGGGGCGTTATACTGACAGGGACGCCGGGGCCTCGTGTCTTTTTGGCATCCAATAGGCGAAGGTGGCCCTAACCAAGTTTGACTGGGACGCAACTTGTTTGAACTTCACGCATGTGGTGGGCGTGGACGGCCTATCTTATATCTACCTTCGATCTCCCCTCCCACCCTCACCATCTGCAAAACAATATCGTCTTTGTTGATTTGGTGCTTAGAGATTCTCCGCCATGACGTCGTCCTCCCTTCCAACCTTTCTACTAGAATATTGACCCGTCTCAAATCATGGTGAAACTTCCTCGAGGCATCCCATTCACAGTCTCTGGTCACTCTGTGTCCCACGGGTATGCAGGTTTCATTATTGGCCGTGCCGTTCCTTCACAGTTGCACATGTCTTGATGCTGAGAGCGAGCTGCAGATGAAGGACCTCAGCGAAGCGCCAGGACGATTCCCTCATGGGCGTCTATGAATGCATCTTATAAGTCGAGGCGAGGCTTATTTTATTGCAAGGAAATGAGTTCGACAACACCTGTGTGACTCTTCACCAGGGGAGAGACCGGAAACTGAAGGCAGCACGTGAATTTTAAGTCAGCTTCCCAGTTGGGTGTTTTGCCTGTTCTGTGTGGGTGAGTGAGTGACTGTTGTGTGTTTAACTTGGTGAACAAAGACTGGCGCAGGCAGAACACGTGCCTGATTCATCTTCCTCATCTTGTTCGTTGCATGTTTTTCACCTTCTTGACGACTGTCTCCGTTGGTTGTCAGTCCATCTCTGTTCGCTTGCTGCTTCTGTGGAAATACTACTCAAGCTCTTATTGTTCGCTCTTGCTTGAATCTGTGCTCCTTGCCTGCAACTCCACCATGGTCCGCCCCAGAATGCACCAGCCTTGCCTTGTCATCCTGCCCTTTTTGCTGCTGCTAGCATCAATTGCCAAAGCCATCAACCTTGATCTCAACAGCCGCGGTTTGTGGATGAAATACTTGCTGTGACTGACGCCGACTAACTTCCATCCAGAATCCATTCTCCATGCCGCCAGCTTGACAGCCCTAGATGTCCGACAACTCTACAAACCCACAGATCCGGGAGGAAAGATCGGCAAATTCCCATTCCCACCATACTATTGGTGGGAGTCTGGAGCTGCTTGGGGCGCCATGATTGAGTACTACCACTATACAGGTGACAAGACCCATCTGAATACCACCCTGGAGGCCATCCTTTCTCAGCTTGGTCCGAGGTATGATTTTGAGCTCGAGTCTGAACGTTTCGACGAGGGCAATGATGATCAGGCCTTTTGGGTCTTTGCTGCCATGTCAGCTGCGGAATATTCACTGCCTCAACCACGTGCTCCCATTCCTCCATGGATAAGAATCGCACAAAATGCATGGGAAAGCTTCGCGTCCAGGTGGATGCTCTCAACAGGCTGCAACGGAGGATTGAAATGGCAGTTTCACGCAGAAAATGCCGGATGGTATTACAAGAGCACGATCTCCAACGGGTGTTTCTTTCAGCTGTCTGCACGCCTTGCGCGCTTCACCGGGAATGATACATACCTTCACTGGGCAAATCGAATCTGGGACTGGAGTGAAGGAGTGGGTCTCATCGATGATGCATACAATGTCTACGATGGCACCGATGAGCTCATCAATTGCTCAGCCATTGACCATCATCAGTGGTCGTATAATGTTGGAGTCTACTTGTACGGCGCAGCCTCGTTGCAGAACTATACTCGGTCTAGGCTATGGCTCAATCGAACCCTGGGATTACTCGACTCGGTCAATACCTTTGTCACCCCGTTCCCGAATTCAACCAATATTATATTCGAAGCAGCATGTGAACTGAATAACAAGTGCAACACCGACCAACTTTCAATGAAAGCTTACCTGGCGCGGTGGCTAGCTGCCACATGTCTTGTGGCACCATTCACAGCCCCACGGATAGGAGAGATTATCCGGACATCAGCTCAAGGTGCTGCAGCAAGCTGCACAGGAGGACCATACAGCAAAACTTGCGGCTCAAAATGGTTTACGCACAAATGGGATGGCACATCTGGCCTGGGGCAACAGTTGGCAGCGATGGAGGTGATCTACGCTCTATTGGTCAACGAAACAGATCCCCCTGCAAACGACCTCACTGTCAAGATTGAGCCTGCGCCGTCAGTTTCCTTGACCCCAACTGCCTCGGCTACCCCCCATGGTACGGCCAGACCGTTGCATGATGCAGTTGAGCCACCTGCAAAGTACAAGAATAAGATTCACAGTTTTATTGCGGCTGTTGTCACAGCATTAGCGCTATTCTAGGTGGGATATTTCAAGTCGGATAGACTCCTCTTCTGTTGATTGTAGTCATCGGTGGATCGGAGACCGTGGTGACTTAATTAAAGGAGTTCAGCCTTGCCAAGCCCAGAGAGTGATCGGATAATCATACCCCTTGATGAATGTTCGTCTTGTGGGTCAGAGTCATAGATGTGAAAATTTGCAAGAGTATTCTTTGGATCCGTTTTCTATTTGCATGCCTTAAATGTGTTTCCAACGGTCCAACAGGAAGCACCAGATGGAGTTCGATTTGTCTGCACGACGTCCAGAATGGCACGTGACCTCACCACTCTTGTAGCGCCAAGCTAATTTTCACTTGAAGATATAACTCATCTCCCACCTATTCAGTGCGGACTCTACTCGGCGACATGAACAGAAACATATACCAAATGGAAGTATAAGAGAGGTCTGGGTTGAATGTTCAACAGACAACAAGGACCTTAGTCCTGTGTCCACATTGATCGAACAACACGGTAGTCATCACCAAACGCTGGCCGTTCCGTCTCAAGGGTGTCCCCCTTCCTAGGCCTCATCAAACTGCTTTGCCGAACCCAAGTTGGCAGGTACAGGAAATCAAGACAGTAACAGGGGAGAAACAATCAAACGATGCCCAAGGCAGTGAAAGGAGCGTTGCTACAATGTGACCCTCCACAAATGGCCATGGTACGAAAGATCGATCGCGAAGCAGGCAATGCCTATATCATCGAGGAGATTGACGACCAGACATGTCTAGTCAAGGAAAACAAGGTAGACGAAATCAAGGCAAAAGTCAAGGAATTGATGGACACGGCCATGGGAATGGATGAGGACGAGAACGACGACAAGGACAGTGACCTGGATTGATCGGAACCCCAGAAGGGCGTACAACGTGGCATGTGGATTCGAAACTAGAAAATCATCCCCTTTAAAATGGGGGCTAGTCCATGCCGCCAACTTTGTTAAAACCGAAGCGAAGAGAAAAGAGAGTGAGACGGAACATGTCCTGTACATCCAAGCGCACGTGGACATGACCCATTGATGCTCGCCTCAAATAGCGCGGAATATCCCGGTCAGGATGTTTCGATTTGGGACGATGAGAAGACGGGAAAAGCGTTTAAGGAGAGACCGGTGGCTCTACCTGATCAGTTTCCAAGTACTGACACGTATGGCATCAGACTTGGTCCAGTGGCAGGTACACTACATAGGCTATGAAACAGGTTCAAGAATCATCAGTAGTGTGTCTTGTGTGCGAGCATCAGAGAGAGAACAGAACGAGAAAAAAAAAGCTGTCCGCCCGCTACTGTATGATCGCTGATCGCTGATCGTGCCCCAGGCGGCGCCTGTCTGCAAGGGACTGACGGGTGTCTGCAATTCAAAGCACACTAGGTTATATCTGGACGTCCTCCGACTCGTCCAATGTAGAAAGACAAAACAAGCCATTAGGAACTTGCGATCGACACCGTCTCGGGTGCATGTGAACTACTATCGTGTGGTGTCGTGTAGTGTAGGTGCGTGCGCGTATGCGTAAAAACATGTGTATATGCACGTTTCTCGGAGCGATGCGGACGATTTGGGCGTGATAGGATGAAAGAAGGGCTAAGTAAGCTTGGCCGCTCGGCCCTGAGGGGCCGCCCTTCCACAGAAGATTTCTTGACAGAACGAGGATGTGCCTTACGCATACGCGGATGTATGTACATGCAGGTACCCTATTATGGTTGCGATGGACTGAGACCTAGTTTTTTCATGGGTCATATACACTTTTACCATGGCTTGCTTTGACATGTATTGGAATCGAAGAGACTTTGTACCAGTGACAAATTTGGGAACCGTCGATTATACTTGCAGAAAGTACCTACCTAAACTATACGAATATGTGCTTCAGGTACTTAAATTAGTCCGCATTCGCGTCTCTAGCAAGTCCGAAACAAGCGCAAGATTTCCATGTTTGGCAGGGTCTCAGGGACTCAGGGTACAGGAGTGTGGGCAGTATACTTCGTAGTTCTAATCAGACGGCTGCGCAGTCGTCAATGGCGCTCGACCAAGCCCGAAATCGATGGACGAGCTTTAACTAGAAGCCAGCTCGGCACGCCTGGCAAGCCCGAGGGGCCCCGTGCGCAGCCACCATGAAGGGGAGGCTGTGGGGTTCCGGACGCCTTTTCTCCCTGGGAACTTCAAGCCTGGAAAGCCGAGGGAACTTTACTCGTTCGCATTGACCCTTGGCCTGTCGTCGTAGACACGCACACTTCCAAAATCTGCTCTGACTCGAATACTTGATACTTGAGAACCTGGAAACTTCCGCAGTCTGCACACTTCCCTCGTGTCGTGCGTTACTATGTGTCATTGCGAATGCCCGTGGTTAGCTGATCAGTCACACAGATGAATCAGTAGTCCGCCGGGCTGTGCTCAATGAACAAGATTCATGACAGGGGTGGTTTTGAAATCTTTTTGTTTCCTCACACTGACTGCGACTGTGGGCAGGCGGGAGCCATTTGATGCGCTGACCAGGGATCGTAGGTGGCATATTATGCTTTGCTTACCTCATTTACGGCTTTGTTTCCGAGAGGGAGACGTGAGTTTGGGCACCTTGAATTGGGGGGAGGGGAAATGCCGGGAGATTTTGGGTTCGGGCTAGTCCAGTTTCCTTTTTCTACTACGGAGTAAGTAGGAGGTTAATGAATCTCTAGGAGTGTTGCAGGCGATCAATTGGAACATTGAACATGATGCCTGTCTCGAGTGTGTAGGATGTGCGTGTGAGCAAATCCTGGGTGTAAGTCGATGGTAGTGTAGGAATGAGCTGGAATATTGCCCCTTTGAAGACATGGTTTCATCTCACCAGGTCAGAGACCATGGGATGCATGGATGCATGGGCGCATGGGCAGCGATTAGGCGATGTGCCTATCTGGTTAGCCTGGTAGGTGAGTCGACCTACTTGAAGAAGTGGCTGTTCACGCTGCCTAAAGTACCTACCAGGGTATACTACTGTACTCCGTAAGTTGTACATGATGGAGGTAGTACCTAACTGTCGTTTGTCCAGTTATAGCCCACAATGTCCCATTGGACCAAGGGGGGCTTTGGGTTCCTGTGTTTCGTATTCGCTACAGCATTGCCAATTCACGCCGATTGCAAGTGACAGCATTATGCGCATGCGTGCTACCCTGCGTACTACTGTAGGCATATGCGTCGTGTCGTTGTTTGACGTTTTTTCCAACCCTCGTGCCCCTCTAGAGTCAAGCCACCAAACCCTCCTAAGGCCGCTCAGGCCTAAGGGCTTCGGGCGCACCCGCCTGGCACATCCACCCTTGTGTCTTTCTCCATCCACTTGCCTACTGATGACTCGCGACCCGTGCCACTGACATTTGACCGTTTGACCCTCAGCAATTCATGGACCCATTTGTGCCATTCTACGCATTCTTAATTATTGATGATGTGCAGTCGAACTTGCATCGTGCATTCCTTGCTCATCTCTTGTTGGTCGAAACAAACCACACAAACCACGGCCACTTCTTTAGCAATTCAACCATCTGGTCCGCGCTAAAGGGAACCACAAAATCCTTGTCATCCGTGTGTGCAATCATCAATCAATACGATCATTATTGAACATTGGACAATCATGGACAGACAGCGTGCGTATGGCACATGGATGAGGTTCCATTCAACCTCCATCGCCAGACTCCCCAGGCCAACTATCGACAATCTTTTCTTTTCTTCTCACCCGCTTACTCCACCAGTATTAACGTTGTCTACTTAGCGTCCCCTTAGTTTTCTTCCTACTCATTATTTCATACAGCACAGCACATCACATCTCTTGTGTGCCTGTGCCTGACGAGTGACACTGCACTGACGACGGTCCCGATCACAGTCGTCACGCACCAACCCCCCCATCCTCTCCTCGTCTTGCTTCGTCTGACATTTCCGCTTTCTCCATCGTATCCATTTTCATCGCTCCCACTCGCGTGTCGCCTGCAAGTCTTCTCTTCCGATTCTGCTTTTGCTCTCCTGCTGGAGGGCTGGGTTGTGCTATGATACTATACTCAATACTCGTCCATCCGGCGACCGTCTTCTTCTCATTTCGACGCAACATGCAACATCCCTCCTGAACCCAACATATCCATTTCCATTTCTAGCCAAACGATCAGACGCCGGCCCTTCTTCTCATACCTCGGTGATCAAGGTTCGACTTTGATCTCCCGTTGCTAGTCCCCCCCACTGCCACATCATCCTCCACCCTGACACATCTTGCGGTGGGATTATAACCCATATTTGATCTACCGCCATTCACGTCGCAGAGTATTTGGACTTTCTTAAAAGCACAAGTCCCAACTCAATCCTGTATATTGCGCAAACAATAATCTCTGCCCTCTCGTTCTCAGCTTCCTTCAACTCACCCCTGGTGTCTCGACCCACTCCATACATCTCACCAACGCTGACTATTTCAATTCCAGCGGTCTCTACTCGCTTCGACTCCCCAGTATCCCTCTTGTCCAACCACGTCTCGTGTACCCACTTCCGCTTTCGTCTCGCTTGTCAACTCCCAAAGCCTTCTAGGCTATTTCCACCTTTCCCAATCTTCTCCTCATATCACAGCAGCCATCCACTCATTCCGACTCACAACACTTCACGTGGCATACTCATCTATATGCTTTCTGACTGAGTCATCCAAATACTTTTCTTCCATAACACGACTCTTCTAGTTTCTTGGGTTGGTATGTTTGGTTGGACCACAGAATGAGACAGCCATTGGCGACAAATCATGCTGTTCCCCGCCGGTTCGTTGCCTTCTCCGCCACCCATTGACACCAAGAAAGCGTTGCTGCTTCTCGACTTCCAGAATGAGTTTGTGAGCGCAGAAGGAAAGAACCTCATTCCAAATGTCAAAACTTTCATATCAAAATTACCCTCTCTCATTTCCGAGTTTCGTACCAAAGGAGAAGTCATTTGGTGTGGCACAGAATTCGTCCATCCTCGTTCTTCTCTCTCAGAAACGACAGGGTCTCAGTGTATTCTCTCGAATCAATCATTGACACTGCGCGAAGATGACTATGATGGTGATGATGACGACGAATACACCAGAACCAGGCCCACCATCGCCGTTGAAGACTCGCCGTCAAGCAGCCCAGCGCCCCACCATCTGATCGATCCTGAGGCATTCCTTGGGCCACTCAAGCCCTCAGGTGCCAGATGTTGCCTCCCTGGATCTGCAGGCGTCGAATATCCAAAGGTCCTTCAGCCCGCAATCGACCAACGACGCGATCTAGTATTTCTAAAGTCCCATTACTCGGCATTTGTGGATACTCCACTTCTCACCCATCTACGGACAAATCTCATTACTGAACTTTATGTCTGTGGTTCCATGTCCAATATTACAGTCTACGCCACCGTTCTGGATGCTGTCTGCCATGGCCTGCAGGTTTGTGTTGTTGAAGACTGCCTAGGATATATCAACGAACGCTGCCACATTGAAGCAATGTGTCACATGGCCGACAATATGGGCGCAAATGGCATTGACTGTCAGGAACTACGCGACGATCTCGCTGGCCTTTTGGGCGATGTTGTCCGAGAACAGGATTTTGGGGCGACCTTTGAGATCCGCCTGCCTGTTGCCCCCCCTTCCACCACGAGACCTCGTGCCACTGCGCAACAAGCTGATCAATGGGCCTCCTACTTTCACGCCGAGTCTGGTCAAGAAGCGGAGTCGAAGAGTGCCAGAGAAGCGCCAAGCCCGCGAGAACAAGGAGTCATCCAACATCACTCATATGCGAATAGTGAGTCATCATCTTGCAAAGAGCCCAGGCGTACTTCTCCTTGCCACAGTCCTCCTCGAAAGAGGTCACCTAGTGCTGTAGATCCCCCCGAGCAAGAACCTCTCCCCAAATCATCGCACAAACCTTCCAACCGTGTATCGAACCCGAGAACTCTGACTGAACAACCAAACACACAGGACTCCCAGCCAGTACATGACCTATCATCTGCAAAACACTCACAGACAGCTATCGATGCTGCAATGTCCGCCAGCATGCCCCTTGACGAGACCAGCACAGACGTTGATCAGAGCGAGATTAAGATCCAGCCAGATTCCAAGCAGAGTGTCACAGGCCTAGCACCCAACCAAGACATTCTTGATTTGTCAGGTGCATCAGCGGGGAAGAAAAAGAAGAAGTGGGAAGCAAGAATACTAGAGTCAGGAGATGTCATGGGACAAGGCGATTCTTTTCTACATGTCCATCTTCTCGACTCCGAAGACGCCAGCGCGGCGTTTTATACATGCAGGAACTCGGTCCAGTGGCAGAAGATGTTTCACAGATCGGGCGAAGTCCCTCGCTTGGTAGCTGTCCAAGGATCAGTCTCAAAGAACGGATCGCAAGTTCCTGTGTACAGGCATCCCGCTGACGAATCGCCGGAGCTACGACCGTTTGATTTGACGGTTGATGGTCTCAGAAAGGAAGCAGAAAAGATCGTCGGTCACCCTCTGAATCACGTGCTGATCCAGTGGTATCGCAACTGCGAGGACAATATTTCGGAGCACTCAGACAAGTCTCTCGACATTGTTCGTGGTTCGAAGATAGTGAATCTCAGTCTCGGTGCCCGTCGGACGATGACTCTGAGGACCAAGAAATCCGCAGTTGCAACCGATGGCAGCGTTCAAACTTCAGATACAGTCCGGCCATCGCAGCGAATACACCTTCCCCACAATTCTCTCTTCATACTTGGCCCGGAGACCAATCGACACTGGCTACATGCCATTCGAGCTGACAAGCGGCTGCCTTTTGAAAAGGACCCAACTGAGCTCGCCTTTGATGGTGAGCGCATCAGCTTGACCTTCAGACATATCGGGACGTTTATCGACCCCATCAACAATACAATCTGGGGCCAAGGGGCAACAGCCAAGACGCATGATGCGGCCGTGCCCTTGAAGACTGGTGCAGAAGCAGAGCGGGAAGGAGAGATGATGATAAGAGCATTTGGTCAGGAGAATCACCGCAGCACTGATTGGGATTGGGATGAGTGGTACGGCAATGGCTTCGACGTCATCAATTTTGAAACAAAGCCGCCGGTATGAATGTATGTTGCAGGTCGAGTTTGTGCTTGAACCACTCGCCGCCAGTATCTTGAACTATAGCAGCCCACCGGTCTTAAGCTTCCAGTGGAAGGATCAACACCACTTCGGGCCCGACCATCTATATCTTTGGGCCTCCTCACAACCACAACCTACCTCTTGGAATCAGGGAAAGAAAACTCGACATAGACCCATTTTCAGATGGGCACAGGACTTTTTGGCATACAGATAGTTTTCGAGTCATTTGGGTGGTCGGTTAACAGCATGAAGAGGGCCTTAGCGATGGCGTCTCTTTTGGAGGATCAAAACATGTCATGAAACAAAGAAACAGAATGGCTGGGAAAAGGGACAGTTGAATTGATATTGGGATTTGCCACACGACAAACAAACTAACGGGTAGAACATGACAGCAGGGTGTTGGAGGAGCGTTTCCTTTCTTATCTTGGACATCCTCTGCCGAAGGACAAGGCTTTACGTATGCCTTTTGGTCTGTGCTTTTCATGATCAACGGGAAATGGGCTAAGGAATAGGGCATGGAAGGACATCACCACATTGAAATTGACAAGGACGGTCTTTGATAAGCTTGGATGCGATGGACGGATGGACAGCAAGCACGGCAATTAGACATGGTAGGGATTGAAGTAGTCGGGATCAACGGAACCCCCTTTTGATGGTTTATATATCTACGATCTGGTACAACAAAAGAAGTTGGATTCTGAATAGTCATTCATTACTGTCCATGTTGTTTCTGATCTGCCCTGCTCATGAGGAGATCTCGGAAACACTAGGCCTACCCTTCTTTTCTCTATTATAGAGAGGTAGAGGGTAATGTGTACAGAGCAAACTCTACAAGTCATCTACATCTTACGTTGCAAACAGATGCACAAGGAAATCAATTAGACGTATCGAGTCGACCCAGTTAAATGCGTATGCTATGATTGATGCCCGGGATGTGACCAGTTCGCCTGTTCACGACCGCAGCAATAACAATCGCAAATTGGTCCTCCGGGGCGCGGGCAAACGAATCCCCTGCCGAACTTCACCACTGCCTGCATCAGCCAGCAAGGTGAGCATTGCGTGTGTGTTCGTGTAATAACAAAACGATGATTGAAACCTCCATACCCATACTTCCAGCGATGAAACCACTAGCTTGAATTTCCAAGCATCCCTTCCCATGATACAGAACACCATCATGAATCCCTTTCGCCGGTCATGGATTCCAGTCGTGAGTTCGTTTCCTACGCAGATGACCCCGCGATAGTCGTCGTGAATGTTTTGCCACTGGATGAACATGTTCACTTCAAGAAAAGTAATCTTGTGGAAGGGAAGCCAGGCCAACGATCGTACTAGCCGTGCCGATTGCAAATCCAGCCATTGTTGCAGCAGCATACTTGAAAAAGGTCTTTCCGCGGTTGTGTTGTTGGGTTAGGCTTGGATCAATCTTCACCTTTTTCCGTGGATCGTCATCACCAGTTTCCTCAACCTCAACATGAACGCTGGTATGATCGACTGGAATGGTAGCCTCCGCGGGCAAGATCTCCTCTTCATCTCCAGCAACAGCTCTCGTTGAATAATCAGAGCTTGAGGAGGCTTGTGTGAATGAAGCACCGTGATCTTCATCGCCGGAGATCTCGTGGGCCTTGCGCTTTGAGCGTTGGAGCTCATAATGACGTACCTTAGCGTCATTTCCCGTATCGTGGGACAACATAACATCTCCTTCCAGAGTACCGTACATGAAAGGCACAACATGAGCATGCTCTGGATAAGGATGGGAGTAGGTAGTCGGTGGTGGCAAAGGGTCGTAGAGGATGGAATTGTGACCTGCCCATCCAGTACGTGAAAGAGGTGGGAGGGTGGGAGGGTGGATATTGCCCGTGAACGGATCAATCCGCAAGAAAGGCTGATTATCCTGGACTGCAGGTCGTGGCTTAGCCAATGCGGCATCGCTGGGACTTGGAGCACGGAGTCCATCGTGTGCGAAGGGAGGAGCGAGGTAGCTTTGGTCGACATGGGAGTTATCGTGCATGATGATGTCAGCCGGAGCATGTGATCCCGATGTTGCTGGGCGAGGTTGGACAGATTGACGTGCAACATCTGCATCAACGTGGTTTGTGACGGCACTCTCATCACTGCTGTGAGCCATGGACACCGTATCTCTATCAGATCGTTCAACGTGGCTGATGTAGGATGTGCTTGTGATTCGAAGGGTGTCGGACGGAGAATCGAGAGAAGTGAACTTCGCCTCAGCAGATTTGTGAGCCTCGTCCTCATCACTAGTCGCGAGGGGGCTGGATTGTGGTTCGTCGATTGAGAACGCACCATCGGAGTCTGGATACTCAGAGTCTGCGATGCTTTCGTTGTAAGGAGGGATAACGACTTCGACGCTGGGAGAACGGATCGATTCTTTGACAACCTCTACAACCTCGACTTCGTCATCGTCCTCAATCGGAAAATATCCAGTCTCAGAGGAAGCGGGATTCCCTTCGAACCGAATATCCGCATGACTGTCTTGTTCCATGTGACGAACATGAATGTCCGCATGATCGTCTCCGTCATTGTCGTCGTCGGTGTAGTCTGCCGAGAACGTATTCCGAGGCTGGAGGACAGGCCATCCGGAACTGGGAAGCGGGGCGCTAAGAAGGTCAGGTTTGATTTGAGGTAGAGGCTGGGTGAAATACCCTGTATCTGACCAATAAGCAGTGACCAAGACTTGCAGTGCATTGAAAGATGCTAGACGAGGATTAGCTGAAGACTCCAAGAGCGTTGATCAGGGGAGAAATTACATGTGCCTCGAGTGACATCGGAGCCAAAGACAAGAGTATCTCCATTGTAGATTGGCTCTGGAATATTGCTCTTCAATCTTCTCGAGTTGCAATAGGTGCCGTGCATGGAGCCAATGTCTTCGATGATGAATTGCTACTCAAGGATTAGCAGGTGAAGAAGCCATGGGACTCTCCAAACTGACCCGATTATCTGGATTGGCGGTAAGAATGGCATGATGTCTCGACATGACTCTCGAGTCGAAGAAGGCATTTTCCTTGGAGGGCTGGAGGTCCTGGTCACCACTGGTGGTACCACGACCAATCTTAATTTGCCAGTCCGGTGCAGTCAATTTAATGACTCTATCGGGGATGGTATCGAGCCGGTCGGTATTTCGGAGGATGAAGGTTGCTATAAGGGAACAAGATCAGTAAAGGCTCAATCGTATCTTCGGACGTTTGTATGACGTGGATATAAAACAAACCTGAGAGATCACCTTCCGCCATGATGAGATTAGGCGAGGAAGGTCGAGAGAGAGATGGGAATCAGAGTTCTGTAGGGATTGTACAAGGTGTTGACGTTGCCGTCCAGAACATCGGCTCACTGAGGTCGAGTAACCCCAGAAAGATGGACTCTGGAGGGGTTGGGTAGGAGAGATTGCGGCTGAGGGGGAAGAGGACGGACTGCAGTGGACGGAACAACTGAGTCCTGATTGAACAAGACAAGATGCTGAACTGATCTGAGCAATTCAGTTGGGGGGAGGAGGTGTTGGTGTCAAGAAAGCAAGGCAGCTTAGGAAGTGACTGGCTTAAGGTGCAGATAGAATAATCGTCCTCGAGCAGGTGAGGTTCAAAGTCGAAAGTGCTGTTGTCTCACTCGAGGGCAGTGGCATTCGAGTGTATCAGGGCGTTCTGTGATTGGTGCAACCGGACATTCAGGCGCAGGCTCCAGTGAGGGGCATGTCACCGATAGCAGAGTCACTTGGCCAGATTAGGTTAGCTTAGTTTACTTTAATCCCTTATCGCGCCTGCCTCGTGCTGCTTTTGCCCTTTCCCTTGAACCTCGCCCTTTTGAGGTGCACCTTGTTTGTCCGAGAAATCTTCGTGCCTTTGAGGATCGTGTGACTGACACTCGAAGGATCTATCTAGAGTCTCGCATTCAAGACGGATATCCATGCATCCCTATGTATTTGGGTAGGTTGAGTTGCATGGGTACTTAGCTTCAAGTGGTGACTTGAACACGGCAGTGAAGTTGAGGTTGAGGTTGAGGTTGCCTTAGGCACTCACCAGTCATGACTGCCAGAAACACGAAATTACAGCCTGATCCTATCCCTGCTAAAAGTTACTACACACAGTACTGGGTCAAAAGAGTGAATACGAACTTCTCACAAATGTCAATTGACCACCACGAGTGAGTCAGTAACAAGTCCCATACTCCTTCTTGGCCCAGTTGGACATGTTCACCGCATTCAAAGCCATCTACAATCTGCAGTGGACGCCTCAACAAAAGTTCCACCCATTGCCACCTTATGTAGAACGAACTTATGTCCCCACCCCGCTGGGTGAGGTCGAACTCTTGGTATCACAACCCCAGACTACCATTACAACGTGTCCACCGGTCATTCTAGTTCATGGTGGATTTGGGCATGCTGCCGGGTGGTTGGAATGGATGAACTACTTCCACAAGCACTATGGCGGCACTCTCTATGCCTACTCCGTTCGAGGACACGGTGCAAGTTACCCTGTCCCATACTCCACGATGGTCAGGCGAGTCTCGCTTGATGATATAGCATCGGAGTGGGCAACGATTATTCACTATGTCAAGCACAACTTCCGCCACGCTGTTGACCCAGTTGTCATCGCCCATTCAGCAGGCGGTGCGTTGACTCAGTTTGTCTTACTCAACGGCATGGCTACCACCGCCGGACTGTGCTTGGTTGCATCAATGCCCCATTTCGGCGGCTATGGAGCAATGTGGAATTGGCTCAAAGCTGATCCCTGGATGCTCCTTCGATCGTTCTGCAGTTTGGGTCATCCATCAAGCCCTTTGAGTCAACCAGTACTGGTACATACTGGCTTTTTTGGACCCAGGTTTCCTACGGGCAAGGACGACAATTGGCAAAAGGTCAAGGACTTTATGAAGTGGATGCCGCCGTATGAAGGCATGAATTGGGTGATGTCTATCAACGGAGCCCTTTGGCGCTGGTTCCTGGGAAGGAATGAATGGTTGGACGTCTCCAAGATCTTACCTTCGATAACGGGATGGGAACGACCTGGTGATAGGGTCTGCATCATGGTAGGAAGCCACGATCGAATGCTGGATCTCAGCATGGCTACAAGACAGTTCACAGAATATGCAAGCGCAGCGAAACATCTCCAGGACGAAAAGACTGAGGTTTCCCGTCACAGTGCGCATCTGCAAGCTCAAGACTCTCCCCAGGGCGTCACCATGGAGAAGGCGAACAAGATCCGGCTGGTGATGATCCAGCAAGCTGGCCACCATATTCAAAACGATATTCAGAGCGACGCAGCAGCAGAAGCATGTCTACAATGGATCCAACAGCTTTAGGCGCTGTCATGGAAGACTCTCACACAACTCTGGTCCCGTATTATACATTCTCGTACGCCGTTTTGGTCCTCATTAAACTCCGTTCACTTAATGTCTTCCCCTCGTTGATCCGGCGCAACTAGAGGTCATATAAGTCGAGCTTCAAATATTACGTACAACATGGTGACATGGTCTCGATCTTAAATCGTCTCATCACCCAGAATAAAAAGCCTCCATATTGGGCTCCAGTGAAAAGAGGAGAAGGGATGTCCGCTATCCATCAAACGACTTACAAGATGATCAAGAGGGCAATATCTTGCTCATCTTAGATTACCTGAGGGGTACGGCGCCCTCCATGCTTTGGAGTCTGGCCGCCAGCTGAGGATACTTTTGCGATACTTCGAGCTGTGTTCGGGTTGCCTCTGCGTACGACAAGGCATTGACGATCTCGCCCTCGGTTCTTGATAGCTCTGCCGCACGCTCAAAGTACTCGAGCGCTCTCGTAACTTTGCCTTGTTGAAGCAACAATTGGGCCATTGTCGCCACAGCAATGTCGCACTCGGGGTCCACTAAATCACATACATTAGCGTCATTCCTATGCATTCCAGATATTTGAAAGGAAAGGAGGCAATCTTACAGATCAACGCCTTTTCACAGAGGTCTTCGGCTGCTGCAAAATCCTGCTTCCACTGGAATAGCGCCAAAGCCTTGTTGATTAATGGGAGGACGTTAATAGCTCCGGTCGGTTTTGTTTGTCGTTCCATCTCGATTGCAGTCTCGAACCGTTCAATAGCATCCTCGTACTTCTGTTGATCGATGAGGAGCTCACCATAGTAGTTGTACACATCGGGCACCTTGTCAAAGTTCTTGATCGTTCGGCGGAACGTTGCCATAGAGGAGGCAATGGAACCCAGCTTGTACTGTGTTACACCGAGTTGGATATGAGAGTAGATAAAGTCTCGGTCGAGGTCGATCGACTTCTGGTAGTCTTTGGCGGCATCTGCATATTCGCCAAGAATGAAATGCAATTGCGCGCGGTGGTAGTAGATGTCGGGGTCGTCTTTATTTTGTGCCATGGCCTTTTCGAAGTCTTCTGAAGCCAGTTCTTTGTTGCCCGTCTCTAATTGCATGCTGGCCCTCTTGATATAAGCCTGAGTGAGGGATGGTTGCAGTTCAATTGCCTTGTTGAGATCTTCCAGAGCCGCAGGAGTGTCACCTTCGAGGTACAAGAATGTTGCTCGCTGGTTCAAAGCGAAAGCCTCGTACTCGCCAAGGTCGCCCAGCTCAACGGCTTTCTTGAACGCTGCCGAAGCTTCGGCATATGCCTCGCCTGTCTTTTTGGTCACTGCGATAAGCCCTAGCTGCAATTGACCTTTGCTGGTATTTTCGTCCAACTCGACGCCGGGTTCTAGTCCCTCTGGTGGAGGCCGTGAACGGAAACTCTGGAGGTAGTTGGTGACAAATGTAGCACTTGGAAGGCGATTCTTCTTCTCGGCGAGGATCGCCTTGCCCTTCTTCTCAGCAACCTTCTTCAACAACCGCTCGACACTTTGTGCACTGCTGTCCGTCTTGAAACCATCAATGATGCAGCTAGCCGTGTAGTCGAGGAGGGCTTCGGAGAAAAGACCGAGATGCTCGTAGGCATGTGCTCTTCGGTTCAACGCTTTGATATATTCGGGATTCATAGCGATCGCAGCGCTGGTGTCTTCGACGACCTTGTCCCAGTCGCTAAGAGCATTGTGGCAGGCGGCTCGGTTCGAATAGAAGACTGGATCGGGTTTCAGAAGGATGGCTTTTCCGTAGAGATCGATGGCTTTATTATAATCCTTCGAGCCGTAGGCTTTGTTTCCCAGTGTTTTCAGTTTCTGGGCCAGTGACTCGCGCTCCTGGAGTGGAATGGTTAGTCTTGTAAATCTTGATAAAAGTATTCTAGCATACCTCTTGTGAAAAGGTCTCGACGGTAGTTTCATTGATTTCAGGTAATTCCACCTCGGGCTCGACAGTAGCAGTCTTTGGGGCTGCTGGCGTAGCTGGAGCTGTTGACAGGTCAATATGTGCTAGAAGGTTAATCGACAGCCGGGCAAAGTGACTGACCAGCTTCTTCGTCTTTTAGCGAAATGCCAGCCTTTGCATCCTCGGCGGCCTTTTTTTCTTTCCTCCGTTCCTTTTTGCTTTTCCTCTTTTCTGACGGGGCTGGAGGAGTTTTTGAGCCCGAGAAGTAGTATATGGCACCCGCGCTGGTTATCACGACAACTGTTCCGGCAATGGTGTATGCAACGGCCTTGTTCTCGGAAACCCAGGTTGACACGCGATCCCACAAGCCAGGCGTGGCACGCGAGGCATCGATAGAGACAGGCTCAGCCATTGGAAATAGATGCTATGCAAGAGGAACGAGGAAGGAGGATAAAAATGGGAAATGGAAAATGGAAACGAAGGGTGGGGATGCAAAAGACACGGACTCGAGGGTGACGGTGACGAGCTTTCAAAATGTTCGAGAAACTGGCACTGGCATGATGCCGACAGGAACTTTGCAGCTGCGCCAGTGGAGTCGGACTGGAGTCGTAACTGACCAATAAAGGAATGTATGTTGTCGCGCTTCGGCTGAGGGAGATATGATCCAAAGTATGACATCTGGCGGTGGAGCACACAGCCAGCTGTGGCAGTCCAAAATCCTCACTCAGATCCTTGAGCAGAAAGCCTTCACAGACTAAGATGCTGCCACGGTTCTGCAAATAAGATAGACAATCTATTCAGCCTCATGACGGCGTATCAATGAAACATCTGAGAGGTAGGACGCTACTGTCAGAAGGCAGCTCCACTCGCAGCCAGCTAACCAAGGGAATCGATTCATGGTAGGTACATACATTTCCTGAGAAATATACAAGTACAACCTCGACTAGGAATGGATTCCACCTCAGAGGAGATTGTCTCTTCACCCAAATTTCGCATTATCACAACCCTGAAATATATCTTATTCAATCAAGCCGACTTGGACCCTCCTCAAAATGATGTCAAAGACTGGCAAAACCAACATGAAACCAATCTCGCACTCCATGCACAGCGACTACAGAAATCAGCAGAGGCGTTTGGATGGAACGACCTGGCTACCCACATTCAGCAGGGTGGCCCATCACTCTTAGAACAGTATCTGCTCCAAGCAGCCCAGAATCAATCCAAGAATGACCCATCACTCGATCCAGAGGCAGGATCCTTTCGCATGTTTCGAACCAGACTCGAGATCTCAAATACAGGCTCAATCACCGTTACAATTACAGCCATGACGCCTGCTTCTCAACCTATCTCTCTCCTACCGCATGAGACCTCCGTCTTCAACCCTCCTCCCAGCCAGTCCCCACCTCCAATAGTCTCTGATCCATCGCCCGAGTCTCTTTGTCAGCTCGGCGTCGACACTCAAGCCACCGCCTCCACGCTTTTTACAAACCATAAAACTTCCTATCGAGCCCCTTACGACACGGCTCGCTCACGGTCACAATCTCCTCAATTGACACCGACCACACCACCCACCAAGGCCGAAGTTCTGCTCTTCAATCCCCAGCGCGAGATCACAGAAGCGAGTTTCTCCACCGTCTATTTCTTTCGTGGAGGACAGTGGATCACCCCTCATGCGACCTGTGGTGGGAACCTGGGTGTCACAAGACGAAGGGCTTTGAAGGGGGGCTTTTGTGTTGAAGGAGTGGTGACACTCCCTTCTTCAGGGGCAGGTCCGTTACAATCGAAAAAGCAGAGTGAGGAAACCTTTGGTGGAGGCCAGCCATGGCAGATCCAACATGGTGAAATTGTCTGGTTGAGCAATGCTGTGCGGGGGTTCTTTAAAGCTCGGGTCGCTTTGATTTGAGGCCATGCAAGCGAATATACTTGCATTTCTATGGGGATGGGTAACCATACTCTAGAACTTCGCAGATTGTCTCGACGTGATAATCCTCCAACTAAATCTTATTGGACTATTGCCATAATAACTCTCATTCTTCATTTGTCCGGTCTACAAAATTGGTGTCAATCTTCAACTTTGGCCATACTCAATTTCTTGATATGGGTCTTTGCCTCGCCATTCGGGCTGATTGTGACTTGGTTTTCAATGTCCACCTTGGCCTGGCCAACGCTCATTCTCTTAGAATGTCCTTTGCTTTCTGTTGGATTTGATGCTCCGGCTGCGTCGTCCTGCTGAGCAACTTGTGGAGGAGTCTGTGTCGGGACAGGGGCAGCAGCCTTCTTGCCAGTCTCCTTCGTTTCCGCTTTGCTCGGATTTGGGTTGCCCTGGTATGTGAGAGGCTTCCGGCTGAAAAAGTCGAGTCTGACTTCCTCGGTGACCAGTTTCCGTCTTGCTTGGAAGGCTGCCACATATTCTTGTAGATATTTGATGCAGATTTGCTTGATCTCGCCAGTCAACATCTCCCCTGACTCGTAGGCCTTTTTGATTCGGGCTAGCTCGTCGTCGTCTTCCATAAAGAAGGTCAAATACTGGAAAGGAACATCGGCTTTGGTGTCGCCTCCAAGCTCACGGTGTTTCTCCACGGTCTCTCGTCCACCTGAAAAGGCAAATTTATTGATCTTGTTCTTGATCTGGTTAGGAGTGTCGGTCAAGAAAATGGCCGAGGCATCGATACTGGCTGACATTTTTGAGCCTGGTCCTTGAAGAGCTGGCAGGAAGATGGAGTGGATGATGGAAGGTTTCTTGAACTTCATCTTTTCGGCGTTGGCACGACATTGGCGGAAATACGGGTCCTGGTCAATGGCACAGGGAATAAGGCAAGGGATGTTGCGGACTTTGGCTTCGTTGTCTCCAAAGATGTGAGGGAATGATGTGGCGAAGGAGGTCGCAGACTGAATGGCACAGAAGAAGATCTCGCCAATATTGTTTTCGCCATCGAAGCCAAAAGTGCCTTGAATCTGGTTGAAGGTAATACGTTTGGCCATAGAACAAACGTTCTCGTAGAACGCGCCGCCGACAAACTCGAGATCTGAGAAGATGAAGGTTTTTGCCGGATCAAACCCAATGCCAATAATGTCTTTGGCGTTCTCTCTGGAAAATCTTTTTGCGTCTGCGATTGTGATCTTCTTGGAATGCATAAACTTCTCGTCGTCTGTTAACATGATGACCAGAGGGCAGTCAAATGTATCTTGAAGGTACTTTGTAAACTCGAACGGCACCGAGTGACCAACATGCATGCTGTCACTACTGGGCCCTCGGCCGGTATAGAGGAAGAAGGGCTCGCCTTTTTCATATCTGTCCAGGATTTTCTCCAATTCTCGATGTGAGAAGACAATTCCCCGTCTCATGAACCGATGTGGCTTTTTGCCCGTTGCCCTCTCAAATCTCTCCAAAAGTTCCGGCGTGATAGGAGTGGCGCCAAATTGTTGGGTGAGTTTCCCATAGTCGACGGGCAACAATTTGCCTGATGCATCGACACCGCCAGACACTTCGAAAGGAGTAATCTTTTGTTCGACGGGCTGAGCAGGAGCTTGTTCGGCCAATGCAGCGGTGGTCAACTTGGGCGGCTGGCCGGGCTCATCTGTGGGAGTTGCCATCTTGGAGGGGGAAGAGAGATTGTCCCTGGCAGTCAATGGCTGGGAGGAAAGGCGGCTTGGGAGGATGGGGAGTTCTGCGGCCCGTTGGACTTGCGTGGATGCAGGGATTGCTGACCAGGTGATTGTTCAGTGCGAGTTGTAAGTCACGTAATGACTCTAATATTCCATTGAGATTTCCCGATGTGCGCGTTCTCTGACTTTGTCCTGGTGTCTGTGGTAAATTACCGAGTGAGTCAGTCGTCGCAAGAATTGTGGTTAGAATATTAGACTGCAACGAGGCGGGCGCCAGTGCAAGATGGGACTTTGAGGGTGGATCTTTTTCAGGAACATGTCGAACTTGGCTGATTAGATTAGATGAATCGACATGCTGTAAGTGGTCGGATGAGCTTCCCATTGACGATGAATGCTTTGGCTGTCTGACAGGCTTTTTCCCGATGACTGCCGCCAATGGCACCATTTTGCTAAGATTCTAGCACGTTTCGATGTAATCAGTAATGTCACTCCACCACCACTTGCTGTCTGACGAGTGACCTCATCCTCCGTGACCTCCCTGGCACCTCCGCATTTTGGGCGACTGACAATTGTTCGAGTCTCGGAGTCTCGGAGTCAGCCTCTGATTTGCCGGAGGTCAGAGTGGTCAGGCATCTTTTTTGGTCTAGGTCTGCAACTCCTCTTTTCACTTCCAAATAGCTCACGCGAGAGAGGCAAAACTCATTATTCTATACCCAATAACCCATCAGGCAGCTTGCCGCTTCGTGCCGTCATCCTCTTTTACTTCTTATCATACCTATCGACACCTCTGCCTTATGCCACTATTATCATCGCCCATGTCCTCATAACAGGATGAAATTCTACGAGTCTTCCTTCAACTACGACTATACCTTCCCTGCGGTGACGTTGGCGTACTTCCTTCGCTACCCCAATCCATATTCTCGACATGTGCTAAGCTCGGATGTTATCGATCGATATGTCGATCCTGAAACAAAAAGACTGCACACTGTGAGATTACACCTGAAGAAGTCTAAGGTTCCTGCAGCCATCCTCAAGTTTTTGCCTGGTGGTCTCGCTGGACCCAATGGCTCGAGTCAAAGTTTTATTTTGGAAAAAAGTACCATCGACATGAAGGAAGGTTGGATGGAGACAGAGTCCAAGAACATGGAGTGGACGGGCATCTTGACTGTCATTGAACGTCAGAGCTATAAGAGACTGCGTTTAGCCGATATACCTACCAACGATAGCAAGCAGCATGTCAAAGAGACCACCGGCTGCCAGACGGTGGTCACCTTTGTGTCCAAGCTTGGCCATGGCAAGATTTTATCTCGGAAAAAGCAAGATCATCCGGTAACGGTAGAAGAAGAACATCATCCCAAGCAAGGGTTTTTCGCTGCCTGGTCCACAGCCGGTATCCAACGAACAATCGAGTTGGTGGGAGTGAAGAGGACAAAATCAGCATTGGCCAATGGAAAAGAAGGTATGAACGTGGTCCTGGAACGACTCAGAAGCGGCGGCCTCGTTGCTGTATTGGAAGGCATGAGGAGGGACCGCATGGAAATGACGGGGGTCGGCGAAGGCCTCGGCAATTCTGTGTGGCACACAAGGCGTGACGGCGATCATGACTCTGACTGAGCAGCCTCAGAACAGTTTTGGTGCCGAAATTCACATGATCATGTACAACTAACATTTGTTTTTGCATTTCTCGAGCACGGCGCTGGGGACCGGTTGGGGCGAGCTTAGCTTATGGCATTAAACGAAGCGAGGCACGATATCCGTGCGATAAGCAGGCATGTCCTCAGGAGACATAGGTATCTAATATCCTGTCCACTCACAGAATTTTCTAGCGGCAATTGTGCTTTTTGTTTCTGTCCCTCAAATCCCTCAGTGTCTCTTAAAGAGAGAATGCTTCGAAAATGGTGGCCTGGAGATGCCATCCACCTTGGGCAAGAGCTAACGTACCTAAATCAGCATGGTTCTTTCCTGGAGCTGAAGAAAGGCAGATTCACGCACACACAAGAGCCTTTGGCTGAAAAAATAATGCCCTCATAGCTCTTGAGACGTCTTCTCTCCACTATCATTTACTGAGAATCTAGACATTTGCTATGTGCGATGGATTACCATGGCTAAGTGAAGTGAGGGTAAGGTCAGATCTGCTGCAAAGCCGCACATTGTAGGATTTCCTATCAGACCTTCTCGTCCTTCCTTCTTCTTCCTCCTTCGCTGGACAATCCCTACCAGGCCGTCTATTCCTTCCGCCCTTGCGCGTTGTCTCTCTTTCTACCTGGTTTGAGCGTCATTCCTCTCACATCTGCCACCTCTCTTGCCGCTCTTTTCAAGAGCTGTGGCCGAGATGCTCAATTCCTCCTGTCGATCTCTATGGTTGATTTGCCTGATCTTGCTCACGTTGCTCCAAACCACACAATCCTTTCGGCAGTTTGAACGTCGCAGTGACCTTGCCAACATCCCACCAGTCTCGGTCTCGGGCTGGACTGTCCCCCTACGTGGCTCGAGAACATGCACACCGCACGGTTCCTGTATGCCTATCTACCTCGATGAAGATCTTGACCAATGCGCTGATGATTCTCAGGTACCGATTCCTTGACCCCACCTCCAACCACAAAACCTCTTCAATATCTCACTTTGGGTCGAGGTCTTTACACCTATACCTGTAATGGTGAGGGACCAGACGAAGTGCCAAGGTTCCAATCTCAATCCACACAGTTGTACAACGCTGCGCCTCTGATACCTCGACTTGCCAACGAAGATGCCTTTCACGCATTGGTTGCTGAGCTTGCATTGTTTGATTACATGAGCCTCGAGAACTCGACCTTGGAGTGCATTGGCGCTATCGGAACCGTCAACAATACTGCCATTATTACACTGGTCGAGATTGCCACATTCGAGGCCTGGGCCTACGAGTCAATCCTCTCTCCCAGGCCTTCAGTGGATGGGCGATGGGCTCATTCGGTGAGTCCCCACCGCAGCTGGGATGTCTACAGGGTTGAAATGGCAGGCGGCGCTCCTCCGTCATGTACTGGGGAATCAGAAACGTTAGAAGTGAGCTATGCAGCCGAATACTGGTTCTTTCACACGACAGGGGAGGATCTAATAACGGTTACGAATCATGAGGGCAATGAGGACTCCGAGGGCCCCGATGAATCACTTAGACACACTATGTTGATGATATGAAGCAAAGAGGATGGAGACAGCGATATGGAGTCATGTTGTTGAGATGGTGTCGGTGGGGAGCTGATTGATGCTGGGTGTCATGAAAGCTTGCTGTACTAATTGTGTCTCAGATTCAAGCAAAAACGAATCAAAGATAAACATGTGGACATGGACGAAAGCTTGAAACACTGGGTGAGATCTCAGCAATGGTGGCGTACATCAAATGAGCCAAATGCGAGCAGCAAAATGGGATATGCGTCTGCTCATGGACGATTGCAGATCCGGCTTGGGTGAAATAGAAGCATAAACCTGTCGTCCACTTGATAAAGTCTAACTAGTCGCCTTTTAATTGCAGCCCCCGACATTCAAGAGAGGCCTGGACTCGCAGTGGCGTCTTTATGTAACTGATCTTTCATGAACGCATGTGGCAGCATCATCGTGTCCTGCTTCATGATGGCGCTTTTGGGGTGCGGCCCGCCCGCTCGAGTGAATCAAGCGTCAAAAGCCTCTATGCCAGGCACACCAAAGAGATGACGATGATAAGTGGTTCCCCCTTAGAGCCTCAGGCTTAATTGGTCGGTGCCCTGGCAGCCTGGGTGGGAAAGGGCCAAGGGAGCCTCTTCGGTCTTCGTCTTAGGCGCTGGGCCGCCCTTGTGCGCCCGCCCCTCGTCACTTGTCACTGCTCCTCAATTCCTCCATAATAATGATTGCGTACCCCGCCAACACCCTACCTACTTAGAACCCACTAACCCTTAGTAACACTTTGTGCCACTCAACAAGTCGTAACTCAACTCGTGCTCGGTCCCCGGCAAAAGAGCCCAACCTCAAGGTTTCCAGCATTACCAACACTTCTCTCACAGCTGTCCAACACAATCAATTAACAAGACATCTTTCATTCAACCTTTCATCTAACACACATCTATACAATTGGCCAGCATTGCGTTGGAGTTCTTTATCTACCACTCATCTCCCTTGTCTCCCTTTGCAGCTTGGTCTGACCAAATCTTCACGTGCGCAGTTGCACTTCCCACTCTCCTCTCTGCGCCTCTTTGGTGCATTGAGATGCCTACACACCAATTCAGTGATTACTGGTGACAAGGCTTTGTCTCCCCGTCAGGACGGCGATTGAACGGCCCCTTCTCATCTCCGCATCACGTTCTTAATCCCTAACGATAGACTAGACGACTGGACTGCGGTCGTCTAGTGCTCACCACACCCGATTTCCATCATGTCGTCCGCAATTAATGATGACGAATTATCAATGTCTCTGCCGCAAGGTGACCCTACCACCAAAGTCAGAACCTCCTTACCTCCCGTTGTCTCTCCTCCAGCCAGATTGTCACAAACACCCGTCGCAGAGTCACCCGCCACTGCTCGTGCGATGAGTCGACTTAACCAGTATAGCTTTGTGCGAAATATTGGCGAGGGGTCCTTTGGCAAGGTGAAACTCGCAAGACACAAGATCACAGGTCAAGAGGTGGCCATGAAGACTATCAGTCGTCGAAAACTCATTAGTCGTGACATGGCAGGTCGTATTGAAAGAGAGATTCAATATCTACAACTCCTCCGTCATCCTCACATCATCAAACTCTACACCGTCATCACCACCAAGACAGACATCTACATGGTTCTGGAATACGTTCCTATGGAGTTATTTGACTACATTGTCAAACACGGCCGCCTGGGAGAAGCCAAGGCTCGCAAGCTGTTCCAACAGATCATCTGCGCAGTCGAGTATTGCCACAGACACAAGATCGTCCATCGAGATCTCAAACCCGAGAACCTTCTCCTTGACAAAAACATGAACGTCAAGATTGCCGATTTTGGTCTCAGCAACATCATGACCGACGGCAATTTCCTCAAGACAAGCTGCGGAAGTCCAAATTATGCTGCACCTGAAGTTATTGGCGGAAAGTTGTACGCTGGACCCGAGGTCGATGTCTGGAGTTGTGGAGTCATTCTTTATGTCTTCCTCGTTGGCCGATTGCCTTTCGACGATGAATTCATCCCGGCTTTGTTCAAGAAGATTCAGGCTGGCACCTTCCACATTCCTTCACAGACTCCACCCGGAGCTGTCAACCTCATCAAAAGATGTCTGCAAGTGCACCCAGTTCATCGCATCACTATTCCCGAGATCCGTCAAGATGAATGGTTCATCAAAGACCTACCGGCTTATCTAGTCGATCCAGTTGAGGAATTCCTGGACACCGGAGTGGACCCATCGAAAGCGATCGATCCTCGACAGCTGGCGCCCGGCAAGCCAATCGAAGTGGTGGAAAAGATTCACGAGCAGGTTGTTGGAAAGTTAGGCCGCACCATGGGCTATGCCAAAGAAGATGTCAAAGACGCTTTGAGCAAAGATGAGCCCAGTGCCATCAAAGATGCATACCTGATCGTGAGGGAGAATCAACTCATGGTCAATGCTCCACAATACCGTGCAGCCAACCCTGAACTGGAGTCCTTCATGGCTTCGTCACCACCTACTGAGCCCAATTATCCTGGATTCCCAGGTTCACCAATCAATGCCTCGGCGCGCAAGTTTGAAGAGATGAAACCGTTAACGCCGACTCGAGGTGATGCCCACCGAGCAAGTCGCACACTTTCCGACACTCCTCCAATCAAAGAAGAAGAGAAGCCTCGGATCTCCACTGTGCGGGTGCTCAACACCTCGTTGCCGCATGTTCATGATGAGGTATTGCAGATTCGAGAGCGGGCAAAGGCTCGTGGCGAAGACCCAGACCTCGCTCTTCACCCGTCACAAGACAGCAGCAACAGCGAAATTGACAGTCCGATTCCCGAAGAAATCAAAGACGAACATGGCAATCCCATCTATCGGTCCAAGGAGGAGCAGGAGGCGACATCCAAAGCACTCAAGCCCCACTCGAGGTCGGTGACGCAATTGAACTCGATGCGTGAGAACAAGCAGAAGCCACAGGGAATGACAACAGTTTCTTCTGAAGAGAAGAGAGCAGCCCCCGCGAAAACCAAGCCAAGAAAATGGCAGTTTGGTATTCGGTCACGAAATGAGCCGTGGGAGGCGATGAAATGTCTGTTCAATGCACTTGAAGCATTGGGGGCAGACTGGGAGATCAACCCTTGGCTCAAACCCGAGTCGGTGGCAGACGGCGAAGACGAAAAAGACAACATCCCAGCAATGCCCGTGGAGCTGCCACCAGGAGAACGGCATACTTTGCTCCAAGAGAAGTATGATTTCGTGCCCAGTGACTACTATATCCCACGCGATACGTACAGCATTCGTGCTCGAGTTTTGAAGAAGGGTATGTTGATGCCTGGAGAAGCACCGTCTCTTTCGGCGCACAGTTCCGCTGTCAGCTTGCCACAGGAGGCTCAGACCCAACTCAAAAGACACATTGAACAGCTTGGTATTTACACGTCGGATGAGATGCGGGATGCGTTGGGCATGTCTTCGGCCAATGGTGGCAAAGCTAAACTCAAGTCACCTACTGGCAGCGTCCATGCCTCGAGACAAAACGCGGGGTCAGGGGAGCACTTCAGCCATGGCCAAGAGTCGTTCACTGGGCCCGGACAGCCTCTCAGCAGACCCGACAGCCTGTCAGCCCTGAACATGAAGGGTCCAAACGACCATATCGGCGTGTGGGTATTCCTTGACATTCAATTATACGCACTTGAAGGACAGACGTTTGTGGTGGATTTCAAGTGTGACGGATATCAAAATGTCATTTGGCACGATGTTAAGAAAGATCGAGAACGCATCAAGACTTCTGGCAGCGCCAGCACACTTGCCAGTCCAACCAACAGCCGCCCAACCAGTGGGTTTGGCGAAACCAGCCACCCCAGCTCAGATCGTTTGGACGAGGAGAGTGGCGAAGGGTACTGGAAACCAGTGAGCAAGAGGTACAAGAATGTGGAAAAGGAGATTTCGAGCCCTTATCCATACATCGATGTTGCCAGCGACCTGGTGGCTCATTTGGTAAGCTGAACTTATTCATTCGGAAATACAGAGTAACTAATGTCGAGCAGTGGGGAGGAAGTTGAGCGGATTTCTGTGCCTCGGCAGCCTGAGACAGACAGACGCATGGACAGAGCATGTAACGATAATTGTGACGACGAAGAAAATGACCATCATCTGATGCCCTTCCAACCATGGAGGCATAGCAGATGAAAGGGCGGCACGGGCAACGTGAAACCTGGTTGCGGCTAAAAGAGAGGATACCCTGTTTGCAATGGTGTCAGGATTTCACATGGATTGGACCGCAATGGAAAGCCTCGTTGAGGGCAGAGAGAAATGCGCCGGAGACTCGAAAGAGCGAGGATCAAAAGTCAGCCCGACAATTGTCTCTATATCGACATTCGTAAACTGGCATTTGCTGGAGACAAGGCTAGGGAAGGAAAGCGTATAATAGTCCTTGATAGCTGAGATGACAACATGGATATTGACTTTCACGTACCGGGCCCCAGAAGTACTCAGTGATTGAGTTATCGAATCATGGACCAGTTGATATGATATGATATGATCTGGATCTTGATTCTTCTCATACCTTGAAATCTGATAAGTCGAGGATGAGTGAGGACGCGTCTTTAATACCCGCCAAGACTTTGTTCTCTACTCCTGAGGTAACCAGTCGCGTCACGACGTGACCACGCGGTAGTTGAACTTATCTACTATAGTTCTCTCCGTATGCCAAAGATGACATTCTAAAAACAGCATCTTGTCAATTTGAGGTGGACACTGGATAGGCAAGCAGCTCACTGCCTGCCGTAGGCTCTCCACTAGGTACTCACTCGACTTGACCGCCCGGACAGGTCTTGGACACGGTTCATCCACCCACCAGCACCAATCAATCCATCACAAGTCCATATATCTAACTTCCTCTACCCACCCAACAACATTCAGAAACCTCAATCTCAACCGCCAAAATGCCAACCTTTAATAAAAAACGCAAATCCGGCGGCACCAGCAACCACTACGCCAACAACCATCATACCGATAACGACGACCAAGACGGTAATGCCAATGCCAGCGACACCGCCACCGCCACCACCACCGCCACTGGCAGCAACAGCAAACGAGCCAAAGGTACCAGTGGGACAGCATTCAAACCATCCCGTCAACCTCAAACCGACAGTGATGGGAACCGATACTGGGAGATATCCAAATCTCGACGCGTCACGGTTTCGGAATTCAAGGGGAAGCCGCTGGTTAATGTGAGAGAGTATTATCAAAAGGGGGAGGAGTGGTTACCTGGGAAGAAGGTATGATTTATTTTCATGAGACGAATGAATGAATGAAGGGATCCTTGGACTATTTGCTAATTATTATGATGCTTTTTCTCTCATTTGCAGGGTATTTCTATGAGTGTTGAGCAATACTCGGCTTTGGTCGATATCATGCCGCAGATTGAGGAGACTTTGGCGAAAATGGGGAATCAAGTGCCACGGCCGGATTATAGTGGCAAGGCTGGATTGGTGAAACCTCGTAACGACAAAGATGATGATGACGATGACGACGACGGTGCACAAAAGACAAAGACAAAGGCCAATTTCGATTCGACGAGCGATGAAGAGGATTAATCGCTAATTCATGGGCGTCAAGCTCAACACGATCAAGGCAAAGGCGATGCTCTTCGATATTCGAAATCACTTTATATCATTCTCTGTTTCGACAAATGCTTGTCTTGTCACTACTTGACAATGACGCCCCCCTTCTCGGGTTGGATAACATTACCCCGTCACCTCTACATATCTTGATCACACATCAAAGATCATCACGAACTACTCTCCCACTCGGCCAATCTCGATGCAAGACTTCCTTTCTTCCAGTGTTTCTCATAATCCTCTTTGAGATCCACCTGACTCTTTTCACCTGCTCGGCCGTATCCACCTCCACCAGGTGTCATCTGGAACAATGGTCAGTCATATTGCCAACACACACGTAATGCCGAGAGAACAACATACCACTATGATCCTTTCGCCAGGTTGCATCGACGCAGTGTTCTTCGCTCCGAGACTGTACTTCGATTAGTCTGGATTCTGGATCATTGCAGGAATCCAACAACAGCTGGCAAAAGCTAAGGGGTGGTAGAGAGAGGAGTTGACCAAAACATAAACATACCTGAGTTGCTTCTCTTCATATCCCTCATTTTCTTCACCTTCTCGTTGCTTACCCTCATGCTCACCGCCGCTGCCTTTCTTTTGAGTCTTCTTGATCTTTCGAATCCAGATGTTCTTCCCGCATTGTGCATCACCTCCACCATGAAGACCGTAAGGCCGGTATACTCGTCTTTCACTCAGGATACTGACCTGGACAGGGATTCGAAACTCGATATCTCGAATAACCCCATCACCTCCCTTGTGCTGTCCGACGCCACCGCTTCCGGCGCGCAAGCTGAATTCTCTCAAGATGACAGGATATCTCCGTTCAAAAACCTCAGCATCCGTGATCCTCGTGTTGGTCATGTGAGTGTGTACACCGCTGGTTCCTTCCCAATCTTTGCCGGCACCACTGCCACCAGCAATCGTCTCATAGTATCCAAAACCCTTGATATCCTTGCCTCCCTTGACATTGCCGCCAAATCCAAACGTGAGATTATTGCAATCGCCTTGACTGGCAGCGCAGGCTTCAAAAGCCTTGAATACCACATCCGTCACGCGTTGACTGGTGAGCACATTTCCACCCACCACGGCGGCCTTTTCTGACGGGCTCAAGAAGCTGCCTGGAGGGATCCTTACATCAACTGGCTTCAAGCAACCCTGATTCAATGGGATATCCTGATCGATCAAACATCTCAAACAGTAAATGATGGCCGAGTATGTCACCGCTTCTGGGGCGTTGATATTGCCATACACTTCCGGCCCGGTGCCGTCAAAATCAAATACTGCTTCTCCTTTCTCCGCGTCGATGGTCACTTTTAACGTGATTGGCGAGCCGTCGTCCATATAGTCGGTCGCCTGTAGGGCTTTGCCTTCAAACCTCTTGCTCACCTCCTTTAATAATTCTCTGACACTCTTCTCTGCGTTATCTTGAATTGCGTGCATATAGTACTGCACCACATCCTCGCCATAGTCCTCGATTAACGAAGAGATCAAGTTAATGCCTTTTTGGTTGGCAGCAATTTGAGCCTTTAGATCGTTAATGTTATCTGCCAAACATCTAGTCCCCGAACATTCAGGATATTGAGCAGGTTCGTCGTATAGGAGCTCGGTAATTCTCTTCTCGTCGAACTTTCCCTCAGACACGAGCTTCTCCGACTTGATTGCGGCACCCTCTTGGTACAGCTCGCGCGAATGAGGAGGCATACTTCCGGGTAAGATACCACCAATATCGGCGTGATGGGCGCGACTGGCCACGTAAAACACAATCTCACCAGATGATGAGAATGCAGGGGTCACGACGGTGATGTCAGGAAGATGAGTACCACCATATTCAGGATGGTTGGAGACAATTACATCGCCCCGTTTTAGCTTTCCTTTCCAGATCTTGGCTTGTGTGCGCACACAGGTCGACATAGAGCCAAGGTGCACAGGAAGATGGGGTGCATTGGCGACGAGGCCACCGTCGGCGTCAAACAGTGCGCACGAGTAATCGAGCCGCTCTTTGACGTTGGTGCTGACTGATGTTTTCTGTAATGCGCGGCCCATCTGCTCTGCAATCGCCATGAATCGATGCGCGAAGATGGATAAGAGAATGGGGTCGACTTCCTTAGTATTAGCCTTCTTTGCCGCTCCTTCGTCACCAATGTTGATGACCACATGGGTGGAGATGATTAGAGCCGATGCATCTGGTGTCACCACGATTGTCTGAGTACCGTCGGCAATGATGGCCGGTCCTTTGATCCGGGTGCCAACTTCGATGTCTTCGAGCTTGTAGATCTTGGTTTTCTGACGCCCTCCTTCGAAGTAGACCTCCGAGGTCGAATATGCTTTGTCTTCGGCGATGTCTTTAGGTTGGATCTCTTTGAGCTGTTGATCTGCTGTTTTGGACATGCCCCGGAATGATTTACCGATTCCCCGAACACGTACATCGTCGACAATGATGTCTCGGTCTGGTAAGGTGAAACCGAACTCTTGCTCGTGCTGACGAACGAATGCACCACCAAAAGCGAAGTCGTCGCCATCGAAGTACTCCTTTGCATCGCCTTCGGACGGCCGAATCACCATCAAGGCCGACTCTGTGCCTCGGTAACGCATGTTGAGATACTCTTCAAATTCGATGGTGTCGTCAGTGAATCCCTGATCTTGCAGTCGTTTGCGGGAACGCTGCTTCAGGTCCTCAAGCTTGGATTGCAGGCCTTCTCGCTTGCCACCAGAAAGGTCCCAGACGTGGGATTCCGGAACTTGAGACTCGTCCACAACGTCTGCCAGAGCCATTCCGTAAGCGGATAGGACAGATGAGTACCGATGTACCAGGATCTGACGGATTCCCAGCGATTCTGCAATAGCAACGGCATGTTGGCCACCTGCACCACCAAAAGTCGCAAGGCGATGGGTCGATGTATCATGGCCCTTTGCTTCGGTCAGAGAGCGGATTGGGCGAGTCATGGTCTCATTTGCAATCATGATGAAGCCATATGCGACCTCGTCGGCTGAGAGGTTTTTACCAGTCTTTGTGTTGATTTCTTTTGTAAGATCGTCGAAAAGCTGTTTACTTGCTTCTGGGTCAAGGCCTTGATCTTCATTCTTACCAAATATCTTAGGGAAGAAGTCCGGTAGCAGACGTCCAAGAAAGAGGTTGGCATCTGTGACGGTTAAAGGTCCACCTTTACGATAGCAAGCTGGCCCAGGATGTGCGCCAGCAGATTCTGGGCCAACTGCAAAGAGACCGTTACGGAAAAAGAGACGGGATCCTCCTCCTGCGGCGACAGTGTTGATATCGAGTTGCGGCGACTGAATAGTAACACCAGCAGTCGTAGTCTCGAAGACATGTTCGTAGCGACCGGACCCATATCGGCTGACATCTGTACTGGTGCCGCCCATGTCGAAACCAATGACAGGAGTCTTTGTTTCTGGGTCATATGAGGTCAAGGCATAGCCGACCACACCACCTGCCGGGCCAGACAGTATAGCTCGAAGACCGGAAAATTGATCGACATCGACAAGCCCACCATCCGATTGCATGAATTCACATCGGGCCCCTTTATCTCCTTTCTCAGCCTTGACGCTTTCGGTACCGAGACCACCCTCAAAGCCAGCCTGAAAGCCGGAGATGTACTTTTTGATGGCAGGAGTCAGATAAGCATCAGCACTGGCCGATGTAGCTCGAGGGACGAGCTTGATCATGGGCATCAACTCATGACTCAAGCTCACGTTATTGAAACCGATATCATGGGCGATTTTCCCAATTAATGCCTCGTGGGCAGGAAATGTATATCCGTGCATCAGACAGACGGCGACACTGCGGAAGCCCTTGTCATAGAGACCACGCAACTGCTTCTTTACTTCATCTTGGTCTGGACGAGACAGTATCCTCACTGCTTCACCTGAGAGCCCCTGTACCAGGTCCTTGTCTGTAGCCTCGTCATGCTTAGCATCGACTTTGGTTTGATGCCTGGTGGGGTCTTCGGCATAATCCTCCAAAGTGACTCTCTCGTCGATCTCAACGACTTCCTGATATAAAACATCAGGTCTTCGGATGGCGAGATCAAAGATTTTGGGCCTGGACTGGTTGCCAATTTCTAGACAGTCTTTGAATCCCTTGGTGACGATGAGGGCCATCTTTTCGCCTTTGCGCTCCAAAAGGGCGTTGGTCGCCACAGTGGTGCCCATGCGAATACTCTCGATCTTGGTGGTGTCGAGTGCCTCGCCACGGGGAATCTCACGGCCTGTGAACTTGGACATAAGGCGCCGGATGCCTTCCAACGGAGCATCCTTATAGTTGGAGGGGTCTTCTGACAGCAATTTAATGATTATATCGTCTTCCATACGTCCTGTGCCGGGGTTGCCTACACAATCTGTGAAGGTGCCACCCCGCTTTTGGCTCGAAGAGCGATGTCAGATTCATTCTTTCAGGAAGGCTTGACATGGCAGGAGTGTTCTAGAGGTGAAGAGAAGTGGAAGAGCTTACATCGATGGCTATGCGGATTCCACGATCCGCTTCTCCTGCGTCACCCATGGCTGTACACTATTTAATGGAGTCTTCGGGTATGGTAAGGATATAGGTGAAGAACGGAGATGAATTTGAGCTGGAATATTAGATAGTTGTGGAGATCGAATGTTTGACGATCAACTGGTTGAAGAGTTGTATGACTTTGTCATCAAATATAATTTAGTTTCCCACCGTCGACTGATGATCCAGTGACCGATGGAGAAGTCCGCTGTAGACAGAGTGGTGTGCTCACTGTCCAAGCTCTGTATTTCTCCAAGGCAGCACCTAGATATTCTGTTTGAGACAAATCTCGAGAGCTCTAAAAAGATGTTTCGAATTGTGGGAGAAGAGGTAGTTAGAACCAGGTGCAAGAGGAAGGTGGGATGGAGTTGTGCCATGGCGCCTGCCACACGAGATGACATGGGGAGTATAAAGGGCAGGCACGTATGAGATCATTTGGCAGGTGCGAGACGGTGGCTTTCGGTGTCGGAAGGCGCAATGGACTCCCCGCTGCCAAGGAAGGTCCAGAGGTTCTCCCCAACCGCCGCAACCCTAAAGCACACACGAGCATGATGATATCTCTGTTCCCAAGTCTTGATTACCACGTTGCCCACCTTTGACAATGGGGGATGGGTCTCTCGGCGCCAATATGAGCGACCTCCCCAGTCCCCACGAGACAGTCAATTTGATCAACGATAGTCTATCTGTGGTCATCTCCGTTTCGTGGCACCTGATATACATATCATGGAGGCGAATTGTCTGTATGTAAGCTACTAGGGTAGAAGAATGAGGTGCCGATGTTCATGACCAGATAAATACATGGCTCTGGACTACCATGTTTGGACAGAGAAGCGTTGGGTAATCTTCTGTTGTCCTTCGTTAAATCTCAGCTAAACGACGAGCATCGTATCCAGATGATGGGCTACCGATACTCGACATTGATCTTGTACTCTTACTTTTAGTGTCTGTAAAACCGCACACCTGGACCATACAGTAGTTGAGAAACCTGCCATTTTGGTCAACCCCTGTCTAATAGAATCCAATCGTAAAAGCGAATGTCTGGTCCACATATGGATCACCAACACTCGCACCAAAGAAGAAGAAAAAAGAGCATCGTCATTCATGATATGGGTCGCTGTAAAAGACACCGAGCTCTTTTGTATCGACATCAACAAAACATCCCTGTCCCACCCAACCAAATCACCCTCGGGCGGCAAATTCTCCCCATGAACCATGTCACATGCCGACTGACCAAAGAATCAGGTTGTAACTGCCTGTCGCTCATTATTCAGAACTCGCATCTCTGCTGCCTCTAGATTGCTGAGAACCACGCTCGCCGCCTTTCGTTACGCAGTGCTTTACGATCCACGGGTGCCGCAGAACATCATCGAGCGGAATTCGTTTCTCTGGGTCGAGGACAAGAAGCTGCAGCATCGTTAGTCGTGTCAATTGTACCATGTTGTCTTGCACTCACTCGATGTATCAGGTCTTTGGCCTCTAAACTGACAAAGGGTGGCACAGTCATGTCGCCTCGTGCAATTCGTCTCTGAGTCATGATGGGTGTGTCTTCAAAAGGCGCCTCTCCAACGAGGAATTCATATGTGAGGACCCCTAAGCTCCAGAGATCGACCTTTTCGTTGTAAAAGTTGTCCGAGGTGCCAGGTTTGAGCATCTCAGGAGGGAGGTAATCCAAGGTGCCACACATGGTTTGTCGTCGATTATTGGGCGCATGCACAGACCAGCCGAAGTCTGAAACCTTGAGCTCACCGTGAATTCCCAGAAGAATATTCTCGGGTTTGATGTCTCGATGCATGACATGTTTCTTGTGGAGATATTTCAGTGCTGCCGCCATTTGAGCAATGTATTGTGCAGCCTTCCACTCGGGAAATCTGTTCTCCTTTCGCAGATGTTTGTATAGTTCTCCTTTGCCCGCGAACTCGAGGATGAGAAACACTCTTTTGCTGTCATGGAAATGACCAAACAGTCGCAAGATGTTGGGGTGTCTTAGATTGGACTGGATCTCGATCTCACGTCGAACCTGCTTTTCCACCTTACCCTGCTGGAGCTCAGACTTGTGCAGAACCTTGAGAGCACACACATAGCCCGATGATCTCTCTCGCGCCAGATAGACTCGACCGAATTTGCCCTTGCCCAATGGCTTCCCAATCTCAAACATGCCAAGATGGAATTGTTTGGGGGCTTGAGGCTGATCAAAGAACGCCGTAGATGCCGAATAGCGTTGGATCTGATCAGAGCTATCGCTGGGTTCGCGTGATGATGGGTTTGGTCTTCTGACAGGTGAGGGGGGAAGGGTTGGCACTTTCGTGGTGTTTGTTATTGTGGTCGTCTGCCCGGCGTTCTGGCGAGATTCGTTGCTCGCTTGAAGTGCATATTTGACGAGATTGGCTCGGGGTTGCTGGCCTGGCAAGGTAGCAATAGTGCCTTGATTTGCTGTCTGCCGAGTGTTAGAATGAGAAGGAAAGAGGTCTGAAAGAAGTTGATCGAACTCACCTTGGATTTCAGCATGTTTGTCGCCAACTCATTCTCGTCAGTGACGGTCAGATGCTCGAATCGTGCTTCGAGGGTTTTGGTCGCCATCTTGAGAGGATGAAGGAGTTGTTGAGCTGGCTGGGAGAGGGAAGAGGTGGATGAAGAGGTAGAGTTTGGCGAATTTGTCGAGTGTGCAGGCAGAGACTGATTCTCATCGGTGGTGTAAGAGCCACTCAAGGTGAAGTTGAAGTTGATTTGACTTGTTCTTGTATCAGACGTTGGTTCGAAGGACGTAGTTCGTTTGGGGCGCACGGCCAATCCAAGCCTTAGAAAACAAGGTTTGGTTGTACCGGGCAACCAATTTCTAAAGACGTGGGTTTTGCGGGCAGTGGGCGTCAATGACCTGTCATTTGAATCTGGACCGATTTGGAAGGAGGGACGAGATCGTCACAATTATTGAAGCAGCAGGAGCAACTGTGAATGTGCAATTCGTCTCTTTTTGAAGCGTCGAGATGCTCTGAGTCAAACGCCGTTTCTTGCCTGGTGCTTGATTATCACCACATCATTCGGTCTCTTAGTGGACCAGCCCCTACTCTCACAATGTCACTCAACGGATCGTCCTCCAGGGACAATGTCAACACGAAATTCCCCTCTCCTGCCGCCGCTCCACCCCGATCACACTCGATTCACGGGTTCCGTATCACCACTCAAAAACTCCCTATTCTCAAGGCTGGTCCTATCGAAGAAATGACAAGTCGACTCGGGATTGCCCCTCCAGAAATGATCTTCGGAGATAATGTCGTGGCCTTGGAACATCCGTCCTCCGGCTGGGGTATCAAGTTTGATGCCTTTGGCGCACTTGATCGAGTTGATAAAACTGGCGAGAAGAGGTTGAAAGTGGCATATTCGAATGAGTGGCATAAGAGCCGGGAAGATTCACATGACATCAAAGAAGTCATCAAGCCCTTTGACTGGTCTTACACGACCGACTACAAAGGTGATGTCGCCCCTGGCTCTCCGGAATTCGTTCCCTCGACCGACGAGATCCCTCTGGAATTGCTGAAACGACCCGACCCCATCTTATTCTTTGACGACGTCATTCTATACGAAGACGAACTGGCCGACAATGGCATCACCATGCTTTCCTGCAAGATACGGGTTATGCCCTCCCGCTTATTGCTGCTGTGTCGATTCTTCATGAGGTTAGACAATGTCCTCCTCAGACTCCGTGACACCCGGATCTACATTGACCTGGAGCAAAAGCACGTTATTCGAGAGTACGTTGCACGAGAGGAGGCATATGACAAGGTGAGGCAAGACCTGGCTAGTCGAAGAGACGATGTGACTGCTGTATTGCGAGACCCCAACCAGATGGCTGCACAATTGCCGATTGTTGAGAAAACCGTGGAATCGGTGCGTCTGGGGACATGAACCCTATGCACTTGAGGCAACTGCGCTATAGTAGGCGCGTACAATTCGAGGCGCTCGAAGCGACGAGTCACTGGCACGACTGCGGATAATTGAACGACTCGGCAGATACCCAACAGCAACGACTTGATTTCGGCCGACAACAGTATAGCTTTCTACGCATCAGGCCCCCGTCTACGAGCATACGAGCACGTTCGATGTCCCAATTAGTCCGAGAGATGACAGTGCCATTCCACATCGGTGGCCAGCAACCAGCCTCACACTGGTGTGACTCTTGGCGCACACATGACTCTGGTTAAATGCATGGGATGACTGAGAAGGCATCGTGGGCGTCTCAGATCGAGTCGGATCACCTATAGAGTAGGATTCCGTTTCAGCAAACAGCGAATTTCCGGTGGTGAAGCGTCGAGAAGGCCCAGACACACCAGATCGGATCAAGTGCTTGACTACGCCAGAAGAGGAGGGATGCTGCCTGCAGGAAGAGTCAAGACTGCAATAAAGGGTTTCCAATCCAGAGCAGGCGAGGAAAATCTGGTGATGGGAGATGGTGGAGATGCTTAAACGAGGAACAAAAGTGACAAGTAATCTCCGCCTGATCCAGAATCGCGTCGGATGGTGCGCCGTCGACCAATCAGAGGCCGCCTCATCCGCCATCCACGCCTCTTGTCTTGCTCCCTCCATTCCTACAGTCGTCCATCCTGGAACGAATTTCTCTCAAGCGAAGCCACATTCGCTTCCAAACCATCCAGAATGACTTTGTCCCTACGTGGGTCGGTTTACCATTTCGCACTTTGTCCATACAGTCCTTAGAATTGATGTGTTGATTCCTAAAGATGGGTTCCGCGCCTCGCCTTTGCAGGGGTCGTGGAAATCTCTCCCGATCTCTTGACCTGGACCTGTTCCTCATCCTTGTTGCTCTGCAGCCTCTGCACATCCCATCCTATCCAACCTGACCACGTCGACGAGAATGTAAAGTGTGCCATGGGCTCAATGATATTGACACTTCGCCATGCTCTGTGGTCCTTGGCCTTGGTCGCCTCACTATGTCGCGCCCAGTCGTCCATCCCTATTGCCACTGAGCCCATCGTTGTTTCTGTGACAGTCCCGACGACATCGTTAGTGACAATCTACTCAGTGGTGACGTCCGCACCACCTGATGCTGCCACTCCTCCCGCCGTATCGACAGTAGTCACCACCATCAATGGCCGGGTCACCACCCTAACAGTCCAGGCCACGAGCACGGCCGCCGCCCCAACAGAGGTGATTATCCTTCGGACCGACACCATCATTTCTACCATGACGTCCGATGAAGTGGTCATGAGCACGGTGGGATACAACACCATCTATGGGCCAGCTCCTATTGTGACCGTGAGTGTGCCCATTCTGATTAATCAACAAGGGACTTGGCCGAGGACTGACTGACTGACAAACATTGCCACCAGACGTCCACTCCTGTTCCTGAACCTGGTGCTGGAGCTTCGACACAAGAGACATCGCCGCCAACAACTGCTTCCGCTCCTGCAGTGCCGACAGACCCTACTACGACTTCTGACAGTAATCCAGGGGCTGCTTCAACAAGCTCGACCGATTCATCATCACCATCCGGGACACATGATGCGTCCCTGTCGAATGCTACGTCATCTTCTCAATCCTCATCGGGTGGGCTCTCGACAGGGGCCAAGGCTGGCATAGGCATCGGTGTTGCCATTGGGGTGATTGCGTTGCTTGTTTTGTCCTTTTTGTTTGGTCTGCGATACTCCCGACGGCGCAACTCAGGGCAGGTGGCCGGTACCAAGCACGCTTCAGAGGCCAGTCTGGGAGAGAAGGACACTTTCCAAGCAGGCCAGCCATATGAATTCTCGGGCTCTCCACGACAACCCACGGAGGACTCGGTGGGCAAGATGCATCCTCATTCCTTCAGCACCACCGAAGTGGGAAGTTCAAAAGGCTCCACGAGCAAGCGATCCTATGAAATGTCCCCCAGCAATATGTCCAACTACCACGATGCGTCAGAACTATCAGCTCTGCCCCAATTTGGCAAAGATGACGAGCCGACATATGTTGGTGTGCCAGCGCATATGTCGGGCACCAAACGATGGAGTATGAAAGAATATGAAAGACATTGACCGTGCCAGTGATGGTATTGCTATGATTTAATGCTTCTGCTGTTGGCTCTCTCTCCCCTTCCTCCCCTGGTTGGTCTATCACCAACGAGAAGACCAGAACGGCAATGGTGACCTAGAGGAGAGATCGGTACACACACTTTTCTCACAACTTTCGCAACACTCATTCGATGATCAATGCGCCGTTGAAAAGGCCGAGAAGACGACCAACTATCGACAAGGCAAGAGACACTGTCACATTGAGAGTGTGCCAACAGCATTCTACCTCCCCCATCACGGCTATTTCACACTGCCCTGACGGGCGATCTTTACATTCTCCATGGAACACAGTACATACGTCAGATCCATCATACAGGACATGTCATGGGCTGGCGGGCTTGGGTTTCGAGTATGGGCAGGGTAACGTTGATGGAGATGGCTTGATGGAAATGATATAATTTCTAGTGTAAATAGACGGCTCTTCATTGACGAACTAATTACGAAACGTTTGATGAGAGATTTTGATCGTTTCTGTTTTGAATAGGTAGTCTTATCCCTAGATGCAAGCAGCCTCGTCGACGTCGTTGAGAAAGAAAATCTTTTCGCACCTTCCTCAACAGTCGTTGTTGCATACATGGTCGCTCCTTCCAGTCTTTACAACTACCATTGTAGCTGAATAGTCCGCAGAAGTGAGAATACAGCGGAGCACTCACTCCCTCGGTCAGCTCTCAGACATCCAATCAATTCTCAATTTCCCCCACCAGACGCGGACGCACAACCAGACGCCACCAACTTTAAGGTTATCCACGGTGCCACGCATCTCACGTACATGACAACCATCACATCATCCCTCGTGTTCTCCAGACTCCACTTTCCTATGCCAATGCCCGACACGACCATGACACGTCATCAAGTCCAATCCCCGGTTTGCCTTGAATTGTAGAGTTTCTACATCCCGTAGTGTTGACTGCTACTACTGCTAACATAGTTTGCTTCATATCCAATTCTCAAATAGCCTTTTTCCCACTATGGCGGACTCCTCCGCAGCTGTCACTTCGCGGCTGTCAAGGCTCAATCCATTCTCGAGGTCGAAACCAGAGGTCGACGATGAAGATATAGGAGAGGAGGTTGACTCCGCCACTGTTGCTGGTGGTGGACACAGTGCTCGTCAAAGTGACATTACCAAGAATCAATTGCGAGTCAGCCGTGCTCTACGCCGATTTCTCATTGACAATCGCATGCTCTCCGAAGATGATGCTCGTGTGGACAACAACGATCAATTGACGCCCAGGGTTCGCGCTCTTCTTGAGGAGCCTCATATCCATGTCCCTGCCGAGTTGACAGATCGATCGCACCCTCTCCCGGATTATTTTATCAGCTCTAGCCATAACACATACCTGTTGGCCCACCAGCTTTACGGGTCTTCCTCGGCTAGTGCGTACGAGAGCACTCTCCTGGCTGGTGCTCGTTGTGTCGAGATCGATGCTTGGGACAACGACGAGAACGAAAACGAACCTAAGGTCACCCACGGCTACACACTTGTCTCCAACATTTCGTTTCGAGCTGTTTGTGAAACAATCCGAGATGTCGTTGACAAGGAAGCTACCGAATCGACCGATGCTCAAGGCTACCGTGCTGCTCCGATTCTGTTGTCGTTGGAGAATCATTGCGGACCTCAAGGTCAAATGCGGTTGGTCCAAATCATGAAAGAGGTCTGGGGTGACCGACTCCTTGACGAGGCTGTCCGTCAAAAGGGCCATGAAGAGCAACAAGGTCTAGGGGGCCATGTGCGTCTCAGCGACCTTGGTTCCAAGATTGCTGTCATTGTCGAATATCACCATCCCGATGAGAAACTGGACAGCGACGATACTGAATCATCCTCCTCCGACTCCGACGACGAAAACGAAACCCCCGAAGAAAAGGAAGCCCGGAAACAATATAAGCAGAACAAACAAAACGAAATCGCGAGCAAAATCATCCCCGAACTCGCTGACCTGGGAGTGTATGCTCAGTCCGTCAAGCCAAGCGATAACTCGTGGTACGACAAAGATGAACTGACCAATACTCCGCATCACCCTCTGATCAACCTCTCGGAATCGGGCTTGGGATCCCACATGCCCACCCACAGCGACAAGATTGCCCGCAATAACGCCAAACACCTCATGCGCGTGTACCCGAAAGGAACTCGCATCTCGTCCCGAAACCTGAAGCCGGTTCCATTTTGGGGCGTGGGTGCACAAATCTGCGCATTGAATTGGCAGACTTTTGGTGCCAGCATGCAAATCAACGAAGCGCTATTCAGCGACACTGACGGTTATGTGCTGAAACCCGGCCCCTTGCGTGCTGGGGGTACTGGCGTCCTCAGCTCTCGCAAACGCCGTGTCACACTTCACGTGGGCGGTGCCACCGACATTCCTGTGCCTGAAGATCGCGAACCCTCTGAGGTCAAGCCCTACATCACATGTACCCTTGTCCACCCAGATGACTTGGCAGACACGCCACCCAAGCGGAAAACATCTGCCTATAGACAACACAAGTTGACCGGATTCCTGAACCGACACAACGAGAATCCACCGGTGACTGATCCTCTGTGGGATGAGAAGCTACACTGGGATTATCGGGATAATGATCTCACATTCCTGCGGATTTTGCTCAAGAGTGACGATGCCTTTGCCAGGAACCCTATCTTTGCGGTGACAGCGGTGAGATTGACATATGTTGTGCCAGGACAGTGGAGGTTCATTCGTCTATTGGACCTGAAGGGTCGCGAAACAAAATGTGCGTTGTTGGTGAAGTTTGACTTTGAGGATCTGTAGATTTGAGGCTGGTCCAGGGCAAAGTTGACCTTCACTAGATGGTCCGTGTGGTCTGGACGCTTTCAATGCAAAGGACGAATCAAGTGATTCAAAGCCATGCAATTATGACCTGACGATATAGCCATGAGTATAAAAAGACATATATATGAGAGAGAGAGACATTCCACGTAGGTCGCTAAGATAGCATCTGTATGTAGCCTGGAGTTCTGTAGACTCTCGTTGATAAGCACACAAGGCTGCGTCTAACCCAACGTGGCCGGATTACAGCCTTGTCGTCATTCCCATCCTCGTTTCTAACAACAAAAAAACATTGCTACGATTCAATCAATCCAAACATCATTGCCATTCAATCCACACAGACAACATAAAGTATTCCCACTAGAGGTACAGGTAAAAAATCTCAACCATGGCCATCAAACCACTGTCCTTCAAAGGCGACTCGAAAAAGGCCAAGAAACGAAAACACCGAAGCGACGAGACCGAGCAAGATGGCCACCACCACCACCAAACCAGCACATCCAACCGCGAAACAAAGACCAACACCAACAACCCCTCTGGTTCAACCGACCCCTCCTCAGATGATTCATGGACCACCCCCGACATACCCAGCGACGTAGCTGGGCCCACCGTTCTAATCCTGGCCGACACAACCAATCCAACCATGTGCTTAGCCAGTGACGCCCACGGTAATGTCTTTGCCTCACCCATGGAGAATATTTTCGAATCGCACGTTGAAACCGCTGAGCCACATGATGTGCGTCAGGTGTGGGTTGCGAGTGCAGTGGCGGGGACGGCAGATGGCCAGATTAGTTTGAAGGCTAGTCATGGTGGGTATTTGTCATGTGATGGAATAGGCGTTCTGGGTGCGAGGAGAGAGGCAAGGGGTGTACAGGAGGGATTTGTCTTGGAGAGGGTTCCGGTTGGTGAAGATGGAGATGGAGATGGAGATGGAGATGGAAAGGCTGTAGTGGCACAGTCGTCGTCGCCATCATCATCATCAGCGACTCGATATCGATTAAGAACAGCAGCGGGAACGAGCACAGGAAAGGGAAGGAGATATTTGGCTGCGACGGTCACGACGACAATAACAACAACAAAAACAAAAACAAAAACAGAAGATCAAACGACCGTGCCACATGTTAAGAAAAGCGAATTTGATGATGATGATGAAGAAGAAGACGATAGTCACAAATCGCGGCAAAGAAAAATCAATATCTCACTCCGTGGTGACGGCGAGGCTGGCGACCCAGGCACAGAATTAGTGGTCAAGATGCAAGCTCGATTCAAGCCACGACTACAAATGAACAAGGCGACCAAGGAGCGTGAAAAGGTCAGTCGGCGTGAACTCGAGCAGGCAGCCGGGAGGAAATTGACGGATGATGAGGTGAGGCGGCTCAAGCGGGCCAAGAGAGATGGGTCGTATTATGAAAATATCCTCGACTTGCGTGCGAAGAGTAAACATGATAAGTTTGCTAGTTGATTTGAGAATGAATTCATCTCGGGAGATTGGAATGCCTCTACAGGGAACGCAAGATTGATGACACATGTGGATATGGTTGGGTGTTCAGCATAAGATTCAAAATCAGGCTATAAACTCCCAGATCGTTTGAGTATACAAGGGCGGGGGCGGCTCAAACAACAGTAACATGGCATCCAAATCTTGGTTCGCTTTTAAATCCCAGACTTTGCGTCAAACATCGAGGCGAGCAAGGCACTTGCTGCACACCCCCATAATTTCCAAATGCGTACAGCCCAAGAAAACCCTGTCGCTCAACAGCACGCTATACAAACAAACCAAACTCCCAAAAGTACATGGATCGTGAATCGGAGTCGTCGTTACCGTGGTTAAGACCACCTCACATCACGACCTCATTCAAAGCGGGGGAACACTCGACCAACAACACGACGCCCTATACTCATGTTAGCTCATTCGTCCATGTCAAGACGGTCATGTCGTCACACTTACAGAGAGGTCTGGCGACATCGGCTGCTCGAGCCTCCTCGGCCTGTTCATTATAATTGCTGGCTTCTTGTCGGGCCAGTCTTTCTCTACGCCATGCCCTTCTAGCACTCGTGCCTTGAGCGCGGATTTCAGGAGGCATGTCATCGTTGAGCGTTTGCCTTCGGTCACCAATCGGTTGTAATTCAGCAACGGCGCCGTGTGCTCCAGCGGCACTACTGTCAGGATGCGGGCGTGACCGGAAAGGTGTCGACATTCTGCGGACGGAACGGTTCATAGCAGCGATGGGAGTCGGCATGGTGGGGCCAGGGGCATTGGCAGCAGCAGCGGCCTGACCGGCCTGCGCGATTCTGCGTTGTCGCATTCTTCGGACAAGACGTTCCCTCCGCACCATCAAATTGGTCACCACCACAGGGCAATAGCCTGCTGGAAGTGAGGATTTCTTGCACATCGGACACAGAGAGCTGTTATCTCGAAGGAAGGAGTCGATGCATTCGGGGTGGAAGATGTGATTGCAAGGGAGTTCTCTGACCGTTGATTCGTTGTGAACAAAGTCATCGAGACAGATGGGGCAGGTGGGTTGACTGAAAGGGACTTCTCGGGTTAGACTGCCGTTAGGCGTGGTCGGAGGGACTACAGTGCTGTCGGTACTGTTGGTCTCTGGTTCGGCGGTTCGGTCGGTCGCCGTGTCCTGGGTGAGGGGTGCTCCTGTTTTGGAGGTGTAGGTGTAAATAGGCATTTTATCAAGGATATCTTGGGGCACATTAAGGCGCTTAATCCCTAGGGCTTCGAGATCCACTTCACCGTTAGCCACGCGGCGTTGCAATGCGTGACGTTGCCTTCGCTGAACCATATGCATTATAATGGAAGTGACCAGAACGACGGCAAGTAGAATTGCCAGCACAATGATCAAAAAGATCCAGAGAGGAGGAATGCCATTAGATGAACTGACGTCCATCCTGGTATAGAGCCTGACGGTGTCGTTTGGATTGTAGATTTGGGTCAACTCATTGCCGTAAGGAACCTGGGACATGTTGCCCGAATATTGAGCCAATTGTTCCAGAATAAAAGAACCAAACATGCCGGGCAAAGCATAGACAGGGAATCTGTTGTCATTCTGCCACTGTCCTCCATCGTTGAGACTCCATATATGGTCACTGACAGCAGGAGGACGATCGCTGGAGTTGTCATTTTGGAAGAACATGCCTGCGCGAACATTGTCAAAGCGCATGACCTCCAGATAAGACTGGACGCAGTCTACGGAGGTCCATGGTGCGACGGAGATGAGAGGATAATTGCCGAGAGGTATCTGGGCGCGTGTGGTGACATTGGAGGGGACTAGAGGTCTCGTCTCATTATAACATGGATCGTCTCGGTCGAGTTCAGGGTAGTAGAGGAGGCCTTGGATGATATCGAAGCCAGAAGGATTGTTGGATGAAAGAGTACGAACGATTCCTGACGCTCTCAAGGAGAAGCCGTAGGCATCCTTGGATGTGTTAATTCGAAGTCGAAGGCGAGTGCAGGAAGCATTGGCTTACATTGACCAGCCGCGCACCATTGCTACGGTCCGAAACTCCATCGGGGATGACAATGGCAACGACGCCAAAATCTTGAGCGGCTGTTTGCGGATCAGCAGGGTTGGACAGGAAAGCGAGAGTCCAAGGCAAACAACATACACATTGCAACCTGGTGGACGTATTATATGGAATAGGTGTTATACGTGATATTTTCCGGTCATGGCCAACCAAGCTTCATTGCCACGCTCTGGGTCACCTTGATATCGCAGTAGGTCCAGCAGGATAGAGAGGAGGGAGTCACGGAGGGAGAGGGTTCACAGAACCACAATGTAGTGGGGGAGGGCGGGAAGAGAGAGAGTGTGTGTGTGGCGAGGCGATGAGGTGGAAGTGATGAGAAGAGCGAGACTGAGTGAGTGAGTGGATGTTGGTGGGCAATGGTGAGAGTGCAAGTGCGGGATGCAGTTGTGCAGGTGCGAGTGCGAATTGCGGCACCGGCGGCAACGAGCAGGACGTGGCGCCAGGCTGTGCAAGAGTGAGACTGTCGATATGATGAGTGAATGATACCTCAGGGACGAACCCCAACCCTTAGGTACCTTAGCACCTTAGCCTTAGGTAACAGGAGTGCAGGAGGACTCCGTAAAGTTCTCAGTCATGCCAGTGCTTCAAGATTCCAAGCCATCCGAGCGCTAGCCTATAGGTATCGTCTCTCTGGGCACCCGGAGGCCTGACACGGATGGAACATTGTGACACTCAATCCCTGACAAGTTTCACCAGAACCGCCTGGGCACTCGGGGTCACGGGGCCATTTCTACTCATTGAGGTCAAATGACTCAGGATTCGAAACAGACGCAGTATTCCTGACTCTGGAAGAATCACTATTCATTCACGTGATACCGGGCATGAGTGACACCATCCCATTTACAGCCTAGTGTTTGAATCACGTGATATCACATCCAAACCTTCCAAACAACCTGCCTCTCCCCCAACTCCGCCTCATCACGTCCCGTAACAACATCATCTCCAGCATTGACTATCATTCGGGGACCAAAACCCGCCTAAATCGACGTCGCGCTCTTCAAAGACCCCCTTTAATGCGATTATACCCTTAACTCGACCCTCCGTCGCGACATGACGACTGTTTCACCAACCTCGGCCCGTGACTTGTCTCATTAATTCAGTAATCGTCCACCCTACGACTTCCTTCCGCCATCATGCCTCCCCTTGCCAGTGCCTCCAAAAGTAAAAACAAAGCCCGCGATGCTCGACGGTCGCGCAGTCGTAACACTACCCCCAGTTCAGTCATCAGTGCCGGCACCGCACCCCCACTACCAACCACCTCTCCTCTCCTCGAATTGGACTTGGCTAGAATCCTAGTCGCCGCCAAACCCTCTTATACAGAAGTCACCGAGTATCTCGAAAGTCATGGATCAAAGGTCGAACCCAAGTCACTGCAGGAAATCATAGACCAATTAAAGACTTTGAGTGAAGCCGCCGAAGCGCGAGTCGAATCATGCGAAAAGGCCATCCGCCTCATCCATGAACAGAAGAAAGAGATAGAATCAGACCAACAGAACCGAGATCGCCAAGCAGACCAGGCTCGTCGATCAAAGGCCCGTAAAGAAGACTCGCAGAAAAATACCAAGGCCAAAAAACGCAAGGATCGTCCTGAATCCTTCGACCATGTCGAGATTAAACGCGAAGGTAGGTGACTCACGTCAACTCTCCCTGGACTCCTTCAAGCTATTGTGTCTGACATCTGCCCTTCAGATGAGCCCTCAAAAGGAAAACCTGGTCGTGCTACAGGCACCCCAGGCCCCGTCGACAGCCCGTCCCCATCCAAAAAGACCAAACTCAGTCCGGGGACCTCTTCCCTGTCAGAAGTCGCCGACTCGCCCGAGGCAGCTGCTGCCTCTGCTCATGATTCTCCCGCAAAGTCAGACGTCTCCATGTCGGATGCCGAAGAGAATAATGCCCTTCATAGGCACCCTGTCGTGCCCCAGCAAGGCTTCTTCCCTGACCCACTCGCTCCTGACCCCATTATCTACCACATTCGAGAGGTCACCCCTGACATGTCGGATGCCGAGAAAAAGGAAATCTATAGCGTCACTTCCTATCCTACAAAGGACTTGAGTGACCAGATTGCTGGTGTCCCTCCCGATAAGGACTTCAGTAATGCAAAGCCGACGAATCAGGTCGCGGCCAATACGTTCTTGACCTATGTGGAACCTTTTGTGCGGCCTTTGACTGAAGAAGACATGGCCTGGTTGAGAGAGCGCGTGAGTAGTAATTGACATCCTCTTACGTTGAATAATGGCTAACACCACCAAAGGGGGACCGCGTTACCCCATTCTTGGCCGTTCCCCGCGGCAAGCGTCACTATAACGAAATATGGGCCGAAGAAGATGGAACTGTCGTCGTAGACGCCAATCACGACAAGTTGCCAGCAAATACCCCTCGAGGCAATGTTGAACAGGTCAATGATGATAATCTGGCGACTGACCAAGTTTCCAATGGGCCACTCGCAAGCCGACTATTATCCTTGTTGAAATTTGAGCACCGTCCTCCTCCAAACGACGGCGCTAATGCCGCACACGACCTCAACTCCTTCGCTCTGGATGGCAATGATACCATGGACCTCGACGGTCTCACCAATGGACAAGACAATGCTGACAAGCCTCTTGCGCCTGCCGCCGCCGTTGCAGATTTGGCAGGCTCCAAATCATCCACTTCTCAGAAACTCGACTATGTGCAGACCGAAGAACGCCTCAAGGCTGAATTGCGTCATATTGGGTTCCTCGGACAGGATGAGAACCCAGACTATGATGCGCATCACGACGACGATATCAGCGAGAGAATGCGCCTTTTGCAAAATGAGCTGCGCAGAGTCATGATCGTGAATGGTGCACGTAAAGCTCGGCTACTCGAGCTCGCCAAAGAACGACTCGCTTACCAGGAGTACAGCACCATCCACGAGGATCTGGATAGCCAGGTCCAACAAGCCTATCTTAAACGTACACGAACATTAGGCAAGACAAAGAAAGGTGGGCCAGGAGGCAACAAGCCCAAACCTGGCATTGGCATCGCTTCGGCAATGGGCATCAACCGAGCACGGGACATTGGCGACAATGCTCGAATGCTGATGGACCGGCGGAAGAGGTGGGAGAGCTGTATTGGCCCAGTTTTCAAAGATATGAAACATGGCGTGCCCGAAAAGGGCACCAGCATCTGGGATCCTAAGATTATGGAAGGTTATGAAAAAGCCGAGGTTGAAGCGATCGAGGAAGAGCAACTTGCCGAGTGATCCATATATACATCCGCCGAAAACTGCGTTGAAGGAAAGGGGATTATACCAGTGGCTCTATGAGGTGAGCCTGTTGAGTATCCTCATCACGTGATCAGAATCACCGTCCTCACGTGATATCACGGTCAACCACTTGCAAGATATTTATTGAGACAAAATCTATATACAAAGAGCGCTGCTGGCAGCCAAGCTTGTCGAATCAAAGGTTACAGCTGATGACCAAGGTTTGAAGACAAGAATAGATCCCTGTGAACAATTCTGATCAATGACAAAGGAGCACTGCCTCGACTTCTGAACATCAACCCTTCTACGCTTTGTCTGCTGTCGGAGGGGTTCGACTAGCTTACTCGAGAGTTGACAGCTCTAACAAACAAAGATTGCTCGTGCTTTCATGCGTCTCCTTTGTTATCGTTGTGTTTGCTCAATCTCAATATCAGCCTACTAAAGCACGCTGTAGGATCTCGACATCATACTAGGGCAATCGTATGCACGGAGTTCCGACTAATTGACGCACTACTAGACACTAATATATCATGGTCAAGAACAAACTTGATGAGTTTCAAGTCAACTGGAGCAACCCTTTCTGGCAAACATATCGAGCAAGTTCCAAACCAAGGCGGAGTGTTGTTGCACCTCCACCTGATGTCCAAGCATTTTGCCGGTGGAGCGATCACGACAAGGAAGGTCGACCCACAATCCGCAATGGAGCCAAGTTCAGACACCTCTATCATACTCAACTAGACCTGCATGATCACCAAGAGTGGCATTTCGAAAGAATGCTGGGGAAAGGTACTTTCGGTGTTGCTGGGCTATTCCTCAAGAAGGGTCTCGACAACCAAACAATTGATGTAAGTTTGAGCAATGGTTCCTGTAGATTGTGCTTGCTGGTGCTGATACAGCCAGTCTCTCGTATTAAAAGTGACAGACACCTTTGACAAAGACCTCATCAAAGCCAGGCCCGGCCTCACTCGAGAAGCTGCCATCATGGCGCAAACTAATGAGTTCCAAACCGACAGTATTCTACGCTTGCGCCAGTACAAACAACATTATGCTGAAAAGTATAGTCGATATTACTTTGAGAATTGCGAGTTTGGTAATCTGGAAGAGCTACGAATAAGATACAAGGCATGGAAGTAAGTGGATGATGACAATTCCCCGAAGGTAGAAGCACAAACACTAACCATGAACTAGTATGCGATTCCCAGAGCCTTTTCTATGGCATGTATTCTCCTACCTGGCCGAAGCATGTCTCAAGTTTGAACAGGGGCCCTTTAGGGGTGTCACGACGGACACGTTCGGAGACCGTTTCGAACAGGGGTACCTGCTACACACAGACATCAAGACCGACAACGGTGAGTTTGTTCACGCTGTTGAACACGATGCATACTGACGAGCAGCAGTTCTTTTAGGCCGCAAGACCTACACAAATGGCGGAAGTTGGTATCCAATCGCCAAGGTGTCCGACTTTGGACTGTCTCTGATCACACATCCTAACGAGCACGAAGCCAACTTGGCCAAACATGTGCAAAAGGGCTCGAGAGTGTGGTATCCACCAGAGCAACGGTTGCAAGCCTTCCAGAAAAATGGAACGTATCATTTCCAGCACGACGTGCCCAAAGAACTGGTCCATGAATCAACGAGCACAGCAAATGGCACCAGATCGTGGACCACGACGAATCAACACGTCATCCGTCCGGCGCACAATATCTGGGCAATCGGAGCTATCATGTGGACTCTGATGACCTTGAAAGAGATCCACGAACTCAGCGACGCAGTCAACGGCATTCTCGGCGGATCGCCAGAGTACTGTGCCCATTTCGACGGTGCCAACATTGTCGGCCGGAGACTGGTCGGGTGGACACATCCATACAGCGAGCGACTGTTCGAGCTGATACAGCAATGCACGCGGATGCGACCGCACGAACGTCCGTCTGGCAGACAACTGGTTGACGAAATCCGGATGTATATGAGCGTACATGTAATTCCTCACGTCGCACAGCTGGAGCAGACAGGTCGATCCGAGGCCATACGCGTCTTCTGGGACGACGGAATCCGACATCTGCGCGAGGGCGACGCGGGCCTTGACGACGAAGACCGAGGTGAGTATTTCTGGCGCCGATTTGCCGATCAGCTTCTCTTTCGCCCCCTCGAAAGACCCTTGCTCTGCCCGCCTCGTGCCCCGGTCGATTTGCCCATGAGTGATCGCTGGCCTGCCGATATCCGTCTCCTCATGCAGAAGCGATGGCGTGCCGCTATCCGCCAGAGGGATCAACGAGACCTCCCCTCTCCAGTCGCCTTGCCATCCTTGGGCTTCCTTGATAAGCATAACCGTAAGCGTCCTGCTCCGGATGTTTCGGATCTCGACGTTATGGATATTGACAGGCCGAATCCTGGCACGTTCCGCCAAAATCTGTTCAAGCGCTTCAAGAAATTCATGGGATAGAGAATTGAAGAGGTTCCTTCTTTATAAATTACTTAGTCTTTTATTTCAGTCAAGTATTTTCCGGTCTGAGGTCTATTTCCTATGATATCATCGGTTTACTAGCTCGCGCTCTACTCAATGACCACAGCGACGTGCTCGTCCATGTACTTGTTGATATCGCCCAAGAAGCAAGCAGCAATGATGCTCACGCCTCCAGCGGCGATACTGCCCAAATAGACGTACTTGTAGCTCTCGGCGTAGGCGAGTTGACCGGCCGCCACGACCATATTGAAAGCCGTGTCGTTGTCCAAGCCCGGGATCTCTCTCATGTTCTCAAGCAAACTTGCCCCAGTCAACTCGATCGCGTGTCCAATGTAGGTTTCATTAGTAATTCCCAACTGAACCATGGTGCCTCCAATGTACTTGACTGCGTTAGGCACAAACTTGGATACAAAGACATTGTAATAGGCGCAGTAGCCGATAGAGCCGCCAATGACGCGGATGGCAAGAGTCAAGGCGCTGACGGTGGCGATCAGGTCATCTGGACAGATGATGGTGGTGATGATGGACGCTGGAACCACGATACCACCGATGCCCAGACCACCAAGGACTAATAGACCCCAGAGTTTGTTCATGTTGTATGGCGTTGCGCACGCCAGGGCCGCAGTACCTGAGGGCGATAGTGAGTGGATATGTTTTAGGTAGAGAAAAGGACATTCAAAACTTACCAGAAGTCATCAAGATGCATGATACAATCATGAGTTCCTTGTTGCGGCCACGGAAGACCGACAAGAGCCAAAGTGTAACACATGCACCAACCATGATAGCCATACCACCAGGGAGCACACGGAGGCCGACCATGACGGGATCATGGCCATAGACGTTGAAGGCTTGAGTGGGCCAGAACATCAGGAAGGAGAAGAAATTGGCCCCAGAGATGAAGGTGATGAGCAGTGTCAGAGACAAAATCCGAGGATCTTGCTTCAATCGTCGTGGGAACATGGGGAACGGGGCAAACCATCCTTCCCAGACGAAGAAGCCGACGAGGAGCACAACTCCGATGACGATGGGAGCAACTACGTGTGCGGATCCCCATGGGTACTGGAAAATGTTAGTGTGGAGTTACGACGCCGAATGAGTGGATATAACACGAACCTGATAGCCACCCCATTGCATACCAGCCATGAACCTGCAGAAGAGAACTTTGGTCAGCAACAAGCAATATATATGTTGGGTGAGGAGCGAGAGTCGTCGAAAGGGTTGTGTCCAGGATATTCCATATCCTATAGCTCTGGCAAGGAAGGAAAGCTTACAAGATCATTCCAGAAATCGACAGGAAGCCGCCAAGATAGTCGATTTCTTTGAGAACCTGGCCTTTGCTCTTTCCAAGGGTGTTGACGCGAGGTGGTGGGAAGTAGAATAGTGCGGTGACGATAAGACCAAGCCCATTCCAGACACAGATGATGATGCCAGTATAACGCCAGCCAGCATGAGCTACAGCCATTAGTTTGAGGATTTTGACTGGAATCAAAGAGACATGAAACTCACCTGCGATCAATTGAGCATAAACGCCGGATGGGACAAATGGGAGGATGGTAAAAATCAGGACCGCCACATACGCGCCTCGCTTGCGTGTAGGGGCAAGTTCAGAGGTCACGGCAAGGGCTGTGAGTTCGCTTACTCCAGCACCAGCTCCTGCAATTGACATCCCGGCTATACATGGTCAGATTTGGACTGAAGGACGAGCTGAGGTTCAAGGTAGAGGTACCAATAAACATGTTCATGTCCTTGGCAGCAGTTGCAATGACAGTGCCAATCACGAGCAAAATGGCCCCGATAATGGCCACGTATCTTCTTCCGATGAGATCAGAGAGGGATCCCACGAATGGACAAACGCCAGCTAGTGCGAGTAGGTTGCCCAAGACCTGTATGAAAGGTAAGAGGAGGACTGTCGATGGAGAGAACTTTGAAAACTCACAAACCAAACCCATCGATCGACTCCACCGATGTCGCCATAGATGTATGGGGGGATGGCACCTATGAAACACTATTAGAAAGGCGGTGGGATATGGTGGATTGCTTTCTCACCAAAGAGATAGACTGGAATTTGACTGCCAGTCCACAGTAAGGCCATGGCAAGCAAAGACATGAAACGCTTGAATGTCATCTATTTTACAGATCAGGACCCAGGAATCTTGAGATCTATGCCGTGACACATACTTTTGGTTCATGTTCGTGATCAAGGTCGTCTCCGTCGATACGGAGACCGACGTTCTTCTCGACTTTGCCGATATGGACCTCATTCTCGTGGTGGAGAGCATCTGCCTTTTCGACGGATTCAGACGAGTCCTGGTACGTGGGCTGTGGTTCTTTGGAAGCCATGAGTGGCAATATGAAAAGGAAGGAGAAACAAGGTACGATTTCAGGATGAGGGATCACAGAGAGAAGTAGAATGGCAGATCAGGCGGACATAAGACAGGAGAAAGAGGAATAAATACATTGTCTGCGGACACGCGGCTTCAGAGAATGCCGATAGTTTCTGATCATCTCACCGGAGTCAACCCTACTGACTTCGGCAGATATCTCGCGTGGCACAACGATCGAGTAGTAGGACCCAGATAGTGTACGAGCACACATTGCGGGGAGAGTGGCAAGGTAACTGGGGACTCCAGTGTCGAACAGACCGCTACGGGGTTCTGGGTCCACCTGAAAGGAGGATCGCACGATACTCGTGGATATCAAAAGCACGCATCATGTGGGAACATAACCAAGCCTAGTGATGGATAGTCTCAGATTGCTTGGTCCAGTTGTTTAGCGAGCTGACGAGTAGCTTGGATAGTCTTGTGGAATCCTTGTCCTGAAGGAGGCATGGCAGATCGATATCCACATAGCAAGAGGGCCAATGCTC